ACTACCTATACCACTGAAATCACCACTGGTTCAGTTCCTACTACTGAAGTCGTTGTTGTCACTACTACTCCAATATTGTCTACTACAACTTCAACCGGCAGCACACCAACCACTTATACTACTGAGATTACTACTGGTTCAGTTCCAACCACTGAGGTTGTTATCATTACCACTACTCCAGTATTGTCTACTACCACCATACCTGGTTCTTCTCCAACTACCTATACCACTGAAATCACCACTGGTTCAGTTCCTACTACTGAAGTCGTTGTTGTCACTACTACTCCAATATTATCTACTACAACTTCAACCGGCAGCACACCAACCACTTATACCACTGAAATTACTACTGGTTCAGTTCCTACTACTGAAGTCGTTATTATTACAACTACTCCAGTATTGTCAACTACTACAATCCCTGGTTCTTCTCCAACTACATATACTACTGAAATCACCACCGGTTCAGTTCCAACCAGTGAGGTTGTCGTTGTCACCACCACTCCTGTATTATCCACCACCACCATTCCAGGAACTTCTCCAACCACCTACACTACTGAAATTACTACTGGCTCAATTCCAACCACTGAAGTTGTTGTTGTAACCACCACACCAGTATTATCTACCACCACTTCAACCGGTAGCACACCAACCACCTACACTACCGAGATTACCATTGGTTCAGTTCCTACTACTGAAGTGGTTATTATTACAACCACCCCAGTATTGTCAACTACTACAATTCCAGGTACTTCTCCAACCACTTATACTACTGAAATTACTACTGGTTCAATTCCAACCACTGAGGTTGTCGTTGTCACCACCAGTCCAGTTTTGTCTACTACTACAATTCCAGGAACTTCTCCAACCACTTATACTACTGAAATTACCACCGGTTCAGTCCCAACCAGTGAGGTTGTCGTTGTAACCACCAGTCCTGTATTATCAACCACCACCATTCCAGGTACTTCCCCAACCACTTATACTACTGAAATTACCACCGGTTCAGTTCCTACTACTGAAGTTGTCGTTGTAACCACCAGTCCAGTTTTGTCTACTACTACCATCCCAGGTACTTCACCAACTACTTACACAACTGAAATTACTACTGGTTCAATTCCAACCACTGAGGTTGTCGTTGTCACCACCAGTCCAGTTTTGTCTACTACTACCATTCCAGGAACTTCACCAACTACTTATACCACCGAAATTACTACTGGTTCAATTCCTACTACCGAAGTCGTTGTTGTCACTACAACTCCATTACCAACCACCACTATCCCTGGTACATCCCCAACCACATACACCACTGAAATCACTACAGGCTCCGTCCCATTCAGTGAAGTCGTTGTTGTCACCACATCAGGACCATGGAAAAACACCACCTTGGGAACCACTACCAGTGCACCACTTACCGATCCTGTTACCAAAACTGCCACTTTAACTGACATAATTACCGTTCCATGTGATAGCTGTCCAGGGGGAGTGAACATGGTGACATCCACTCATGTAACCACCATGACAGTTCCATGTGATAAATGTACCAAAGGTACTAACACCGATATTCCTGCTATCACTGATTCTTCAAACAACGATAACGGGGAATCCAATGGTAATGGTAGTGGCTCTAATGGATCATCGAACGAAGGTGAAGGAAGCGGTTCAGCTGGTGAAGCAAGCTCATCCTCTGCAGGAACAGTCAGTACTTACGAAGTTCTTGAAGGTGGTGCTTCATCCAAGGCAATCACTTCAATTGGACTTATCCTTGCCAGTTTCTTCTGGTTTGTTTGATTCTTCACTTCCATTTCGAATATTTGGATTTTTTTATTTCTCCTGCCTTTTTTTATTTTCGAATGCTAGTGATCTTGCTTACGTGTATTGATCTTTGAATATATTTTATCTTAAAGTGTCTCTTCAAGAGTGAGCCCACGATATCCTTGCGTTGGTTGTTGTGAAGGACAGTTTGAAAGTTGAACCAAACTTGCTCTGGCATCTGGGGTTGCTGGTCAAGACGATATGACCTAGATGATACGGTGTTGACTATAATCGGTAGGATAACAATAATTGCCTTTGATCGGTAGTTTCTTCAGAAGGTGGGGTTGAGGTTCACTCAATCCTCTCATTCGACACAAAAATGACATCCTGTAATAAGGACTTGGTCGCAACATGTCCTCGTACTTGATACCTTGAAGTGAGCACTTTCATCACAGAACCTCTAACTAAGTGCGAATCGATCAGACTTTTCTCACCCATTTTACACTTATCCGCACCTCAAAATGGACATAACACCATCAAATCCTCGTAGTAGAAGTAGAAGTAGAACTAGAAATAGATCGACGTCCAGAAGACCTTCATTAGCATCCAAAAGATCCATTTCATCATCGTCTTTGAAACAATTGACAGTATCTTCTACGTCGTTTGATGATTCTTCGGTTCCTTCCGTACAAGCTACTTTAGATAATACTTTACCCATTGATTTCTTCAAACAAGATATTTGGAAACTTATAAAGATCTTAAAAATTCATAAATGGCACAAAAAGCCTATAGATCCTTTAAGAATCAATGTTGTTAGGATTTCAGGAGCTTTGACCAATTCTATCTATAAAATTGAATATAATGATAATCAATTCAAGATCCCTTCGATCCTTTTAAGAATTTATGGTAAGAATGTTGATGAAATTATCGACAGAGAGCATGAGTTGGATATCTTAATCAAGTTACTGTCCAAGAAAATAGGACCTAAATTATGGGGGATATTCACTAATGGTAGATTCGAGCAATTCTTGGATGGATTTGTTACTCTTGATAGACATCAAATAAGAAATGAAGTTATAAGTCAAATGCTTGGACGTAGAATGAAAGATTTACATTATAAAGTGGTGTTGGACTATAAAGATTATAAGGATAACCTTCCAGTATGTTGGAAATTGATCACCAAATGGTTGAATATTCTTGAATCTAAAGAGATTTTGAAGAATTTCAAAGATAACGGAGTAAAAGATGAAGAACTATTCTTAACTTCTTTCACCAGATTCAAGGAAATTGTATTTAAGTACCGAGACTGGTTATTTGGTCAATATAATTCGAATGGATTTGCTTCAAATTTCAAATTTTGTCATAATGATACTCAATATGGGAACTTATTATTACACCAATCGTTTAATGAAACCGATATTATCATGGATAGTTCGGATAATTTAGCCAGTATGGCTGAAGAAGCAGAAAATGAGAACTCTATCAAAAATACTAGTAATAAGAAAGATAGTAGTTTAGTAGTTATTGACTTCGAATATGGAGGTGCCAATTTTCCAGCATTTGATTTGGCCAATCATTTCTGTGAATGGATGGCTAATTATCATAATCCGGAAGAATCTTATTTCTTGAATGCTGATGGATTCCCTAGTAAAATCGAACAATTAAATTTGATCAAAGCTTATGTGGAATATGATTTCCAATTCCCTTCATCCAACTTGAAACTTAAATACGAACCAAATTTGAATTTGATTTCCCCTACGGAATTGATTCAATTTGAAATCAAAAAATTGTTCAATGAATGTGTTCTTTGGAGAGCTACAGTTCAAATTTATTGGTGTATTTGGGGATTGATTCAAAATGGACCTATGAAGAAAGAAATCGATGAACTCGTAGGTGAAACTGTTGAAGAACAAGGGATCGATAGTACTTATACTATTACCACCGGTCTTAACACTTTAGAATTGAAAGAGAATGCCATTGAAGATGAAATCACTTCCTCGGATGATGATTTCAATTATTTGAAATATGCCCATCAAAAAGCATCCTTAGCTATGGGAGATTTAATTCAATTGGGATTAGTGGATAAGAATGAATTGGTTGGCGAAGTTAAGTATTTAGATTGTGAAATGTTCGATCTTCCATAATACATGTGAGCATCAAGGTTTATGATATCTCTTACTACAAATGACTTTTCGATCTCTGGTCTGTTGGATTCAGTCTGATATACACCTTAAACCACTACAAACGACTCTTGAACATCCTCCCTAAACTCATACTCCTTGGTACCATACCCATTGGGTTGACATATTGAACATCTCCAATTCGCACAAATTTCCAATGCTTTCCTTCAGAACTAAGAATTATAATGGCTACGCCGTACAATATTCTCCGTTCTTTGATAGTAAATTAGCAGTGGCATCTGCCGCCAATTATGGTCTTGTGGGTAATGGGAAACTTTTCATTCTCAATATTCAACCCAATGGTGAAATAATAAACGAGGTGTCATGGGAAACTCAAGATGGTTTATTCGATTTAGCATGGCTGGAAATCCACGAAAATCAAGTTGTAACCGCCAATGGTGATGGATCTATCAAATTGTTTGATATAAAAGTTCCTAATTTCCCCATAATGAATTATAAAGAGCATCAAAAAGAGGTATTTTCCGTCAATTGGAATTTAGTTGATAAATCATCGTTCGTATCGTCATCATGGGATGGTACTATTAAAGTATGGAACCCACAGAGACAACAATCAATAGTAACATTAGCCAGTGATGGATCTAATGGTACGGGAGGACAATCATCAGTTCCTATTTCTCATCAACCAAATCATCAAGTCAACACTACTAATTGTGTTTATAATGCTACATTTTCACCTCATCTGCCATCACTTATTCTTAGTTGTAATGGGTCATCGAAAATATCTTTATGGGACATCAGATCACCTCAACCATTGATAGTTAATTATATAGGTCATTCAGGATTGGAAACTTTGACTTGTGATTGGAATAAGTATAAATCCGATATCATTGCATCTGGAGGTACTGATAAATCCGTAAGGATTTGGGATCTTAGAATGATCAATCGAGTTGATCAACAGATTCCTGGCATGCCTTCTCATAATTTAAGAGGACCTACCCCATTAAATGAATTATTAGGTCATGAATTTGCCATTCGTAAAGTTCAATGGTCACCTCATAATAGTGAAGAACTCATAAGTGTTAGTTATGATATGACATGTAGAATATGGAATGATAAATCGAACCTGAATGCCCGATTCTTAAACACTCAAACTGGAGGTTTAAGAGGAGTTATGAATAATCATCGGGAATTCGTAATTGGTTGTGATTATAGTCTTTGGGGAGATCCTGGTTGGGTAGCTACCACTGGTTGGGATGAAATGGTTTATGTATGGGATTCCAAGAGGCTTATGCGCTAATGAGGTTATGTAGGGTCTAACCAAAAAAAACCCAAACAGCGCGAAAAATAAACAACAGATTCAATGGAGTGTTTAAGTATCAATCTTGATTTCAAGTATATCTTGAAGGATAAGAACATCCCATCTGTGTTCGATACCAACAATTTATGGAAAGCTAATGAATTTGGAGGATTCCATAATTATGAAATCATCGAAAATTATAGTGCAATTGAGGCTAAAGTGGTTGAGATCAACAATCAAAAGAATGGTTTGATTGAAGTTATCAAACCTAGTTTTGAAGTTCCTATCATCAGTTTGATCTTCAAAGGTACTAGAGATTTCATTAATACCAGTAGATTAGAAGTTTATAAACAATATAATCAAATCAGTTTCAAAACCATCAATCATAAAGTTAATGAGAAGTTGATTCCAAAATTAATAGAATTAAGTACTGTGAATAATGTAGAGATTATGTGTAACAACGAACAAGTTCAATTAATTGGTCAACTTGATAATATCACTTTTGTGGAAACCCAAATCAGAGTAATCATTGATGCTTTCAGTGGATTATTGATTGAATCTTTTGATATCAATTTATCAGTGATTCCGATTTTGGGTGATCAGAATTTGTTTAATTTCAAGGAAATTGTTAAACAGAACAATACCAATGTTTATTTGCCTGATTTGTTACCTGAAGTTTATCATTCAAGGATCTATTCCGATTTAGATAGTTTCAAAATTTGGATCACAGGAGAAAAACCTTTAGGGATTTTGAACACCATCAGGATATTGAAAAATGTCATTGAAAAGATAAGTTTCTTCCAGAAAACTATCAAATTAAGTAAAGAAAAGTTGGATCTTATTACTTTATACCATCAAGATGCGTTATTGAAGATTATGATTTCTAATAGTACATTCATTAAGATCCCTCAATTCGGTGATGACGATAATGAAGTCACTGTTCAAGGTAACGATGAAGTTTCTGTTACCAATACTATTCAAGATATTCATAAATTGACTCAAAATTACTATAAGTTATTGATTAATAGTGATAGTTTTGAGAATTACCAACAGGTTTTATACAAAATTTCTCCCTTCAAGATCATGATGAAAATGAACGTCGAAGGGATGGAAGTTATTGGAATAAATACTGATGTCAGATCATTTATTGATCAAATCAATATTTCCAACATATTGAAAGTTTCCTTACTTATTGAAATCAATAATACCGAAAAGGATTTCATCAGTGGAAAGAAGAATGGGAAGATCTTGAAAATCTTAAATCAATTCAATAATTCTATTATCAAATTTTTACCTCAAGATGAATATCAATTCTTAGTTGACATTGTCATTGAAAGATCTTATAATTTAGATACTTTGAAACTTATCATGGGTTTGATCGAACAAGAATTACCTTCCCAATTTAAATTCAATATTCCGGAAATATTCCACAAATCTATTATTGGAAATGGTGGTCTTATCATTCAAAGTATCATGAAGAAGTATAACGTTTATATCAAGTTTTCAAGTCAACCTAAGAATGTTAACTTATATTCCTTCAAGAGGTTCAATAACGTGTTGATTAAATGCCCTAAGAAGAATGCTAATAATATCAAATTAGTGGAAACAGAATTACATAATTTAGTTGAAAATTGTGGTAACAATAATTTGAATTATAATTATCTTAACTTGAACACTAACAATTCCATTTATAATTCCATCGACTTTAAGTTATTAAAATCTCATTACATCCTTTTATTGAACAATTTCAAATTAACTCATTTGAATAATTTAGAGATTGAATTTTCTTCATACATCAATTGGCCTCGTCTTGAAGATTTTGATGACCACTTAAAGACAGTTGAAGTTAAAGGTAGTGATATTAAGATGAAGTTCTTTGTTAACAAGATTGTCGAATGCTTACCTAAGAATTATAAGTTTCAATTGCAAAGATTCAATATCTCAGACTCTTTCACTGATGAGATTGTTTTACCTTTCAAATTCAATGATATAGAAATCTTAGTGGTCAATAATGAACTCTGGTTGAGTTATTATGAATATAAACCTTCAGAGATTGAAAAATTGGCAACCTGGTTGAAAGATCACGATTATATTGTCATTGAAAGGGGAGAATTTGAATTCAATCCTGTTGAAACCATTGATGAATTGAAATTCAAAAAATCAAAGAAACCTTTGAATAAGATCACCAATGAAGTTTAACATCACTCACACAAGTCAATACCACCCCAAACTCACTAGTAAAACAAAAACAGTCTATAGGCATATGTACGGAATTTCGTTTACTCTTTTGGTCTATTTTTTTGCAGCCGTGGTGCGGGCACGCAGCTCGAAAATTCTATGCAGACGATTTATCCTCGGCATCGGCACCAGATCAGGAATTTTTGGGGGATTTCTCCGATGGAAGTCTCCTAAGATTCATTGGTCGACTATTCCATCAATTTCCGGCACACTGAAACTCATTTGATGGATCTATCATAGATTTCAAAATATGATTGGGCATTTATATAAAGCCTCGCAACGGCTTTTGTCGTGTGCACCTTATGGATCTAAGATGATTCAACATCGTAATTATAATTGAACATCCAACCATGGCTCAACATCACCTTCCATCACCATATCATCCAAATATTCCAAATTCATCTTTCACTTGAAAGCCCCTATCTTTCCCACTCTAAATCCATCGCTAATTTTACTTCGCTTACATAAACTCTGGGGTCTTCTCGCACCCAAAAAAACTACTCAACCCAAAATAATTTTTCATCTTAATATATCCCAGTAAAAACATGGAAAAAGTCGAAAAATTGGTTAAGTTAGGATTACCATCCAAAGCTTTGTTACAATTCAACTATGGTGAAACTTCACCTCCTCCATCACCTTTCCAAAATGAATTTTTAACCAAATGTTTCGATTTTTCAATGAAAGTCTCAACTCCGTTAACTATTGCTATAGTATATTTTTCATTAGTCCATTATATCAACCCTTTGATTGTTGCTAGACAAGAAAGACATGCCAAATCATCCAAAGGTGGAAAAGGTGGAAGATTACCTCCAGCTCCTTTCAAATTTACCAAAACTTCAGGTTTCAAATTATTTGTTATATTACATAATCTTTTCCTTTGCATCTATTCCGTATGGACTTTTATTGGAATGATCAACACCATAAATAACACTCAAGAATTGATCAAATTGAACTTTGAAAACCAACAAATGAAAATTGAATCTAACTTCCAAAAATTCTTCCAAACTATTTGTGATGTTGATAATGGTATTTTCAACTTAAACTTACCTTTCAAGAATCTTTTATTATTTGGATGGTTTTTCTATATTTCCAAATTTTATGAAGTTTTAGATACTGTTATTATTTTAGTTAAAGGTAAACCTTCAAGTTTATTACAAAGTTATCACCATGCTGGTGCTATGATGTGTATGTGGGCAGGTATTAGATTCCAAAGTCCACCAATTTGGATTTTTGTGGTATTCAATTCATTCATTCATTCATTAATGTACTTCTATTTTACTTTAAGTTGTTTGAAAATCAGAGTTCCAGGTATTTTCAAAAGAATGTTAACTTCAATGCAAATTACTCAATTCGTTATTGGTGGTTCTTTAGCTATGTTACATTCTTTTATTTACTTTTATGATACTACCACCAACAGTTTGATTAATTGTATTTCTACTCCTGATCAAGCTTTACCTTTAATCATTAACGTCAGTTACTTAACTCCATTAACTGGATTATTTGCAGCTTTCTACATTGAAAGTTATGTCAAAAGAAGAGTTTAGACGCAAGTCGCGGATTTGACTGTGCGTCGAAAAACGTTCGAAACCTTTGAGGTTTATATATATATTCTACTATAATAAAACAGTACCTATTCCACCGTCTTTATTCTCAACCTCTCTGGTTTTAGCATTGATACCTCCATGAATAGGGAAGGTTTTATAATTGAATAAGTAATAATTCAAAAATCCATCACCATCTCCAAATTTACACTCTTCAATGAAAAGTGGATTATCTTGAGATGTTAAACAATTGAATACATCAACTCCGAACTCTTTGGAAGTAATTAAAGTATCTTTGATTAACAGTTTCAATCTTTGTTCATAATTTTCTTCAGCATTGGTGGCATAATAATATAAGTATGCTACACCTAATTCATTATGTTGGTCATTATCCAAAACAGTGAAAGGTAATAAGTAGTAAGAAACAAAATCGGTGATTTTACCATCTTTCTCTATGACATAAGGTTTGATGACATTGGATTTAGTGTTTAACCAATGTTTTAATTCTTCTTTAGTGAATATTTGGATTATTTCATATTTCTCTTGGAATGAAGTGAAAAGGTCAAACACTTCATCGAAATCTTTATCTTCCATTGGTCTTAAACCCAACAAAGGTTCTTTAGGTAAAGTATAAGTAGCAACCATTTCACTTTTAGTTTTACCAGGAGGTAAATGACTAAATCCAGTCTCTAATAATTTTAACCAATTAATAGGTCTATGAGTATATCTACAAGTTGAGATAGGTGAAGGTAAAACTTGACCTCCAGTATATAAGGCTTGCCAAATATCTTGTTTGTTGACACGTCTGGTAATTTCTTTGATTAAAACTGGAGCTAATCTTTTGGATCTTAATTTCTTGTGAATATTAAGGAAATTGATTTCAACTGATTTCAAAGTTTTACCGGTCTTTGTTAACTTCAAATCACATGGGGTACCGGCTATAAAGGCAACTAACTTACCACCTTTAACACGAACACCTAAATGCCAATCTTTTCTATAACCTGGAGGTTTTAATGCCCATTTGAAAAATTCATGGGAATACTTAAATCTTAAAGATGCACTTTGATCTTCAACATAATTCTCATAAAGTAATTGATATAATTCTTCTAATTGTTCTTCATCATCCAAATCAACTTCACACCATTCAAATCCATCAATTAAAGGTAATGGATCATTGGGGATATCGTCTACAGTCTTATTTTCAATAGGTCCTTCTTGGATGATTTTTTCATCATATTTGGTCACAGGTTGAGTTTTCCAGAACTTATGGTCTTCCATTTGCTTCTTTTGTTCTTCATTCAACTCCCCGATTCTGCCTGAGCTGATCAACTTAATGAGCTCTTCAATAGACTTCTTGTCAGCCATGGTTGGAAAATTTCGCGACGCTTCTAACTGTGTTAAATCATGGTTCTTAAGAATTCTAAATATGATAAACAGGCCAAGAAACAATATTTGAAGAAACATGGATTATATGAAAGGCCCAAGACTATTATTAGGCCGAAATGGTCATCAAAGAAACAAAAAAATTCCGAAATGTTGAAATTAGAGATCGATGAGATGACAAGTGATTGGGATTCAGATATTGATGAAGATATAGTCAATTACTTCTATCCTGCTATTTCTGAAGAGCTTCCAGAAATGCCATTGGAAATGAAAAGAAAGGTAAAGCGTCAAGTGATTGAGGATTTAAAAGTTCAGAGGAATGAATTGTTCAATCAAGATATTGAAGCTAATGAAGAAACTATCAAAGATATGAAGGAGAATGGAATTTTCTTGGGTCAGGAATCCTATCCGGAAGTCAAGTTGACGGAATTTATTCCTCAGATTCCTCTCACTAAGAGAATACGGAAAATACCCATAAATCGTGATGATGATGATTTGAATGATTATGGAATTTCAATTTCCGACACTGTAACGAATAATGATTACGATGATGTACATAAGAAGAAATTGGCTGAACGGAGACTTGATCAAATCCTGAATGAAGAATTGGTAGGTTTTAGAATAGGTAAGGATTCATTAGGGGAGGTTAAATCGAAAAAGAATAATATCCAAATATTGAATGAGGAGGAAGTTAAGAAAGACGAAGAACTTACTAAGAAGAACGACCAACAGAAATTCTATAATGAAATCAAGAAAAAATTTGGAGCACCTCAAAAAAGTAAGGTATTAGAATTAAATAACTATGATAATACTAATCCTGAACATGTGAAACTCATCAATAGTAAATTAGCGTTCGAAGATGAAGGAGATTTGGATGCTGATTTAGATGAACTTCTCGGCACAAACTTCAAATCTATAGATATCAAAGACGAAGAACCTTCATACTCCAGTCAAACACCTAACGGTCAAACACCTAACGGTCAAATACCCAACGGTCAAAAATCTACCAGTGGAAAATTAACCAACACCAAATTTTCAGCTCCTAAACCCCCAATGCCTAATTCTTCGGCTCCTCATGATGATTTCCTTGATGAGCTCTTGGGCTAACGAACTTAATGCAACTCTACTAAATACTTAATACATCATAGACGTGTCTCTCCCAAAAGCGTGTCAATTCCAAATGACTCACGAAAACGGTAATTCATACTCAACCGCGATGTACAATCAAATTTTTCATCAAATGTTAAGATTCATCAGAACTTTAGCTACCGCTAGTAAATATAATAAAACATCTTCGTTAGATAGAGCCACATTGACTATCAAAGATGGACCAGTGTTCAATGGATACTCTTTTGGAGCCAATAAAAATGTTAGTGGAGAAGCTGTTTTCACTACTTCATTAGTTGGGTACCCAGAAAGTATGACAGATCCAAGTTATAAAGGACAAATCTTATGTTTTACACAACCATTGATTGGTAATTATGGTGTCCCTTCAGATAATGCCAGAGATCAATTCAATTTATTGAAATATATGGAAAGTCCTAAAGTTCAATGTATTGGTATTGTTGTTGCTGATGTTGCTTTAGAACATAGTCATTGGACAGCTGTTGAAAGTTTACAACAATGGTGTAAAAGATCAGGTGTTGCCGCTATTTCTGGTGTTGATACCAGACAATTAGTCAGTTATTTAAGAGATCAAGGTTCTTCATTAGGTAAAATCACTATTGGTGAAGAATATGATGCTGATGAAGATGCTGCTTTTGAAGATCCCGAAACCGTTAATTTAGTTCATAAAGTTACTACCAAAGCTCCTTTCCATGTCGCTTGTCCTCCATCTCATTCTAAAAACATTCATTTAGCTGTTTTAGATTGTGGAGCCAAAGAAAATATCTTAAGATGTCTTGTTGAAAGAGGTGCTTCATTAACTGTTTTCCCTTATGATTATCCTATTGATAAAGTTGCTAATAAATTCGATGGAGTTTTCATCTCTAATGGTCCAGGTGATCCAACTCATTGTTCAGTTACTACTGAAAATTTAAGAAAAACTATGAAAATAAATAAAAATTTACCAATCTTTGGTATTTGCTTAGGTCATCAATTATTAGCTTTAGCTTCAGGTGCTAAAACCATTAAGTTGAAATATGGTAATAGAGCTCATAATATTCCTTCATTAGACTTATTAACAGGTAAATGTCATATCACTTCTCAAAATCATGGATATGCTGTTGATATGGATTCCATTAATGAAGATTGGGAACCTTATTTCGTTAACTTAAATGATTTATCTAATGAAGGTATGATCCATAGAACTCAACCAATTTTCTCCGTTCAATTCCATCCTGAAGCTAAAGGTGGTCCTTTAGATACTGGTTTCTTATTTGATAAATTTTTCGAAAACATCAATAACTACAAGAAGAATTTCGGTTTAAATACCCCTATTGATAACAGTTTACTCGTTGATATCTTACCAAAATCAAGAGTTTACTAGATTACGTAAGTAAAGTTCCATAATAGATATATATAAAGTTTATTGTATTTGACACGACTCTCACATCATCAGATTTTTTTTAAATGCCTTCGTTTATCGTATACGACATCATACGACATCGGATGGTTTTATATATTTAAATATGGATCAATATCTCTGAATTGTTCAATTAAAATGACATTCATTGACAGTTGGTCTAATACCACCACCTTCTCCTCGATCTTCCATGATTTGGAATCATCAAATTTGAATTATGTTGAAAGACTTTGGTCAAGTTGGTATTTATATTTCAATAACGATCTTTTTGCAACAGGTTTATTATTCTTTTTAACCCATGAATTGATGTATTTTGGTAGATGTTTACCTTGGTTTATAATTGATAGAATGCCATACTTTAGAAGATGGAAAATTCAACCAACTAAATTACCTTCAAATAAGGAACAATGGGAATGTTGTAAAACAGTATTTAAACAACATTTAATTTTTGAAGCTTTACCAATTTGGTTATTCCATCCAGTTTGTCAAAATTTAAATATCTCCATTGATGTTCCATTCCCTAATTGGAAAATCATGACTGGTCAAATTTTAATATTCTTCTTTGCTGAAGATTTATGGCATTATTCATTCCATAGATTATTCCATTATGGAATCTTCTATAAATACATTCATAAGATCCATCATAGATATGCTGCACCTTTTGGTTTTGCTGCTGAATATGCTCATCCAGTTGAAATTATGGCCTTAGGTTTCGGTACTGTTGGATTCCCTGTCATTTATGCTTATGTCTCATTACATAATCAACAATTACCTCCACTCCACCTTTTCACCATTTGTATTTGGATCACCCTTCGTTTATTCCAAGCAGTTGATTCTCATTCAGGTTATGATTTCCCTTGGTCTTTGAATAAATTCTTACCTTTCTGGGCCGGTGCTGAACATCACGATCAACATCATCATTACTTCATTGGTAATTATGCTAGTTCATTTACTTGGTGGGATTGGGGTTTAGGTACTGAATGTGGTCCTTTAGCTAAAAAGAGAAGACAAGATATGCAACATAAAAATGCTGAAAGAAAAGCTAGATAAATTTGAATATAAAACTTATGATTTACTCTTACATCATTTCCTAATTCGGATATCGATGCATCATTTACTTCTTCCCACATCATTTACATTTTTCCACACATAGAGAAAGAACACACCAATTCGCGTCACATGATTCTCTCGGGCACGCGCCCTTGGATTGGGTGTGTGACTGCGAAAGTCCCTCAATGAGATTTTTTCTCAGTTGAAAAATAAAACCCATCAGAAAAAAAACTGAAAAAAAACTAATCTTTATTATAACCGTATGTATAAATCAGTTAGATAATTAGATGAAATGACATGAACAATAGTTGATAGAGTAAACAGTGTATCAATAGATGAATGATGATGATAACAAGAGTATTCAGTATAGTATTTTATGAAGATTATCCATGAATATTTCGAAGTGTTGACCATCGAAGATGTATCATATTTATCGAAGATAAAAAGTTCATTACCACATATTGTGACCCATGTCAATATCAATATAATATAGAAAGCAGTTTTCCAAAATATGAAATTCCCAGAAGTTTTTTCACCATCAAAGATTTTTGTCCACATCATCTCCAATGAAAAATTCTTTATACTAACTTTTTTTTAGATGTCAAGATTAAATGAATATCAAGTCATTGGTAGACGTTTACCAACTGATTCAGTTCCTGAACCAAAATTATATAGAATGAGAATTTTTGCTCCAAATGTTGTTGTTGCTAAATCAAGATATTGGTATTTCTTACAAAAATTACACAAAGTTAAAAAAGCTTCAGGTGAAGTTGTTTCAGTTAATGTTATTTCTGAAGCTCACCCAACCAAAGTTAAAACTTTCGGTATTTGGTTAAGATACGAATCAAGATCTGGTGTCCACAACATGTACAAAGAATACAGAGATGTTACCAGAGTTGGTGCTGTTGAAACTATGTACGCTGATTTAGCTGCTAGACATAGATCAAGATTTAGATCAATCCACATCTTAAAAGTTGTTGAATTAGAAAAAATTGATGATGTTAGAAGACAATACGTTAAACAATTCTTAACCAAAGAATTAAAATTCCCATTACCTCACAGAATTCCAAAAGGAGGTAAAATCTTTGAAGCCAGAGCTCCATCAACTTTCTATTAAGTTAATTTCAATATACATTAAGTAATAAATATTCTCTGAAACTCCCTCATGTCTCATACCACAGTTGGTCCCACGCAGAAGGCCCCCCAAACGGTAAGTTCCAAAACTAAAGCTGAAGAAAAAAAACCTTGAAAGCGAAAAGTAGTGCGCTGGCCAAACTGTGATGGGCTTTCCAAAGGTTTTTCAGGGTCGTGTGCGTAACTTATTTACATTATGCTATCTTGACTAACTAAATATTTAACTACGTCAACGAAATTGTTAAAAATCTTACTAGATCCACTAACTTTGCTTAAATTTACAGAACTGACTTCTCCTATTTTCAATACCTCTATTCTGAATTTGAGTTTATTGAACTTTCCTAATTGACCAGTGATGAGGTTATTATTAATGGTAAAGTCATTCAATGTTCCTTCCAACTTTTTCAAAGTCAAGGCGGTCTTCAATAATTTAATGATGGTTTTAGACGAATGGTTGGTATTAATGGTGACAATTTTTTGTGATGAACTGAGATTATGTAAGAATTTCATAAACCAATTCTCTTTAGGTTTTGGTTGGTTTGATTTGAAATTACGGAACACTGTGTTGTTCTTAGCTCTTGGTGGTAAGATTTCTACCGGACTAGGCTTGACTTCAGTTTGAACGGGTTTTTGTTGGACTGTAGAATTGACTTGTCCATTTTGGGAAATTTGTCCATTTTGGGAGTTTTCCTCTCTTGGTGCAATTTGTTGAAGAACTGGATCATAAGGAACTTCGGGCGTTAATACTTTAACAGATACGGTGTCTTCCTTCAAAGATTTCACATCCTCCACTGGCTCTCTGATTAAAGTTTCCTTAGAAGCATTTCTGGAATTATACTCACTGACAGGTGGAGTCGATTGCCTAGACATAGCTTTAGATTGAGGTCTCAAAATCTTGTATTGATGATCATCGTTTTGTTGGTCATCATTTTCTATGGTCTTATCGTCATCATCGTGATCTTCTTGAATCTCATCGTTCTGTAAAGTATCTAAACTTTCCAAATCTCTTTGATTCACTTCTTCTTTACTGCTGTTACTATAGATTAAACTTACCTTACCAAACTTTCCAATGTCTTCGATTCTTTCGCTGATGATGTCACTAAGCTCGGTGAATTCGAAATCACTCAAGGTAGTTTTCATAGCTGTAGCATTGGAATCATCAAGATGTACAGAAAGGAATTCATCTTCCTTAGTTTTGGTTTCATTGATGGATCTTGAGGTTTCATACAATGATTTGACAGTGTCATTAACGGCAGTTTCATTGATGATAGTGTCATTGATGGACTTACCGTTGATGGACCTGGCATCAAGGGATTTAGAATCAGCATAAGATTTAGCTTCAAAGATTGATCTTGAATCATTGATTGAGTTACCATCAAAAGATCTATCATCAGAACCATCTTCTTGAGTGATACTTAAACCTTTCAAGTTAAGTACACTCCTCTTAGATTTCTTGATCACTGTACCATTACTTCTTAAGGAATTGAAAATCTCTATATCACCTTTCTTAGTATCTTCGATATCAAAATCTCTCAATAACCCGTTAAAGGAGAACCTTGAGAATCTAGGATTGGGTATTAATTCTTGGTGATTCTTGAGGAAAGTTCTTGAACTGGTTAAAGAATTGAGTTTGGTGTTTGATTTATTGGATCTTTGGTCGAGAACAACATTGTTTACTGAAGTGTTGACGGAAGTATTCAATGTGATTGGTCTCAAAGCATTTTTAGCAGGAATGGTAGGTAATTTACTTGTAGGTAAAGTTGAAGGTTTGTTGGATAATAAAGATTTATACTGTTGACGATTGATATTTTCTTTATCGATTTCTCTAGCTTCCACACGAGGTGATTTCTTTTCTGTGTATCTTTCAGCCTTATCCTTTGATTCTTTGACATGTCTCTCTTTCTTGGGTTCTTCAACTTTCTTGAGTTCCTCAACTTTCTTAGGTTTATCTTGCCTGACAATATTATTTTCTTCAATGAGATCACTCAAGTTCTTGGTACTAACAGTCTTGAACATCTGATTGTCCTTTTGGAACTTATTGATGTCTCTTTCCATATTAATACCAAGTTTAGCCAATACTTTAGCTGTTCCTTCAGAAGATCTGATAGATGCATAAGATGAAGGAGAAGTCAAAGATTTAGCCCTTAATAATGAACTGATACCTTGAATTCTTGGATCAAGGGAGGATTCAACAGGTGATGTGACATTTCTCTTTCCATTGACTTTATCAGAAGCTTTCAAATCACCATCCATGAAAGTAGCAAAAGAAAAATCCAACTTAGATTCATGTTTCATTAATTTTTCGAACACTTGGGATTGTCTTGTCTTCAAATCAATAGGTTTTTCAGATTTAGGTTCACTCAAGACTTTAGATAACGAATGATTGGATAAATTGGAAAGGTTTGATTTAACAGAAATAGTAGATTTCAATGCAGATTCTTGGTGGGGTATTTCCTTTTCTGGTAAAACATTCTTCAAAGATTTGACTGATTTAGAAGAATGTAAAGATCTCAAAGATTTTGAAGATTTTAAGGATTTAATGGATTTGACTGATTTGGCTGATTTAATCGATTTGGTTGATTTAACCGATTTAATGGTTCTTGAAGGTTCTCTTGAAATAACATGATCATTAAATTTCATTGCTTTCTTCTTATTAAATGATGTAGATACCACCAAACGACTTTTTTCAAGTTTCTTTTCTTGATTAATTGAACTTGATGATAAATCTAAAGCATTATCATCATTAACAGCATGATCATTTCTATATTTCATCAACAAATAATAAAACATCTTCTCACTATTCATCTCTTGTTGACATAACTTATCTAAAATAATGGATTCTTCACAATTATGAAACAATATAGATAAATTTTTAAGAATCTCTTTATCAACTCTTGAACGATTGATAGGTTTAACTTTGAATTCAGGTACTTGTAAACTATCAGGATCAGGATATTTCTTCAATAAAGGATGAGCTAAAATATCATCCATCTTGATTCTTTTAGTTGGATCAACTACTAACATCTTAGATATTAAATCTTTTGCTTCTGATGATAAACTTGCTGGCATTATAAATTTCCCGTTTTGAACTTTCAATAATAATTTACGAATATTTTCATCATCAAAAGGTAAATGTCCAGTTAACAAAGCAAATAAAATGATCCCACAAGACCAAATATCTGAAGGTGCACCATGATAATTTTTCCCAGCAACAATTTCTGGTGATGCATAATGAGGACTACCACAACTGGTTTCTAATAATTTATTATCAATTTCCAAAGCTGCCATCCCAAAATCAGCTATTTTGATATTCTTATTGAAATCCAACAATAAATTTTCAGGCTTTAAATCTCTATGACAAATGTTGAAACTATGTAAGTATTTGATTCCATGGAGAATTTGTTTGAAATAATTTATAGCTTCAAATTCTTGTAACTTCCCTCTTTTAATAAGATAATCAAATAATTCACCACCTTCAACATATTCCAAGATCAAGTAAAGATCATTTTTATTCTCCCAAACATCATAAAGACTCATGATGTTTTTGTGGTTGATAAGTTTCATAATGATGATTTCTCTTTCAATTCCGTAAGGTAAATCACCTCCCATCTTTTTATATTTGGGGTTCTCTAACTTCTTAAAGTTCAGTTTAGGTAAGATTTTAATGGCAGCCAATTTACCATTGTTGATGTTTTTAGCCAACCTAACTCTTCCAGTACTTCCTTTACCCAAAGTTCGACCTAATTTCCAAGGTCCTATTTTATTTTGTTTCCTATTGGAGTTGTTTGATGATGTTGATATTTGGGATAATCGTTTGGATGCATTAGTAACTGATAATACTATCTTATCAATTTCTTTTTCCGTCATGATGTGACTGGTCTCTATCTCCTGGTGTATCTATAAGGCACCTGATGTGGTTGAAAATGAAGGTATTGGAGATTATAGACTTAATGTGAAAGATTACAAAATGGTGTATTTTTGTTTTGATTTACATTTCCACGAAAACTGCGACACCAAAGGTTGAGTGCGGTACACCCATTAAACACGCTTTTTCAATGAAATTTGCGAGGTAGATGAGGTTTAAGAGGTAGGAAGGTTGATATTGAGTCCAAGGTGGTAGAGGGAGGTGATATGAAGTTGTTGTAATGGCTGGGGTAGAGGTGTTGGTGTGGGTTTTTTTGATTTAGAGCTTTCTTCTGGAATGAAATATTTGGAAAGGAACCAAAATAAACTTATTCTCGCTGTACAACGCTTAAACCCTTAAGATTTTACCTCGTAGGTCGGTGGTAGGGTTTTAGCTGTTGACAGTACCTTAGACGAGTAAACTTTACCGCGCGTGGAAAAGGTGTCGAGTCACGGTACCAAGTTGAGATTGAAGAGATTGGATTTGGAATTAAACTACGTTTCGGTAGAAGATGGGGAATACTTTGATTACGAACTCGTTATATTGAAGAGTCTTTATGTTTGGACTTATGTCCACTGTCTACTCCAGAACGAGTCTTAATGGTCTCATAAGTAGTCTAATGGCTCCGTATGCCTAATTCTATGTGCCATGGTCCTCTCCATCTTCTTTCACACTAAAACTCGTAACCTCAAACTTAAATTCTGTGCCCCTTATCTCGTTCTCGTTTTATCAGCCGAAATCAATATTTCCATCAGAGCCGAAACTGTTGATCTCAGCTAAATTAACATACTGTCACACTCTCTGATCCGTCTCCAAAACACCGTTATATTCTCGGGAATCTCCACCCATCCGTTATTATCTGCCGTCTTCATTATGTCCCCAATTTATTCGTTTTCGCGGTCATCAACATAGATTTTTAAACTATATAACCATCATACCATTAGCATGTTCAAGTTAAGACAGAAGTTCAAGTTGACGTCCCACGAAGAAGAGTTACCGGAGATTAACAAGTTGTCTATTGACGACGATGTTTCCACCATCAATAGTGAGAAAAAGAGCTCAGATACCTCGGGTAACATGAGTAACAGTAATAGTAATGCTACTACCAATAGCGCTAGTACGGCCGCAAGTACCAGTACCAATGGAAGTAGTACTAACGGTAATAATAACCCGTCCAGTGGCACCAACGAAAACGTCGGAGGTAATGGTTTATTGACTATCAAGATTTATCATTCCGATTTAATCAAATTACCTATCAAGATTAAGAATGATAAGAATATCCTCACAGCTTTGGCTTCCAATGCCATCAATGAAACCAGCAAGTCCCTGCTTTTAGATAAAATCAGTAAATTGGATGATTCTGAGTTCATTGATCAAGACATAAATTCCAAATATTTACCATCGATTATTTCCATCCCCGATCCAAATTCAAAGAACCAATTGATTAGAAGTTTACTCTATCTTACAGTTGAATTTGAAAATAACGTGTTAGTAGTGGAACCTATCAATGGAGATTTGAACAATTCTACTTGGAATCAAGTCATATCATTTGATGTTACTAAAACATTAAAATCTTCATCAAATAACTCCAATTTCTTGAATTTGAATTTATTTGTTAAGTTACCAAACATTTTATGTTCACATAAGAACGATTTATTGATTGGAAGTATTAAATTACCATTGAATTTGAAATTCCATAATAAATCCATTAGATTATTAAACCATGAATATTTAGAATTCTCATCACCTTTATCAATGAACGATAACGAAGAAGCCAAAGTTTTACCTGGGAAAATTCAAGTCACCATAGATTTCAAACCTATCATAAAAAAATCCTTATCGATTGAAGAATTTGATTTGTTGAAAGTTATTGGTAAAGGTTCATTTGGGAAAGTCATGCAAGTTATTAAGAAAGATACCAAACAAATTTATGCTTTAAAGACCATAAGAAAACAACATATCATCAGTAGAATGGAAGTGATTCATACATTGGCAGAAAGAACTGTTTTAGCCAAGATTAATAATCCTTTCATTGTACCTTTAAAATTCAGTTTCCAATCAAAAGATAAGCTTTATTTAGTGCTTTCATTTATTAATGGAGGAGAATTGTTCTATCATTTACAACAAGATGGGAAATTCTCCATGGATAGATCAAGATTTTATATTGCTGAATTATTAAGTGCATTAGAAAGTTTACATGAATTAAATGTTATTTACAGAGATTTGAAACCGGAAAATATTTTATTGGATTATCAAGGACATATTGCTTTATGTGATTTCGGATTATGTAAGCTTAATATGAATGATAGTGATAAGACCAATACATTTTGTGGTACACCAGAGTATCTTGCTCCAGAATTGATTTTAAATCAAGGATATACTAGATCAGTTGATTGGTGGACCTTAGGGACTTTATTATATGAAATGTTAACTGGATTACCCCCATTTTATGATGAAGATCATAATACCATGTATAAAAAGATATTGAAAAATCCTTTGAAGTTCCCTTCATTCTTGGAAAATACTGATGCCAAGGAACTTTTGGTGGAATTATTAAAGAAAGATCCAACACAAAGACTTTCGGATCCAGTTAAAATCAAAAACCATCCATTTTTCAAAGATATTGATTGGGTGAAATTGAACAACAAAAGTTATTTACCTCCATTCAAGCCAAATGTTGAAAATTTGTTGGACACTTCCAATTTCGATGCTGAATTTACTAATGAAAAACCTCAAGATAGTGTGGTGGATGATTATTTAAGTGAAAGTGTACAGAAACAATTTGGTGGTTGGACATATAATGGTGATAGGGTTTTATAGACGATTTTAAAATCTCTGTTCATTATCATTTCTACATACTTTATTTATTAGCGGCATTATTATAAGAGACTCCACTTCTTCCTGGGAATCCTGACGATTTACCTCCTTTATTTCTAGTTTTATCAAGACCTCTTGAAGGATCGGGATAGTTCCCTTCTTTAATTCTTTGCTGGTCTCTTTCGAGATATTGCTGATAAGATGGGTTTAAGTGCTGAGGATTAGCTTGGGTAATGTTGACCATTTGTGGAGGGACGAAATAGGTGTTTGGAGGTGGACCATTGGAATTTTGGGCTTGGCCTCCTCCATACCCTGGTCCTGAATTATATCCTGGTCCTGAATTGTATCCTGGCCCTGAATTGTATCCTGGCCCTGAACCTTCATACCCCGGTCCTTGAGGGTGTTTCTTATCTTCTGGATAATCAGAATATCCCTGTTGATATTGATGTTGACTTTTACCTTCATTGAACCTTGGTGGGTCTGAAGGTCTTTGTTCGGCATCTCTACCGTAATTGCCTTGGCTTTGATCTTGACCTTGGCCTGATTGATTCTGAGATTCTTCGTAACTTGGAGGTTCCATTGCTGCAAATGACTGAAATTTCGCACCTGCCGCCAAAAAAAAACTTGTCGCACAATCTGAAAATTTTCAATATCTAAGATGTTTAAACAGTTCGTTAGGTTTAAGAGTATTAGTAATACTAACGCCTCCACACAAAAGGTGGTCAACCAATTATCAGCATTATCAGCATCTAGAAAACAACCAAAATTAATCAAATTATCAGCACAAGATTTAATAAAACATCAAACCATTCAAAATGCCTGGAAATTATATAGTGATAAATTGGCAAGAGAAAACCGTAAAATGTTGAAAGAACAATACGAATCAATATATAATGCCATGGAAGAATTAAAGCAGTTCCCAGAATTATTCGAAGCTGCTAAAGATGATGTTAAAGCTCCATTTCCTTTAGAAATGAGAATCCCAACTGATTTCCCTCCAAATCAACCATGGATTTATAATTATGAAAAGTAGGCAACAGGACGTGTAGATATGTAAATAGATAATTTAAAAATTTTTTTTTTCTGAATTTTTTTAAGAATTTTGTGATTTCTACACATTTGAGACTTATGAGATAGAGAGATTAAAGAAAGATAGTGAGAAGATAACGAGTAATTGTCTTAAAATGGTCACCGACATTCAAGCAGAGATTCAAACAGAGACTCAAACTTCGATACACACACAGATAAAGACAAAATGAAAAGAGACATAGTCCATAGATAGAGACATAAGGAGCACACAGTCGTTATTCATTACTTTTTAGGTACCTCAGTACTATCCTCTATATCATCATAATCATCCTTCACATCTTCACCTTGACGTTTCATCATATCCTTAACAAACGCCTGGGAACTTAAAGAGAAGATATGATCATCTTCATTATAAGTTATCTTCCTTTTGTTTTGATTGGAGTTCTTTGAAAAATTTTCAAATCCTTTGATTATGTTCCCGTAGATTGATTCACCGAAATATTCATTCTCTTTATGGTAGATTTCATCTTCAAGTTTCAGAAGCTTCTCTTGAAGTTCGGTTTTCTTATTGATTTCTTTCACCAATTGTTGTTTTACTTCGTTGTATTCCTTCATGAGAAAGAGCGAGCGTGAGGGTAAAGATGTGGGTTGAGTTGAGAGTCCAAAGTTAGTTGCATAATGGATTCTGAGTAACACAATGAGTAATAGGTATCAGCAAAAAGTCTCAGCAAGCTGTCGTCACTAATAGGTCATCACCACTTCCAGATGATTCAAATGACTCAATGATGTTTGTTACTCACCATCCACACTACAACCACACTATGGACTAACGGATATACTTACCCGGATTAAATCATTTACCCACCTACCCGTGTCGTGGCGACACGCGACATGGAATAGAACTCCGAAATACCATGTTCCTTAGATAACTCAATTAGATTTTCAGTTACCTATATCACCACATTGACCTCTCACTCCCATTAACACGTATGGTGACGACATGCGGTAAAATGGACGTCCTCTGGCAAAAAGTCTGATGATGATAATCATCAGATGAAATCGCATCAACTGACTTCGGATTTTTGTCTTCCTTAATATATAAACCCATAGAAATCTCACGAAAAAACCTCAGACAAAAATAATTAACAATGTCAATTTCCAAAGTATTTGCTAGATCAGTTTACGATTCCCGTGGTAACCCAACCGTTGAAGTCGATTTAACCACTTCAAAAGGTTTATTCAGAGCTATCGTTCCATCAGGTGCTTCAACTGGTATTCACGAAGCTTTAGAATTAAGAGATGGTGATAAATCAAAATGGTTAGGTAAAGGTGTCTTAAAAGCCGTTGCCAATGTCAATGATATCATTGCTCCAAAATTAGTTGAAGCTAACATTGATGTCACTGATCAAGAAAAAGTTGATGAATTCTTAAACTCATTAGATGGTACTCCAAACAAATCTAAATTAGGTGCCAATGCTATCTTAGGTGTTTCATTAGCTGCTGCTAAAGCCGGTGCTGCTGAAAAAAACGTTCCATTATATCAACATTTAGCTGATATCTCTGGTGCTAAACAAGATCCTTACGTTTTACCAGTTCCTTTCCAAAATGTCTTAAATGGTGGTTCTCACGCTGGTGGTGCTTTAGCTTTCCAAGAATTTATGATTGTTCCAACTGATGCTCCAACTTTCTCTGAAGGTTTAAGAATTGGTTCAGAAGTTTACCACAACTTGAAATCTTTAGCTAAAAAGAGATATGGTCAAAGTGCTGGTAACGTTGGTGACGAAGGTGGTGTTGCTCCAGATGTTAACTCCCCAAGAGAAGCTTTAGATTTAATCATGGATGCTATTAAACAAGCTGGTTACGAAGGTAAAGTTGGTATTGCTTTAGATGTTGCTTCATCTGAATTCTACAAAGATGGTTTCTATGATTTAGATTTCAAAAACCCAGAATCCGACAAATCTAAATGGCTAACTGGTGAACAATTAGCTTCATTATACGAAGAATTAATTGCTGAATACCCAATTGTTTCTATTGAAGATCCATTCGCTGAAGATGATTGGGATGCTTGGGTCCACTTCTTCTCAAAAGTTGGTGGTAAAGTCCAAATTGTTGGTGATGATTTAACTGTTACTAACCCATTAAGAATTAAAACCGCTATTGAAAAGAAAGCTGCTGATGCTTTATTATTAAAAGTTAACCAAATTGGTTCATTAACTGAATCAATCAAAGCTGCTAACGATTCTTACAAAGCTGGTTGGGGTGTTATGGTTTCCCACAGATCTGGTGAAACTGAAGATACCACTATTGCTGATTTATCAGTTGGTTTAAGAGCTGGTCAAATTAAAACCGGTGCTCCAGCTAGATCTGAAAGATTAGCTAAATTAAATCAAATCTTAAGAATTGAAGAAGAATTAGGTGATAAAGCTGTTTACGCCGGTAAAAACTTCCACATTGCTTCAACTTTATAGATTTCAAGTGAAATATAAAATATAGTCTTTTTATTTAAAAGTATTTAATGCTGACTCTAATAATTTACAAACGATTTCTACTTGTTCAGGAGTGTTATACAATGGAACTGGTGCCAATCTAATAACATTTGGACGTCTTTCATCACAAATAACTCCATGGTCTCTAAGATAATTGAAAACGTTTTCCATTAAATCATCACTGAAAAGTAATGACAATTGACATCCTCTTTGAGAACTATCTAAAGGTGTAAGAATTTTGAACCCATATTTAAGTGATTGATCTTGTGGAAAATAAAATTCACTCTTGATAAGTAAAGATTCCATTAAATCTGTCATATAAACAGATTTTTCTCTTAAATTTTTGAAATCAACTTTGTGGAATACTTCAAGGGATGATTTTAATGCTACAACGTCCAACACAGAAGGATTGGATTGTCTATAAGATAAAGCAGATTGTAAAGGATCAAAGATTTCCAACATTTTGAATCTATCACCACTATTATTCCCCCACCATCCTGCAAGTCTAGGAGGATAATTCTCTTTAGTATTCTGTTGAGTATGTTTTTCATGAACAAATATCCCAGCAATGGCTCCTGGTCCAGAATTCATGTACTTATAGTTACACCACACAGCAAAATCAACATTATCATCATGTAAAGATAATGGTACATTTCCTACCGCATGAGCTAAATCCCATCCTACAGTTATATCATATTGTTTAGCATGATTGGTGATGGTTTTAATATCAAAGAACTGTCCGGTATAATATTGAATACCTGGTAAACATACCATTGCTAATTCATCTTTATGTTCGGTAATTTTATCTAAAATATCTTGAGTCTTTAAGTAAGTAGTAGTTGAAGGTGATAACTGTATTAAATGATCTTTATCATAACCTCTGAGTTGAACCAAGTTAAGTAAAGCATAATAGTCTGAAGGGAAAGCTTGCTTTTCAAAGAGGATCTTGGTTTTAGTTCCTTTTGGTTGATAAAAACTTACTAACAAACTATTCAAGTTCATAGTTAAAGTCCCCATTACAGCAATTTCCTTATCATTGGCCCCAATCAAAGGTTTGAAAAGTGGTACTAAAGGTAAGTCAATATCTACCCAATCGGTAGCTGTAGGATGATTAAAATGAGCTTCTACACCTCTTTGACTCCAAGCTTGAAGTTCTTGATTTATGGCGTGAGGTGTAGATTTAGGCATTAATCCAAGGGAATTTCCACAAAAATAAATCACTGGTTTATCTTCATCATTGTCTTTGTTGCCTTCTTTAGCGTCAATCCCGAGACTTTTAAAAGTTGGGATTTGGAATAGTTCACTATAATCTTCAAATTGTTGGTGATACATCGCGGAAGATAATGATTCACTCAGTGTTGATATGTATGTTATAGTCAGACGATCCAAACATGTTCCCTCATGAACATCCACGGAACGGTGTATACCAGTAATTTATATCTAATGATACTAACCTGTAGTCAATCAAGATGGTCTACCTAGACTAATGAAGTTTTATACTCCAGTAGATATTCCAACACAAAGGTTATTGTTACAACAAGTATATCAATTGATCAGACCCAGGACGTATCAAGAATGTTCTTTCATCACACCACCTTCATTATTGGCTGACTTGGAAGAGATCCAGGTAATTTACCGTCATTATGCCACATTATATTTTGTATTTATCGTTGACGACCAAGAGAGTGAATTAGGGATCTTGGATTTGATCCAGGTATTTGTAGAATGTTTGGATAAATGTTTCACCAATGTATCTGAATTGGACTTGGTTTTTGGATGGCAAGTCTTGCAAACGGTATTGGAAGAAATAGTCCAAGGAGGAATGGTCATTGATACGAATATAAATAGAATAGTTGCTGCTGTGGACGATGCCAATAGTCAGAAAGATCAGGTTGGGTTTTTCGATAGGTTGAGGAGGTAGTCCCAGATGATCTTGAAGAGCTAAGAGAATTGAGAGAGGCCCCGAAAGATCCCAAGAGAACCCTAGACAGATTGGGACTCTCAAAGATTGAGACCTTCAAAGAAATAGACCTTTACAAAAGACACACAGAGAGAGAGACTTCTCCATCATTACGGTTTAATAAATAACTATGTACACTACCACCATGAAGATTTTTTCTTCAACAATTCTTTTGCTTCCTGTAATTCCTTTTCACTCTTTTCAATTTGTTCTTGTTGATATTTCAAACCTTTTTCCTTTTCAAATTCCTGGAAGTTAACCAACTTAGGATCCATGCTTCTAGTATCTTTTTCAAAAGGACTACCAATCTTTCCTGTTTTCCAAATAGGATCATTTGAAGCAGTGGTTTGCTTAACTAATTCCATCAATTCTTTCTGTTCTTGCTGTCTTAAAGCTCTATTCTTTTCATATTCAGCTCTGATCTCGGGAGAAAACCTGGAAATCAATTCTTCATCTGTTGGAGTAGTATATTTGAATAAAACAACACCTGTAGCTATAATACCAGACCCATAAAGGAGTCCTCTTAAATAAGCTCTAGCTACTAAAGGATCCATCAGTGCGAATTTTTCACTCTACAATAGGAGATTTAAGTGCTTAGAAAGTGTAGTGGAGGTGGTGCGAGATAGAAGTCTTCTCATACACAAATAATGAGAGTGGTTGTAGAGTATACACGGTTTTATCGAAAATTATAATTATCTCATTAGGTATTGGCGGAAATGAGAAAAAGGTGATGTCTCACGTAAACTGGGCTCATTTCGTGATATATCCTCTATAACCTATTATCACCAGAACCCCATAATGATCATCTATATTGACCCCATAACTATACCATTACCTCAATATCCTTGCTATGACCATAACTCTGGGGTATCCCACCCCTCATGCCACTACCTCTTAGTCTCAAATCGAGGCTGCGCGTATACGAATTAAACGATCCATTAACTTTCATATTCATTCCAAAAATATTCAACTATTTAAACAAAATGGACAAGAGAAACGGTAAAAGGAAGTTCCATTCCAAGAGTAGGAATGGATGTTCTACCTGTAAGAAAAGAAGAGTCAAATGTGATGAAAACAGACCTATTTGTAACAAATGTAATAATTTGAACTTAGTATGTGGTTATACCATTGATGGTAATAATGGTCAAGGTGATGACCATAACAACAATGATCTCAGTGGTAATAAAAGTGCAGATAATGATTCCAACAGTGATTCCAGTGAACCGCCAACTAAGAAACGATCGGTTAAGATTGAAGAAAAAGCTGATTTGGGTAAGATCAATTCCCTTCTAAACGCTGGCAATCTTAATAACATCAATTTAAGTCATCTAGTTAATAGTTTGACAGAATTGGGAGGTGATTTGTCTTCATTGGGAAATTTAGCTAGTTTAACGAATTTGGCTACTTTGGCTCAATTACCTATAGATATCAGTAACCTTGGAACTTTGATTGATTCCCAGATGTTCGTAGGAGATAAAGATAATGGTAGTGTTCCACCACCAGGGGAATCTATCCCTCCTGCAGGTGGAGAAAGTACTGGAGGACCTAGTCTTTCAGCTAACATCCCCAATGCTTTCGATCCAGGGTTAGGAAGTTCTAACCTTAATATGTTAGATCTTAGATTGATGTTCCATTACACTTCAATTGTAGCATCCACAATAACAGGAGCAGGTATTAGTGATACCAATATTTGGAATTATGATATTCCCATGTTAGCTTTTGATCATCCTTTCTTGATGCATTCTATTTTAGCATTTAGTGCTACCCATTTATCAAGAACCGAAAAGGGATTGGATCAATGTGTAACATATCATCGTGGAGATGCCCTCAGATTACTAAGAGAAGCGGTGTTGAACATTAATAGTGATAACACCGATGCGCTAGTAGCCAGTGCTTTGATACTTATTATGGATTCTTTAGCTAATGCTTCGCTACCTTCATCAACATCACCCAAATCCTTACCAGCATCAGCATGGATCTTCCATGTCAAAGGGGCTGCCACTATATTAACTGCAGTATGGCCATTGACTGAAACTTCAAGATTTTATAAATTCATATCGGTTGATTTAGGTGATTTAGGAGATATTATCAATCGTCGAATCAACCTCAACAATGATTCTTTGAACGATGATGGCAATTCTAAATTCCTTACAGATTTAGAATGTCATGATAATGATATAGCGGATTTATTCCCTGTAGCTATTGATTCACCTTATTTAATCACTTTAGCATATTTAAATAAACTTCACAAAGAAAGATATAAATCCGATTTCATTTTAAGAATCTTTGCATTCCCAGCATTATTGGATAAATCATTCTTATCGCTATTGATGAACGGAGATATCAAATCTATGAGAATCATGAGATCTTATTACAAGTTACTTCGATCATTTACTTCAGAGATGAAAGATAAAGTATGGTTCTTAGAAGGAGTGGCCAACATTCTTCCTGTGGATGTTGAAGAATATGCTGGAGGTGCTGGTGGTATGCACATGATGTTAGATTTCCTCGGAGGTGGACCTCTGATTGTCGACACAGAATTAGACGAGAAATTTGAAAGTAAATTGGCCGATACCGACAATTTACCCAGTGATATCACTAGCGAGTTGGACGTAATGCAAGCTGCCGATGCTTTCATGAATATGAAATGATTGTTCTACCATCTGTTAGTGAGATACCCTTTAATTGTACATACAATAATGAATATATGACGCGTTATATTTTTTTTTTCTCCTTTCTTCCCATCACCATTATCATTAACCTAAGATATTGCCTTATCGCTTATTATCCATCGCCATTGTCTTATCATGTTGGAAAACTATTCGGCCCCCTATTCTTAAAGTTATTACCCCTAAAGCCCATCAAATCAATCCGCCTATGTCGTGCCCTTACCACAAGGTTATCAAAATCAAAAGATTCTCAAAAAAAATTTTCAACCTTGTCCAGTTTTTAAGGATACACCGTAAACAGCTTATTAATTGACACATTAAAATCAATTGAATTAGTTTAAACTTCGTTCTAGAAAAATATCCACACATAGATAATAATCCACCCCCCCAAAAAGCTACGTGTTTATTCATTGCCCCGACTTTTCTGGAAAAAGAACGCATATAAACAAAAGATAAACTCATTTAGATAAAGGAACTTTTTTTTTTATACAAAGACTTAACGAATAAAAATGCAAACTATAAAATGTGTTGTTGTAGGAGATGGTGCTGTTGGTAAAACTTGTTTATTAATTAGTTATACCACATCAAAATTCCCAGCTGATTATGTACCAACAGTTTTTGATAATTATGCTGTTACAGTATTAATTGGAGATGAACCTTATACTTTAGGATTATTTGATACCGCCGGACAAGAAGATTATGATAGATTAAGACCATTAAGTTATCCATCAACTGATGTTTTCTTGGTTTGTTTCTCAGTTATTGCCCCTGCATCATTTGAAAATGTTAAAGAAAAATGGTTCCCTGAAGTTCATCATCATTGTCCTGGTGTACCATGTTTAATAATTGGTACTCAAAGTGATTTAAGAAATGATGAAGTTATTTTACAAAGATTACAAAGACAAAAATTATCTCCAATCTCTTATGAACAAGGAGAAAAATTAGCAAAAGAATTAAGAGCTGTTAAATATTTAGAATGTTCAGCTTTAACTCAAAGAGGTTTAAAAACTGTTTTTGACGAAGCTATTGTTGCAGCTTTAGAACCTCCTGTTATTAAAAAATCTAAAAAATGTAATATTTTATAGGCATGTTTACTTCTTGAATTGGATTAATATATGATAAAGCGATGAAACATTTTTTTACCGAAACAATTTAGGGCGTAACCTTTTACCAATCCTGCCGCCTCTTTGTCTCACCTGGTGCGGCCGTTACAATGCGGCCGTTATTGTGCATACGCAGCATCTGCCCCTCCGGATTTAATTAGCAATCAAATCGCACGGTAGATTAAGTGAAAAGTTACTGGAATGAAGGGAAGCTCTGATAGTGAACAAGAGTTATTTACTTCTACCAATACTTCAAACACTGAATTAGAAGGCAAACCTATGGAAAGTACTAGTGGGAGTTCTGTAGACTCCAATATTGAAGAAGTTTTCCCAATAGCAAGTAAGGCGAAGGGTCCTAACATGAAAAATGTTTCACATCAGATGGATGATGAAAAACCCCAAATTCTTGATGGTTTGATGGAACAGAACGATGGAAGAGTTGGTTATGACTTCAAATTAGATAATTTTGATTCGTTTTTGAAAGATATTGATAGACCCTTTGATTTACCTACCAAAGAAGAATCTCGTCCCGATAAAGCCCATAATAAAGAACTATTCATTAATTTGCTTAAAGAAGAACATAATATAGATTTAACCCATAGATTAACATCATCGTTCCTTATGAAATCCATGATTTATTATGGTACTGACACCGTTAGTGGGAAGAATTATGTGGTCAAACTTGGTTATGATCTCAAAGATACAAAATTTTCACATTCTATGATAAATGAATGGTATGTGCTATCAGGGAAGAATAGTTTCAGAACATCAGCCATCAATAAGATTTCTGATGATCATTTCAAAACTCCTCGGACTTTACCTCTCAATGTTAAAGGTATCGGATATCCACTTAAAGTGTTAAATCTTCAAAATGGAGATTCCAAAAGAGCTGCTCTTATTTATGATAATACCAAAGATTATATAACTATCCGGAAATATTATAATTTGGATAGTCCGAAAGTGTTTACTGATATGGATTCAGCTCCAAGTATAAATTCCAATGGTTCTTTCACCAATAACATGAACAATTTCCCTTCACTGTTTGAACCATTATCCAACACTTCTATGAAGTTCACCCGGAATCCCATTGAAACCATCTCCATTTTGAATGATATGATATCAACGTTGAAAACCCTTTCGGTGATTCATGATTATGGATTTGTACAGAATTTTTTGACCACCGCTAATATTCTTAAATCCACCAAAATTCCTGACGATGTTTTGATTGCAGGATTTGAACATAGTTTCGCTGTACAGAGAGAGGATTGTACCAGTCTGCATCGAAGGTCAATGGCAACGGATTTTCCCGAAAACTTTACCTTCATGTCACCAGAATCTTTAAGTGATTCAGGAAAAGGCTCCGACTTCCAATCTGATTTCTATTCATTTGGAGTGGTATTATATGAATTATTCGTAGGGAAAGTTCCATTTTCTCATGATAATCCAGCCAAATTGATCAAAATGCATTTGAATCATAAACCTATTCAACCCATACTTCTAGCCAATATATCCCAAGACTTGAATGATATCATCATGAAATTACTCGAAAAAGATCCCCTTGCAAGATACTCCAACTGTGAGACTTTGATCAATGATTTGATAGATGTGAAGAATCAATACTTGGATGATTTGAATTTATTGAGCCTCCCTCACCTTAATCATGAATATCCTAGTTTTGATACCACGAAGATTTTGGTAAGGTCAGAAACTTACGAATCACCATTTTCTGATATTGACTCAGCAAGACCCATACTATTTCCTCTGAAGGTTTATGGGAGATCTGAAGAGTATAAGAAGATTATCGATACATATAACAATATGGGTATTGGGTTGAGTTCTGTGCTTATTCATGGATATCCTGGTTCAGGTAAGACAACGTTATTCCATGATCTCATGGAAGTAGTAAGTGGAAAAGGAGAATTCTATTGTTACTTCAAATATAATATGTTCAATGGAACTGGAGGTATTTATCATTCATTCATCAATGGCTTAAGGTCAATATTACGTCAAATTCTTGATTCCTCAAGAGAAGTCATCGAAAAATGGAGACATTATATGATATCCAATATTCCTATAGATTTGAATGTTTTACTTGATTTAATGCCAGAATTTAGTGCTTTGTTAGGTTCAAAATATTCCACTATCATCAAATCACCTCCTGCTAGGAACAAAGATAACCATCCTCAACAGAAAAACTCCGCCAATGGTGAAGATACATTTGATCTTGAATTGAGAGTAAGGTACTTGATCAAATCATTATATGGGTTATTCGCTATCAATGGTTTAACAGTATTCTTAGATGATGTTCAATTTGCTACTATTGGTGAGTGGAGAATGTATGCCGAAATCCTAGATTTCCTTGATTCTGGCGATGTTAAAGGTAATCATAGTTTCAAATTATTTTTAACGTTTGAAAATTGTGATAACATCGTGGTACCAATTGATGATGTCAAAAAGTATTTGGGCCGTTATAATGGGCTTATGGAAACTTTCGAGCTTGGTCCTATAGGTTTTGAAAGTTTTTCCGAGTTTTGGAAGCAATGTACTGTTTACAGGGATGAATCTATAATTAGGAATAAGAAGAAGGCACCAACGAGTTTTGATTCTATGGCACCTGATCCATTAGAGAAAGAAGATGATGGGTTCGTTGATGAGCATTTCATATCTTTCACTCGTGAGTTATATGATTCATGTAAGGGTAACGTGTTGGTATGTGAAACAGGTATTTCCCATTTATATTGGAATGATAAGGCCCACTATCAACCATCTAGAGGACTCATAGAAGGAAGCTGGATGTTTGATGAGGTAGTAGATACTAAAGATTGTTCACCGATCGATAGAGTGATGATTCCCATAAAAAAGAAACTCCATGGATTACCTAACGAATGTAAAGAGCTTTTGAAGTTGGTCAGTGTTCTTGCTAACTCTGATTTCAATTTATATGAATTACAAGTCGTCTCCGGACTTGAAATGAAAGAGATATTCAGTTTATTGACTGTGTGCATTAATTATAGAATCGTTACCCCTACCAGTGTTTCATATAAGTTCCCATTCCATTTAACTAACCCAGCTAGTCAATCTCCTGACCTTGATGATTTCCCTATTGATATTCCTCTGGAAATAATTATGGAATTATGCAAGGACACGACCTTCAGTTTTTATCATGATAGTATAAGGAGGTGTATTTATAATGAATTGATTCAAAAGGAAGAATTGAGTAAGATCAATTTCACTATAGCGATGAATTACCATCGTGCTTTTCTTAGAGGTCAATTGTCTAATGACAATATCTCCAAATATTTATTAATGGGAAAACATTTCAGTCAAGCCATTGACCCCAATTTTGGTCCCGGATTGGTTCCTCAAGTACTAGAACTTTCTGAAGATGAGATAAGAGCAATCTATTTGAACGTGTTCATAGAGTCAGGAAAGAATGCTTTGGTGACATATAATTTTGAAGATTCGGTGAATTTTTTTAATGATGCCTTAAAGTTCATCCCCAAACTCGATACCACCCTTCGTTTGAAGAATCTTATAACCATTGCTCAATTATATTTCTCTTTAGATGATCACAAGAAATGTTTGAGTGTCATCAACAGCATCCAACAAGAGTATCAATATAATGACTTGGTATTTTTGAACACAAAGATCCATTGTTTGATCAGTTTAAGGAAATACCAAGAGACTATCGATGTAGCCATCAAAGGATTGAAACTTTTGAATATCGAAATATCCTTGGATGAAGAAGAATGTAATGAAATCTCCCTTAAGTACCTGAATCAATTACCATTGACTATACTGGAAATTAGAGATTTGAAAAATCTTTCCAGAACTACTAATAGTGATATCACTAATGTGTACGAAATGATCAGTGACTTGATCCAACCAACTTATAATGGTACCCAGCTTTACCTTAAGGATGCTTTGGCGTATCAATTGGTATCATTGATGCGTAAATATGGAACTTCAGGTCATTGTGCCATTCCATTGATTCATATTGCCAATAACAAGGCTAAAACTGGTGATAGATCGAAATTCTTACGTGCTGTTGAATATGTTAAAGTAGCTATGGATTTGTTGGAATCTGATGAATCTATAACTTATAGTTATATTCAATCAGTGTATGAATTGTATTTATCAACTATGGCATGTTTCATTGAACCAGTGAATATGCTATTGAAATATTCAGAGATCTTCTTATCATCCACCAGAAACTTTTTCAAGACCAATGCTGGTTTAAGAGATATGATCACGGGATTTTCAAGGGTCCATTTAATGTATTTCTGTGGACAATCATTCTATGAAATTGCCAAATCCCTAAGTAAACAAGAGCATGATTATTATATGGTTATCAATGAAGAGTTCAGAGACCTTCAAGCTTTGGGGATCAAAATGTATAAAGGTTTAGCTACCATCGAAGAGTATAATACATTGATTGAAGCCGAGCCTAGATCTATTGATTACTTATACGTAGCCAACTTGATAAAAGTGGGCCATTCCATGGATATTGAAAGATATGATGATTGTATGGATATTATATTGAACAGAATGGAACATTTCAATGAATTCATTCCTAATACCATAACTCATCCCGAATATTATTTTTGTGTAGCTGTCTGTATTGGTAGCTTCCATAAACTAAACAAGAAGTTTGATAGGGAAGTAATTATCTCACTTAGAGATAAAGTCAAGAACTTCTTCAATCTTTGGGCTGAAGTTTGTCCTATCAACTTTAAGTGTAAGTTTTTGTTAACCAAGGTGTTGATGGATTTTGATGAAGAAATTCCTTCCATGAGTAAATTGGATATGTTCGAAGAAGCGATTGAGCATGCAAAAAGATATGGTCATTGGTATGGTGTTGCTTGGGGGTATGAGAGATGTGCCAATTGGTTGATGGAAATTAACAGTAATAGTAGAAGAATACCTCATTTTGCTAAGAATGCCATTTATTATGGTAAGGTTTTAGGTATGACTGTCAGAAACTCATTCATTGAAAAGAAGTACGCTGAATATCTCAAGAAGTATAACTGGGCAGGGATTGATGATTTCGATGATCATGAAAACCTCAATAGTAATGATACTTTGGAAAGTATGATTGATTTGTCTGCTTTCAAGGGTGAAGCTGAAAATGGCGATATGAAGGATTTTATTAAGAAGTTTGAAAAGGATAAAGCTGCTTTCAAATTTGATATCAATTGTTTTGCTAAATCTCCAACTCCTATTTATAAGAAACTCAATAATTTCTTTGCTAGGGATATCAAGTATTTCCCTGCACCAATGGAAGTGAAAAGTAAGGAACAAGAACTCAAGGTTAAGCTTAGTGAGGAGTTTGAGTATGAGAATGATGATATTGATTTGAATCAAGCGGTCAAATCTTGTTTGGCTATATCTGAAAGTTCTACTAATGAAATAATTTTGATCAGATTACTTCAAAGTTGTATAAGATTTTCTGAAGTAGATTATGGAGTGGTGGTGATTATCGAAGATGATGATGAACCGTTTATTCAAGCCATTGGATCTCCAAGTAATATCTATAACTTATACAACGAGCCTTTAAGTTCTCGGTCTGATTTGTGCCCCAGATCAGTTGTGAACTATGTGATTCAAACAGAAGAGATTTTGAATAGAGATGAAGATGAATTGTTCTTCCAGAATCGTTTCAGTGAAGATGAATATTATAGTAATAACAATTGCTATTCAATGATCTGTATTCCATTAAAGAATAACAATGGCAAAACCTCAGGGGCTTTATACTTGGAAAGTCAAAAAAGGAAAAGTGTCACTAAAATCAATCCTATGAAATCGTTCTTTAACAGTAAGAAGAGAGACTTGATCAATTTATTATGTTGTCAAGCAACTGTATCATTAACTAAAATCGATTTGTATTCTCAAATGGAGAATGCTAAACGTATAGCTGAAGATGCTACTGCTGAGAAAGCTAGTTTCCTTGCTAATATGTCTCATGAAATAAGAACTCCTTTCAATTCTTTGTTGTCATGTTCGATTTTCTTACTCGATACCGACTTGGATAAAACCCAAAGAGAATATGTTGAAACAATCAGAAACAGTTCAATGGTGACGTTGAATATCATTGATGGGATTTTGGCTTTCTCAAAGATTGAACATGGTTCCTTCACTTTGGCCAATGAACCATTTTCTCTTATTGATTCAGTTGAAAATGCTATTCAACTTGTTGGTGAGCAAGCAATTATCAACAATTTAGAGTTGGTGTTCTTCAATAGATGTCCTAAGATTAAACACATTTTTGGTGACGAAACAAGGTTCAGACAGATTATCATCAATCTTGTAGGAAATGCTGTGAAATTTACCAATGAAGGTCACATCATAGTTGAAGTCTCAGGAAAACCAATCATCGGTAATCGATTCGAAATTGCTATTAGTGTCAAAGATACAGGGATAGGTATTCCTAAGAATTCTACCAGTAAGGTATTTGGTGCCTTTTCACAAGTCGATTCATCATCTAGAAGAATCTATGGAGGTTCAGGTTTAGGTTTGGCTATTTCTAAGAAGTTGGCTGATCTTATGGGTGGTACTTTGACGTTCGACAGTATTGAAGGTAAGGGCTCAACATTTTACTTCGTTGTCAATGCCGAGGTTGAGTTGATACAGGAGCCAGAGATTAAGTACATAAGAGAGGTAAATAAGGAGACCGGAGACGAAGAACCATTATCAACTGTTATGGTAGACTACCATCAATTGACTAGTCAGAGTCTTAAGGAAAGTCTCAAGTGGTTTGGTTTTGATGTAGATATAGTGACTGAGGTAGATGATTTATCAGAATCCGCCGTGCAAGGATTGAAGTCAATATTCATACACATAGATTTATATGATGAATTCCTTGAAAAGTTCAAACCGGTAATTGGGAACAATGAAATCAAGGTTATACTAATTAGTCAATTTGGGAAATCTTTACCGAAAGAAATCGATGATAACAACATCTTCTCCATTTTACTTGTACCTTTTCAAAAACCCAAGATCATGGAATTGATAAGAAACCTTAATAATGTTGGAGGTAACGTTATTGAGTCCCAAGAGGAACCTAAGAATGATGAGTTATTTGCTGAAAAATACCCCTTGAAGATCTTAATAGCTGAAGATAATCTTATCAATTTGAGAGTTGCCTTACAGCATCTTAAGAAATTAGGATATCAAGCAGATCATGCTAAGGATGGTGTTGAGGTTATAAACAAATGTTTAGATAAGTTAAAAAATCAAGATTATTATGATGTGATATTAATGGATATCCAAATGCCTCGTAAAGATGGTATAACAGCTACCATTGAATTGAAAGATTTGTTCAACAACAATAATAAGCAATCTTACTTACCAGAAATCGTGGCCTTGACAGCCAATGTTGCTGGTGAAGATAGACAAAGATCATTAGATTGTGGAATGATAGATTTCGTGTCCAAACCAATCTTACCGGTGAATCTTATGACAGTATTGAAGAAAGTAGGACAACGTAGATTGGATGTACAGTAGTGTAAGATAATAATAACAATATATATATATAATTACATAAACAATATACTTTTCGAATCATGTTCTCAAGAACCAGAGTCAATGATTCCAATTTTTACTTTATAAACTATTTACCAAAATCTAAAGTTAAGTTAGTACCATGTTCTTTATTATACAAATCGACTCTTTCTAATTTCCATTGTTTTAAATCTTCTTGATGTTTCTTCTTATCTTCTTCAGAAGCTAAGTATTTAGATTTTTCTGAAGGTGGTAAATTCTTAAAAGCTGCTGATAAATCTTTAATGATTTCAGTTGATGGTCTACCGTCATAAACATAATTTTCTTTAACAAAAGCTGAAACCCCTGAAGCAATACCTTTTGGTTTAGGTTTATAGATTTGTAATTGTGCTTCATTATAATCATTAGCTTTTTCGTTATAAGATTCTTTTTCACCTTCAGTCAAATATGACCAGTTTTTAGAAGCTTCAGATAATGGCCCTTTACCTTGAGATATGAATTCTTTAACAAACACATTCATACCTGATAATCTACTATAACTTTTAAAGGCTTTATCTAATAATTTCTTATGTTTCAATTTATCCTTAGCAGTTTGTTCTTTCAACTTTTCTTTCTTCTTTTGAGTCTTTAATTTGGCTTCAACTTTAGCAATATCTTGTTTTATTTTCTTGTAGATTTCTTTCTCTTTCTTCAAAAGTTGTTTGTATTGAGTTTGAGTTTTGAGGGTAACGAGACTTGCTTGGAATTGAGTGACAGGTGAGGTACCAAAAGATCTAGCGAGTAATTGACCCGAGAAAGGTCTGAATAACATCGATTTAAACATGATTTCCCTTGAATTCAAAGTACAATTGATGTTTGTGATAGGTTATGTTTATTTTTGTGTGAGTGGTTTTTGCCTTAAGTCGCACACAGTCGTGGGAATACCGGGGTTTGCTGGTTGATTGATAATGTGATACGGAGAGACAGAGACAGTGATTGGTACTATAGAGGAGTTGAAAGTAACGTAATTGAATTTGGGAAGGGATTGGGAACATAATGATCTAATTTTTAGAGAAATATCACGTCATTTGGTCAAAATAATGATTTTTTGTATATACAAAGTTCAATTTCTAACCTTTTGCAATTCTGAAAACACTTCTAAGATCCTTATGACCATGAAATTCACGTTGTTATGTCACCAAATCATTATGACCGCTGCCATACCATCGAAACACCTTATCAAAACTCGCACACCTAAATTCTCAAATCCTCGTTGAATCGAAAATTTTTCATTAAAGATGTATTCTGCTGCCAAATCAGACACATTATTCTTAGGAGGAGAGAAGGTATCAGGGGATGATATCAGAAACCAGAATGTCTTGGCTGCCCAAAGTGTCGCCAATGTTGTTAAATCATCATTGGGTCCAGTAGGATTGGATAAAATGTTGGTTGATGATATTGGTGATGTTACTGTTACTAATGATGGAGCAACTATTGTTTCATTATTAGACGTTCAACATCCAGCAGGTAAGATTTTAGTTGAATTGGCTCAACAACAAGATAGAGAAGTCGGAGATGGTACCACATCAGTAGTAATAATTGCCAGTGAATTATTAAAAAGAGCTAATGATTTAGTCAAGAATAAAATCCATCCAACTACTATCATTAATGGTTATAGATTAGCATTGAAAGAATCCATACGTTATATCAATGAAGTTTTATCCATGCCAGTTGATAGTTTGGGTAAAGATACTTTAGTCAACATTGCCAAAACCTCAATGTCATCCAAAATCATTGGATCCGATTCAGAATTTTTCAGTAAAATGGTTGTTGATGCTATGTTAGCAGTTAAAACCATTAATAATAAAGGAGAAACCAAATATCCTGTTAAAGCTGTCAATATTTTAAAAGCTCATGGGAAATCTGCCAATGAAAGTATGTTAATCAATGGATATGCTTTAAATTGTACCGTTGCATCACAAGCTATGGTTAAATCCATAAAGAATGCTAAAATTGCAGTTCTTGATATCAATTTACAAAAGGCTAGAATGGCAATGGGAGTAGAAATTAATATTCAAGATCCTGATCAATTAGAAGAAATTAGAAAAAGAGAATTTGGTATTATAATTGAAAGAATTAGAAAGATTTTAAATAGTGGAGCTAATGTTATATTAACAACTAAAGGTATTGATGATTTATGTTTAAAAGAATTCATTGAAACAGGATCAATGGCTGTTAGACGTTGTAAAAAAGAAGATTTAAGAAGAATTGCCAGAGCAACTGGAGCCACTATGATTAGTGATTTAAGTAATTTAGAAGGAGAAGAAACTTTTGAAAGTAGTTATTTAGGTTACGCTGAAGAAGTTGTACAAACAAGAATTAGTGATGATGAATGTATTTTAATCAAAGGTACCAAACAACATTCATCAAGTTCAATAATCTTAAGAGGGGCTAATGAATATTCATTAGATGAAATGCAAAGATCAATCCATGATTCTTTAAGTGTTGTTAAAAGAACATTAGAAAGTGGATCGGTTGTTCCTGGTGGAGGATCAGTTGAAACTGCTTTAAATATCTTTTTAGAGAATTTTGCCACAACCGTAGGATCAAGAGAACAATTAGCAATTGCTGAATTTGGTAATGCATTATTAATTATTCCTAAAACGTTAGCAATTAATGCAGCTAAAGATTCATCTGATTTAATTTCCAAATTAAGAACTTATCATGCATCATCATTAACAGCACCACCATCTGATGTTAAACGTAAAAAATATAAAAATTATGGATTAGATTTAATTAATGGTAAAATTGTTAATGAATTAACTAATGGAGTTTTAGAACCAACGATTTCTAAAATCAAATCATTAAAATCAGCTTTAGAAGCTTGTATTGCTATTTTAAGAATTGATACTATGATAACTGTTCAACCTGATCCACCAAAGGAAGATGATCATGACCATTAAATTGTATATACCTTAAATAAATACTATACCGAATTTAACTCAAAATCGCAATCAATGTCGTATAAATCGATAGAGTGGGAAGAAAAAACCCCAAATGTCGGGAGGGTCAATGTGGTCCATGTCGTGCATAGTTTTTTTTTATCGTCAAGCATTGCAGCCCTTCAACTCTTTTTTATCGGGATTTTTCCCAATTGATTTATTCCTTATTGGGATAAGATCAACTATATTGTGACTAAGTTTGTTACTAAAACAAGATTGAAAAATTTTAATAGAGTTCATTTGATAATAGTTAAATTGTCTTTTATTAAAAATCCTACCCAAACCTAAAAATACACGAAATAAAACGAATGATTTTAAAAAAAACTTCAAGCTGATAATTTATGTAGTAAATTTTTTTTATAAGTTATATTGATTGGAAGTTTATAATCTGAATTATTAGTAGAATTTGAACTTATAGAATTATTTGAATTTGATGATCTTAAAGAATTTGGTGAACTAATTGAACTAATGGAACTATTTGAATAACTTCTTTTATTTGGTTGGGTATAAATATAATTTGAATTTAATGATAAATTTGAATAATTTGAAGATGTTGATGAACTATTTGATTGTAATGAATAATTTGATAAATTAGCCACACTATTTCTATAGTAATTAATCTTCTTATTATTTTCAATTGATAATTTCTTTGATAATTTGGATTTAATTGGTATTAAGAAAGGTTGTAAGGCAATTATTAAATCTTCTTCATAAATATTAACATTCCAATTTAATAAATTGATTAATTCTCTTTCGGCCATATTAACTTCATCAATATTTAATAAACCATCAGTATATTTAGTCCAATGTTTATTTAATGGAGATGAATCATTTAATGATTTAGCACTTAAAATTAATGCCGATAAAAAAATTCTGTGTCTTGTAGTTTCCATACCAATAGCGTTAGCAGGTAATAAATTTCTTAATTTGTTAAGATAAATTAATGTAGCCATTAAAGTTGGAGTTTGAACATTAGAATATCTAATTAAATTCTTTATGAAACTTAATAAACTAATATTATTCTTACCAAGTGGTCTTATATTATTAGTAACTTGATTTTTAGATGGTTTAATTTGAATTATAGCACTTGTAGTTGAAACCAAATAATTAATCATATCATTATTAACAGGTTGTCTGGAAAATATCTTTAATGCTTCTCTATCGGACATAATGAAAGTGTTGTTAGATTTAATGTATAAAATGAAAGAAAGACCAGCTTTGAATTTTTCAAGGGAATGGGAAATTATTTATATTGTCAGGATTTTAAGGTGTAAAAACACGTAAAATTCTCAAGGGTTAAGGTTATTTTTCAGGATTGTAACCCTTAAACTTATTAAAAATCAGGATAATCTCAATAGGTAAATCCCGCTTACCTACTACCTAACAATATTGGTAGTGAATTAACTTTTCACCTAATTTAGTTATACATTATCCTCTTTAAGAACCTAACCCTTTTATTCATTATTATCCGATTTTTTTTTATTGTTAGACGAGTTCAGGATTTTTTCCTTTTCGCGTTTATTCACACGATTTTAAGGAGTCGTCAAACCCTGTCGTGTTGGAACAGATTCAGTTGACAACGATGAGTTGGGAAGGTGAAACTATGGTTGATGTGACAATCATCATAGAGGGTTAATAAGGAGGTTAAAATAGTCATTGAGTAGTAATTTACATCAGAATTTATTCAAATCCTTTCTCGGTATTGGTAGTGGACCAAAAAGAAAAAAATTCATCAACCTTTCAGGAGGTGAGCACCTCACACCCCTTAAAACTCCTATTTTCTCCTTTCCCGTTCTTTGATGTTCGCTGAGTCCCTTTAAACCTGTGTTGAATTTTATTCCTATTTGGGACACTCGCTTACATACTATGAAATAACTTACATTACTTCAATACCAGTGGGAGCCCGTTTATTAACTTTCTAGAGGCGAGGTGTTAATCTATTGTAATATTATAATAAATGAAATAGTTATAGATGTAGATAATGTCAACAACAGAGCTTACCGAGGAAAATACATTGAAATTTCTAACTGATTTGTGTATCAGGATAATAGAAAAAGGCAATGGCGACAATAATATATGTCGATAATAACATAGCACCTTCTAACCAATTGGATTCTCCATCTAAGATTACTAAATTACTAATAAACATTGATACAAATAAAATGGCGGTTTCAAAAGTTGAAAAATAAAGAGTCATTGGAATATCAATAGCCCATCCAACTAAAACCATAAATGGTGTAACGAATAAAGCAATTTGTAATGATGAACCAACTGCAACTCCAATAGCTAAATCCATTTTATCTTTCATGGCTACAATGATAGCAGTTACATGTTCAGCAGCATTACCAACAATTGGAATTACAATTAATCCAATGAAAGTCTTTGATAATCCTGAACTCTCAACAATATCATCAATACTACCAACTAAATAATCTGCACAGAATGAAACTAAAATAGTTGAAACAACTAAAACAATTAATGATTCAGGAATATTTAATCCTTCTTCACCATTTGGTTTAGATGAAGCTTCTGGTAATGAAGTAATGATTTGTTCATTTGTCTCTTGTTGTTCTTCAAATAATGCTTTATGAGTCTTTAATTGGAAAACCAAATATAAGATATAAACTGCCAATAAGATGATTGAAACTCCTCTAGATAATGAAATAATTAAATCATCAGATGATCCAGGAACTGGGAATCCTTCTTTATTCTTTGGTAAAGGTAAAGTTGAATGGAAAGCAGCAGGAATTAATAATCCTGAAGTTGCTAATGCCATTAATGAACTCATAGTTTGAGCTACTGTTTGATTAAAAGTTTGTTGAACTCTTGTAATACCTCCAGCTACGAAACAACACCCTAAAACCAATAATAAATTGGAAAGAATTGACCCCAACATACTTGCTTGAACAATTCTAATTTGATTATCTTTCAAGGCAATAATTGAAACGATCAATTCAACGGCATTTCCAAAGGTAGCATTCAATAAACCACCGATAGTTTGTCCAACATGTTCACTCAATTCTTCTGTAGCATAAGCCAAAATGGAGGCTAATGGGACGATAGCTAAAAAGTTAATCCAAAAAATGGAGTTACTCGACCATTCAAAAAATCCGGCAATTAACCCAAGGGGGACGAAAATTAATAAATAATTAACTGGAGATGATTTTAAAGTACTCATAAAAACTCTTTGTACAGAGTTTTTGGTATTACCAAGTAATGGTGTGGAGTCATTAACGTTCATTCTGGTGTATACTGTCAATCTTATTTCAGAAAGCTGGCGTGCGCATAGCCTGCCTGGTCAAGCGGCTGAGATGAGGACACGCGACACTGTGAGTGAATGCTGCAATGTGCGACATCAGACGACATAGGGCTTAACGAAAAAAAAAAAGTTATATAAATTATCTAAATAATTCATGATATAAATAAGGTACAAATACCTTAACAGCAATTATGAATGTATAAATCATTTCCCATAAAGCTACAGGGAATCCTATGACACCATGAGCGGCAAAATTCAAATAAATAGCATAAAAGGCCACTGAGAAGAAATGACTAAATAAAAGCATTGGAAATGGTAACATCCCACTTAATAATCCAATTGGTCCTGTAATACAATCACCACCTCTCATAAAATATTGGAAACATCCGTTTTGTAAGATTTTCAATGGTGTGGATTCAGCAGCGAAAAGAGAATATAATGCCATTGATAAAGTATTTATCACGGAACTCAATTTCTTTCTTTCATTATGGAATTTGGACAACTTCTTACTGATTTTAGGATAATCAGATAAATCTTCAATTTTAGAAGGATGTAAAAGTCTTGCTAAAAGTACAGCATCATTCAAACCAACAGTCATACCTCCACCAGTTAAAGGATGTCTCATATTTAATGAATCTCCTAATAATACCAATCCGGGTTTATTTCCTTGTTTTACGGCAGGTAAATATTGATTTGGCATAGGTTTGAACTTTCCAGCCTCCAAAGCTTGTTCAAAACTAGGAAGAATTGGTTTAGGTAAACATGGCAATACTTCTTCAGTTAAATATTTCTTAATATCCTTAGAATTAGGTAAGGTAGATGATCTATAAGCACATAACATTCTAGCTTCAGTACTGGAAGTTTGATATGCTAATACTGGGGCATGGTTACCTAATATGACGTGTCCAAATTTGTATAAAGGGAAATCACAATTATGTAAGTCTAACCCTACAAAGTAACTTTCAACTTTTGGAGGACTTGGATTAACTACTTTACGTAATTTTGAGAAGATCCCATCACATGCTATAACTAACTTAGAACTGATGGTTTTGGTAGTATCTTCTTGTCTTACTTTAACACCAGTAACAATATCATCTTCTTCAGTAAGTTCAAACACATTACCAGTTAAGCAAGTGATATTTTTTTCACTCTTGATTACTGCTCTTAAATTCATTAAGAAATCTCCATTATGGAAACTTACACCTCTGACCAAATCATCATCGTACCAAGCTTTGGCATCAATGTTCTTATCAGTAAGAACTTTATCATTATCATTAAAAACACAATCATTAACAGGTTTAATAGGACTAGCATTATAAGCTTCAGTTTTGGTGATATAATCTAATCTTAAAGATTGACCAAAATATTGGATCCAATAACCTTCACAAGGAATAGCATCGATGTTATTTATGGTTTGAGCTAATCCTAATTCCACTAAAGCTTTGACTCCTGAAGGTTGTAATAATTCTCCAACTATACGATCGGGTCTTTTCCAGTTTCTTTCAATAATACACACTTTTCTTCCCGCACGAGCCATAGCAGTAGCAATAGCAGGTCCAACTACTCCTGCTCCTACTACTACCACATCATAATCAAATTCTTTAGTCATTATTCCTTATTAAACCACAAATATTGTTAAAAGATGAGATTATTCACAACTTTTATACAGCGCGCAATCGCCTGATCTAAAAAAATCGTCAGATCTATACGATAACATTATCATATGATGAATAGAGGAAAGGCTCTAAAAGAGTTGATAGTATAAACGATCTAAGCGAGATGTTGTCTCATAAGTTGTTTAAGGGGTGGAGGCCGTGCATCTATATATTTTTTTTAATCTTCATCACTTTCTTCCTCAGCTTCTTTCAACCATACGATGAATTTCTCAGTTAATCCTCTTACATTGATTAACTTATCAGTTTCCACACTTTCTTCACTGTCCCACCATTTGAAGATCATTTCTTCTTCAATGATATCTAACTGATATAAGATTTGAATACTCCAGAATAAAAGGATTTGATTATAAGCTTTATCTAAATTGGAGGTAACGTTTTGAAGGGTGAAAAGTAAATCTATTTGATCGTTTAATTCAAAGATTTGACGTTTGAATAACATCCCCCAGGAATTGAATACTTTGATCAATGCATCTTTAGGTTCAAGAGTTTTGGTGGTAATAAAATGTAATACTCTTTTGATCAATGATTCAACTGTAGCTAATCTAACTTCATGATAAGTGACATTCATTGACATTCTCAAAGTGTTTAATTCTAATAATGCAGTATCAAGATCATGGTTGTTTTCAATGGATCTGGTGATAGTATCAATGGCTTCTTTATTGAAATCTTCTTCTTCATCTTCATCACTTAAAACTTCAAAATCGGTAGAAACAACCGAATTGGTGGAAAACCTTCTAGTCTTCTTTCTTCTCTTCTTTGTCACTGATTCAATTGAATCGTCAGATAAGTTAAGCATTCTGAAATTATGTCCAATTTTATGTAATGATTTTTCATCTTCATCGATTTCACTGTCACTTTCTACCTCACTTATGTAAACATGTCCCACCCCATTTTTGCCAACTAAATCTTCACTTTCTTTAATAGAGAATCCTTGTGATTGCTGGGTTTGTGAATCTTCTTCATCATCACTGAATTCGAAATCATTAACTCTTTCAATAGGTTTATCGATGATTCTAACGAAATTCAAAGTCTTATCACTAGCAACTTTAACATCGTATCCAAGAACACATTTATAGATTCTAGTGTTGGTACTTATTTGACAATTGTTAGCAATGATAGAATTTTCTATTACTGAGTCATCATCAATCTTGACATTGTCCCAAATATAACTATTGGATATTTTAACATTCTTGCCTATAACAACATTTCTTCCGATGGTTGATTTGATAATTGATGATCCTTCATCGATTTTAGAATTGGATCCAATACAAACACAGTCTCCAATCTTACAAGATTGCGCCAATAAGATTTTATCTTCTTTATAAATATGGTTAGTTTCATAACTATAGGACGTTAAATTGAAATTTGAATCCGGAACCATTGGATATGACCATCTACTCAAGATATCTTGGGATATAGCATCATAATTTTGGAAAGATGATACTCTGGAGGCATATTCATTGGTGATATAAGCATAGATGGTTTTCTTGACTAAATCTGAGGTTAAAACCCCTTTGACGAAATCTGATCTTAATAATTGATAATCGAAGTTATCTTGGAAAATTTGGGGTACTAAAGGTGAACAAATATCGATATGACAATCAATTAAATCATTTCTAACTAAAATTTCATCATCAATATCTTCTAATAATTCTAAATCCAAGTTGATAGACGTTTGGGGTAAATTCGATGAAGGTATACTTTGATAATAAATACATTTGTTAGTTGGTTTATCCAATAAAAACACTGCACTATCGATTTGAGTTCTTGTTCTATGATAAGGTGAAGCATTGGTAAGACACATAGTTAAAATATGTTCTTTATCATTAGCTTTATTGAATTTGTGGAACTCTAAAGCTTTTTCAAAGTTAATGTTACTGACAATATCACCACTGATTAATAAGAAATCACCAGTAATTAATCCTCTATTATCTAAATCTCTCATAGTATCACCAACAGATTTGGATTCTAATGATAAAATCGTCGTCACAGTGAATGGACTATCAACATCGTCAGATTGCCACTTGGAATTCTTAATGTATTGCTGGATTTGATCAGCATGGGATGAACACATTATATACACTTCATTTACGCCCGCTTTAGCTAAAAATTCCAAAGTATATTCAATTAAAGGAACATTGGCTAACGGTAAAAGACATCTGGGGGTCTTGGAGGTTAAAGGCATGAATCTGGTCATGAAGGAATCAGTAAGCACAATGGCTTGAAACCTTTCATCTTGATCTATCTCCTTCTTCTTCTTAGGTGCCATCTTTAAAATTTTTCGCACGCTTCACAGTGTATATGAGGGACAAGGGACAAGTAGTTTGGTATTGACCTGCGGGACTCTGAGTCATTGCCCAGTAGTGGTGTTGGTGGTGAGTGTGGTTTTGAATTGACTAATTGATGGGTTCTGCCCAGGACATTGACGAATTGACTCGAGGGCCCTTGGTGATCAAACCTCAGTATTTACTGAGATTTCAAATGTGATTGATCCCAGATCAAGAAGTATTAAGCACTAACTATTACTCATGTATTACTATTTACAAATCTATCATTAATTATCAGCTAAGTTTTGTGCTCTTTGGGCTTTGATCTTCTTCTCTAAAGCAATCTTTTGTTTAGCTTCAGCTTCCTTTTCTTGTAAGATCTTTTGCCATTCAGGAACAGCTTTTGGTTGTTTCTTTAAAATTTCAGCTTCTTTCATACTCAATAAAATGGTTCCTAATAATAAAATAATAGTGATCCCTTGAGCATACATTCTAGCTTGAACAGCCTTTTGTGTTACAGTCATGATTTTATCTCTGTTAACAATGACCCATGATCCATATAATGAACCAACCCAAGTACCAATAATAATCTTATACTTATGTTCATTCAATGAATGGAAGAATTTATCAGAAGTAGATAAATTATTCCAAACTCTATATTCTTCCATAATTTTATTATTTTCATATTCTGATGTATGTAATGATCTATCGAATTGAACCCCACCTTGATCAGCGAAAAATGCAGCCATAGAAATTGATGGCATAACGAATAAAGCAGTTTTAATTGAAGCATTGAATTGTCTAAATCTAACTGGTTGTCTATATTTTAAGTATCCGAACAATCCACAACTTATTAATGATCCATAGAATAACCCTTTAGCACCTTCACCAATGATATGATTCAAATGGGCATCTTTTTCTTCTTGATCTACGATTTTCATGGTTAATTAATCTTTTGGTTATAAGCAATTATATACTTTAAGATTGCAAACGATATTGGTGAGAATTTATACTTTCCTGCGAAAGGAATTTCTTTTTCCCAGCCTTACCGCATTTATCCTTTTAATGAAGTGTAATCCATAACCGCGATATTTAAGTCATGCTAAAAGGGTGAATGGCAGCCGTTGGTTGGTTCTCGTATAATTTATTCTGTGAGTTTCCCATTCGTTCCTAAATGTCACCGCGATATGATTTGGATTGGTCTTGATAATAAACTCCGACTTTTCCCGTAAATCGTATGTTTTTCATGTACCATTGGTAATCGGTATAAATATTTATAATCTTCGGACATAATCAATAAATGGACCAGTGGACTATATTGTGGGGGTATGTGGAAGGAATGTTATGTCATTCTATGGGATAAGCGGATTCTTACAAATGGTAAATCATCGGCCAAGTTTGTATCGTGTGACTTTACATGTGAATAATCATGTGACTAAGTAAGTTGAACTTTACATGTGAATGGTCATGTGACGAAGTAAGTTGATTTTTATGGTGCGACTCTGATGTCTCTTGTTTTTTTGAGAAATGAACTTCCACCACATATCTTCAGACATGGACCATTCCATGCCAGATCATTCAATGCCCGATCATTCTGATCACTCAATGCCTGCAATGTGTTCCATGAACATGCTTTTCACTTGGAACTATGAAAATACTTGTATTGTTTTCAAATGGTGGCATATCAGATCACTTGCCCTGTTCATAATGTCGTTCTTCCTAATCATCTTTATATCCATGGGATACGAATTTTTTAGATCAAAGATCACAAGATGGGAATCCAAACAATTACTTCAATTCAACAATGCCAATAGCGACTCCTCAGCGTTCAAACAATTCAAATTGAAGAAATCTATCCTTTATGGATTTCAAGTAGGGTATTCATTCATGTTAATGTTGGTATTTATGACCTATAATGGTTGGTTAATGTTGGCTGTGGTTTTTGGGGCTGCTTTAGGGAATAGAATTTGGGATAACTCATTCAATGGTATGAATTGTCATTAGATAAAGATATATAGTTACTATACATGTTGATGAATTTCTCTATAAAGAATTATGGCACAAACAGCTAAAGGAGTCATCAAACAAGTGGTAGTGATGAAAAAGCCTAACGTTTGGGTTTGTTCTCCTCTGGCCTGTTGATTTGATTTTTCAATCTCTTCTACTTTAGTTATCAATAGCTCATCATTTGATTGCTTGAAGTAATTAATTTTCTCATTCAAGTAATCTAGTTTATCCCTTAATTGGGTGAAGTTAATGAGGAGTTCGTAGTTGAGTTCTGTCATTTGCTGTTTCAATATCTCAATATTGAGTTGGGTCATCTGGTGAGTGTTAATAGATTTTTGGTTTGAAACAATTTCCCTTGAAAGGTCTGGTACTTCTGTTTCAGACTTTTTTATCGATTCACACTTTGTCCTTGAAGGTTTCTCGGGTGTCTGGGGACTCAAAGATGATGGTTCCTTCGGTGTTTCTGGTGGTGTACTCAAACCCTTTGAGTTGACTTGAGTACCCTTTGATTTGACCTTGATTGACACCAGCTTCGATTTTGGTGTACCAATATTCTTAATATTATACTGATTGCCGGATCTGATTGCTTTTGTAAACCTACTCAAACTTGTGTCTTCCATGTCCTTCAATTGGAATCGTGGATCTTTTTATATTGCGGCGTAAATGTGAAACAAATCTGAAACACTCCTCAAAATCAACACTTCTTTCAACATCGCCGATCTTGAACAGTACGCTTATTTTTCATCTTTCATGACCCTTCTGTTCTCCGACAATTGACCAGATTTGACTATTCAAAATCAAAATCGGCTTGTTAGTTGCTCGTAGAACCCTGCTCGTATATTTAACGACCTCTAAAATTCCTAAAAAGCTAGCTTTCATCTCTCAAAATCACCATAATTGCCAACATACCATTCCTAGCCATACACACATACCATCACAAGTTCATCATCTCCAAAAAGAATTTTCAATTCCCCTCTGTTCTGATGGTTATGTGATTTTTTAAGATCACCAAAAACTCGCACAATGCAATACGTTGGTAAAGTAGGTGGATACGTTTTCAATCAGTGGCAATCGTTGAACCCGGCCACATTGTCGGGAGCAATTGATATAATTGTCATTGAACAACCTGATGGAACTTACCATTGTTCACCATTTCATATTAGATTTGGTAAATTTCAAATTATCAAACCACTGCAAAAGAAGATAGATTTTTATGTGAATAATATCAAAACTGACTTACCAATGAAGCTTGGAGATGGTGGGGAGGCATTCTTCGTTTTAGAAACCACTGACAATGATTTGGTTAGTAAAAGTAATGTCACATCACCGGTTATTTCTCCCGTGTCTTCACCCGAGGCATCTCCTTCATTATCACCTCCCACGTTAGATTTGAACGTTGATGATTTAGATTTGAATGAAACAGGTGTACAGTCTGATTTGAAATCAGAAGGTTCGGGTATTGAAAGGAAGGGAAGTATCAAGGAAACCAAAAAAGCTCCAACATCTAATGATAGTATGATCGATGATATTGAAAGCAAAATCAAATTGTCTGATATCCCTTCACCAAACATGTCACCAAAATCTGGTACTCCTACTCCATCACTTCAATCCATTGCATTTGAAAAGGCTAGAAAAGTCACAGCCAAATTGAACATTCCATCTAAAATAGATCTTAACGGAGATATGGTCTTAGATATGGATGGTTATAAACCAAATAGTCAAAAGAATATCGACAATTCCGATGAAATGTTCAAGAAAATCTTCATTGAAGAATTGTTGAAGATGAACGATGAAAGAGAGAAAAAAGATGATGTTTCAGATGAAATCGATAAAATTAAAAATGGAGAGAATGAAGAATTCAATGAAGAAAATCAGGTTAGTTTGTGGAATCAGATCATTAAAATGGATAAAGATGGATCTATTAGAATCACCAATGTCAATGAAACCCTTGATGATTATGCTGTTGATGAACATAATAGTTATACTAATTCTTTGAACTTACAACAACAAGATTTAACCGGAAGTTCTTTGACCAACGATGAAAATAAAACATATTTTAAAACTTTAAGATTAACATCAGATCAATTGAAACAGATGAAATTGAATTATGGTGAAAATAAGTTGATGTTCAAGTTAAATCAAGGTAATTCACAGGTTTATTCGAACTTATACCTTTGGAAATCAACAACTCCTATAGTCATTTCAGATATAGATGGAACCATCACTAAATCTGATGCTTTAGGGCATGTCCTTAACTTCATTGGGAAAGATTGGACCCATCCTGGGGTGGCCAAATTATTTACTGATATTAATAACAATGGTTATAACATTATATATTTGACAGCTAGATCTGTAGGACAAGCTGACTCCACAAGAGCATATTTGAGTACTATTGTTCAAGAAAATGATATCAAATTACCTAAAGGACCGGTGATTTTGAGTCCTGATAGAACCATGGCTGCTTTGAAAAGAGAAGTGATATTGAAAAAACCTGAGGTGTTCAAGATGTCATGTTTGAATGATATCAGAAGTTTGTATTTCTCCAACAAGTTCGAAACTGAAGAAGATAAAGAATTGAATAAGGATAGAACTCCATTTTATGCTGGGTTTGGTAACAGAATCACTGACGCTATTAGTTATAGGTCTGTTCAAATTCCAAGTCATAGAATCTTCACTATCAATCCCGACGGGGAAGTTCATATGGAATTATTAGAATTGTCAGGGGTGAAATCCTCTTATTTGGGTATTGGAGAATTAGTTGATCAATATTTCCCACCAGTAAATCAATTGAACTTCAATTTAGGTAATAATATCAAAAGGCCAGAAGAAAGATTCAACGACGTTAATTATTGGAGGGATCCAATTAATTTGAGTGATTTGAGCGATTTAAGTGATGAAGAAGAAATCCCTCAATCCCCTAGATCTCCAAGCATTTTATCCATCAGGTCTTTTGGTGAAGATAAAGATAAAAAATCACCAAAAAAACTTAATAATGAAAGACCTAAATCCATGAGCTCTTTCACACCATTAAGATTTTTTAAATCTAACGACGATGAAAGTCCTCTGAAGGGTGACATCAACAGAGAATTGAGCTCTGATGGAAATCCAGAAAATGTCCAAGACGACATTGACGCTGATCTTGATGACGACCTTGATGAAGATCTCGATGATGATTATGATGAAGAGGATGACGATGATTATGAAGATGAAGAGGATGAGGAAGAGGATGATGATTATGATGGTGAAGATGATTATGACAACGAAGATGACTACGATAATGAAGACGACTATGATGAAGAGGATTATGATGAAGAAGTGGAGAATTTCAAGGGCGATCCAGAATCTCCTATAAAGTCGGCATGAGGTGGCTGTGATCGCGACATTTTTGGCATTTGCAGGAATTATTACCAATTTGTACATTGACGACCCTCATCTGGCATACCTCATGCACTAAAGATAAGAATCCCTGCAGAATCGTGGACCAAGAAAGGGGTATTTTCTGGAGACATAATGAAATTGACAAATAATATTGTTCAATATTTTTTAGTAGTTGGTGTGTTTTGACCCGCTGGATGAAGTTTTTTGTAGGTCTGTCCATAGCATGCTTGTAATTAGAAGTTTTGATAGTAAAAGAACTACTTATGTGGGTCTTGCTTTGGTTGCTATTATAGTAGTAGCCAGTATAATATATGCAAATGGTGATTATAGTATAGTAGACACGATGAAAGTCTCTTACCAGGGACACATTACTCCTCAATCTCCTCCATCTAGTCATCATCCTCCAGGTAAACAACCCGGACATCCACCTGGTCCTCCAATACCCGATGGTGATAACCACTGGTCTCCTGGCCATGCCCAAGACCTGGATAATGAATGGTCACGTCCAAAAATCTCCCTGTTGAATAAAGAGAAGGTTGTTTTGTTTCCAAAAAGTTTCCCTGTTCAAGATCCCGAATTACTGGACTTTTATTTCAATAACTTCAATACTGATTCCAAGGCGTCCACTGATAACATCAAGGTCATAAAATATGATAACCCTAGGAAATATAGTGATGCCTTAGATTTCACAGACATCGACGATGATACTTTCCATGGGCATAGTATGAAGACTTTCAATAGTTATAAAGATATTGATGACGGGAAGTGTAACGAACTTGAAAAGGACATTGACATCGAAGTTCAGGATATGAGACCCATGGATGATGATTTGGATTATATTTTGAAGAAGTTCATGGAATCAGAATCAGACTACTACAAGGAAATAGAGCCTTATTTCGGGAATAACTTACACCAGCAGTTGATAGAAGGCACTATCGATCAACATTGGTATAAATTGGCAGGAACTTCAGTATGGTTAGAACAATACGGAGTTCATTATATGATTTCTCGAATTATTTACAGTCCTAGGGGTGTTAGGAATCAACCAAGCTTCTCTTTGACATATGTCCAAATTTACGACCAAGACTGGAATGAAATGAAAGACATCCAAATGGTCATACCTACCAATGACCCTGAGTCCATTCACGATCAGATTGACATCAATGGAGTCTTCTTTAAGAAGGTTTCATATCCATCGTTCTTGCCTATCCCAGCGTTACATGATGCTTCGAAGACTAAAGGTAAGTTTTATGGAGCTGAGGATCCTAGAATTTTATTGATAAAGGATGAATATGGTTTTGAAGAACCCTTGATAGTGTTCAACTCCTTCCATAGAAAAATAATTGAAAATAATGAAGTTAATGAAAACGAAATGAGTTTGAAATTCGGCTTTTATAGATCAATGTTCATGTGTTGGCCATGGAAGTTTCAAAGAGGAAAAAGAATCATCGACGAATTACCAAATGAACAAAATGATAAAAATATTTACAACAAGGTCATTGAATTAAGGAGAGAAGGAACGGAAAGGGAGAAAGTACAGAAAAATTGGACTCCTTTCATTGATTTCGAAGAACGTCAAACTTCCCAACATGATAAATACATCTATTTCGTTTATAGATGGTCAAACTTGGAAGTATTGAAATGTCAATTGACTGATACCATTGGAGGTGCATCTAAATGTAACTTTGTTTATAAAATGATAGAAGACTTACCAGGAAGTGAATCTGTGGGACCTTTAAGAGGGGGCACTGAGTTAATCAGTATCAATTCTTTACTAAAAGATTCGGAGTTGGATTCCAAAATAACATTACCTCGTAATACTCAGATATGGATTGGTTTTGCTAGAGCACATCTTAAGAATTGTGGATGTGGAAAGGATATTTATAGACCCAACTTAGTAGTAATCTCCAAAGACATGATTACAGGAAGGTATAAGGTTGATATAGTTTCATCATTTGCATCATTGGATGTACCTGTTATAGGATGGGATTTGAATAAACCCAAAGAAACTTGTGTTGAAGGACAACCGTCAGTCTTTATTCCAAATGGAATCAGTTCATGGTCATTGAAACCACAAGATAGTGGGTTCTTTGATTATCTCACATTATCATTCTCCTTATCAGATGCAACCAATGATTTGATTCAATTAAAAAATGTTTTATCCTCAGTATTGAAAATCTTCAAAGCTTCAAAAACAGGTTATGACAATAGAAACGTTGATTGTGCATTACAAGCTTCCCAAGACTTCTGTAAGAAGGTTGGTGATGATTTCAGAAATCAAGTACATAGTTAAATCTCATTACCGCGAATTTTTCTTCTTATCTTCAAAGTTGCAAGTAACCTTCGTCACGGAAAGTCAATTGGTATACGCATTGCCCATTAAAAAGACCATCCCCCTTGAAAACCTCATTTCTTTATAAATTAATCAACTCACTTTCAAATTGAATGGCGTGGTAATCCAAAAAAGATGAGGAGAATGCACAAACGATTAAGATTTCAAATCATCTTAGTCTTACTAATAATTGCCACTTTAGTGTACCATCTATCACATTATAACGAGAAAGATTTCAAGAATGTTCTTTATACTAGCAGAAAATCATTTCAAAAATTGCTCAAGAATCGAATATCCATTGATCAAGTAATCATTCCTAAGGATGTTAATACTGATCTAGTCCAATCGGACAACAAATTCACTTTTGATGGGGGCAGTAGTCTTACTAATAAAGTAAAGAAATCAAAATACGAGAATCACGAACTAACGGTGTATAATGATCTTAATGATATAGGTTTGAATTTGGAAAAATGTAATAAGATAGAGAATCATTTAAGGGTAGGTATTACAGATGCAACCAGTGTTGATGTGTCTCTAGTGGAGATATTAACCCAATTTCTACAACAGTACCAAACAAATCCTTACTATGGTGAAATAGCACCATTATTCATCCAAGAATTGAAATTGCAACTAAAGTTTGGTGTGGTGGAACATTACTGGTATAGGTTAGCAGGTTCTTCAGTCTGGTTAGAACAATACCAAGCACATTTCATGATATCAAGAATACTATATACTCCTAGTGGTCTGAGAAATCAACCTTTAGTCAGTTTCACTTATGGACAATTATTTGATAAGGACTGGCATGAACTCACTAATACCAAGATTATCGTACCTACCAACTTGAAAGAAGGTGCTATCGAGGATAATGGAAAGTTTTTTAAGGAGATCTCATTCCCTTACTTTTTACCTATACCGTTTTGGCACGATTATGATGATTCAAAAGGACGTTATTATGGACCTGAAGATCCTCGAATAATCCTTGTGAATAATGATGGTTATGAAGAACCTTTGATCATATTCAATGCCTATCATCGTAAATTTACTCATTTTGACGATGATTTCGATTCTAAAATTCTACTTAAGTCAAGATTTTTCCGTTCAATTTTCATTTGTTGGCCCTGGAAATTTCAAAAAGGTAAGTACAATACAGATGGATTCTCAAATGATGATTTTGATAATCGTCTTTACAACAAAGTAATAGAGTTGAAAATAAAAAACTTGGGGAGACAGAAAAATCAAAAGAATTGGACTCCTTTCCTCGTATCTGAAGAAAAGAATTTCATTTATTTCATCTATAGGTGGTCAAATTTGGAAGTGTTGAAATGTGACTTGGCTCATGGAACTGGTATTTGTTCCTTTAGTTATCGGTTAAACAGGAAATTATCTACCAAAGCTGGAGTAGGTCCATTACGTGGAGGTACACAGTTGATTAATATCAACTCCATTCTCGATAAAAAATTCATTCCTAATAACAGGGAAATATGGATAGGTTTTGCAAGGGCCCATTTGGATAAATGTGGTTGTGGTAAAGATATGTATCGACCCAATTTGGTGGTTTTGACCAAAGATACTCTTGAGGGGCAAAATCATTACAAAATAGCACTTATAAGCTCGTCGATATCTTTTGACGTACCAATGGTAGCTTGGGATCTTCTGAATCCAACGAGTATGTGTGAGGCTGGATCTCCAAACGTTTTACTCCCCAATGGAATTGGATCATGGGATGTGGAAGTTAAAGACCGTGAAGTAGAAGATCATTTATTATTAACCCTATCAATTTCTGACTTCACCGTCCATAGAATTTATGTTAAAGGATTATTGTCGCAACTTTTATCCAATAATAACCAAATCTTTAGTGACCAACCCACTTTGGAACAAGTTCAACATGACTCACATGGCTTCAATAATGACAATATAGTGTGTGGACTAAAAAAAGCTACAGAGTTTTGTAAAGATTATGGACTTCAAGTTTTCTATCACCAACCAGAATTTAGCTATATAGATTATTTCAAGAATTTGAAAGAGTCAATCAAAGAAAATTTCAATGTTGATCAATTCATTGATTATCAAGAGAATAGCGACATAGATTCCTATAAGCATGCATTGTATCATCAACAACTTCAATCACTTGAATAAACCTCAATTTAAATATAGCAGCTTTATTTCTGTTGAGTCATAACATTATTTATATTCAAACACACATGTCTACAAACCTTAATATACTAACGAATTGAATAAGCAGCAGCCCTGGCATAATTTTTCCCTTTGAGTTCAGGGGCTGGTTTTTTCTCTTTGGATTTGTCTTTATCCTCTTTATTGATGGTGGAAGCACTTGAATCAACTGTGCTATCACTTGATACTGATTTAGTATCAGTGAAAGTGGAGATTTTGGAAATAACTTTTTTTAAACTATTCAGCATTTTTAATTGTATGGTTTCTAAGGACCAATTGTCCTTCTTTTATAGTTTTAGATGTATGACAAATGTACAAACAGAGTATGTCAGATACGAGATATTGTGACTAAAAGGGCAATGAGTCAAACACAGGATATTTTAGACGGACGGCTCTATTTTCTTCTCATTCGGTTATCTTCGGTGAGGGCTCCTCCCGTCCACTTTGAAAGCAATCGAGAATCTCGGAGTTTTCTAGGGCCCTCTGGGGGCCTATAAAAGGGGGCCGTTTAAAGCCCTTCATATGCCAGGCAGCGTATTCGAATACGGATGGAAATATCTACCAATTCCATTTACGGGTTATATGTTGATCCTCCTTAAGATCCTAACGAATCAGATATTTAGGTGATTTTGTTTATAAGTGGCTCTCGTATTTATGATAATTATGTTCGCCCGGATGTAAAGTCCGCCAAAAATATCCTTTATACCGTGAATGGTTCGCAGCCCGTATTGTGAGTCACAAATTGGAGAATTCAATTGAGTTTTGCGAAATAAATTTAACATCCTGGAGAGTACTATACCCATTAAGTTATCAGTAGGATTCATAGGTTCATTATATGAGTAGAGTGTTTCAGTAAAGTAAAAAAAAAAAGAGCTCCGATACCGGGAATCGAACCCGGATCCCAGAATGGAGAGTTCCATGTGATAGCCATTACACTATATCGGATAGTATTGGCTAAATTGCGGAAATTCAATATATGAGGCGCACTCATTGTTGCTTACATAAGCAAAAATAAAGATGTTAATAATTTTTTCAAAAATAACCATTATTGTACATTAATCTATTTATACTACTTTTTCATACTCTAATCCTCTGTTTTCTCAACTTTCTCCACTACTGGTGCCATCTTTCTGTTCAATCTTTCGAACTTCCTTCTATCTTCATCACTGACACTTGGTTTGATGCTACTTAATGCTTGTTGGAAATCATCCATGGTGACAAAGATGTCATCATCAAGGTTGGTGGTGGTTTCATCAAGGAACTCTGACTTGTCTAATTGATTTATCTGTTGATTACTGAAGAATTTCTTTTTCAAAGCAATAACACCAGCTTCTCTAACTAATGATGATATATCAGCACCGGAGAAGTTTCTACACTTGTGATCGTTCACAATAAGTTTGAAGTCAACGGAAGAATCTATTGGGGTTTTATTGACAGAAATTAAAGTCTTTAAGATATCATGTCTTTCTTCTGAAGTAGGTAATTCAATGAATAAAGATTTATCTAATCTACCTGGTCTGATCATTGCAGGATCAATCATATCTGGCCTATTGGTAGCACCAATAACATAAATACCTTTTCTATCATTAAGACCATCTAATTCGGTTAACAAGGTATTGACAACCCTGGAGCTGGATTCACTCAAGGAATTATCCCTTTTGGGAACCAAAGCATCCAATTCATCAAAAAATATAATACAAGGAACTGAGGCTCTTGCCCTTTGAAATACTTGACGAATAGCTCTTTCTGATTCCCCAACATATTTGTTTAAAAGCTCAGGACCCTTGATGGAGATGAAATTGGCACGAGATTCATTGGCCACCGCTTTGGCTAATAATGTTTTACCACACCCTGGGGGTCCCCACATTAAAACCCCTGATGGAGCGGTAATACCTACTTTCTCGTACAATTCTGGTTTCTTTATTGGTTGTACGATGGCCATGTGTAATTCCATTCTAATTTTATGTAAAGCCCCAACATTGGCCCAAGTGACATCGGGAACAGTTGCAAACCCTTCCCTTTTAGCCGTTGGTTGGATAGTAGGTAAAGCACTCAAGAAATCTTGAAATTCTATGGTCAAAGGTTCCAATTGTTCATTAGTCAAAGGGTCTGGGTGTTTGATGAGGAACTTTTGAATGATGGATAATTTTTCTAAGTCTGATAAATTATCAATTTCCATTGAGTCTCCCATTTCCTGTTCTTGTTCTAACTCACTTAAGCTTTCAAATATTCTCTTGATAGCAAAAATACCTGCGGCAGTAACAAGAGATTTCAAATCTGCACCAACGAATCCAGGGGTTAGTTTTGCTAAATGCTTGAAATTGAATAATTCTTTGTTGGAGATCTTAAGATTACTGGTCATGGCAGATAAGATTGATACCCTTTGGTCTTCACTTGGAACATTGAGACAAATTTCTCTATCAAATCTTCCAGCTCTTCTTAAAGCTGAATCTAAGGAATCGGGACGATTAGTAGCACCTATCACTATAACTGGTTTTCCTTCAGTTTTTTCCAAAGTCAATTCATCCATTAATGTTAAAAGTTGTGCAACTATTCTTCTTTCCATTTCTCTTTGTGCACCACCATCTCTCTTAGGTGTAATAGCATCGATTTCATCCATAAATATCAAACATGGTGCCATAGATTTGGCATCATCGAAGATTTCACGCAATTTCTTTTCACTTTCTCCACTCATTCCAGAAACAATAGATGGAGCTGAAATATTGATGAAAGGAACTTGTAATTCACCAGCTAAAGCATTAGCTATAGTTGTTTTACCACACCCAGGAGGTCCATAAAGAAGAACACCTCTTGGAGGTTCAACTCCTGTGGATAAATATATCTCCGGATGTAAAATAGGCAAACCTATTAACTCCATCAATTCTGTAGTGATTTTTTCCATTCCTCCTAAGTTGCTGAGCTTGACAGCAGGTGGTGTATAGTCTTTCTTAGACTTCTTGTTTGCCTTGGCTGATTCTTTTCTTTTTCTCTTTTTAGAATCTTTATCTTCTTTTCCTTCTTCTTCTTCATTGTCAGCCAATTCTGGGTTTTCTACATTGCCGTTTTCATTAGGAGTTGTCCATGCACTAACCACAGATTTGTTCAATGAATTGGTATCCTTTGCATCCATGAGATTCAGATCACTTTCAAATTCTTCATTCTGAATGGCTCTATCCCTTATTAAATCACCAAATTCTTCTGCTTCATCATCCTTGACAATCTTCAATACATCTTCAATGTTCTTTTCCAAAGTGTTTTTCTTCACTCTTCTCATGGGTAAATCATGTAATTGAACATAACTCAAAATCTCAGATACTCTGAGATCTCTAGCCAATGCCACATGGTTCAAAGAATCGATTTCTTGTTCTGTCAAGTGCTTCTTGTTGTCAGATGTTTTCTCCTCTAACAAATTGTGTATTAGGTTATATATCCTTTGATCAACACTTTCTACTTTCCTCTTCATTACCTTTTCGCATCTCATCTCCACTAACAAAAATATATCTATCAAGAGTCACGTGACCCAAGTAGTTGAGGTCGATTAAATCGACTAGAAGAGGTCAATATGATATTTACAGAGGAAAGGTGATTATGGTGATATCATTAGATCAACATGACCGGCGAAACTTTATCAGACACAACATATCCGAAAAGTTCTGCATCATTTTCTGGTTCGGCAATAAACTGTATCCGATAATACCCTGATAAACAATACGTTACCATAAATAGTCATATACAGGTAATTTATGACCATATATGGAAATGGTGTGAATTGAAAAATAACGAAACGAATGAAATTTCTCGTATTGCATGCAACCAGGCTTGGACCCCTTCCGCCGCCTTTAAATTTCACCTCTTGATTGCTCATGCCTGATACCAATAAACACCATCAATCTTGTTAACCTTGATAGATAGTGAAGACCATATACCACTTCAAGTGGTGTTGACAAAACTTTATCTCTTCACAATTCCGTTGTGGCTAATTATTAGGTCCAGTTGAATTGAAATTGTCGTAACAACTTTTCACATTGTCTCTGAAATGGGGGTTTTGTTCATACTAAAAATACAATGTCTTGTTGTGTCTCAGACAACTTTGTTAACGGAGAATGTCTCGTCATTCTGATGTGATCCCCAAGCAATTGTTGCAGCAAGAATGACTGCGAAAATTGCTACCCTGAGTCTTCAGATACTTACTGCAATTGAACTATCACCACATGTTAAGATAACGCAAAGATATTAATGTAATGAACAATCCAAAAAAAAAGAATCAAACGTCACAAGATTCTAGATTTCCCCTGTTCGAAAGAAGTAAAGAAAACATAACTTAAAATTGGCCACAGGTGGCATAGCAATCGAAAATAAACTTTCACGAATTGTTTAAAAATAATACGAATGACACAGACAAACCAGCAATTGGCATATGGAAGGACATGGAAGTAATGAAAAACTATAAATTAGTTGAATTTCCCCCCCTTAAACCATCAATAAATTAAAATGTCAGATTTAGGTAGAAAGAATTTCTCAGATAAAGTTTCAGAAGCTGTTACCCCAGAAGATCAAAAATCAGGTTTCGAAAAAGTCAAAGAAACCGTCACTGATAAAGCTGACGAATTTGCTGCTAAAGGTACCCCAGATAACCAAAAATCATTTGGTCAAACCATTGCTGATTCTGCCAAACAAGGTCATGATGATGCCAAAGCTGAAGTTTCCGGTCAAGAAGCTACTTTAGCTGATACTGCCGGTGAATACTTAGAAGCCGCTAAAGAACAAGCTGCCAATGCCGTTAACTACGTTAGTGGTGTTGTTACTGGTGCTACCGAAGGTGCCAAAAAAGCCTCCGACTCCAAATAAGCTTCAGATTTCAAGTAGACTGAAATAAAAATGTGTAGATCAATTTATATTTTCGTTTAACAACTTCTCTCTTCCGTTTCTCTAACGCAATATGCTTAATGTGATCTGGTACAAATTTAGTATGGAGAAAATCTCAAAATTCGCATCGCATCACTATGAGTTTAAAAGACTACGAAGACGATTTTGGATCAGATGAGGAAGATTTTCCCGTTGTAAGAGTGCAGAAGAGAGATGTAAGAGATGAGACTGTTAACGAAAGTGATAGTGAAGACGAAAATGGAGAAGAAGACGATGACGAAGAAGATAATGAGGGAGATGAGATAAGTCAAGATGAGATAGATAAAGATGAAGATAACGAAAGTGAAGATGATTTCATACTAGGAGAACTTCCAGAAGATGAAGATATCTCCAAAATTGAATCTAAAACTAAAACAGCCAAATTAAAGAAATTAACTCCCGAACAATTGGAAAAAGAACAAAAAAGAATTAAAAAGACTGGTGTTGTGTATTTATCCACCATCCCTCCATATATGAAACCATCTAAATTACGTAGTATCTTATCAAGATTCGGAGAAGTAGATAGACTTTTCTTAAAACCAGAAGATCAAGCCATTTACAAAAAAAGAGTTAAGTATGGAGGAAACAAGAAGAAGAACTATACTGAAGGATGGGTAGAGTTTTTGAATAAAAAAGATGCCAAATTGTGCTGTGCTACACTTAATGGGAACAAAATTGGAGGAAAGAAAACATCTTATTATTATGATGACATGATGAATATCAAATATCTCCATAATTTCAAATGGATGGACTTGACTCAACAAATATCTAAAGAAAATGAAATAAGACAAGCCAAATTGGCCTTAGAATTGAGTCAACAACAGAAATTAAACAAAGCATTTGTCAATAATGTTGATCAATCTAAGATGATTAAAGGAATTGAAAAGAAGAGGAAGGCCGAAAATAAAGATATTGAAGTAAGAAGAACTTTCAAACAAAGAGATGTCACAAGTAGAAGAGCTGATGCAGATATGAAGCATAAAAAGGATGAACCTAATGATCAATTGAACGGGGTGTTATCCAAAATCTTTTGAACCTTTTGTTTACATTAATGATACATAATATACACTTAATTTTTCTTGATCCTATATTCATTGAATTGAATAAGGAATTCAATTCTCTGTTTCAAATCTTCTTTATTCTTACATTGGAACCATTTAGTTGATACTTGACTATTTAAAATATCTTGGATAGTGAATTTTCCACACATGATTAACTTATTCAATTTCCTCCATTTATGATTAGTCCATACATCTTGATTCTCTTCTTCTTGTTCTTCTTGTTCTGCTTCTTCTTCTGGAGATTCGGGTTCAGGGATTTCGAGTTTTTCTGACTCGGTCAATTCAAATTGTGTTGCTAATTCCGATTTTCTCTCTTGCTTTCTTTTGTTGTTCAAGTGTCTAGCAAATCTCTCGTTGAGTCTTCCATAATGTTTTCTGATAGGAGTTAACTCGGGTGTAGTACTGTTGAGCGGACGTCTGTTGATACGAGCTCTATTGATTGAAGAATTATCAAGTCCATTGAGACCTCGTACTCCATAATCTCTACCATTTGAGTTCCCATTGGTCGTACCATTCCATTGTCTCCCATTGGTGAAGTTGAGCTTATTGGGGCTGGATTTTGGGAGGAAAGAATCCAACTCATTCAACAATTGTGCAGCATTATCATCTGATGAAATCCCACTTTCCAAATCAATTTCATTATCTTCAAAAGACATTCGAGGATCAATCTTTTCCATGATTTCAGCTCTATCATGTTCAACTTCAATTCTTGAGGGTATTCCGACTTGAAGACTTCCTTTATCGATAGTTGTAGATATGGATTCTGCTTCAACACTTGAAGCAATGTTATTAGGTCTTTCTTTGAATTGAGGAGAAGTTTGAGCTCTTTCAATGATTTGAGGTGATGTCAGACGGACCAGTGGTGCAGGGGGTGATACATGACGAGATGATGAACGTTCTTGGACATTTCGTGAAAATGTTCTTTTGTGGGTTTCACGAGTATTCTTCTTCGAATCCCTGATTTGTGGATCAACTGTTGAAATCCCTCTATGGGGAGCATTTCTTTCCTGGGACGAAACCGGTCTGGGTGCAACTGAAGGAGCAGGTGATAAATTACCAAAAGTCGATGAAATTCTTGGACCCCTGTCTGAAAATGCAGGAGACTGATGTCTTACAGAAATACGAGGAGAATTACTTTGAACTTGCGTTGGAGACCTCTGCATTGGTGGCTCTTGGTGGACAGTTTCTTTGAAATTATTATTCTGTAATGAAGGTCCTTGTATGTCATCATCAGATCCAGCTGACTCAAATTCAATATCTTCCATGACTTCTTGTTGTTTAGGTATATCACTATTTTTAACAGTGACCTCTATTCCACCACTCTTTTCCACATCAGCTGGTTTTATCTTGAAGGATGGTGGAGAACCAATTGATTTTTCAAACAGAAATGGACTCTTAGTAATAGGTTTCAAGAAACTCCTGCCGGGAGATCCATACGCCAATTCGTTGTCGTCTGAGATCAACTTGGCCTCTCTAATCAAAGTATCTTCTCTATCATTGTCGGAATATCTCTTCTTGAGTGGGGTACTATTTCTGGATTGATACTTTGTTAATTTATTTACAGCTGTTGGTGTACCTGATCTTTTGGTATTGGTAGTTTTATCATCTTTCAAAGGGATTTTGACTGTTGTTCTTTTCAAAAATGAATTTCCTCTAACAGATTTGGGAGTGTCTATTCTTTCATCCAATTCTTCTTCCTCGTCACTATCGATTCCATTGACTTTATTCCTTTCGAATGATATATTCTGGAACATAACGATTAGACGTGTTTGCAATGCGCACTAAATTTCTCTCTCGCTTTCTTTACTACTTACTACCTTAACTATGGGTGTACGGGTGTGAACGTATATTCTTTTAATAGTATCTATATTAAATCATTGATTATATCTGATTGACAGATATCGAAGTCAACTGGTTTTAAACTGTAGACTCTTTCATAGTTCAAGTAACTCAAACTTTCGAAAAATGTTCTTAATTGACTTATAGAAGTGATGGTCTTAATGTCCTTCAATAACGGTATTAATTTATCATCATTGGTGGATAAATTCACTGGCAGCTCTTTGAACACTGTTAAATCATATGATGAAGAAATTTTATCGATCAATGCTACTACGGTCTCATCGACGTTATTTACATCAGCATTATGTTTGACAAACAACCATTCATTCAAATTGAATTCATCATTTTGGAGAATCAATAATTGGTCCAACAATTTACTGCCTTTCAATACAAGATTAAGTTCATCAGGAGTCATAATGCTTAATTCTTTGATGTTCTTGGATATCAAATGATTGAAAATTGAAATCAATTGTTGGTTGATGAACGACCAGTATGGTAATAAATGCATTTCACTAAATTTCAATATCAAGATTCTGAACAAGATAGTGATTTCTGATTTGAATGATAAAGGACAACTGTTATTCAAGGAATTCTCAATCTTGTTGAATATATCTTCTAAATGACTCAAGAAGTAATCTTTGGGTGATGATAAAATTAACATTGAAAGTCTCTTCACTGAATAGATTTTGATCTCCACTTCAGATTTTTCATTCCAGGAGAATAAAGTTCCTGAACTTGATTGAATCGAAACTTTACTTATTAATTCACTGAACTTATCTTGATCAATTGAAATCCAAATGGATAGAATTTTACTCCAGATTTCGAATCTTGATGGGGGGAAATTATTAAAGAAATTCCCATCATTGAATAAATCTTGAACTAAGACCTTCCATGATTTGTTGGCATTCAATTGGCCTAAGTTAATGATTAAATTCAAGATTCTTATGGGAATGTCATTAATCTTTTTGTTCTTGATTTGAACTGAAATGAGGTTGAATATGATCAAATTTACGAAACTGGAAATTCTATCTTGATCCTGTAAGACGTCTTCAATTGATGGTGTGATATCAATAATAGTATCTATAAGTTCTTCATTGACACCTGAAGGGGCTGGAGTGGTAGATTTTTCTTCATCTTCACTGAGTTTCTCTTCTTTTTCTTCTTCCCCATTAGAACTGAATAAGATTCTTTTCCCACTTACTGATGCTGTTAATATTTTAACAAACAAATCAGATAATTCTTTATTGCTCTTCTTATTATCCGGTTTATTGGATAATTTACATGAAATCATAGTGATGATCTTCAAGAAATAAGAAACCAAAGGTTTGAAATGAGCGAAATGACTCAACACATCTTTAAAGAATTGCATAGTAAAATTCCAAATGTCTGTGATAGTATCATTATCAATGCTTTGGAAGTAATAAATCAAAAATCTCGACAATTCTCTTTCACTGATATTCACATTCAAATGAGATTTCTTGTTATCGTCCAAAATATTAGGATAACAGCGAGTGACGATGGAATTGAAAATATGTGGTAAAGTTATTTGTGAACGACCACCATCTAATACATTCAATAACTTGATAGAAGTAGAAAACACTTTGGATTCATCAATAGCAATCAAATTTTCAATGATTTCTTGACGTTCTAAATCCATCAAAGATTCCAATAATTTCTTTGATCTGAATTTCAACTTGTTAGCTAAATGATTGGTAGAATCACTTTCATCCAAAGATTTCTTTGAATCACTCCATTCCCAAAGTTTGAAACCAATAGATGTAGCTTCTTGGAATGCTAACAAAATCGCATATAACTTATTTTGTTCAGTAGTTCTTACAGCTGGTGATTCGATTGAAAATACCCCTTGGATAACATTACCCAAGAAACTATCATTATTACCATTCTTCATGTCTGATTTGTTTCTGATCTTAGATGTTAACAAGTAACTATGACTTATGGATAACAAATCCTCGATTCCTGAGATCAATGCATTGATGGATAACTCAATATCATGATTGTATAATAACTTAGGATCTTTGATTTCATGAAAGTAACTATCGATCTTGGAAATGATGGAAGTGTTTAATGTTGATAATACACTGAACACTGACTCATTGAAAAGGTATAAGGATCGGGTCAATAATTTCATCCACTCTTCAAGCAAAACCGAAGTATGAGATTTTTCAATACCATGAATGATGAACTTTACCAATAAAGGTTCTCTACTTTCATCCTCGATATGTAAAAGGTTCAAATTGATTCTTGAATCTTCAGATAATTTCAATAAATGGAAAATACTCTTCAAATATTTGGTCTGAATGAGTTCAATTTGATATGGTACTTTATCGAACGATATGAAGTAAGAACAATTGTCTATCAAACCATGGAATTTGTCATTGAAATCTTGTTCGTTGCCAGTGATCAAAGTATTGAATAACTCTAAACAGTTATCAATACAAGAATAGTAATCTTGTAAAGCAGAATCATTACTTAACAAATCTTCACTTATCTTTAAACTGAGGAACTTTTCAATTGTATAGAATATCAAACTCTTATATGTAGAAATATCCCATTCATTTGCTCGTATAATCTTCAACTTTGCACTATTGTCCATAACAGCAAATTCATTATTGAAGGTTTCTTTCAATGCCTTATTGTTACTGTTGATAACATTAATAATGGTCTTCAAATGGTAGGCGAATTTAGATAACTCATCATGGATGTCAATCTCTTCAACTTCCAATTGCATGAATTCGAAGTCAAGTAAAGGGTTGGTGATCATCTTCAATAATCTATTAGAATGGCCACTTACCAAGATATTTTTGATGAAATTGGTTACTCCAATAGAATTGAACCCTTCACCAAACAAATCATCCAAGATCAATTGAAGTGGTCTCATTAATATCAAATCTGATTCATTAGAACTGGAATGTGACCATAATGAGGTGATAGCTCTCAATCTATCATTATGGCTAGCATTTAAAATCAATCCAGAAATAGCTGCTTCCATATAATGAGGGTAGGTGCTTGAAAGTTCAAAGAAACATTTCACTGCTTCCACTTGGTAAAACTTTGGATTGGAATATATCAATGCTGGGAACATATTGGTGGTGATGATTTTGATGATCTTCATTTTATCACTAACTTTGATGGTTTTGTAGATGTTGAAAAGCTTCGATAAACTGAAGGAAATCACTAAATTATTGTACTGTTCAACTTCATTGGATTCTTTGGTGGTCAAAGGATATTTGAGTACAATATCAAGGATTTCTTCATCTTCGAGGATTTGTAGTGGTAACATATAGATGAAAGTGGTGAACAAATCACATAACTTCCCTGATACCTTTGGATCTCCAAGATTCTTGATCAAAACTTTCTTGAATGAATTATAGATCAAATTATTCAATTGAGACTTGGTGAATGGTGGTTCTTCAGGATCTTTGTAGAATTCTTTAATCTTTGATACAATGGCATCTTCGCCAACAGTTTGTGATATATCAACTGCTGATGGTTCGCTTGTGGTATCTTCAAAAGCTTTTGGCGATATCAAATCTGTCAATACTGAAGTTATATTTATCCAATTATCATTGACCTCGGAATCCATTAAACTGATTAAGCTTATTAATAATGCCAAAGGTACGTGAATCAACTTCATCTCTTCGTCGTTGAAATCAAAGTTTGTTAATACGAACTCTAATATTTTCAAATCTTCATTTTGGATTAAATATGATATCAAACTGCTCCATATATAAGAAGATTCAACTCCATTGAAAAAATTTTGACATGAAGCCAAAAGTTCACTTGATCTGGGACCATTCTTTTGATAGGTTTCAAAACATTTTGTCAAGATTGGTTTAAGAATATGAGGAACAAGAAGATGACTAATCTCCCACTTATCTATGATCAAAGATAATGCCATCTTAAATCCATTAATTTGATGTTCTACATCCTTATCTATCAACTCAAGTAAAACCTGCTTGAGAGTATCTAATCCATGTTCCTTGAAATATTCTGCTCTTAAATTACCGTCATGGGTCTCTGGATCGGGCCCTAATAACCAGTTCCATAGTCTTCTATTCAAACTCATATCTTTCTTTAAAAGCACTTTCAAACATGCATCCATCAATAAACTTTTATCCTTTGGATAGGATGCCAAAACACCACTATTCAAAGGTAAATGGCTAAGCATCAAGTCGAAGAACCCTCTGATAATGATAATATCATTGGCAGAATTGAAAACTGTTTCTGTGTTAATTGCAGAAGCAAAACTTCTGATCAATAATCCAGGAGATGGGGAAAGACAACTTTGAGCTTCTTCACTAAATTGTAAACCATTATCGGTTTTAATGGTGACAAACACAGGAAGTCTCTTATTACACCAATACAATGCCCCTAATCTTCTTTCGGGGTTGGATATAATTGCAAGGAAAAAGTTTTGCCAAAAATGATGGTCATTGGATAATTTGTTCTTTAAAAGATCTAACAATTTGAAGATATCATTGAAACTTTCGGAGTTTTCATCGTCTAATCCGGATAAGAAACTCAAAATCAAAGGCTTGGTGATCAATTTCAAATTGGACACTGAAGTGTCTTGAATCAAAGTGTTGAAAATCTTAATAATCTGTGACTTAACTTGAATAGATCCAAATGATAATACCGGTAATAAACCAGGTAACCAAACTTTCAAGTTCTTATTGAAGACATCTGTAGTTAAACATCCAAATATGAGTTCGTATAATGACAATGCCTTTTGGTGAACACCATTGGGTAAATTGGGAGTTAAACATAATGATAACTTGTTAGATATTTCTAAATCGTTAGGTATCCAAGTTGTCTTTGAATGAGGATCCAAACTCAAAGCTTTCTGAAGTCTGGATAAAAACGCTATGTAGTCTGCCCATTCATTGAGGGTATCGAACGTCTGAAGAGCTCTGTCCACAGACTGTAGATACCTTTTGTCTTTGGTACTTAGTTCCATAACAAAAGTGTAGATTATGTCTGAGCGATCGCGAAAGGTAAATACTATCCGCAGTAAAGAAGTTGGTGGTACGCGGGGCAGGAACTTTAGTGCCACCTGTCACTAAATTTGGCCACCACATTTAGCGCCATGAAAGAGATAAGTCAGATATTATATTTATTGTAAAACCTTCTTAATGAATTTAGCAACATCCACTAATTCTTCATCACTTGCACTGTGTGCTAACCCTGGATAAGTTTTGAATTCAGCATTAGCGAACCCTTTTTGTTTCAAGATTTCATTAGCTTGAAGACCAACTTTATGGTTAATGATTGGATCTTGATCTCCATGACCTTGAAAAATTGGGGTAGAAAGATTGGTTGGAGTGAAAAGTTCATCAATCTTAGCTTGAATGGTAAAGAACCCAGATAATGCAATGAATCCTCCTAATTTCAAATCTGATGAAATGGCAGTAGTTAATGAAACTGCAGCACCTTGTGAGAATCCACCAAGAATGATTTTATCCAAGGGGATATGATATTCTTCATGTTGCACTTTGATCAACTCTTTGACCAATTCACAAGTTTTCAAGATCCCTTGAATATCTTTAGGAGCATCAGTATTACCAAATTCATAGATATCAAACCAAGCAGGCATTCTCATCCCACCATTAGCAGTTACTGGAACAATTGGTGCATTGGGGAAAACAAAATTAATGGTGGAAGTGTCTACAAGTTTGCTACTTTCTAACAATTCAGGGAACCATGACCATCCTTGGCCAGAATCTCCTAATCCATGAAGGAATATAATGGCAGATTTAGCTTCTTTGGATAATCTTGTAATAGCAGACATGGCGCGATTTTCACTTGTGAATCTGATCTTACTAATATCAGGAATAATGGTCTAGAAAGTCCGTTTATATACTATTTACTCCTTTTGCTTATTAATTCTGCATCTTCACCCTTCCTTTTCTTGTTTGTGGAGTTTGAATCATTTGTGGGTACTGAGAGTTTATCAGAAGCAGCTATTTTCAACACCCTGGTATTTTGTTTCTCACCATCAACTCTACGGAAATATGGTTGACATCTCCAGTATGGAACTTCTCTGTACTTACCACCCCAACTTTCCAATCCACCCACTGTTACGATATCTTTTTCTTCAATGTCTTCGTCTTGATAAATCTTCTCAACTCTACTCTCTATTTCTTTGACAATATCATCCCATTCTTTCCAATCTGAATTGACACTAGTTCTACCTATGAGTGGTCTCAAGTCAGTATTGTGGTTTAAGAACTCGTGCAATATCTTGAAAAAATGAGCTTTCATGCAATGTCTTGAGGCTTCACTTTTGATGGATCTAACAATCTCGAAATATTCTCTTAATAAAGTATCAACCCTTGGGAACTGTTTGTTGATATCATTATCCTTTGTCCATAAAGTCCCTGGGTTATATAAATTACCTTCAGCACTCATAACAGCGTCACAATCGATGGTATTGAAACATCTCTCTATGTCATCGGGATAAATAATGTTACCATTGGCGAAAAATACTTGATCTCCAACTCTTTCCCTGATATGTTTCAAAATTTCCCAGTTAGCTAACCCTGTAGCTTGACCTTTCATATCCCTTGTTCTTCCATGTACGGTTAACATTTGAGCTCCAGCATCAATCACCATCTTAGCATAATCAACGGATTTTTCCCAATCATCATAAACTCTTATTTTGGTAGTTACAGGAATAGATAAATTCTTATGTAAGTTATTGATCAATTTGTGGACTAAATCCCAATCTTCCATCAAGAAAGATCCATAATGACCTTTTCTAGCGATTCCTTGTGGACATCCCAAATTCAAGTCAACTGCATCACATTTATCTTCCACCAACTTTGCTGCTTGTAATAAATGTTCAGGATCATTGGCACAAAATTGAATGACTAAAGGTCTATCAATAGTTGGATCACCATCTAATTCAGAGATCATTCGATCTCTATAAGCCTTTTCAGTAGCAAACAATCTTGCGTGGTACATTGGTGAGTAACATAAATCGGCTCCATATCTACGAGACAAAATTCTCCATGCAAGTTCAGATTGATCTACCATAGGTGCTACTATAGTTTTGGGACTACCAATAGATTTGTATAATTCTCTCCCTTGAAGTTTAGTGGAGTCTTTCAACGGAAGCTTGGTTGATGCTTCGTTGATAATATCTTTCATAGTACCTTGAACGGTATCCTTCACTGATGCTGCTGTCACAGTCATTAATCTTCTGATGAAAAACACTTTAAACTATCAAAAGAAATTCGCATCGCATCGACTTATCGCTCTTCTCCATACAAACGATGATGAGAGGGAAAAGAGGTATTCAGGGATGAGAAAGCGTTGGCTGATTGGCATGGGTTGAGAGGTTGAAACTTCCGTTCGTTCATCATCAAATTCCCTGCTAGTAGAAGAAGTGAAGGTCTTAAAAGTATAAAGTATTCCAAAATAAAAGACGTCATAATCTTTGATTGAAATCTCTCCATAGAGTTACTGGGTTCCCACATAAGCAGATCAGCATGTCAACCACCGAATAAGAACCTCTCTACTATGAAAAACTCAGAATCTTTTTTTTTCAGTTGAATTTTAGAAGATTTTATGATTTTTTCGTGATTTTTACAGATTCTGTAAATTAAGTTAAAAACTAAAATGTGATAAATAGGATCTCATCTAACTAGTCAAAGTGTACTGGTCATTCACATAGTCAAACGGAACCAATGAGACTGAATACCCACGTCTTCATCAAGCAAACTTTTCGAGAGTCAAGTAAGAGTTGAGGAATCAGATAATATGGCTATACTCACCTATTGGGCTCATCTTACAGTTAAAGAGATTGAAATCAACAAAGTAATACATTAAATTTTTGAGATATAGTTGGCCCTATTTTTTAAAGCTTCAGCAAAACCCATTGCTAAGGGCCAAATTGGGGCATCAGCTAAAATTCTGACCCCTAAAAATAAACATTTGTTACTTAATTTTATTAATTTCAAGGAATTCATTATCAACTTTTCGTTACCGTTAGATTCAATCAACTTCCTAATACTCTCGTAATTTTCATAATCTTCCATGGAAGTTGAATTGAGGGAAAGGATCTTTTCTGATTTCTTTAAAGTTTGTTCACACTTTAACCATAAGACTTTTTCAGTAGTACCCAACCCAATCTTACCATCTTTATCTTCAATAGAATACAAGAATTGACTTATAAGCAATAATGATACAAAAACACAAGTAACAAAGAAAACTGGTGTTCTCAAGTTGTTCTCTTTAGAATCATTTACAACAGAAATGTTTTGATTCCATAAGTTCATGATATCCAAACTATAATCGATAGATTCTTTCAAACCATCGAAATCTTGTTGTAAATTGTTCAAATATTTGTTCATATTCTCCCAATCCTTATAAACAATTCTTTCAATGATAGGTGTCAAATTAACAGCTATCTTTATTTTGGCAAAGTAATAAAGTGGTAAAATCAATTTGAATTCATTATGTTCATTCAATAATTGATTATTTGATTCATTTATTATCAAGGATCCACCATTGAAATGATAAACCATTTCCCATGATTTCAAGACGTTCTTCAATTCATGATTTTTCAATCTCCAATTGATCTGGTCAAATTGAATGAAATTTGTTTTCAAGTCACAATAACTCTGTTGAATCCTTTCATGGCAATATATCAAAAGATAAAGTAAATTATTGAAACCTATCTTAGTTGGTTTGAAATGGTTCAAGTTATCAATCAAATCTTTCATATCGATATTATTACTTAATTTGATAATCAGGAAATTACTATTCATTTGCTTATTTTGGTTTAATAATCCCATATCTATTAATTCATCATACCATTGATTAGAATTTTCACATTTCCATAAATTTTCATAACTATAACTTCCACAATTAATGTTATTAGCATTTAATAAGATATTCAAATCTAATAAAGTAGAAGTTCTGAATTGTTGTAACATATAGAACACAAAGATAGTTCTGATTCTAGATTGACACATGATAAAATAATCGAAATTATTCTGTACTAATCTACCATCTTCATTGGAATCAATAGGTTGTGGTGGTATCAAGAAATTTTCCAAAGGTTTATGGAAATTTGTGGATTTGATTAACCCAACCATTGATTTCATTTGTCTAGAAGTAATGTCTATCATTGGAGGTTCATTCAAGAACATTGAGATGAAAATGTGTAGCACCAAACATTGATGTGCCATTAAAGGAACTTTTTTGAACTGGAGATTATCCAAAGTTACTTCTTTTTCGAAGAAATTCTGTATATGATATTTTGATAAATTGAATAATAGTAAAGTATTACTATCATGATATGAATATAAAGCACCAATTGACGCCATTGATAATAACAAAGGAATATTTTCATTATTATCAACCATAGGATTTTTTAATGAAGGTAAATGAATGAAAGGGAAATATTTGTTGAATTCTTTTTCATAAAGTTTCATATAAGTATTCAATTCGTCCAATGAAGGAAATTGAAGATCTGATAAATTACTAACCACAAGAATTCTATGCCTTAACTCATCATTAATATAAGCATATTCATTATTCAAAGGTTTACCGGAATTGTTAGATTGTGGTTGTACTTCAAAACTTATTTGATCAGACATTTGATGTTGATGATTTTGATTGAGATGATCTTGGCCCTGATGATCATGTTGGAAGTGATTTTGATTTTGGCCGTGGTTGTCATTCATTTCCATGGGTAAATACATTTCAATATCATGGAAATTCAAATCAGTGAAACTTTTACTCAAATCTGATTGTCTTGATTTAAATAAGTTAGATATTTCATCAGTTGGTTCTTCAAAAAAATTAGGTTCATAAGGAGTATTGATGATCTCCTGTAGCCAGTCGTTATTTTCGGATATGGATTCTCTGTGGAAAGGTGATTCATGGATTACTCCAACTGATGGAATTGAATTTGGTATGGAAGTGGGATTAGATGCTGGAATGCTTGATACACTACTATGATTAATCGGATCCATATGTTCATTCTGAATTACCATATGATGGTTTGGCATAGGGTTCGAATGTGATCTTACCAAAGGATATTCTGTGGGAGACAAATCATCCAATTTTCTTTTCTTATCAGTAGAATTCACCGGTTGATTTAAATTTTGTGTTGATGGTGTTTGGGGTGAATGGTTTAATTGATAATCAAAATAATCCAAATTAAGGTCGAGATTCAATGGTAATTCATAATCTTTGGTATAACTATTGGAAGAAACCGCAGAATAACTTTGATGACGTGGATACCTATCAATTTTTTCAGGTGAATGATTCACTGGAAATGATATAGAATTGGAATTTGAATTTGGCGGAGTGTTTAAATTGAACAAAGCTGACTTGAATATTGGTTTATCTTTCTTTTTGCCATTGGAATTTTGATTAGTCACATTTTGATTCAAATTTGAACTGGAGTTGTTGGAAATCATTGATAAATTCGATGGTGATTTTGAATTGATTGTAGCCATAGGTGTAAGGGGAGCATTTGCGTTGGTGTTATTCCTCAAAACAATGATATCTTCACTATTTCTTCTACCCAATTCACTGTGTAATTTTTGTTGATGTCTCAAAACTAAATCTCTTCTAGCAAAACATCTACCACAATTAGCACATTGGAAAGGTTTTTCATTGGTATGAGATCTTTCATGACGTTTCAAATGCTCTAATCTAGCAAAGGCTCTAGTACATATAGTACAAATATGTGGACGTGGTTTATCAGTCTTAATTTGTTGAGATTTTTTCGGTATTGGCTGAGTAGCTGTTAATTCTACCTTATTCATCTTGCTTACTTGAATCTTGTACTCGTTAAACTACCAATCAAAGGAACTTGGAATCTGAATATGTTTCCTCTTTTTTTTGTCTTACAATTCAATCAATGAATTTGAAAAGCGATTAATCACCAGGATCACGTAAACGCCAGAACAAAAAAAAAATAATAATTAAACAAACAGTTAGTGCAGTATAGATTATGGTAACTAAGCTTTACAACCAGATTGATACGATGAGATGATTATCAATATGATTAGTGAAATTATCGATAATTTACCCTTTACCTGATGTACCGTTAGTGTTGGATTAATAAAAAATTTCCCCAGATTTTTGTGGACAGAAAATTTTTTTCTTTTTTTCTCAATCTGAACGGTAAACGCACTACCCGTGATCAAATGGTAAGAATACTGAACAATCAATGTTGCCAATTAGGGACGTGGTTGATGGATCTGGAATGAATTGAATGGCCAAGTTTCTACATCAAAAGGTGAAACGATTGATGATGATAACTTTCGGTGTTTTAGTAGGGATACCTGGTAGTGTATAGAAGAAAAAAATTGTTGGGGTACATACAGAACTTAGGTATAAAATATTACAAGGATCATGATAAGGAGACTTCAGGAAATCTTCAGGGGTTAAGGAGTGAATATAGAGTGGAAGTTCATTTGAATCAAGTGTAACCCGTTAATTATAGGATTTTGTATGTTAGACCGAAGACCCCTAATTGACATAAACCTGGCTTTTAGTTTCTGCGTGTAAGTCCGAGATATTCTGGGTTTGCTCCCTTTTCGGCAGCTTTTCTTCCCGAGTTGTACATTAGTACAATTGCAAAGGCGAAATATGCCAAGGGCTATGTAAGACACTATGAAGGCACAAGTTAGAAAGTGCAATGACCAATGATTTGCGTGGACCATTTACAACTGTGTCAGGTGATGCCATGAATTGACTATATTTTTACTTTGAAGGTCAATTTAGGGTCAATCGAAATACAAACTATTGAGTTCGAGGTTTATTTGGTATGACTCATGGACCATCAACTCATAGGTGTTTACTCCTGGCCGTTGGAAATAGTATGGTTATAAGAACTCCGAGAGTTTTGACGGAATTATATAATCTTGTTATTGATTGATGTCTAATTGAGAACTAAGTCAACTCATATTCATCAATTCCTCATACTTCTTTCAAAATTGACCCTAAACCTGCATGACACTGAAGACACTGACTAACCTCTTTCTGGTTCCCTTCTCACTATCTCAAATTCTCGCTCATGAAGTTATTGATAACAACAGGAGCAACAGTGACGTTCAAGAAATTGATCTCGTTCACTATCACGGAGTTCATCCAACCTTGTATCGATCTTGGATTTGATGAGGTATACATTCAGTATGGAAATGAAATAGATAATGGCCAACATTTATCTAAAGAATTCATCAACCAATGTTTGGAAGGAGTGATAAATTATCAATTAACATCCTTAGAAGGAGAATTCCTTTTAGAACGTGGAGGTAAATCAATCAAATTGATATTTTTTCCCTTCTCCAATAATTTACTGAAATATATCCAGGCTTCAGATATTATAATATCTCATGGAGGTACTGGAACAATTATAGACATTTTGAAGTATTCCAAACCTTTGCTTGTAGTTTATAATGAAGAATTGATGGGTAATCATCAGAAAGAGATTGCAGAAGAGTTTACAAACCTCAATTACTGTATTAACGTATCTTCAGAGAACTTAGACGAAGAACAGATCACTCTGAAGGTGAAGAAGTTGATAACAAATGAAGTCAAATTGAGTGAATATGAATCGAATTCGGGGAAAGTGATACAGGGTATTATCTATCATGAAATAAATAGGGTCAAATCATAGACCATCCTCATATATATTCATATACTCCTCCATCTGTTACTTAACTCTGGGATTTTTTCAAAATCGCGACAACGTAATGAACTCAGTGAAGAAGAGGAAAACAGGTCGATTGTTCACCAAGGATATTGAACAGTTGTTATATTCTTTGGGAGATACTCCTTTGGAACTGACAGTAAATGCATTAGACGACTGTTTGGTTGATTTCCTCAGTGATTTATCCTACAATACTTTAATGTATGCTAAAAGTAAGAACAGAACCAGAGTTAAGATAGATGATTTCCCTTTCGTCTTAAGAAACGATCCTTTTAAGTTATCCAGATTAGAATACATCATTAACCAATCCATCAAAATTGAAAATGCTAAAAAGATGTTCGATGATGATGATAAAAAATATGCTGATTTGGATAAACCTAAGAAGAAACAAAAGGTTGATGAAGATGAAGATGATGACGATGACGAATAGATTATGGTATAAATGTATATATTAAAAGACGTTCTCCAAAGCTCTACCAGTAACGTACTTTTCGTTTTTTACTTCATTATTGAACTTGATGAAAATGGATTTTGCATATTTAAAGAAATCCCAAGCAATGTATAATCCAAATAACCCAGGGAATAACATTAAATCCCAAGAGTTGAAACTTCCAAGGTAATACTTAACGAAAACAAATGCAAAAAATGGAGTTTGGATGAAAAATATGTCTCGGACCAACATTTTGGTATCTAAGATCTTAAGAAGTAGTGATAAATCGTAATTTTGAGGGATTTGGAACTTGAATAATCTCCTGGTAAATGGAATGACTGTCCAGTAACTTGCAATTAGATGTAACAATAAAGCTTTGAGCTCTAAGGAGAATTCATTGTTGATTTTGAAAGTATTTGGGTTTTTCAAAATACCTAAAGGTGCGTCAACACCAAATTTGTGAATAGTTATTATCCAGAATTGATTCAATAATAGCGATGAAAACATCAATAATGAGGCGCCGACTACTTGACTTTGTGAATAATTGGCAAGTCTTGCTTGGAGATTGATGACAAGATCCGGAGCGAATTCTTGTGCTTCAGCTTTGTAGAACCATTTCAAAATGAAAATCTCACAAATCAATCCTATTGCTAGAGAGCCAAAATCGGCAACTCTCCAATCATACTGATTGATGGACTTATTGAAAATTTCTATTGAAAATTCGAAGAGATTTTCACTGAGTGCTGCAATGAGTATCAATATTTTCATAACTGGCTTTCCAATAAACAAAGCTACCATGACAACGGATAGTATCAAAATTATTGACCACACCCAAAGGAAAACTATCAACATAAAACATCTGAACTTCAAATATGGAGGTTTATAGACAATGGCATATGAATTTTCACTAAGTTCATCATCACTCTCATCTCCTTCATCTACTGTATCGATGGGTTCAAGAGGTTTCAACAATTTATCATCCTTAGTGACGGACACAAACAACTTCTTAATAAACTTTCTTGAAACAGTATCATTATCAGGAACACGAATGTAATCCCCATTAGGGATGAAATAACTAGGTTCTTTATTGCCTAATTGGATGGATTCTTTATATGTAACTGGATTGGAGTAATTTGGAGGTGTTTGGAAAAACCAATGATATATCGATGAGTAAGCCACGTATCCTCTTTCTTGTGGTATGGGTTTACCCAAAATAAAGTGAGATAATCGAAGTTTATGACAAGATAACTCGAAAGCCGTCTTCCAATATCTTTCACTTAAGTGCTTCAAGAAGATTTTGTTAGTTGAGATTGCACTAGCAAAAACAAAGATGAATATTATGTTCTGTGGATTGTATAATTTGATAGGTAACAAAACATTCTTATCTTTCTCTTGAATGAAAAATCTCAATCCCCAAGTAAGACCACCAATTCCAACAATAATGAAGGCACTGTATACTTTCCCACTGAGATAAATTCTAGATAATTGTAGGAGCATAGGTTTAACTAAGGCATCGTGAATAAGTCTGGCATTGGGATCATCAGGAGATCTAATGAAGAACAAAACTCCCGGTCTGAGTATTTTTGATCTGACCATACCAATGAATAAGGCAAAGAAAAGCATATATAAGGTACCACAAGCCCAATAGATTGATATTCTTATGTAATCAATGGTTAAAAATGGAATAGTGGAGGTGAATAATACATGGAAGTAGGAATTATCACCAATCTTATAATGGAAACTCTCTAAAAGTAAAGGAGCTACACAGAAATCTATCAACCATCCACAATAAACAGGAAAGAAGAAGATTTCAATGGCAAATATCACAAACACCTTTAAAGTGATTGCTACTTCAAACAAGACCTTATAGATTTTTCTAGGAGTCCCAGTGACAGGCTTAGAACGCACTAATGATTTCATAAATTGGTATACCACTAACGCAACGGCTGAATAACCCAAAGTCAATGTTATAGCTCTTTCCAATGATGAGGGTGTTTCCTCGTTAGTAAATAAATTACCCAATGATTTCAATAGTATGGCAATATTCAAAACAATCAGATCCAAAATATTTCGGGCTGACGGATTCAATTTACTGATAACGTATTGATATTTTGATTCAACGTCCAAGTTGTAAGAAGGAAGTACCAACGATACAGCTTGGAAGGTAAGATTCAAAAAGAATATAAGACCACACCCAATCATTTGAGGTATGAGATATGTGAAGAATAAGTATGTCCCCACCACCGTATTACAAATTGCAAGTAAGAATATAGGGACTGAAATGTTTAACTTGAAACCAAACATTTCAAATATATTTTCATCACCTTCTTCGGCATCTGCCTGTCTGCCAATTTCTCTGGCTCTTTCCCTTTCTTCTCTTTCAATTCTTTCACGTTCTTGCCTTTCCCTTTCTATTCTTTCCCGTTCAACTCTCTCTCTTTCTGTTCTCTCTCTTTGGAGCCTTTCGACCTCCAACCGTTCTCTTTCCATTCGTTCACGTTCTAGTCTTTCTCTTTCTCTTGTTTCGGATTCAAGTCTTTCTATATCCATTCTTTCTCTCTCAGATCTTTCTCTTTCCATTATTTCCTCAGTATCGTCATCTCTAAAGTCTGAGAACATCTCCACCCTGTTGTAATGACCATACTCATCAGAATCTAGAATTATATCACCTGAAGAATCATACGTCCATCCATTATCCATATTACTTGATTCATTGCCATTTTCATTATCATCAGAACTTTCATCTTCATCAGCATCTTCTTCTACTCGTCTCTCATGAACGTTTTCATTCACTGTATTTTCTGCATCAGAATTATCATACCAGTGATTATCTTCTATTATTTCCACTTCTTGTCCTTGTCTCATGTCATTGACTGCTCTTAAAAATACATTCATCCTCTCATCGTCTTCTTCCATATCATTGATCACATTTTGGAATACATCAATCAACTTGGTTCTTGGTTCAGCACCAACCCTTTTGATCAATAATTTAGTGAATCCTTCATCTCTTATCACCCATTCCCTTTCAATGAATAAAGCAATATGAATTATGATATAAATGAATATATATCGAAGTCCGGAGAAATAAGATACTTCAAATAACTTTTTTATCTTTGCAAGATTTATTATTGAATTTGAATATTCACTTTGTATAACGTTCTCTCCAAAGAATAATGCATCAATAAAATTATCATTAACAGATGGTAATTTCCCATCAATGGTCCATGTGTAAATTCTACCCATGAATTTCCAGAATATTGGAACTTCTAGTATTAAAAACACATAAAGCATTATCGATATTGACCTGGTGAAATTCTTAACGATATTGGAACATATCTTCTCCCAAATGAATTCAAAAGGGATAGAATCAGGCATTGAAGGATCATAAATGGTTTTAAATTTATAAGGAGTATGACAGATGTCACATTGTTGGACTGATTTGTTACTATGTTTAAGCCATTCCATAAGACAATCCTGATGGATGTACTTTATGGATCCTTTACATTTACAAGGATGAAACAATGGTTGAAGATCAGTAGATTCACCTCTACAAATCCTACAAACTTCTGACATCTTTGCGGTTTCTCACGCGAGCTGGGATTTCTTTCAACTTCTATAAAGTGCGGTGTGAGATTCTCCATAGTCCGTCGCACAGATTGTTAGAAACAGTGTAGAGGTTTTGAACAGGTTATATCAAAGAGAGTAACACGTTTATTTAGTTTCTTCGTCAGGTAAAGGAGGAACTAATTGTTCAACAGGTTCTTTTTTATCAGCTGATTCTGATTTTGGATCAGCTTTTGAACTCTTCTTATCAGCTTTGAAGTTAGGATTACCTCTCTTCAATTCATTCTTATCAACTGGTTTGTAAGGAGTCTCTTTAACTTTCTTTGGTTCTAAAATGTTTGGTAAAGCTTGATTGTTGGAAGCTTTTTGGATCTTGGAATAGTCTCCAAATGAGTCTAAGTAATTGTTACAATCATAATCCCAATTGAAAAGTTTAGTAGCTTGACATTGAGATTTAACCCAAGGTTTACCATAAATTAATGGTGAATAATTATAGTAAAAGATTGATGAACAAACAGTTAAAGCAAAAATTCCCAAGTAAATGACTTTACTTAAGATTTGACAGTTTTTACCAACATAAGTAACCAAAATGTTTAAGTATTGACCCAAACATAAAACACTGAAATAGAATGCTGGTAGGTAATGATGTAAGAATAATTGTCTTCCCATCAAGAAGAATGGCATATAATGTAATAACCAACCAGTTAAATAGGTGAAAGCTTGATGGTTGAAATTGAAAATATGTTTTTCACCACCAATGGTACTACCTAATTGCCATCTCAACACTTGAATACCACCATAGACAGCAGAGAAAACGATGGTGAAAATTGAAGCCCACCATACTGGTAAATTACCTAAAAGGTAAATGTTCTTATTTTCTTTTGCCCAATAACTGATACCTCTTAAAACCCAAGGCCATTCAATTGGATCTGATTGCCATGGATGGAAGTCAGTCAAACCAGAATTCAAAGTCCACATTTTAACATGGTTTTCAACAAATTTTTGTAAGAAGTTCATGGTTGGATATTGAGCAATTTCAGAAATATTGGCTGGAACTCTTTCATTGGTGTTAGCTTCAATGTACCAATAAGTTAAAGGTCTAGCACCTTGAGAAGCAGCAGTAACTTCAGTTTGTTCGTAACCCCAATCTGGTAATTTGTTTTTACCAGCAAATAAGTAGTTTCCACTCATGACATGTCTTAATCTGAAAACAGTGGTTAAAGCTTTAACATAAGTTTTGGAGTCAGGATCGGTGGTTTTTTTATCAACAATTTCAACATAAAAATCATCATTAGCATCTCCACCAAAACCTTCGTATCCATAACAACTGACTTCTTTTTGCCAATCTCTTTCAGAAACTGGAGGTTTTTCATCGTGTGAATGTAATCTTCTACCAGTGTTAACATGTTTCAATCTAACTTTCATACCGCTTTTGATAGGAATGAATTCATCAGTGATTGAAGTGTTATAAGGTTCAATCAACCAATCATTGTTACTATCGATATGTGGATATAAGGTGATTTGTTGTTGCTTGGAACCTGTTGGGTAGAATAAATTATGAGAATGTAAGTATCCACCACCGGATTCTAAATGTTTGATATTAACAATTGATCCAAAACCAACATTAGCTTCAATGTTAGTTGGAACCAAACTGTTCTTCAATCCTGTTCTAAAAGAAGGCGACATGAATGATGAACCTTCACCATCTTTATTCAAAATTTGGAAATGAACAGCAAACATTCCTAAGTAGAAAATAATAGGAACACCTAATAAAATAATAACTCTTGAAAAGAAATGTAACCAAACTTTCTTAGTTGAAACTTTCAAATCACCAATTAAGAACCACATTTGGTATAAGCATAATAAACCAACCCAAGCAATGGTAAATAAACCAACTAATTTTGATGATAATGATAAACCTAAACCAACACCAGTACCAATTAAGTATTTATACCAACCAAAAGTGAAAGGTTTTTGAATTTCAAAGCTTTTGAAGAAGTAAGCAGTTAAAGCAATGAAAAATATCAAAGGTGAATCCAATAAAATGTAACGACTAATTGTGATCAAAGAATTATCAATAAGTAACAAGTAACTTGTTAAGAAAGAAACCCATGATCTACAACCAGAAACTTTCATAGTTAAGTAACTCAAAATAACAGTTCCAACACCTAATAAAGCAGGGAAGAGTCTCATTGAAACATATGGAACGAAATCAGGATAAACATCACCAATTTTTTCGAAATCAAAATCACCTTTGAACCCACTTAATAAATTTACAGCTGCAAATAAAACTTTAGCTAAAGGTGGATGGACATCCATGAAGAATTTCCCTAAGATATATCTCTTAGCAAATTTACCGAAATGGACTTCATCAAATACAACAGAATTAGGTACGGATAAACTTGATAACCTAATATTGACCGATAAAACGATTATAATCAAAAGGAAGATATAATCATTTTTCTTCAATGATCTTTTCTTAACAAGGTCTTCAGAAGACTCTGTTTGTAAGAATGACCTCATGGTTCCTTTAACGAAGACAGGTTCAACGACTTCGTCGGTCTCTTTCTTACCTTTAACCATTTTGAAAATTACAGAGTGTTAAAACGCGATGTTGAAAAATATACAACGCATCAAGTGCGGTACACCCGTGCTTAAAATAGGACAGGGTTTGATTTTTGAAATTTGTTATTTAACCTAATGATTTGGGCTTTCTTCAAGATATGGCTATCATATGATGAAATTGCATGGTATCAGTTAAGATGCTGTCATATCTTAAGAGTTCGACTTCGAAATTCCATGAAGTGGGGTAGCCATGATGGGGCAAATTAATCATTTTACAAAAGCAATGAAGATGAAACGATAGTTTCATATCGGACGAATCTTCTAACTCGAAGTGGTGGAGCTGTTTACGTGGGGTCATTGGGGATCATAAAAAATACTTGGGGACATCATATGAGAACATACGAGATCGAGATAAAGCACCGCAGTGAACAACCGCAATTATTCTCTTCTCCAACTTTATCCTCTGGGTTAACAAGTATCTCATTATTGGTCAATTCTCTCCATGTTACCTTGCATAACATAGCATTGCAACTTTTGACCCCTATTTCTTTTGGTAACCAGCAAAACAATGAATTTGATATTCTCTAAATAATCTGCACAATCTACTATTTCGGGACAGGCAGGAAATTTTGCAATTTCTCAATTTATCCTTAATGGCTTTTTATATTTATAAATTTGAATGGTATGTATACTGACACATTGGAGGTCACAAGCACGTCAAGATCGTGTATTTGACCACAGAGATTGTTGTTGATGATTCTTTGATCGGTTTGATCAGGTCAATTCAATCAAAGAGGGAGATTAGATAAACTGATAGATCAGATAACAGTGATCTGGGTGTGGAAGGTGAAAAATTAAATACTAATTATCCAGGAAAGGTGAACCTGAAGATGAGGTTAAGATTACAGGAAACTTCAATGACTGGTCAGATCCGATTGAGTTAAAGTACGAAAATGATAGGTTTTACACTATCGTTAAGTCATCTTCACCTCAAGATTTGGTGTTTAAATTCATCATCAATGGTAATTGGTGTACCTCCGATTTTTACAGCACTCATGTTGATGAACATGGTAACACCAATAATATAGTCAAAGCAGACGATTTGACCATTTTTGAAGAATTCAATAAAGATAGTGATTCTGAAAAAATTAAGGGATCAGATAATGTCGGTGTCGCCGATAGTAGTAAAGGTGGTGATGTCGTATCTCCCGAATCAGGTGAGGAAGTCAGTGGTGATGTCGTGCCCACCAACAAAACTACAACTGAGAAAAATGTCGGCATACATCAAGTATTGACCAATTCTTCTTCATTCGCTGCAGTTTCAGTACCATCAAATGACGATCCTGAATCTATATCTGAAGATGTCAAGGCTGAACCTGACTTATCTGAGTCCACTTCTACCTTGAATTATCCTGGTTCTTTCCCTACATTCCCTGAGCTGAAAAAGAAAGAACCAAGAACCTCTTTGGTCTCAAGATTCAGAGGTTTATTCAGATAATTTTCCAGTTGATCTGGAGAGTTAAATTGTGGTGTAGAATGTTATATATTAATCTTGTGGTGTTCTACTTCTTACCCTTCTTTTTCTTTTTCTTCTTATCTCCACTAGCTGGTGGTTCAGGGTTAACAGTATCATTTATTTCAGTATCGTTTTCAAACTTCTTATTACTCATTATACTTGCCATACCTGGAACTTCAGTTTTAAATTTCTTAGATTCTTCAGTATCTTCTTCTTCTTCTCTCTTCCTTTTTACACTGATACTTTTTGGGCCTAAGAATATCAATAATCTCGACAATTCTTTAGCTTTATTGGTTTTGAACTTTAAGCATTTACCACTTTTTGGTTCATAGCATTTGATCTTTACTGAATTCAAATACTTATCATTCTTATATTTTTTGGCATCATTTGCATAAGTTATGGAAATCGTTGTGCTTGGAAATGCCTCCAATAAATCGTTTGAAGATTCAATAAACTCTTCAATCTTCATTGCGAACAGTGCGATTTCTTAGTGAGATTTCTTAATGAGATTTTCTAGAGATATATGAAAAGATGATTCTAATTGTGTGATTTAAATAGGTATGTCGTATCCAAGCACCAAAGACCCAATTAAGAAAAGATTCAAACTGGTTATGAAACCCCACACCAAAACTGCAAAAAATGAAGTTATTGGTCCATTGCTCAAATCCTTGTAGTACTTATCATCTCTTTCTGATTTGGAGTTGACTTGATTGGCATTTCTTTCAGTTACAGTTCTTGCTTCCATAAGATGTTCAATAGTGGAACAAGAATTCAAATCTTCGAAATTCGAACAATCGAAAGTAGAACTTTGTTGAGATGCCAAAGATTGTTGGAAGTTCAAATCTTGTAATTTGATTGATTCGGTCATAGACGACTTGTTTTTGTTTTCATTGAATTCATTATCATCTAATTCATTGAATACAGGGACTCTCATGATTTGTTTGGAACAAGTAAACATGATCAAAGGAGCTGTTACAATAGGTAACAATATTGACAATATTACTTGACTAAAGTTCAAAATATTCGATAACCCTTCTCTTCCTGAAAATGTAACTACCAATAAACATGGTACAATAGCCAAACCTCTTGTGATTATTCTTCTGGTGACTGGAGGGAAATTCCATGATAAGAACCCTTCCAGAATCATTTGGCCTGCTAAAGTACAGATAATACCTGCACTTTGACCGGAAAATAATAAAGCCAATGCAAAAACAAGACCAGCAGTAGGAGATAAATGTTTTGTGAGTAAATGATAAATAGTGAATAAATCTGCATTTTCGTAATCTTCGTTATCACTATCACTCATATAACCGTCATTGTCGTCATCTTCATGATGATCTCTTTTGTGCTTTTGGTCGAGGGTGGCTCCAGCAACTATAAGAATGGCTGAGTTTACAAATAATGCCACTGTGAATAATGAAATAACTAACTCTGTTAATGTATATGACATAGTGTCATTAATGGCATGAATGGATGGTCTATATTCATTTTCCTCTTCTTCTTGTTCTTCTTCTTGTTCATTAACGAGTTGTGAATTCTCTTCATCAGTTTCTTCGTGCTCAGTAACCTTATAATAACCGAACTTGATGTCAAATTCTTTCAATCTTGATTGAACAATCCCACTTCCAAGATATAATGAATGAGGCATAACAGTAGCTCCTAAAATGGCTAAACTCAAGAACAACCCGTTTCCTCCTTCTCTGTCACTCATGTCTATCACTTTCTCGTTAGGTAAAAACCCTTCAAATACTTTACCAAGGTCGAAGTTGATGTTAGAATCATGAGAAACTTGATACAACTCAATGGCAAAACAAGCCACTGTTGCTATTACAAGAATGGAAACAAACAATTCAAAGATTCTTACGAATAACATTGGACCATTAGGTCTGTATGCCATGAGAACTACCAAAACATCTGAAATTGTAATGATAACTCCTAAAAGTAAAGGAATATTGAAAAGGATATTCAATGAAATGGCCATACCAACAACCTCTGCTATATCTGTAGCTATAATTGCTATTTCTGCCATGGCATATATGAAAAGATTCACTTTGGGGTTGAGGTTCCTCTTACAATTAGTTGCTAAGTCCAAACCTGTAACACAGCCTAGTCTGGCTGATAATACTTGTAAGAAGACTGCCAAGCAGTTACTTAACAAGATGGAGAATAAAAGTTTATACTGGAATGCTGAACCAGCAGCAACCGCCGTAGAATAATTCCCAGGATCAATGTATGCAACTGAAACCATGAATCCTGGCCCCACCACTGACATGTACTTTTTAATTTTACTTATTATAGATCTTACCCGTATCATAATGACTGTGGATATATTGTGCGATGTGTTAAGTATATTTGAATCAATGTGGTCTTAATTTGTGTTGATAGCTGGGGATGTTGTCAATAAAAAATGGTGATAAGTATGCAAATGTTTGTAAAATTTGAGTTTTGCTGATGCGCATTCCCGGAGCGGTCAAATGGATTTGGTTGTAAATACTACAAAGAGACGTGTAGTTACTATATTCGACATGTTATTGTACTCGGGTGCTTGGTGGAGAAACTAGAAAATCTTAGCTTTTTGGCATAGTTGATTTCGTGTTTATATCTATGACAGGAGAAAAGATGGGTTTTATACACCTAGAACAAACATTGAACTTTCAAGACTTTGATTATATATTCCAGCACTGTCCATCTATCTATTGGTATCATATCAAAAATGTAACTCTATTCTCTAGCTTGACATCAATCTGCTTGATTTTGATGTTAAAGATGTAAACGGAGATTTCGCACCCGATTTTTCATCACCATGTTTAAAGCAGTTAAAACTATTCCAGTGTTGTCCAAGACATTCACTAAGAGATTGGTTTCATCCAGTAGCGTATTGAGATCTTCATCGGTCTTTAACATGCCTGCCATGTCCCCTACTATGACAGAAGGTGGTATTACCTCCTGGAAATTAAAGCCCGGTGAAGAATTCAAAGCTGGTGATGTCTTGTTAGAAATTGAAACTGATAAAGCAACTATTGATGTTGAAGCTCAAGATGATGGAATCTTATGGGAGATATTAGTAGCTGAAGGGGAATCTGGAATTGCTGTTGGTAAACCAATTGCTTTCTTAGCCGAAGTTGGAGATGATTTAAACACTCTTGAAAAACCAGTCATTGAAGAAACACCAAAAGAAGCACCAAAAGAATCGCCAAAAGAATCACCAAAAACTGAAGAATCAAAATCTGAGGCTCCTAAACAAAACGAATCAGCCCCTGCGCAAGAATCAAGTGAAAGTGGATCAATCTTCGTCAAAGCTAATCCAAGTCAAAAATTAATGCCATCAGTAGAAGTTTTATTACATCAAAACAATATTTCAAAAGAAGAAGCCCTCAGTAAAATCGAAGCTTCAGGTCCTAAAGGAAGATTATTAAAAGGTGATGTTTTAAATTACTTAGGTCAAATCAAAAAAGATTCTATCTTGTCAATTACAAAAATCATTAATTCTAAACAACATTTAGACTTATCAAATATTGTTCTCAAAGCACCAGAACCTCAAACTAAAGAATCAGACAAAGCTCCAGCTGCCAAAGCACCAAGAGATGACATTTTAACCATTCAATTAACATCAGAATTTACTTCCAAAGCCGAATTTAAACAAGATTTCGAAAACCTCATTCACTCATCATTAGTTAAAACTTACGGTTCCAAATTCCCACAATATGCTCATTCTCCATCAGCAAATACTAACATACAGACCGATATCTTTGATGAATTATTGGTTCCATCTCCATCAACTGAAAGATTCAAGATTTTTGATGTTACCTACAAATTCAATGATGTCAAACCAAACTTTTCTCCAGTTTCAGATTTTGATGATTTATTAAGTCCAGTGGCTGTTCCTACTCCTTCAGGTAAAGTAGATGTCGAATTCAAAATTCAAATCAATCCATTAATTGATTCAAAAGATTTCTTCAGCAGTTTCAAGAGTATTTTATTATCACAATTTTAGAAAAAAAAATATTTGCTTATAGATTTCATATATTCTACCTTTTGACATTTCGTTTATAGTTTCATTTTTTTCTATGTGCGTCTCGTAGATGTGTCTCCAACTTTAAAAACTCATTGTATTGTTCTCGTTTGAAACAATTTTACGCCTCTGTTATCCTCTTTAAAAAACCTTTCAGCTTCTTGGGGATTGAATCAATATAATTGGTGATATCCAACTTCGTTCCCCATCATAATCATTGGGACTCGGAAATATGTCTAGTTTTCACCACTTCTCAAATTTAAAAAAATTTGATCTGTCTGAGCTGATGTATAATTATTATGGTTATGGTGCTAACCAGGATAGGAAGCTCAACAACAGCCCTAATTATAGGGCAGAGTACCAGTCACAATCATCATCTCAGTCAATACAGACTCAAATGCTGTCACTGTCTAATCCAGTAAATAATGCCACAAATGCCAATCATGGACCTAATACTAATAGTTCAGATAAGAGGTCATCCAACCAACCCCAGTATTATCAACAACAATATCCTTATCAATATGTTAATTATGATAACTATGTCCATGTAGTACCATATCAACAAATGGTACCAAATCAACAAATCGTTCCCAATCAACAAATGGTGCCGAATCAACAAATGGTTCCCAATCAATATTATCAATATAACCAACAACATTTAAATCAGTCGAGCCATTCACAACCCAATCAGCCCGGTCATCAAAATCAACCTGGTCAACCTAATCAACCTAATCATCCCGGTCAGGCTTTTCCTGGTCAACCTGGTGTGGGGATGTCTGGGCAGGCTGGCCATCAGTATGGGCCAGGATCAACTAATCAACCTCATCAACTTCTGATTCAACAAGTTCAACTTCAACAAGCACAACTCCAACAAGCTCAAATTCAACAAGCACAACTTCAGCAGGCACAACAGCATCTCCAACTTCAACAAGCACAGCAACAACTTCAACATCAGCATGAGCTTCAACAAAATCCTCCACAAGTTCTGCAGCAACTGCACCAGGCTCATCAGAATAGCCATCAGAGCCAGTTGAGTCACAGTCAAACTAATCAGGCTCATTCCACTAACCTGAGTCAACAACATCTGCATCAACAACAGCCACACATTCATCAACCCCATCAAAACGGTCAAAATGTACAACATCATGCCATTCAAGCTCAAAGTCAACCACAAAATCAAGGTCAAATACCTGTTCACCCCAATCAAGCTTTGTTAAGGAAATCGTCGACTCCTCCCATAACAAATCATATCGCTCAACAGGGACATCCTCAGTTAAACTCAAACCAATTGACCCCTAACCAAGTTCTAACCCCAAATCAAGTTCATCCAACCATGACTAATGGCATAAATCAGATTACTCCAATGCATTCTAGATTCAACAAGAGGTTTTACGAGAATGAGGAGATCATGGAGGCCAATTATCAATATCCGAATTCTTATGAATACGACACAAACTACATGAGACAGGATTTCGACTTCGAAAAGAAAGAAGTAGATATGAAAGATACACCCAAACAGAAAGTACAATCTAAAAAAACTGAAGAGTCCCACAAATCAGAGGAAAATATCACTTTCAGCAAAGAGACCTCTAAAGACAAGAAGAAAAGAGGGAGACCCAGAGTATTGTTGTATGATAATACCACCAATGAATACATGGACTCTTCTAATCCAAATTATAAGGCTTTGAGGAAAGAGTTGGTTGGTTCAGGAAAATTCAGCGAGGAGCTTTTGTCTACATACCTTGCAAAGAAGGAAGTAACATCATCAATAATCTCTCATGATTACAATAAGCAACAAGTGGAGGAGTTGATTGTGAAGAAGGATAAGAGAGGTAGACCAAGGAAATTTCCTATCGAACAAACTGGTATCACGGTAAAAGGTGTAAGAGTTGAAGGTTATAAGCAGCCCAAGGTTTTGAAAAGTCAGTCAAATATTAAACCTAAAAAGAGTCGAGGAAGACCCAGAAAATCAGCTGATATCATGTAAATTAATGTATACTATCTATAATATTCCTCTGGTGTTCGTTATTATTCGTTAAGTTCTTCGTTTTGTAGAAGTAATGGATCAGTGGTCGACTGGTAATTCTGATGTTCTGAGGCACTTCCACTAATGAGAGAAGATTCCTCATTCAACATTCCATCAATACTCGTGGTAGTGTTTTGTTCATAGATTCTCTCTCTCATATTCATCACTTCTTCAGGATCGTTGGTAATTTTACTGGAACTTTCCTTTTCATTGATCTTCGAAGAAGAGCCCAAGTTATATAAATCTTTCACTGATCTACCAAAGAAATCAATTTCTTCCTCTGGATATGATGGTGGAAGTTCATCTCCTTTGTCTAATAGCTTATCGTCTGCTAGTCCGTATTGTGGTAATGAAGCGAGTCCTCTATCACCCTCCAACCTCTTGGCATCGCCTGTCGGTATGAATCCATACTTCTTAACATTTGCTTCTATCCAAACAAAACCTCTTTGTCCTAAATTCACCTGGAACTTACCATTTGTCAGGAAGCACCCAACTGCAGGATACATGTCTATAAAAAGCCCTCTCATTACATCCATTATCTTTCTACCATTCTTGGTAATGAAAACTGTCCCGGTAGGAATATGATACCCAAAACCTACTATGTCACTTTGACCCAAAGGAGGTAAGACCAAAGCATTGAATAAACTCTTATCGCCCAAATGCTGTTGTAGTGGTGTGGGGAAAGGCTTGTTAATTTTCAAATTACCGGTAGACTCATAGGCGATGGAAAAATTATTATAACCTGGTAATCTGAAAGCAGGATAGGGTTTTGTTACTATCCCTATGGAGAAATGTCCATTTGGTGAGTCAACATATTCGAATATTTTGGTTTCAAAATACACTGTATCAGAAAATAATCTATGTCTGACAGGTAAACAATAATTCAAAATAGATGTAACCGTTGAGTATGGCAAATCGTTGTTGTGGAAATTTAGTTCAGTTTTATCCTCTACTATATATTTTGGGTTCAATATGCTTTCGTCTTGGCTGAATTCAAATGCTTGGAGGCCCCTCTCCTTGATTACCACTTCGATATCATTGGTTATACTCCTTCCCCTTCCCTCAAAAGTAGGAACATTGACCTTGTAAAACTCCTCTGCTCTGAAGAATGACTGTTGTTCCTCTGGTGATAAACTGCCGAATTCATATTCTTCCGATAATCGTAACAAGGATTCCTCATCATTTAAGAATTCATAAGGTAAATCATGACTGCTTACAAATTCAGAGCCTATTAGTCTATAGTTTCGTCTGCTGAGTTTCACACATATTATGAATATGAGTAATACCAACAATGTTATGGATGAAACTATGAACAAGATCAAAAACTCGTCAGATTGCAAGAATGTGGTTCCTTGTATCATCCTGATTACCGCTCGCAATAGATAAAAAAATGCGATATGAATATATATCAATTATATGCTAAACTATTTCCGGTCTTTACTTAATTTCATTAAAGATCTTGAATTATCTCTGACCATTGGATTATAATGCTTATCCAACAAAACATTTTCCCATAATGTTGAAGCGTCGGCATTCAGCCTTTCTAATTCGACATCTTTGATGTATTCGATACCTAAACTATAATTACCTTCACCATTAATTCTTTCTTCTGAGTTCCATAACCCTTTAGTTGATTCTCCATATTTATTGACTAACTTACCGATGAATTTCAAAGTAGCCAAAGAAGTTTTTTCTGGAGTTTGCAACATCAAAATGTATAATCTCTTGATGAATGCGATGGCTCTTGAATTGGATCCATTCCTGGATTTGAAGAAAATCAGATCGAGACAATTCAAAAGTAATTCTGCCTTGGTAGAAACATTGACTGAGGGTTTTTCCAAGTAATTGTCTTGTGACAAAGGATCAAGTAATCTCAAGGTCTTGTGACTGAATTCCAAATCTGAATCTAATGATAAATCTGACAATACAAGATACAAAGATGAAATAAATTTGGATAAATCAATTGAAATGGGTAATCTCCCCATGGTTGAATGATTGAGGATCAATTGGAATGAGGTAACAATACATAACAAGATCATTCTAAGCTGTTTGGAATCGTATAAGCCGCCTTCATAAATTTCATCATCAATTTCTTCGTTATTTAAAGAGTGATTATCAATGATGTCACCCATGATCTCTCTCAAAATCTCTAAGAAATCTCCCAATAAATCAAAATTGGCCATTCTACCGAATTTTGATAATCCTTCCAAGACTGAAGCGAGTAACATACTGGCATCATTCTTCTCTCCGGTATTAATGGACTCGGATCCTGCTTTCAAAGTTTCCAAGTAAAGTTTCAACAAAGTCTTCAATACGTTTGATTGGAACTTTTCTCTTTCTTCTGCTGTGATGGATTGTTTGGCCTTCTCCATTTCTTCTTCGATCTCTTTTAATTCCTTTCTAGCCTTTCTTTGCTTCTTGGATAAATGTACTCTGTCTTTCTTTTTCAACTTCTCTTTTGGTCTTGTTTCGTCATTAGGATTATAGTCATCGAGTAATGATAAAGATAAAAATACATTTAAAACTGATTCATCGACTCTAAACTTTTTATCTTTTATAACTTTACATAAAATCATAACCAAGTCGTTGGATATTTCTCCGTGTTCTTTATCTTCTGTCAAAAGAGTTTCCAAAACCCTGATACATTTGATGAAGATTTCGAAATCTTTTATATCCTTTGGTTTTTTATTCAACCTTTTGATAATGATAGTTAACAAATCGTTTCTACAATTGAAAAATCTCAAAGATGATAACATTAAATCACAACATGATTTGATACTGATCTCTCCCAATTTGACTTGCTCGTTTGTGATTTTCTTGTTGTTTTCACTGTTCGATCTAGTTACCTTGGATAATTTCCCTAAGTGGTCTATGAAAATTTTGTAGTTATAGATCAAAGATTGTTCAAAAATTCTTAACTTAGCAACTTCCTTTGATACTTTTGTTCTCTTTTCGGCGTCGGTCAATGCTCTGATCTTGTAACTCGGTGACAAATTCTTGAAAACTGGAATCAATGAGATAATTGATAATTGACTCAAGACAAAATTTCTTGACATGGACATTTTACGCAACCTTGTTAAGCAATTGATATTCTCTTCTGGGTCTTCCATTAATTTGGAAGCCAAATTTGCTATCTCTTCTTTCATTTTTACTAATCTTTCTTTAGGATTTAATGTGTCGTCAAATTTATCTGCCTCATCTTCTTCTTTTGCTATCTTTTTTTCAGCTTCATTTTCTTCTTTAGCTTCTGGTTGTGGTTCTTCTTCCTTTTCTTTTGTTACTTCTCTTTGTTGTCTTTCAATTTTGTTTCCTATTTTAATGGGAAGTGACTCGATGACTTGATCATCTACATTACGGGGTTTAAGTTCATAGCTTTGTTCTTCGTTATCCCAATCTTCTCCTAGTTCATCCACATCTTCAACATTGCCGAATCCACTCAACAATGAATCGGCGTCTGATTTGAACTTCTTCCTTCTTTCTTCACTATTTTTGCTTCTCTTACCCATCTTTTTTTTCATCTCATCGCGAATTTGCAGCCTAAGTAGTGAGACCCCAGTTTCGAATGAGGTTCAAGAAATCCAGTTATTGTCCACCACTAATGTCTTGCACTACCTCTTGCAATCCGGAATATGAGTCAGAAACCACTCAGTATGTTGGCTAGGATAGGGGACAGATTTCTCTAATCTTGAGAGTGTGCTTATTTCAGCTTTATTGTGGAGTTGGAGTCGGTTCATTGGTTATATCGAGACCAAGATTTAATCTCCTGCTCCTAGAATTGATTTCCTGTGGAGAGAGTGGACTGATTTGATCACTCCTATGGACCATTCTATTATCATCTCATATCGCATGTAATTCTCGTATAATTTTCTTAGTCTCTATAGCGGCACAAAGGAAATATTTAGTACCGAAATGGTACCACAATTCGCACTAATGATGGTACCACAATCATGTAAACAATCGCGGCATTTTACCAATAAACGATCGTTTAATATAATATATAATCAGAAGTTCGCGGTTAAAAAATTAAAGATTTTGATATGGACTACAATTCAACAGATCCAGGTTTAATTGCCCAAGTAGCTAATAAGTCTTATGATGTATATCAATCATTAAGCTCTTGGCAAATCACACTTTTTACAATTTTCACATTCTTGCTCTTGGAACAAGTTAGATATGTTAAGAATAAAGGTACCATCGCAGGTCCTGCTTTGAAATTATATCCTATCATCGGACCTTTCTTGGAATCTTTGAATCCTAAATTTGAAGAATATTTAGCAAAATGGAACTCAGGACCTTTGAGTTGTGTCGAAGTTTTCCACAAATTCGTCGTCATTGCATCAACAAGAGACTTATCTAGAAAAATTTTAAGTTCTCCTAAGTATGTCAAACCTTGTCTTGTTGACGTTGCTATCAAAATTTTAAGAGCTTCAAATTGGGTATTTTTAGACGGTCAAGAACATGCCGATTATAGAAAAGCTTTGAATGGTTTGTTCACTCCTAGTGCTTTGGAAGATTATTTACCAATCCAAGAAAAATGTATTGACGAACATCTTGATTTGTTCCTTAGTTACAAAGAACCAAAACAATTTTTCGATGATTTCAGAGAAATGTTGTGTGCTTTATCATTGAAGACTTTCTGTGGTGATTATATAACCGAAGATCAAATCAAAATGATTGCCGATAACTACTACAAAATTACCGCTGCTTTAGAATTAGTTAATTTCCCTATCATTATACCATATACCAAAACTTGGTACGGAAAAAAAATTGCTCATGATACCATGTTGATTTTCCAAGATTGTGCAGACAGAGCCAAGAAAGATATTGCTAATGGTAGTGAACCAAATTCATTGATGGAAAAATGGATCTACCAAAGTCAACAAGCTAAATTGAATAAATTGGACTCTGATGATGCCAAATATTTGACCAGAGATTTTACATCAAAGGAGATTAGTGAGGCTGTTTTCACTTTCTTATTTGCTTCTCAAGATGCTTCTTCATCCTTGGCTTGTTGGTTATTCCAAATTATCAGTGATAGACCAGATATTGCCAACAAAGTTAGAGAAGAACAATTAAGAATCAGAAACAACGATTTGTCCGTCAATTTATCGTTAGATTTAATCAATGAAATGAAGTATACAAATGCTGTTGTTAAAGAATGTTTGAGATACAGACCTCCTGTTACTATGGTTCCATATGTTGCGAAACAAGAGTTCCCTATCACCAAAGACTACAATGTTCCAAAAGGTGCTATGATCATTCCAACCTTTTATCCTTCATTACATGACCCAGAAATTTATGAAAACCCAGACGACTTCATTCCTGAAAGATGGTTCGAAGCAACTGATAATATGTTAAAAAGAAACTATTTGGTTTTCGGATATGGTGCACATGCTTGTATTGGTAAAAATTACGTTTACACTTTGTTTGCTGGTTTATTAGGTAAAGCTTTATTAAAGTGTGATTTGACTCATTATCCTACTGAATTATCAGAAGAGATTGAAGTCTTTGCTACTATTTTCCCCAAAGATCATTTAACTTTGAAATGGAACAAATATGATCCTTTCAAAAAAGAAGTTATTGCTTAATTTTTTGAATACATTATAGAGTTATACATTGTATTTTAACAATTAATTCCACGAGTTTTAATATATGTTTTATTTATGGTTTAAACCTTCACTTCTCTTAAATCTGATACTTAAACCTAATAATTTCCAAAAGAAAACCTTGAGAGCTATTTGAGAGCATCATAAAAGACTATTTATCGACTAAATAAGTTTAAGCATCGTAGGTTGATGCAGAAACGTTACCACCTCTACCGGTCCAGTTAACGTGGATCCATTCACCTTTCTTTAAGAAATCATTTTCCTTACCTGGTAAGACTTGGAAAGTGTGGGCACCGAAGTAATCTCTTTGAGCTTGTAATAAGTTAGCTGGTAAGACTTCTGATCTGTAACCATCGTAGAATGATAAGGCAGTGGTGAAAGCTGGGACTGGGATACCAGAAGCAACAGCTTTACCAATGGTTGATCTCCAACCTGATTGAGCTTCAGTGATAGCTTTGTTGAAGAATGGGTGGAATAATAAGTTTTCTAAATCTGGGTTTTCTCTGAAAGCTGAAGTAATTTCACCTAAGAAAACAGATCTGATGATACATCCACCTCTCCACATTAAAGCGATAGCTGGGTTGTTTAATTTCCAACCGTATTCTTTAGCAGCTTCTCTGATTAACATGAAACCTTGGGCATAAGAGATAATCTTAGAAGCATATAAAGCTTGTTCTAAATCATCAACAAATTGTTGTTTGTCAGTGATAGCAACTGGTTCTGGACCAGTTAATTTTTTAGAAGCAGTGGTTCTTTCGTCTTTAATAGCAGATAAACATCTGGAGAAGACGGCTTCACCAATTAAGGTAACTGGCATACCTAAATCTAAAGCGTTGATAGCAGTCCATTTACCGGTACCTTTTTGACCGGCGGTATCTAAGATTTTTTCTAATAATGGAGTGTTGTCGGTTGGATCATTGAAATATAAGATATCTCTGGTAATTTCAATTAAGAAAGAATCCAAAACACCTTTGTTCCATTTGGCGAAAACATCACCCATTTCTTTGTTAGTGAATTTACCAACTCTCTTCATTAAATCGTAAGCTTCACAAATTAATTGCATATCACCATATTCAATACCATTGTGGACCATTTTGACGTAATGACCGGCACCGGCATCACCAACCCAATCACAACATGGTTCACCATCGGATTTAGCAGCAATTGATTGGAAGATTTCTTTGATGTGTGGCCAAGCATCTGGGTGACCACCTGGCATTAATGAAGGACCATTTCTAGCACCTTCTTCACCACCAGAAACACCTGAACCAACGAATAAGATACCTTGTTTGTTTAATTCTTCGAATCTTCTGTTGGAGTCTGGGAAATGAGAGTTACCACCATCAATGATGATATCACCTTTTTCTAAGTGAGGTAATAATTGTTCGATGAAAGCATCGACTGGTTTACCAGCTTTAACTAATAAGATAATTCTTCTTGGTCTTTTTAAGTTTTTACATAATTCTTCAATTGATTTAGCACCAATGATTGATTTACCTTTAGCTTCACCTTCTAAGAATTCGTCAACTTTAGCAACAGTTCTGTTATAAGCAACGACAGTAAATCCGTGGTCAGCAGCGTTTAAGATCAAATTTTGACCCATAACGGCTAAACCAATTAAACCAATATCACCACTACCATAGTTAGTATTCAAATGATTCTGTATTAATTGAATTCGATCAGACATTTTCAAAATTTAAATCAGGAAAAATGTTGTCCAATATATACAATAAAATGAGATTGTGATAATCCAACTGTGATTTTTCGAGCATGTCCCGAAAAAGGAGATCCATAATTTTTCAACCGTTGAGGAAGATTTGTAAAACTGATCTTCCTTCATTCGGGATCAATTCTCCGGAATTGATATCTTGATGATGATTATTGAAGATTGAATTTACAACATTTTTTCGAAACCCGAAATGGAGTTGCTAATTCCGAAATTGGATGATTCAGAAAGACTCACCCCAACTTTATCAGATCTACAATCCGCTGTAGATTCTACAAAAAAGCCATCAATTCAATTGGACAACATTCCTAAACTTCTTTTCTGGCGATATACTGTTTCAAAACTATACATACGTTGGAGCACTCATAATTAATATTCTTTTAAACTTCTAAAAATTGAAAAAGTTCTTTGGAAAAAAATTGTTGAGAAATTGAGAGTATTTATAATATTGACTGTAAGACATTTTTTGGAACCTTTTTTTTCAGAATCGGAGTGCTTACAAACCTGATTAATCCCCCGATTTCCAGAATTAATAAAATTGCAAGCGATCTTGATTAGGGCAAGTAAGACAATTGGGTCGATTCGTCTCTACAAGGTTTCGGCCAACGCACCGACATATTAAATTGCTTTGGAGACAATCCAATTCAACTCACATATCACACACTACTTATCCGGCTAAATATTTGCAAGCTCCAAGAGAGTAATTCGGATTGTTTAGCATGTTTAAGGTTAGTTGATTCCTCTTCAGAAATCCGATACAATCTTCCAGATTTCCCAAAACCTCTTATGCGTGGCGACATTCTCTATTAGTATTTTATGCGGTTGATTCTTGACCGGCTTAAGTGCATTAGTAATTTTAGAACTTTTTTCAAATCCAACAATTAGTAAACTTCTGGTGATAGTAATGTTGATCAAGCTAGTTTTTTACCCTTTTTAATGCATTCAACTGATAATCTTCCATAAGTAGCCCGAACGGCCATCATGAAATCAGAGAGCGGAATTGGCATTTTGGTCCCCCACGCTTAATCTGATCGTATATTACTTGCAACCTCTTGTTTGACAGTGCCAATTTCTCTCCTCCCCCAACTGCATGGTTCCCAACTGTAAATATCTAATTTTCAATTATTAATCTGTACTGGTCCCCCACGTCAAACGTGGGGGTACTATTGGGAATGTTTTATTAATGTAACGTGACTATACGCATGACTTACACGAGATATATTTTTTTTCGATTGTTTGAGACACTAAGAAGTTGCTGCTTTCTTGTGCTGCAAAAAATCCACACTTTGGCCACCACAATTTCCTAGTTAAGGATTTATCTAATTTTCATCTTCCGGTTAAATGCTTGTTTAATTCTTGTCCTGTAATTTTTTCCCATAATCCTACAATCTTTCTACACACTGAAAATCTTGTTGTTAAGCAAACGAAGAGTAGTGAAAAGTTTAAGTCATGTCACGTGCAATGATTTAATGATATGAAATCAATATAGAAAGTACATAATTCCATTACAAATTTTTATCTGATTTATATATACACAAAATCTACTAATAAAAAATGATTCCAGAGCCTCACGGTGGTGCCTTACAAGACTTAGTTATCAGAGATGCTAATATTAAAGACGATTTGTTGAAAAAATCTGAATCTTTAGAACAAGTTGTATTAACTGACAGACAATTATGTGATTTAGAATTAATCTTAAATGGTGGTTTCAGTCCATTAGACGGGTTTTTAAACGAAGACGACTATAATTCAGTGGTCAGTGATATGAGATTATCGTCTAAAGTCAACAAAGAAACTGGTAAAGGTTATTTGTGGCCAATCCCAATTACTTTAGATGTTAACGAAGCCGTTGCTTCAAGTTTCAAAATCGGTCAAGAAATTGTACTCAAAGATTTAAGAGATGACAATAAGTTAGCCATCTTAAAAATCGAATCTATTTATAAGCCAAACAAAGAATTGGAAGCCAAAAATGTATTCAGAGGAGATCCTGAACATCCAGCTGTGAAATACTTATTTGATACTGCTGGTGATTATTACATTGGTGGTTCCCTTCAAGGTTTAAACTACCCAAAACACTATGATTATAGTGACTTCAGAAAGAACCCAACTGCTTTGAGATCAGAATTTCACAATAATGGATGGGCTGATCACAATATAGTGGCTTTCCAAACCAGAAACCCTATGCACAGAGCCCATAGAGAATTGACAATCAGAGCTGCTCAAGATTTAGGTGAAAATGGACATATCTTGATCCACCCTGTTGTCGGTTTGACCAAACCTGGTGATATTGATCATCACACTAGAGTTAAAGTTTACAAAACTATTTTAACCAAATTTCCGGAAAATTTAGCTACTTTATCATTATTACCTTTGGCCATGAGAATGGGTGGTGATAAGGAAGCCTTGTGGCATGCTTTGATTCGTCAAAATTATGGTGTTGATCACTTTATTGTTGGTAGAGATCACGCTGGTCCTGGTAAGAACTCACAAGGTGTTGACTTCTATGGCCCTTATGATGCTCAAGACTTATTGAAAAATGTGGAAGGTGAATTGAAAATTAAAATTGTTCCCTTCAGAATGGTCACCTATTTACCTGATGAAGACAGATATGCTCCAATTGATACCATAGATTTGAAGACCGTCAAAACTGCAAATATTTCTGGTACCGAATTGAGACAAAGATTGAAGGATGGCTCTGAAATTCCAGAATGGTTCAGTTACCCTGAAGTTGTCTCCATCTTGAGATCTACTAACCCACCAAGGTCCAAACAAGGTTTTGTTATTGCTATCAATACTAAAAACACCGCCAATAAATCAGGTGAATACTTGTCTTTTGCTTTACAATCCGTGTTGAACGAATTGAACAAAGACAGAAGAATCACCAAATTGGTCGATTACAATGACGACTACATTGTCAACGAACTTGTCAAGGCTGGTACTGGTGTTATCGCTTTGTCATCCCAAGTTAACAAGATTGTTGATGCCATTGGTCAAAGTAACTCAATAATTGTAAACATCGATAACAACCAAGAGCAAGGACAATCAAGTGATAATGTTTTCAACTTGAACTCTAATGAAAAAGATTTAACCAAATTTATTCAATCAATCATCGATTACTTAGAACAACAAGGTTTCATCAAAAACAACTGGTCAATAGATTTAATTTAGAGCAATACATATTTATTTATGCCCTTTTCCCGATACAATTTCTTCATCTCATCCTCATTTCACCTCAATCGCAGGTAAGGTTGCTCAACAATTTTCGATTTTTGTGTGATATGTAATAAGGCTGCAAACTGCGATTTCAGAACAGGCTGAAACTTCGAGCTGCGATTTTAGAGTTGGCTGCAAAATATTACCACATTACTCTAGCACATTACCGGGCCAAAAGTTTAATTCCTATTCATGGCAAATGTTGTTGGTGAGGATGGTGAGGTTTGCGACTTGACCTCATCTTCCATGAATCAATATTTCAAGATTTGATTGAATTCCCCTTTGATAAAAATGGGTGAAATTCACAAATTATGCAAATTTTATATAATAGATACTTTTCACATTTGATAATTCTCTATTAACTTCTGGTATAACTAAGCATCAAGTATACGAAACTTATCACTAAAAGAACAGCCTTTTGTCTTATATATCAAGGACTACTCAGATGACTTCCAGGAAACGTCTTAGAACTCACTTCCAGCTCAGGGGAGATAGTTATGAAGAGAGAGACTCTAAATACTCTTAAGTTGATTAAATACGACATGTGGGATAATTGATGACAATAAAAGTTTCAAGGTTGCAGACTTAGTGATTAAGCAAGATAGATCCGTCACTACCTGACAAAAGCTTAGAACCATCCGGTGATCATTCTGCCTGATAATAAGGAGACACACTCCCGTCTTCGTCCACCACTAACCATAATTGATAATTATGTCCAAATTCCCACTAACTGTAATTCCTAAGAATCTACGTTCTATAACAAATTTGTCAGGAAATGTGAAAACTCAAATTAACCTACTTCCTTCAGCTACAAGATAGTGGTTGCGAAATATTCTGCCCACCGGTCACTCTTTCCAACATCAAATACTATTGATAATAATTTACGTAAGAGGTTTCTATGAATTTTATGAATTCAATTTTCCTTAAGTCCAGTTAACTAATCTAACCAGATGTGCCTTTATATTGGTAGTATAGATATATTAGTTAAAAATAAAAGAAAAAAAAAATAGGATTCTTCGAGCTCTTGATTTTCAACAGATTAGGGGGATACAGTCGTGTTAGATATAGTATAAGTCACGATTAAATTTGAAGGAAAGTTTCCAGTGATAAGATACTTCAACACAGAATTCATTATAGATTCAAAAGTAAGGTATCGTTACGTTCATCACATTTTCTACAATACTCCTATAATGATACACAATATTACCATGTTTTCGAAAATTTGGAAAGTCGTGTAGATGATCAAATACAAAAACATAAAAACCTAAATCATTTCTAAAATGAAAATTACATCTGAAAAACCAGTAATAATCCCTTATGGAATAATGCAGGTCAACCCATCAGAAAACAGCTCCTCATAACATTAAAAGGAAGAAAAAAATCGAAGGATTATCTCAATCTTACCAGCGAGGGCCACAATATTTCTCTTTTATAGAAATTGATACATGAAATTTAAAATCACATGAACTATTCTCAGCACCAAGAGTCTAACATCCTCACTAGAGGAATCTCAACTCAATCGAGGATATATACTACATAAACAGATAACGATTATTGAGATCAAGGCAAACCCACTCTATAATCTCAATTCTATACCCATCAAAGAAAAAGAGCTGGGAAACGTAATGCATTCTTCATATCCAAAAAGCTCATGAAAACAAGAAATCCTAAAACCCTTACAATTCCTACCTAAAATTCACTCTACTAATACCTGACAATGAGGCTTTCTCTAAGACATTGCGTTTTGCTGGATAGCATAACAGATTTTTAATCACATCCAATTGTACAACTAGCGAGATCCAAAGTATTTTGTGAACACAAACTCTTTACCAAAACATTGATATTCAATCCGTTGGCCTTATCATACTGAAAACTAATTGGAAAAGAATTATGAATCATTATCCTAGGTGAAAAATACTTAGTTCAATTGGTTGAGGATTAAACCAAAATTTGACAGAAATGAATAGAACAAATATCTATCAACAAAATTATTTTGGAATCAATGTCCTGTGCTTTACCATATTAGAAATTTTTTTACACAATGCTCGGATTACCTCTCAAACCTATCACAATCTCTACTCTCATGTTACGTCACTTATGATTGTTACTATAGTATTACGCCCAAAATATAACCTGTGGTATTTGCTGATGGATTACTATTTAATGGTTGAAACAGGATCTTACATTCGTAGAAGTGGACGGAAATCTCAAGTCACCTCAGTTCGAAAGAGCTTTGGCCAATTCTCTCCTAATGAACTCTCAATGTTTTTCAGTTTCAAAAGTGTAGGCATATATAATTCTTGAAGGGATTATTCTTGCCAATCAAGACAAAATAAACAATAGCACTTAATCGATAAATGTCTTTGATTAATTATGAAGCAGTTTTGATTCGAAATCCCTAACAATTTCGAATGGTTGCATCACAAGTAGTCGTCAACAAAAAGTTCCTCTTTCGTTTATAGTCTTTATTTGTTGAGCTTTGAATCCACTTAGTATAATTCATATGCTCGTAAGTTATGTTTTATATCCCTGGAAATACTCCGAAGCATCAGATTAGATCCACCTAGAAAGTGATTAAGTTACAGCCGTCAACAGTATAACCAGGAACTTGGCGGGACTGCGCATAATGTAGTTTAATTACTTACTGAATCTCAAGGGGGTTGTAAAATACATACTCCTCCCCCACTTATTTCCTGGTCGACTGAAAGAAATAAGAAAAGGCAAGGGTCATCCTGGAGAAAACACACACAAGACGAAATGTCGAATGTCGATGCATAAAAACTCTAATCATTTGACTACACAGATACTTCAGCCAAGTCTCTTCTTGAGCAATGGAGCTTTGCCCACAGTATACTCACATTCTGTACAAAAAAGGTTATCTAATCTCAATAGATTCTTCCAGTCTAGAGATTTTCATGTATACATCCTTTCCTAAATTCTTTGACCATGTCATGAGTGAAATTACTTTATCAAAATAGAGATTCCTCACGAACAGTGCATTTGAAATTAAGGTTATGCATAGTACTATGGAGATTGGATATGGTGATTCATCAACAAAAGAAAGAGGGGTCAACCGAGAGAGATAACATTTTTACAACCCGTAACAGCTATAGTACCCATGCCAATTACTTTACGGAAGCAATTCAACGGTAAAGGTTAAATGCTGTTCAAAGATTTATCAGGAATATCTATACTGGGGAGTAATAGTATTACATTAGAATTTCTACTAGAGTTAATCGGAAATGCTTAAAATAAACATTAACGTCATCTCAGTATTCCGATCCGGAAACATTAATTGAAGGATTTCAAGCATCTTTTATGTAGTAGCGAAAGATTGTTACCAAATATGTGTACCACATTGTTCGAAACGAGAACTTAATGTTTGCAAGTAAAATGTCTTGCCCTGCTTACTTCTTGCAATGAGTAATAACTCTCAGTTATCCCATTGCCCCAAAATGATTTGAAAGCATCCGAACAGAATATTTGTAGCAGGGCTAGTGGATACGAAATCAGCTGAGTAGCGTGTTAAATAAGGGAAAATCCTGCTCTTCAATTTTGTTTTTAACACCGAAATATCAATATACACTTATAAGTACGAGAATTGGGAGTGTAGAGAGCTCATTGATGTTATAAGATGAAAGCTCATGAAGTTGAACTCTCGAATTCGTTTGATAATCTTGCTTTTTGGGGGATTAAATTTCTGAAAGTAAAGCGTAAATGATTGATGTTTTTGACATGAATCTTTGTTTTCGTTCTTTTTTTCATGTGATGAGATGGATGGAAATGGTATATAATCTTGGACTATTCAAATTGGATACCTATTTAATAGACTTCGATTTAGTCACTGGTTGTGTGGAGTTAATATTGAAGTAAGAGGTTTTTTGGATGTATGATAATATTTGTAAGTTTGCAGAATTGTAATCCAGAGCCGTGTGCCCTTATTCCAGTCTTATAGCTTGAAGAACAAACTGTAAATGCTACTGGGAGGAATAAGAAGTATTTATTTACATAGAAAGAAACTGAGATATGGGTGTGTTCGTTTCAAACATATTGCAAGTTGGTTCAAAATATTCTTTTCATCTTCATCCTTGGAGCTTATCATTGGATAAATTACTCATTAGATTTATAGCAAAGACTTTTTACTTATATGGATATTTTTTGTTCATTCCTCTCTTTTTTTCATGAAAAGGTATGAATTATATCTTATAAGATTGGTCATAGGTGAACAATAGCAGTAATATAGTATGCGGGTTTGATTCCTATTGTGGTTATCATAATGAATATCTATCGCACCCACCCATCAAAATCTATATCAATTTGTCCTTCATTCGGGTGCTTTTCGGTTTCAACCTTACTGGTACTCCTCAAGTTTGTTACACAAACTGAGACTTGGTTGGTGCGTAGTACATATCAGGGTTGAGATCCTTTCTTAACTTATTGCGGGAAATGGGTGCAAAAGAGCACAAATTCTTCGACTTTTCATTTGAACTTTTATTTAGATGCCACATTTCGTTGTCTGGGTATTATCCTTGAAGAATCTAACCATGTGGTTCCTTACCTGGAGTTTCGGCGATGATTTCGGTATGAAGGAAATATATGTTCATCTTGCGAATACTTGATCTTCCATTTGCGCTAATATTTTTTATTCTCTGCAGCAGAATGATGGCTCGGGAAAGAAGGGATATTAGGGGAAGCTCACTGACAGAATCGATTGTTAACTGCTAACTCGGGAGGTCAAGATTTCTTCTTCTTCTTCTTCTTCTTCTTTCTCTCTCTACTCAATTATTATTTCAGTTATTTTATAATTTTTGCAAGAATCAGAATATTTGTTAACCGATCGATCAGTCGATGGCCTTGTCTCAATACTACTAAAAGTCAGCCAAATCAGATTATCAGAGCGGTTATCCAGAGTACTTTTGAGACATCTATATCATTTTGCGTAGTGGTTCATTGCATTATATTTGGGTAAGTATTCAAATAGTGTAGATGTTCTCTGCTTACGCGAATGCCGCTTGCAAGAATAAAAGTAGATAGGTAGTACAAAGGCTTTCCGCTGACGAGAGTGCTCTTTGAAAAGGTTGATAATATATAGAGCTGAACTTTCTCCGACACAGAATCCGACAGGTTCATAATACGTGGAGACCTACATCATACCCCAATAGCGTAGTGATAATCTTCCATCTTTTCCTAATTAGGTGCGGAAATGCGCATCAATATTTCAACTATCTGACTAATCTACAATATGAGGTGGGAGGATAAAGCTGACTTACCTCAAGTCACGATCCGGGCGACCATAGTAGGGTTGATAATCGGATCAATGGTGCTTACATCGAATTTTCAATTCGGTTTGCAAACAGGATGGGCCTCCATGATGTCGTTACCTTCAGCTTTACTCGGGTTCACTATATTCAAGTTTTTACCTATTTCCAAAAAGTTTACTGACGTAGAGAATGTATATATTCAGAGTGTGGCTGTTGCCACTGGTACAGGACCTTTAGCATATGGTCTTATAGGAATTATTCCAGCAATAGAGAATTTCTTGATGCCTGAAGAGACTGGCCTAGGAAGAGCTTTAAAATTTAGTTTCTGGGAACTTGTGATTTGGTCATTGGGTTTAGCCTTTTTTGGTGTGTTCATTGCGATTCCTTTAAGAAAGCAAGTGATTGTGAAAGAGAAATTGCCATTTCCTTCTGGAACTGCAACAGGTATCCTTATTTCGGTGTTACACGGAAACGAGCCCAACAACCAGAACGCAGAAGTAGATAATGGTTTACAACTTGCGGAAGAAGGGTCCGATAATGTAGAGAACACAGTAAGTCACTCAGAAATTCAAAGGATAGATGGTGTTGAATCTGAAGATGAGAGTACTGACGAATCGCCGCTCATAGGCAAATCCAAGGAATTTCATTCCAATATCAAGCCTTTAACAGTTACATTTATTATCTCCTCATTCTACACATTGGTTGCATATTATGCTCCCATTCTTAGAAACATTCCTATATTCGGAGCAACGGGGAAGAAGTATCTCTGGACATTTCAACCTTCCCCAGCTTATATTGGTCAGGGAATCATCATGGGATTACCAACTGTAAGCTATATGCTATTTGGGTCGGTGCTTGGGTGGGGAATTCTATCTCCAATGGCCAAAATCCTCGGCTGGGCTCCTGGAGATATTGATGATTGGAAGACTGGGAGTCAAGGATGGATTATGTGGATCAGTTTGAGCATCATGATAAGCGACTCGATTGTTGCATTTTTCGTTGTTGGTGCAAAATCCTTGAAAAGCTTGGTAGCCAGGGAAGATGATTATGAAGCAGATTTGAATTCTTTCTTAGAGTTAAAAGATGTGGATGAAAAGCATCTCATTAGCAAAAATGCAACTTGGTGCGGTTTGTTTGCTTCATCTCTTTTGTGCTCCATTTGTTTGAAGATGATTTTCGGAACTTTAGTTCCCTTGTATGCCATTATTACTGGGATTATTTTGGCTTTGTCCTTCTCAGTGTTGGCAGTTAGGGCTTTAGGAGAAACAGACTTGAACCCTGTGTCGGGTATCGGTAAACTCTCTCAGCTAATTTTTGCTTTGATCATTCCATCTCGAAATCCAGCCAAAATTCTAATTAACTTGATAGCTGGTGGTATAGCTGAGGCTGGAGCCCAGCAAGCAGGTGATTTGATGCAGGACTTGAAGACCGGTCATCTTCTCGGTGCTTCGCCCAAGGCTCAATTTGTGGCCCAAATGATTGGAACTATCTATTCAGTGTTTTTTTCCTCCTTGATGTACTTATTTTACAAGCATGTGTATAATATTCCAAACGAAATTTTTAGAATACCCACAGCAGTTATCTGGATTGACTGTGCTAGGTTGGTGACAGGTGAAGGTTTACCTGACAAAGTACCAGGCTTTGCTATATTCTTTGGATTTATATTTGGTTGCATATCTTTAGCCAAGAACTTAACACCTGCTACATCCAAATACCACAGCTATCTTGTTTACTTACCCAGTGGAGTGGCAGTTGGGATTGGAATATATAATACACCCAATTTTACTTTGGCAAGGTTTATAGGAGGAGTTATTTCATTCTTTTATTTGAAAAAATATCCTGTAAATAGAGTAAGTCTTATAATTTTGAGTAGTGGGTTAGTTCTCGGGGAAGGCCTTTTCAGTGTTGTTACGATGATTCTAGCTTCATTGGGTTTATAGAGATATACATTTACTATAGACTGACAGAACTTTAGATACCATAGATAAGAAAATAAGAAAGTAGGTATATTACATCTATCATAACTCATTAATTGACAACTTTAATGTCTCTTGTTGTCAGTATTGATTCTTTGGTTGATTAGGTAAATAGCGGTATTAATTGCTGTTTGGCTACCAGTTAATGTTAACTTTCTCATGTTAACAAGACCTCTTCCTCCCCCAATCATCATAGTTTGACCTTTGTCAGGCTCGATTTTCACATAAGTACAGCCACTTGATTCTCTGATTTGTTTAATATTGTTACCACCCTTTCCGATGACAGATCCGATTGAATGATTGGCAACATATACATCTTGGTTATACTTTTCTCCTCCCAAAGATACAGGTGGATAGATCAACACTTCCCCGATCATGTTGTTACCATGCTCATCAGTATACTGTTGTTGTGGAGGAGCAGTGATAGCCAGAGCTCTTTGATTAGGACCAGAGTTAGGGGCCTGAGCATATCCTTGTTGGGGGCTGATAGAAGGTTGGAACATATTTCCTTGGTAATTATTATACCTGTTTCCATAGTTTTGGCCCATATTTTGACCCATGTTTGGATTCGATCCCTGACCCATTGCTGGACCCATATTACTTCCCATTGGATTCATGTTTTGACCCATGTTTGGTTGCATCATATTACTCAAATTACTTAAAGCATTTAAAGCACTCATACCGGAGTTCATTTGACCCATTGGTTGACCCATTGGTTGACCCATTGGTTGACCCATTGGTTGGTTCATTCCTTGGCTCATATGCATAGGGGGCTGGTTCATACCTTGATTCATGCCTTGATTCATACCTTGGTTCATATTCATGGGTGATTGATTCATACCCTGATTCATATTCATGGGAGGTTGGTTCATTGATTGATTCATCGGTTGATTTGCTGGTTGATTCATTTGACTCAACTGGCTCAAAGGACTTTTGGTCATCTGACTCAAAGCATTCAAAGCATTCAACGGGCTGTTACCTGAGGCTCTTGGTGACTGAGAGCCTTTGTACAAATCTCCGATTAACGTGGTATTGGGGTTTAAATTAGGGTCATGGTTGGCTGGGTTATAAAAGATTATTTGAGCCTTTTTCAAAGAATCCTTATGTTCCAACCATGATTGGGCAACGAAATAAACTGCTATATGAATGGCATCACTCACACCTTTTATGGATAAAATTCTATCAGTAGAGTAAGGCAATGGCTTTTCTGCAGCTTTTAATTTAGCAGCAGAATTTTCTTCAATTTCCCTGAAATTACTTCCTTGTTTTCCGATAATGAATCCTACAACAGGGTGAGGGACCAATAATCTCAAATCGTAGGATTTTGAGGATAAAGTGGATGGCTCATCTTCAGGTTCATCCACAATAGCTCTTGATATCAATCCGAAAGCTTTAGCAACATTCTCAGAGGATCCTCTAACCGTAACAATTCGCTCTGGTGAGCCCTTATTGTTTTCACTGACCATTAATTTGACATTGGCTTTATCCCTAATATGATTGATTTTTTCTCCTTTTTTACCTACGACCATTGAAGCATCCCTGGACGAACAGTACATTCGAAGAGAAATAAAAGTAGGATCCTCTTTTTCTCTTGCAACTGCATGTTCTTCTCTCTTGTCATCAGCTTCTTCAACATTTGATTTATCCTGGAGCTCTAGATTTCCTACAGATTCTTCTCTTGGTTCCTCTTCGGATTTTTCTTCAAGTTGTTTGGTTTCAGGAGTCTCGTCATCTTCTTCGTCATCATCATATTTCACTTCACCATCATCAGAGTCTTGTGCTTTTTCATCTTGAGAAATTGCTGGTGCAGTCTTAGCTTGCTCTTCCTCGATCCTAGACTGTTCAATGGATTCAGAATCCAAAGCTAGTCTCTTAGAATCATCATTGGAATCATCTTCATTCTTTCTTTTCATATTCGACATGTTTGAAAAATTTTCGCGAACAAAATAGACCTAAAAAATGGTGGAAGCTCCTGCCTGGAATTTAACAAATAGCGAGAGCTTTTCGTACCACATATTCAGCCAGCCATCTTTTAATTTACACAGAGAGAGTGTGAACCATAACGTCAAATATTATACATTAAACATTGCCTTCTTGCAATTTTCTGGCCTTATCAGCATCTCTTGCGGCCTCGTAATTTTCATCCCTTTTAGCTTGTAATCTGCCCAAGAAGTCTTGTTTTTCCAAATAACCTCCCTTATTATGAATTTTCAAGTCATCATTCAATTTATTTTCATCAACAAAACTCGCCCAATCTAACCTGGACTTTTCCAAAGTAGATAGCTTCATTTTCTTGTTTCCGGTTTGTAAGAATTTGTCAATAAGCGAAGGTCTCTTTAATTTTATCTTCAATTCAATAGGTTCTTCGAATCCCTTGGGAGTCCTTAAAACGGGGACAAATGACCTATGTGGTTGGTCATCTACCATTTGAAGTCCCGTGGAATTGAGATAAGCTTTAGCTTCAGCAGAATTAGCGTCCACCTGTTTCGATTGCGTTATGATCTTTCCAGCGAAAGTGTACGAGGTTTTAATCCAAATTTTGTCCTTGTCATCGATCTGCTCAACTTGCACATCATTTTCTATAGTTTTTGCCACCTCTACTTCCACTTCTTTATCCCAATCGACGATTTGAGCCCCTTTCCCGCTCAAACTGTTTGTTTTCAAATCCCTGAATATATCATCGAAATTTAAGTCTTTGTTGACTTCAGAGACTAACAGGGATTTCTTCTGATGAACCTCCTCAAACCTTTGCCTCCTAGTCCTCACTTGGGTGACTTCACTTGGAGTATCTTGTTCGCCCTCACTATCACTACTTAACACTGGTTCTTTGATAGAAGTTGGGTCATAGTCATCGTCTTCTTCTTCATCATAATCATCTTCAGCTTTTTTGGTATCCTCCATGTGACTTTCTTTGTTTATATTTGTCCCTTTCAGGCCCGATCGTTCATCGAACTTTCCGGAGCCGTTGATATCACTGGCAATTAATTCCATCGAGCCAGTCTATAAACGGATCGCGAAAAACTATTTAAGTACTGGCGAATCCCTTCACATTAACCGAATGTCATACGCCGATAGTGAATCACCTATTATCCAATTGTCCGCTAAGAAGCACTTCAAGGACTTGGATACTAAAGCTCAGTTATATGCTCATCATTTGTCAAAAGCTAGTTTTTGGGGTACAAGAGTTGTTTCCCGCTCAATTTCCCCAGAAAGTGAAAGATTGTATGACTTGATTTTATCCATCCACAAGAAGATCAATGCCAAATCTAACGAGGATTATATTAAATCTATTCCAATAGATAAGCAGAATGTCATTTATTATTTGGAATACAGTTCCCAAGTGTTGTCTAATTTAGGGAACTATAAATCATTCGGTGACAAAAAGTTCATTCCTCAACTCCCCCAATCTGAATTTGATGAACTTATTAAGGCAGTCAATGATGAATCCATCAGTGAAATCTATGAATCAATTAGAGACTCAATCTATGACACTTCTGTGCAATTGTTAGGTTGGCCCGAACATGGTCAATTGTCAAGTTATTATGTTGGCAAACTCATTACCAAGAAGGAAGTTGATGCTGTCAACTCTGCCATGGCCGAAGCTGGTATTATGCCGGAGAATACTAGAGTTGAAAAAATTGACGATTCTAACTTTGTCGTTCATGTAGCTTCAGCCGATACTGAGAATAACACAGGCTATTACCCTGGTGTCATCAAAAGCTTTGAAGGTTTCAATATTACTTTTAAATTTGGTGATCATCAAAGAGAATTCCAGCAAATTGTTCATCATTTGACTGAGGCTTCTAAATACGTTGCCAATGAAACCCAAGGTAAGTTGATAAAATTCTATACCGAATCTTTTAAAACTGGTTCTATGAATGCTCATAAAGATTCTCAAATAGAATGGGTCAAAGATTTACAACCCGCTGTTGAGTCTAATATCGGTTTCATCGAAACTTACAGAGATCCTTCAGGAGTCAGAGGGGAATGGGAAGGATTGGTTGCTATGGTAAACAACGACAGAACCAAAAAGTTTTCTTCATTGGTTGAGAATGCCACACCATTAATCTCAAAATTACCATGGGATCACTTCTACGAAAAAGATACCTTCAACCCCCCAGATTTTACTTCTTTAGAAGTTTTAACATTCGCTGGGTCTGGTATTCCTGCTGGTATCAACATCCCTAACTATGATGATGTTAGGTTGAACTATGGGTTCAAAAATGTCTCCTTGGGTAATGTCTTGAGTGCCAATCCAAAGAACCCAAAAAAGGAAGAAATCATTTCTTTCTTGGGTGAAGATTTGTTACCGGCTTACAAGAAATGGAGAGATGATGCTTTCGAAATTCAAGTCGGTTTACACGAATTATTGGGTCACGGATCCGGAAAGTTGTTGCAAGAAACTGAAGGTGGATTCAATTTTGACAGATCTTCTGAACTCGGTAAATCAACTTCATTTTATAAATCTACTGAATCATGGGGCTCATTGTTTGGATTAACTTCAGGATCTTATGAAGAATGTAGAGCGGAATTGGTGGCCATTTATTTGATGTTAAAAGAACCAGAGAGTGTTTTACCAATTTTTGGTATAGAAAAGAAAGACTTTCAAGAAGTCATGTTAGCCGGAACTGTATATATGGCTAGGGCAGGTTTGTTAGCCTTGGAATATTGGGACCCTGAGACCAAGATTTGGGGTCAACCTCATATGAGAGCTAGATTTGCTATCACTAAATGTTTGATCGAAGCTGGAGTTGTTTCTTTCGTACACGAGAAAGCAGATTATTCCGATTTAGTATTGAAAATTGAAGATTCCAAATTGGAAACTGCAGCAGTCGATGCTTTGGGTGATTTTTTGAATAAATTGCACGTATACAAATCTACTGCTAATGTTTCCGAGGGAACCGCCTTCTATAATTCAATGACCACCGTTGATGAAATGAGTAAATTCAGAGATGTCGTTTTGAAACAAAAACTACCAAGAAAGCAAATTATTCAAGCCAATACTTTCGTTGGTGATGAGATTGAGGTGAGAGAATACGATGAAAGTGAATGCGGTATGATCCAAAGTTATGTCGATAGGGAAACCTAGTCCAATATATGATTAAGTATTTCGTAAACAAACAAAGCAACCACATTATCTCTTACCGTTCCCTGTCGATAATGACTCTTGTACCAACATCGCGATCAAATGCCAATACTTCGCGAACCACTCGATTACTCATGTGGAAGCTATCAGTTAGGTTGATTAGACCTGTGCGTATACAACCTTTAAGACTATTCACAACCCAGCAAATACTATTTCAACATGTGGCCAAATCCAGTCCTCAAGCTGTTAAGCCTGTTTCTCCAAAATCCAATAATGAAGCCCCAAGAGAATATGAGATCGGGAAATTATCCCAGTCCATAAGAGAACATTTAGAAAAGAGTAAAAAGTCCAGACAACTTCAAATAGAGGAAAGTAAAAACGAAAGGGCCAAACAAACATTCAAACAAAACTTCAAGACAATATTCAGAATCTTCACCTTAGGTAAACCTGACTTGAAACTATTTTTAATTGCCTTGGGATTTATTCTATTTGCAGTTCTTTATCCCACTGCAGCGGTCAAGTTGGTGGGAGCTTCAATAGATGCATTCAACTCCAGGTCGTTCGATGAAGATGGGAATGTTCTTATCTGGGGATTTCCAGCTACTACTGTATTTGGTTTCATGGCTCCATTTATGGTTGTAAGTGCAGTATGTTTCTGGGCTAGAATTTGGCTTTTAAAGATTTTAGGGGAAAGATTGGTAGCTAGATTGAGATTAAGGGTGATGAAAAACATCATGAGGCATGATTCAAAGTTTTTTGATAACGAAAAGCACAAGGTTGGGGATTTGATGTCCAGATTGAGTAGCGACGCTTATGTAGTATCTCGGTCTATAACAGGAAATCTTCCCGACGGTTTGAAAAATGTATTATTTGCGGTTATTTCTTCTTATATGATGTGGTCCATTAATCCCTTGTTGTTTGGTGTGATGATGTTGATATCTCCACCAATTACATTCGGATCAGTTTGGTACGGGGAACAAATAAGAAAATTATCCACAAACTTGCAAAATTCTACCGCTAATCTCACCAAAATAAGTGAAGAGACTTTAAACTCAATGAAACTCGTTCAAGCGTTCACTACAGAAACCAAAGAATTAACAAGATATTCTGATCAGTTGAGAAATGTCGTTGGCGTTGCAAAGAAAGAAGCCATGGCTCAATCAAATTACCTGGTATCTATATACTCACTATATCATACCGGCTACCTATCATGTGTTGCGTTAGGTGTTTATTCCATAGCCAATGGTTGGATGACCACCGGGGATGTTGTCGCTTTTACGATGTATTCTGAATTGTTCAATTCTGCTTTGTATTCTTTGACTACTACCTACTTGGAATTGATGAAAGGTGCCGGTGCAGGTGTCAAATTGTTCGAATTAATCGATCATAAAAATGATGTTGATACTGTAAAAGGTTCCAAAATCAATCATTCTTTCAAAGATAATTCTGTAGAATTCAGGGATGTAGAGTTTTCTTACCCTACAAGGCCCCAACATAAGATATTTGATGGTTGTTCCTTCAAGGTTGCTTCAGGATCGAGTACGTGTTTTGTTGCACCCTCAGGATGTGGTAAATCAACCATTGCCACTCTCCTATTAAGATTCTATAATTTAAACAAAGGTCAAATTTTAATCGGTGGCGAAGATATATCCAAATATCAAGTTCGTGAATTGAGAAGAAAAATTATTGGTATCGTGCAACAAGAACCTATTCTCATTTCAGGCTCGATTTTGGAGAATATAGTCTATGGACTAACTGCTCAAGAGATCAATAAACTCACAATGGAGGATATTATTACTGTTTCCAACCAAGCGAACTTAGAGTTCATTGATCACTTCTCTGATGGATTCGATACAATGATAGGTGCCAAGGGAGCTAGTTTGTCAGGAGGACAAAAGCAAAGGATAGCTATTGCTAGAGCGTTGATAAAGAAGCCAAAAATCTTGATATTGGATGAAGCAACCTCAGCATTGGACTCGAAATCAGAAAGTTTAATCAATGAAACCTTGAAAAATATCTCGAAGGAGGGATCAATGACTATCATATCCATCGCACATAGACTTTCAACAATATCAAAATCAGAGAATGTAGTAGTTCTTGGGAAAGAAGGTAAAGTCGTGGAATCAGGAAGATTCATCGATTTATTCTCCAATTCGAACTCTGAATTGTCTAAATTGTTAGACGAATCAATAGATGAAGAAGAACCACAAATTGAAGAAGCTCCGGAAGATCAACCTGAAGAGGAAGATTTGGAAAAGATCCGAAATTTGATCTACAATCTCCCCATCGACAAACAAAGAGAACTTCTTTCTACCATATATGGTGACGACCGTTCTAAAGTCACCGATACTTTATAGACATGTAAATACCTTAATTTGACTTTATATATTTCTATTTCCGAGTCTTTTAAATTTGAAAGTTGGCGTTGAAATTTCAGTGATTTTTTTAACCCAAGGTTTTTGGTTCTGATGGTTTACCGTTTTCGAATTTGGTAACTTTAGCTTCAGTGAAACCTCTTCTTTCAGCAACAGTTTTGAATTCTGGTTTTAAAGCGGCTCTAACAGCTTTGGCAGCAATTGCCATTGATTTGTTTAATGAAATACCAGCTTGTTTAGCACTCATAGTTAGTTGAAGATTTTCCAATTGCGAACTTTTTTGATTGGATTATCATTGGTCTGAAATTTACGCGGAGTGGAGGTAAAATTGAGTTTCGTATAGGTATATATAATAAGAAGATATATCATTAATGAATCAATCATTTCATAAATTTGGAATATGAGGTGATGGTAAAAGCCTAATTTAGAAAATCATATTCGGAATTTTCGTGGTTCGTAAGGTTAATTGACGACAAAATCAACTCTCTCTAATCCTCACCAAATAAAATATACTTTAAAACGTCACTTAAGGTTATTACACTGACCAACTTTCCTTCATCGTCAACAACAAATAATCTATGTAATCTACTTTTTCTGATAGTGTCCATAATAGTGCTCAACCTGTCATTTACCGTACACATATGGACACCTTCAAAATCTTCTGATCTTCTCAATAAAGCATCACCAACAGTTAAGTCTAAATCAGTATAGATTCCACCCTTAACTAAAGTTAACACATCATAGGCTTCATAAACGTTGATCAATTTTCCTTGTTCGTCAACTACTGGAATTGAGGAAATGGATTTTTCTGATAACAAATGAATGATGTCGATGACAGGCGTATCCATATTACAGGAGAAAAGGTTCTTATTCAAATTAAAAATGTCTTTGACAGGTTTGACTAACATTTTTGTTTCCTTACAATTCAAGGCTACGAACTTCAATATACGATATTGAGTTAATACCGATACAACAATTTCTCTATGTGTTTTTTCGTCTTCGTCGATCAAAGGAATTCTTCTAGATCTAGATTCCAACATCTTGGAACAAGCCTCATATAATGATTTGAAAGGATGAATAGCAATGGTTTCTATTTCCTCTACTCCCAAAGATTTTTCGATATCTTTTAAGCCATTCAATGTTAATTTATCAACCAAATCAACTTTCTCAGGGAATTGGAAATAATATTGAATGACGTTGATAAAATCCGAAGAGGATAATAAACCTGAGAACCTCGAAGTCTTGTTGTTCCATAAAGGAGCTGAGACAATGTTGTTTTGTAGTAAAATGTTCAATGATTTTTTTACTAATAAATTTGTGTCTAAAACCACCAAACGATAGGAAACAGGCAACACATCATACGATGTTTTAGATTGCAAAAACAACCTTATAGCCTTAATACCTAAGTTTTGATCTTGATCGATTTGCTCAGGTGTTAAATTCTTGATATATTCTACTGGGGATTCCATCCTTGAGATTTTTGATGTTGGCCGCGAATGATGTAGTTAAAAACGCAAGTTATGACAGGATAATATGGATTACTACAAACTGGAGAAAGGTTCACTCTATCTGTACTTAATATGAGAGGGGAGCCTTAGTGAGATCTTGAGTCAAATTCGAAATAAGAATTTATAATAAAATGTCTATAAATGAGTATTATAAAATATTACAGGGATTAAGCCCATCTACCTAATAATGCCATTACTCCAGCACCAAAGCATACAACTACAAAAGCGATCATCATTCTCTTAGAACCATCTGGACCTTTGAATTGGTCACTGAATAAAAATTCATGAGCCATTAATTCAACTAAACCTGTGTAAATCAAAATACCAGCTGAAATAGCATCAAAGACACCGTTAGTGATTAAAGCAGTTCTTGAACCTGGGGCGTATGAATTTCTGACACCTAAACCAATAGCGATTGAAATTGGGGTGGTTAAACCGTAACACAAGGCTAAAACAAAAGGTAACCAACGTTTATCCATTGGCCATTCAGTTGAAGCAATTCTAGTACCTAAACCTAAACCTTCAAACATTTGATGGAAAACGATAACTACATACAAAGTTTGGAATTCTTCACCACTGATGGCTAAGGTTAAACCAACGAAAACTGAGTGGAAAATAATACCGAATTCTAAAACTAAAGTTGAAACTAATTGTCCGTAATAAGTTTCTTTGTCTAAATCTACAGGAGTGTTCTTACTTTCTGGGTCTTGGTGGCTATTAGCATGTCTGAAGTGATCTGGGTAGTCAGGGACTTTTTTAGTTTGTTCAGTTTCATGCTCAGCTTCCTCATCTTCATCTTTTAATTCGTTTTCTTTGCTGGAAATTTCAAAATGGTTATGGCTGTGGGCACCAACCTTATCTTTGATGAAGTTAAAAGCTAACAATTCGAAGAAAAATAAGGTGAAAAGGGACATTAAAGCAATACCAAATGCCCAAGGATAATCTTCAAAGGTACCTCCTAAACATTCTTCACCTAAATTATCAGCAGCAGGTTCTAATAAATGAATGAAAGCAGTTGCAACAATAACTCCAGTACCAAAGTATTTGGCTCCAAAGAATAACCAAGAAGGCATTCTTATGAAGGAGTATTTAGATGATAGTATAGGCAAGAAAGCCCCAGCACTTGAAGTAATTAAAATTACAAAGACAGAACTAATTCTAGCTCCCATGTGTGCATTATTGAAATCATTTCCGGCTTCACAAGTACTCATTGTTGATGGTGATATGAATGGAGAATATTTGATTATTAAATACTTTAGATGAGAATACCTTGATGGTTCTGCGACTTTAGTAGTTATGGTAACAGTCTCGATTTACGGTGGTACCACTACCGACATGCATAGGGCCATATTTACTACCACTGGTGGTGGTTACCGCGCATTTTTGCGGAGAAATGGTAGTAAGCACACTCTACCCATGCGGCGTTAGATTTTAACTATAGTGGTTTTTTATTGAAAAAAACGTTAGGGTTGACAATAGTGGTTATGTATAGGCTTCCAACCGACTCGTATAATTATAATCATCGAATGACTAATTGCAGGGTTAATTGATCTCATTGGATGAAGGGGAATTAAGATGTTGGTAGTGTTCTACCGAATTCCTTGTCATCTAGTAGTTACACACGGAAATCAATTCTGTAATGAATTTTTATGAATAGTAAACAAAAGCCATAGTGATGGTTGGCACTTCATCATTTTCGAACATAACTATGAGTAGTTTAGAGATTATCCATTACCCAAGTTTTATGCAAATCCAAAATCTGATTCTCACTGCGCACTAAATCATGGACGAGACTGACAAGCAAGTAGAAGACTCCACGGAATTGAGCAAGGAAGAAAGATTGGAATTAGCCAAGAAGAAATATGAAGAATTGAAGAAGAAAAAGAAAAAGAAGAAAAGTAAAGACAAGAAAAAAGAAGATACTGAAGAAAAGGAGAGTACACAAGAACCTGAAGAAGTAAACAACGATAAAGATCAGGAAGACATTGAAGAGACAAAACCAGAAGAATCTACAGTTTTGGAGGGTGAACAAAAAGAGGTAAAAGATGAAGCTGTTGAAGGGGACAAAGAAGTGATCGAAGAAGCAGAAACAGAAGCAGAAGCTGAAAAAGAAATCAAAGAGCCAGTGAAAGAAGAAACAATTGAATCAACAGAACCAGAAGAATCCATAAAGATTGAAACGACTGTCGAGGAAGTGAAAACTTCCAATCCTCAAACATCAGGAATACAGACCGAATCACAATCTATCGAGGAACTCAAGGAATTAATAGCGGTCCAAGAAAAGACCATCAAAAGATTGAGAGATGAAAATACAGACTTGAAGCTCCAAAAGATGGATCTCTTGGACAAGATCAAAACTCTTGAAGTTTCATCGAGTACTGCAGCATCTCCTCAGTCGCCCATTAAACATATACCCGCAAAACCAGTTTATGTCAAAAATGACTATTCTGAAGAAAATAATGAGGTCAATGAAGTAACTGATTTCAGAGAAAGGTTGTTGGTGTGGAAGAATTGGCAAGTCAACATGACCGATTGGTCCAGTACTTATTTAACAGAGAAAGTTACTATGTAGGTCTATATCATTATATACATTCTTTATACAGGGCATGAATTTTTTTTGAGTCAAGTGAAGGTTTTATCTAATCCTACATAAAACCATACCGTGAACTCCTTTCTTAGCAGCTTCTTGAATTTCCATTATTTCGTCTCCAACTTTTACTAAAATTATTTCACCCGGTTGTAAACCTTCGATGAATCTTACATTTATACCTGAACTTAAAGCTTTGATTTCAACATCACTTAAATTGACTTTCCTACTAGGTTTGGATATCATTTCAAAGTGCTTGATGATAGCATTATTATTTCTATATTTTAAACCTAACCACAATCTTCTGGTGGCGATATTATCACTTGTGACTTCAACAGGTACTTTATCTGGGCCGTTTAATGATCCTTTTTTCAATGAAGATAAGAATCCTTCCTTATATAAATGGTATGAGATCTTCAAGTTGAACTTGTTGAAAGGTACTGACGTTGTGGAGATGTTTAATCTAACACAGTTTTTCAAATGACTGCTATAGTTAGCTAAGTTGGCTAAAGACATGTTGAGAAAATTTTTTTCTCACAACTAAAAATTTAAATCGTATGTTTGGTTTGAGATTGATCAGAACAAATGCTTTTGGTACCAGAGCTGGCACTAGAGCTGGAACTAGTGGCATCAGAGTGGTAGGTTTAAACAATTCAATTGCTAAAAACAATGGGTTGGGCATTCAATCTGTTCGTTATCGTAGTACCAATCCTAGAAAGAATGAAATAAAGATCAGATATTTGTTTTACATGTTTGTATTATCCTCCATAACAGTGTTTTTCGCCGGGAGACAAATAGATAAGAAAAGAGTGAAGAATAGTTTCAACAGTAAAGAAGAAATGGAAGCTTATGAGGTGGAGACAGGAATAAGAAGAAGAAGTAGATTAATCAATAATGACAAGTTCAAATTTATTTCCTTACCCATCATGACAGAAGCTTTGAAAGACAAGGTCATCAAAGAAAACAGTACCAGTAATGTCCAAATTGTTAATCCAGAAACCTTAATCGAGGAAGAGATGAAAGATACTTCTAAAACATATTGCTTTCTTTTACAAGATTTGAAAGCTCAGAACAAACCATTACCAAAAGGATTGGTCACAGCCGTGGTCAAAAACCACATCATCTCGTACAAATCAGACGAAGATACTTTATTCATACTCGAGAACTATCCTTTAAATACTGACGATGCTTCTAAATTCGAAAATGATGTAGCCTTGATTAATAAAGTCGTGGTTAACAAAGGCGATTACGAACGTGAAGTTGGTAACGTGATCCAATATTTTGACACAGTTGGAAAAACTGAAGTGGTATAGATTCATTTGTTAATAGAAGAGAAATCCCTGTATATAGTAATCGTACGTTTCTTTGACATGCTTGGTCTCCTTGCAGGTTGAGCCTATTCTATACACGCTCCTTCATAATGCTTCTGAGACATGTCAGTGGCCCTTATTATGCTTATTCTTCTGCTTCTTCGAAATATTCTTCTGGGGTATAAAACTTTAAACCGATATTATCAGCAAAAACCAAGTCACTATTGGAAAAATCCCCCTTTCTACCAGCAGCATCTCCGACGAAGAAACTCTCTTTCATATCAACATCTTCCACAACCTTCTTGAAGTGGTCCCACATGCCCACCTGTGGTTTTCTCATATGAGTTGTACCACACTTTGGAGCTATCAATACGAAAGGATCGAACTCTGGCAATTTACCATTTACACGTGAAATTATATCGTTAATTTTTGTCTGAAGGTTCTTGAATCTTTTAGAAGTCACAGTCATACCTCCCTGATTGGTAAAGATCACTATCAAATATTCATCTTTAACGAGCTTTTCGAAAACAGGTATCACATCGTACTTGAATTTCCAGTCTTTTTCGTTTCTCGGAAATTTTGCTTTTGATTTGGTGGTTATCAAGGTGTCATCTAAGTCAAAAGCAGCTATTTTCCTCCTTGACACAATAGTTGGTATATAAGTAACTATATCAGTTCTTAATTTCCACATCGCGATGTCTGTTGATCAGTACGGAAGGAGAACATGGAACGTTGAAGATTATCAGAACAAGAAAAAAGTACACAAGGAGCAGCCGCAGAGTCAGAAAATTACCAATAAATCATCTAATCAGATCGTTTATAAGAATAAGCTCCTTAAACAGTCCCATAGTAAAGATGGTTTCAGTTGTAAAGTATGTAACTGGACCTTTAAGGATACATTGTCATTGATAAATCATATGAATAGCATAGAGCATCTTCTGAAATTCACTAAATTTGACGATGAAGAATCTGAAATGCTAGATGGGGTCCGAAGAGCTACCGTAGAGGAGGTGGAAAGAACAATGAAAGGTTTACTAAACAGAGATGAGAAAGACCTTAAACTGAGGATCGAAAGGAGAAAGGCAATCGAGAGTAAAAGGCAAAAGAAGCAATAGTCGTTTACCAAGACCTCAGTCTCCGAAGAGATTCAGCTCGAGTGTATAACATGTAAAATATAATATATCAGGTGTAACAATAAACAATCTTATATTATGTGTATTTGGTACCATCAAATGGCACCAGGTAGGTCGACGCGGTGGTACCAATTTTGGGTCGCTATTACCACCACAACTCTGACATCTAAAAAACTTCGCACTCGTCCAATAAAAATTAATTTAATCATAATGAAGTTCACATTCAAAACCCCATTAAATTCATTATTTAAAGTAAAGTTACCAAAATTTGATGTTAACTTAGAGCATACCATCCGTACCAAATTAGATTCCTTACCCTCATTAACCAAAATCTACACCAACCCTGACGGTACACCAAGAATTCCAAGCGATGAAGAATTCAAAGTCATTGCCGATTTACAAAACTTATATTATCAAAGAAACCATTCTTCATGGAATTATATAATCCCTGGAATCCCAAAGAAAGATCTTGAATTATTCCAAGACAATTCCCAAGATTTAGAGCATTTCCAATTCGTCACAAAAGATAGTGGTAAAATAATCGATAAAATTCCTTACAAAGATGATACCACTGGAGAATTGAAATGGAAAATCATCAGAGAAACTGAAAAAGCTGAAGGATGGGAATTACCATATTTTTACATAGTTTTGCCTATTTTCCTTTATGCTGTTTATGCTAAATATACCAAACAAATGAAATTAAGAGATTTAGAAGGTCCAGAATGGGCAGAAAAAGAATTAAGATTAAGAGCTATGGAAAAATACTTCGGAAGTACCGAAAAGGCCAAAGAATTCTTAAGTAATGAAGGTAAATCAGAAGCTGAACTCAAGGAAAGAGACGATTTAGTTATTGCTAGAATCTTAGCAGGTGATTATGATAAATTATCTGAATTAAAGAAAAATCTTAACTTGAAAGAAGAAGAAAAGAATCCAATTCTTAATATTTAATAGATCATTACATCATTGCAAACCTCTATTTACTCTAAAAGAAAGAGAGATCTCTTGCGACAGAATTACAATAAACATACTTTTGACTAAAAACTTAATAAATCAATTTCTCCATTGGAAGTGCTAGAATTGTTTGCTGGAGTGCTGTTGGTGTTGCTAGGTGCGGTTGTGGAAACATTGTTATTTACCGGGGTTGAAGGAGTGCTGTGATTAGAAACATTTCTGGTTTTGGCTGAGGAGAATAATGAGGAAAACGCATCGTCTTTCTTTTTGGTAACATGCACTGGTCCAGAAGATTGTGAAGATGGTTGATTGTTATAAGAAGGAGTTGAAAAACTCTGTTGATGTTGGAAATTTGGTTGGAAGGAATTTGTAGTAGTAGAATTTGAATATAAGTTCGATAAGTTCGATAAGTTTGATGCAGCAGCTGGATTTGAAGTTGGAGCAGATTGGAAATCATCAAAATCGTCATCATCATCATCGTCAGCAGTAGCAACAGGAGCTTGAGTGGAAGTTTGAGTGGCACCATTCGAAGAACCACCCATTAAATCACCTAACAAATCTGGTTCAGCTGCAGGTTGACTGACTTGGGCTGAAGGTTTAGCCTTTTTCTTATCGACCACCTCCACATTGTATTCTTCAAAATTGTCATTAGAATCTTGTTGTTGTTGTCTTTGTCTATTATATTCTTCGGCACTATCATCGTATCTTGCTCCATAAACACCACCATCTCCGAAAACTCTATTGGTGAAATCACCATCTTCAGCTTCTCCACCAGTTGAAATTGAAGAAGCTCCTCCAAATGCTGCGGATGAAACACCACCAAACTTCTTTTGATTAGTTCTAGCTTTTTTACGTTCATTTCTTAATTGATTGTCATCATTCAATAAGTTGATCAAGTTCTTGGCTCTATTTCTAACATTAATACCTTGATCTCTTCCTTTAGAATCAATATAATGGAAACTTTTCAACATTTGAATCAATGAAAGATTAGATCTGACATCATCAATTATTCTTTCTGAACCATTTCTGATCAAATAATCCAACAATTGTAATGCTTTGTAGATTTGTCTCCATTCGTTAGTAGCCTTTTCGGTGAATCTTCTAAATATAAAGCTGATAATTTCTTCTCTTTCTCTATAATTGTAAGTACCACCGGAAATTTGAGACATCAATTTAGTTGATGCACCCCAAGGTTCATTATTGGTAGCTTCCCTTACTTTAGCTTCCATCTCGGTTAAGTTCATGGCAACGTTTTGAGCCTTCCTGACGTAGGCTTTCACTTCATAGAGTGATAAGTGCTTGGTTGCATCTTTCAATAAGTCCATGATAGGGATCGTTGACGATTCGCATTTTTCAAAACACCTCAAAGTGACCGACCCTGGCACTGCACTGGCATCGCGGCCGAGGGGCCCGCTATTTACTGCGAAGAAATTTATAGAGATAGAACCACAACCTATTAAATTTATTTAACACTAACACATAATATCGAAAACTTTATAATACCAACTTCTTTGATTATATGCCAATCTTTCTTCAGCAATTTCTTGTTTCAAAGCTTCGATGTCAACTTGTCTTCTACCGGTATCAATATCGATTTCGCTAGCTTTCAAATAGAATTTGAAAAGTGGGATTCCCATAAAAAAGTAAGCATAAAACTTATGACCAACATAAAATACAAGCACAATAGCTCCACCTAAATAGACTTTAAAGAATCCAACAACATCAGCAGCACCTTCACCAGGAGGGAACAAAGCTGCCCAGAATTGTAATCCTAAGATTATAATCAAAAATACACATCCGTAGTATGAACCGTAGATATTAGCGGTAAATACCAATTCGTCTTCTGGAACTCTATTTTGATGATTGAAAGCAGCTCTGAATCTGATATGGGACAAACAAATTGACCACCAAGTGAAAAGCGAACATAATCCTGAAATAGCCAATAACCAATCAAAGACTTGAGTGGTTTTATCACCAGGTAAAGCAACTAAGAATGATAACAATCCAATAGCAAATTGAACACATAAGGCAACCATTGGTCTACCATTTCTATCGATATAATTTAAAATTGAGGGACCTTGCTTTAAAGCACCTAAAGCAGCTAAAGTACGAGAAGATCCATAAACTGATGAGTTACCGACTGATAACACAGTGATAATGATAACAGCATTCAAGATTGATGGCACGACAGGAATTTCAGCTTGTTTAACGGCAATGACGAATGGAGAAGTGTTGACATCAATCCCTTTTTCTTTGACCTCTTCATTAGTACTGGTTTGTCCCAATAATTCAGGCGACTTATAACTAACTAACAATCCGATCATGATGACAGAAGCAATATAGAAGAAAAACAATCTCCAGAAAACTTGCTTTCTTGCTTTTGGAATGGATTTTTTAGGATTAGCCGATTCAGCAGCAGCTAAACCGAATAATTCAACCCCAGCGAAGGAAAAAGCAGCAGTGAAAATAACTGAACACATGTTTTTGAAGGGTTCTACAGTATTGAACATTCCCCCTTCAGGTGCATGCCAGTATTTACCTCCAATGAATTCTTTCCTAGGTGGGGCACCACCACTAACGATAACCACACTCAAGATTAAAAATCCTAAAATGGCTATGATTTTAATCAAAGAGAAAATAACTTCTGCTTCACCATAACCTTTAACCCCGAAAATGTTGATACCACAAATGATTAACCAAAAGATGGCAACAAACGCTTCAGGAGGGACTGAAGCGTCCCAGTAATTAATGGTAATGGAAGCCGCAACCAATTCTAAGGGAAATGTTACTAACCATTGTAAAGCATAATTCCAAGCCATGGCGAAACCCCATGATGAATCAATAAATAAGGTATTAAAAGTAACGAAAGCACCAGAGATTGGGAATGCAACAGCTAATTCAGATAAGGCAGAAGCAGTTACGAAAATTGATGAACCAATAATTATCCAGATAATTAATAATCCAAAAGGACCAGCAGCTGCTAAAGCACTTCCTAAACCAACGAATAAACCTGTACCTAAAATTTGTTAGTAAATTATTTTTTTGACGCGTGTAATTACTTGTCCCAAAAAGGTAAATCGGGCGCGGTTGGTTATATCTATTTCCGCAAGTTTAGACGAGTAGCGGAATGTAGATTTGGGTATCTGACGACCGGTCCACCTAATCAAAATCCTTGAATGGGTTCATAATATATTCAAGTCATCAAGATTTTGTATGGAAAACGACTCAATAGTCGTTGGACTTAACAAGCATAATGTTGTAAAATATCAAAAATACATACCAATTGAACCTCCTAAAGCAATCATCTGTAAATGTCTAGATTTCAATGTTCTTGATAAAGGAGAAGTTGATGTAACAATAGCAGCTCTTTCTAATTCTGTCAACCTCGAATAATCGAATTGAGGATGGAGCTTCTTCTTTTTCTTTGTCCTTGTAGGTTGAAGATCATTTTCAATTATCGAATGAGATCCTTGTGGAGACAAATCAGCTTCTTCGTCGTCTTGATAGAATAAGAAATCTATCTTTGAGTAATCATAAGGTTTAAAAGTGTTAACAAATCTCTTCACTGGATTTGGTTCATATTCACTTTCAATAGTTTCATTAGTTACTTCGGATAAAGATGAATTGTATGGAGATAATTCCATATCTGGTTGACTATTCTTATCCATCTTATCGTCTATCAGTTCTTTAAGTTCCCCTTTCTGATTATTAACTTTCCTTTAGCAATAAACAATTTCCCTAAAACAAACTCTATTAATTTTCAGGAACGTTATTACTTTCTATTTAAATGAGAAATTTTTCAGTGGTCGTGTATTTACCTCTATTATCCTGATTAAGAAAAATTTGGACTCTATTGTTAATGGAAAATTGTTAGGGACCTTTACAACAGGCTAATGAGAGTGGAATAGGAAATATTGTTTATTGTTCAGAAGAGTAGACAGATCATGGCCTGCGAGAATACTTAACATCTTTTTTTCTCTTTTAGACGAATGATCGAGGTTTTAGGTTGGCATTGGACTACTCGGCGTCAATATGCAAAGGGCCGATCCTGAAAGGAGTATTGATTTTTGGTCCCAAGTTCAAAGGTTTAGCCACTTCAAAAGGGGCAAATATTCTTATATCTTTTATCCGGAAATTGCTAAGATCCTGTCTTATTGTTTCCGACAACTGAAGAAAAACCCCTACCAGCCACCGATTATGACTTTTCCCTATTTGGTTTCTTAATAACAAATCAATAAGTGCAACCGAGACAACTAATCAAGAGTACTTCAGAGTTCAATCTAGCGTATATAAACTATAAACTTATTCATCTAATTTGATGAATTTACCACCGTTTTTGAATCTTGGGTGTCTTGGGTCATTGATGAATTCAGCTGAGTTCATTGATGCTTCTGATGCTTTGTAAACCAAACCGTAGGTGATGAGGGCTAGAAAAATGTTAGTATTCGATTCAATTCTACACGTGACAGGTTTTCTTAATGATATTCTTGAATATCTGGTTTCTTTTTTGATTTCCTTTTATTCATGTTATTGGACATGAATTCTGTTCTACATTGATTTATCAAGCTGACTTCCATTCATTCTGTATCATCAACTCTCCAATTGGCTCTATAGACATATCAATATTTGTGTCGATTTCTCACATTAAAAACATATCAAAATATATCATTTTTTGAGGAAAAAGTTGCCAAAAAACTGTCAATCATATCTTCTGGTCTATAGAGACCTTATGTAGTACATACCACCAACACCAAATGGCCAGAAATGTTTTAACATAGGAGTAGGATAACTTTTCATTTTGTTCGTTGAGTAAATTTTTTCATTGGATGAGAATTAATGCGAACTTAGGATCAGGTGTACCGGCGTGAATTGATTTATATTTTTTCTAGCTATATACATCATAAGTTGGTCGTAGGATGAATATGAGTTATCGGAGAATGAATTCAAGGATAATATCGGACATAACTTGCTATTTGAGTCTGATCTCGTAAATTTTTATGACACCATTAAATTTCACTTCAGTCCAATCAAAAATCTTCAACCTCTCTTCCCAGTCCCTGAAAGTCTCTTCATTTCTTATGGTGGCTCCTATATATACAATGGCCCCTTTGTTCAAGAACTGGTGGATGCATTTGATTAGGTCAGGTAGAATTTCAGGAGCATATGTTATATCGCTTCCCAAAACAATGTCCACTTCTCTACTCCACTCGCCGAATTGAAGTTGGCAAATGCTTGTGGATTTGTCTTTTAGCTTTTCGTGTTCAGAGCTTTCGAGGACTGTTGTGTCCGGTAATCCATTCAATTTCATCGTTTCATTCAATGAATGTAGCAAATTCAAGTCTCTGTCGGTGAATATGACGGAATTCTCATTGCAAACACTTAATCCTACTAAACCAGTCCCACATCCGAGTTCAAGGATTGTTTTGTCTTTAAATTTTCCCTGTATGTATTCACCAAGGTAAGAAGAAGCTTCCCACGTACGAAATCCTGTAGTACCATTAGCAGCTATAAGATAAGGATTCTCCCTGATAAGTATTGGTCTGCCAATGTTGTATGTGAGCACATCATCATTTACAGGCGTTGAACTGAGTATTTCTGTATAATATTCATAGAATTCATCAATGATGTCATTGTTAAGCATGAACTTTTTGACTACCAATTTAGCATAATATTGATTGTAAAGTGATCTAAGGAATTCAAGGAAATCATACTGTTGTTGGCTATCCAATTGTGGGATCACAAGCGTCGGTATAGGCTTTCTTAAGTTGATTTGATCTTTAAGTAAATCCATGCGATAGCGAAACTCATCTCTCATGAAATCAGGTGTACCGCACAAAGATAGATTCAGAATTTGGAAGAGTTAAACCCGGACAGTAAAGCGTCCGAAGAGAGTGGTATTGAAGGGAATTGTCATCGACATGTATTAGGATTACGGATCTTATATTTATTGAGGAGTTCCTAAAACTCTGACTCTTTTAACTCCACCATCTGGAATGATAACCAACTTAACGAAATCGACTACTCCTTCAACTTCGAATTCGTGCTCGAAGTCAGCTTTAGTCTTACCTTCACATAACAATTCATATTCCCCATCTTTTTTACCGTATAATTTCACTGATTGAGGGAAGTTACCTCTGAAATGAGCAGTATCAACAATGATCTTGGAGATTTTGGTGGTAGCTCCTAATTTAATTTCAGCCCAATCATGGTGATTTGGTGTTCTGCTTCTTTTGGTTTCCCATCCATCACTCATATCATGACCTCTTCCTGGTAATAATAAGTTGGAAGCTTTTCCAAAGTGTTGATCATTGTAAGCAACAACAACCCCACCATTAAGGACGGAGGCCATATCAGTAGAGTCACCTTTAATTGAAGCCTTTTGAAATTCAACTTCTCCATAACATCTGAATCTGGCAATACCACCATCAGGGTACATTCTTAATCTTAAATGAGTGAAAGGTTCAGAAGTCTTTTCGTTGACAAAGAAATGTCTTTGACTTGGACCACATTCCATCTTATCAATGATTGGGATCCATTCGTTACTTTTACCATCCAATGAATCAGTTGAACCTTCAACAGAAATAAATGGAGCATGGTTACCATTGAAGAAAGCAGTATCAACTTCACATCCAATGATCTTACTACTTGATACTCCCAACTTCACTACAACATAGTCATATTCTTCTACATTGTGTCTTCTGGTCTCCCAACCGTCATACCAAGCACCAGCATGAGTAAATCTAGTTGCGTCTCTAATTGGCACTGAATCTTTAAGTAAATTACTTGCAGCTGCAAACCATTCATCAGAGAATGATGCAATGGATGATCCTAACTTATCATTGGTGACATTGGTGTAATTGTTAACGATTTTTTGGAATTCTTCTTCTGATACTTGTTTAGTCATAGTGTACTTAGTTGGAAAATTAATTTGATCTGAAAAATTGACTCTCGTTACGGAGTTGGGCGAGAGATAAGGTCTCCACCGGGGTTAGTGCGAGATTTCTGCGTACAATTTGGGGAGACTGTGGTGGTAGAATTGTTTAGTGTATGGGCGATAAGAGAAAATCAAAAAATTGCGACAATGTCCGTCAAATGTTAGTAGTCTGCAACACGACATTTTATGACTATGTAACCTCAGATATCGAAAATCAGTGCTTACGTGTTGAACACATCAAAGCTTGGAATCTTGCATCTCTATGATCTTAAAAGGATCTTTCTTACATATGTGGGTGTGTCTGACCACTTCAAACCGACAAATGGGGTGATAAATTAAACTTTGTTGGTATGTTTTGAAAAAGGTTCTCGTCAAATTACCACGATATGGTCCCATTTGGGGCGAGCATTTAATGGTGATGGTGCAAATTAGCGAGAATCCCATTTATCCAGTGCGACCCAGCTGGTAGATAAATCAACATTTCGATCGCGAATAAATAAACAAACATGATCCTAAGCTCCAACAAAACCAATTCAGTACCCACCAAAAATGAATACAACGAGTTGATGATCAAGTTTAACCACTTAAAAAATGACTACAATCATTTAGAACAAAACATTCTCATCAAAACCAACACAATTAACGACCAAATACAGATTATTAACAACTATGAGACGATATTAGAAAATTTAAAACTTCAAATGAAGGAAGATAATGTTAATTACACCAAATCCATCCATTCATACAAACTCATCATAGAGGATTATAAGAAAAAATTGAACAAGTTGAACCACGAATTGAGCCACTATAAAAATTTAGAGTTCAAGAGCTTGGAAGATAACATAACAGCCACAAATGACACTGATGAGGATTTATTGCATTACAAACAAAACTATGAAAAACTTTTGAAAGAGTACAAAGTTTTGAAGTCTAACTTCGAGTTAGAACAAAACAATAAGATTTTATTGATCAATCAAATTGAATTTTTGACCAAGAAGAATGAAGAAGGTGAAGAATTCGATGTTGAAGAGGGAGTACGAAGTGAATCTGAAGAGGAATCATATCAAAATTTCGATGACGATGGTGCTGAGGTGGATGAAAAAGATAAAGGGTATGGTAATTTCATTGATAACTATGATGACATAACATATAACTACACCAGTTATGTCAACACTGATGATATGCCTGAGGATGAAAATATTCAAAGTGTTTCAGAAACCCTTCATAGTGAGATAGAGGATGATGTTCCTGGTGGAATGGCGTCACCAAGAGAAGAAGAAGTAATTCAAGAAGATAATGATCAAGGACTCAAAGAGTTACCTCAATCATCACCAATCAAAAGTAGAATTCCCTCACTCATTTCAACACAAAACTTCCAATTCCCACCATCTCCAGATCCAAATTCCAAGAAGAGACAGTCATTACCTTTGAATTTGGACAATGATTTCATATTATCACCACTCAAGTTAAGTGAAAGAAAAAGGCATAGTAGGTATAACAGTGATTTGAAGATTAAGGTAGAGTTTGAGAAATTACCTAATTTAAACAATCCTAATAATTATTCCAATAGTACCTTACCCAATGAAAGTACCACAGCATCAGAACAATTAGGTGCAGGATTCGAATCACCATTAAATACCATGAATTTTTCCAATGATTTCAATCAAGAAGCCTTGGATAAATTAAACAATAACAGCTACCCAAGTAGTAATAACTCCAGAAGCTATAGAAATTCCGGTAGTTACAGAAATTCTGGAAGTTATAGAAACTCCGGATTACCTAATTTAAAAGAATTAAACGAATTAAATGAATTTAATGAAGAAATAACCAAATTGAAATTCGAATTACAAAGTCTTAAACTTCATAATGAAAAATTACTATCATTCATTTCATTTGAGTTACAAAAGCATAATAAAAAGATTAAGAAATTATCATCGAGAAATTTCGAATATAATGATAACAAATTGATATCTAAGTCAAAAAGACTTTTGGCCAATAAGAAGATCTTAAGGTCAGTCTCCATTAATTCCATATGGAATGAATCTATCAAGAAAGATTTGAAAAAATTCAAATCCATGAACTTCAAGTTTATCAATGATATCAACAAATCAATCGATTTCGAAGATCTTTCCTTTGATAATGATTTTGAGAACGACTCAGATTTTGAGATTGATGAATTCCACAACAATTCAGATTTTTGTGTTGATGATATTGATGAACTTGATGATTTAGAAGAATTGGAAGAGACTGATGATGAGGAAGTTGGAATTTTCGGCCAATTAAAGCATTTGATCATGGGTAAACCTAAAAATGATATCACCGTCGATGATTCATTGAAATATCAATTTTTAACCATAGCTATCGGTATTCTTATCATCGGTATCAGATTTGGACATCATGAAAAAGTATAGATCAAACTATATAGAATGTACAATAGATTATTTAAGTCGTGCGCGCCCAAAAATATCGGACTAAAAATTTAACAAATCACACCATTTTCTTAATGTATAAATACCTGGCCAAAAAACTCAAAATGATAAATGGCTTTAAGGAATTATTTATACGCCAAACATGCTAATGATCCGTTTGCAAATACGGTGAAACAGCAACAACAGCAACAGCAAAATGCTCAACAACTGACCAAGAAAGATATTGAGGATATTGGCTGCAAGAATTGTGCTGAATGCAAAGATTGTGTTAAGCCAAAAGTTCAGGTTGTTATAGAATAGATTTTATGAGGTACAAACGATTTGGAAATGTATAATAGATGAATGAACATGTAAAATAGAGAAGCAACCTCAGGTTACTTGGTTTATAGAGATGTAAAATCTCTAATTTAGCATATATATTTAATATATTTATGACTTATGTCTTAATTTATTGGTTAAAGTATATTGGATGACTTGTAAACCATCATAGATGAATTCTAATAAAGGAATCTTATCATCTTTGTTTAATCTAATCAAATTACCTAAAATAACTTCAACTTCTATTTCTCTATCATTTCTAAAATCGACCAACATTGAAGGTTGGTAGTTAACAGGAACATCGATTTCCCTGGTGAACTTAATCATGTTTTCAACATCAGTATCAGTGATCTTTTTGTCTGAGTTGTGAGCTTCTAAGTCTTTGTTAGCGACTAATTGGATTTCCTTCATAACATCTCTAATCTTGTTGACTAAATCTGGTGAAGTGTAAATGATTCCAACATCAACATTCATAAGACATCCAATGGTATTGTAGGAAGCATTATATAATAATTTCTTCAACCTAGTGAATCTAACATTATCATCAATTTTAATGTTAGCTTTGTTAACATCATTGGTATATAATGCAACAAATTCTTTCAAAGCTTCTTCATCACCACCATCGAATAAACCGAATGAAACTTCATCAGGAGCAACTTGGTTAATAGTGGTACCAACTTTGGTGGAGGAAATATATGATACTCCACTGATTAAGTTCACATCAGGAAGACTCCAATATTTATCAATCTCAATACCATTTTGGATCAAAACCACGTTAGTTCCCTTTTTGAATAAGTTAGGATGTTCTTTGACATCATCCCAGATATTTTTATCTTTTGGTATGACTTTTGTTGATACTACAATATTATCAAAAGGTCCAAATTCTTCAGCACCTTTCAAATCTTTGACAAGATTAGTTGGTTTGTATTGTACTTCACCATAATCTGCAGATTTGATAGTAAATCCATTGGCTTTTACTTCTTCGTGTCCTGATCTAACAATAGCAGTGACTTCGACCTTTTTCTGTAAGGTATAAGCAGCAACGGTTCCTACACCTCCTAATCCAATAACTAAGGTACTCATGGTTGAACACTTTTGGGGGAATTTGATAATCTTTTATCGAAATAAGTTGTCGCAAGTTTCCATTTTGGGAACGAACCAATTCCGCGCTCCGAAATAGGGAATCAGTATCCGCTAGTTAACATGCTCTTCAATGGATAGGGTTTCCCTGATATGAGTATTGAGGGATTTCATACATCCATACTTCCTTGACGCTTTTGACAAGTGTTAACGGAATTTTGCAAATTTTTTTTTATTAATTCATTTAGTTTAAGATCCGGAGATAAATTAGATCTGTATATAGAATCAGTAAAATTTACAAAAATACAAAAATATATATTAAATAAATTTCATAAATGAAATCATCTACACTGTCAGAGTTCATGTCTACATAGGAAAGATCTGTCTATATTTTTATTGATACTTTCCCGAAATTCAGATTCCTTGGTTTTTTTCAACTTGAGGGATTGTACTATTCTTTATTTTCATTCCTCAAGAAGTAATCGTCAACGGCCATACCTCTACCCAGCTGTCTCATATTTTCCAATCTTTCACTGAAGAATGAGTTCTTGAATTCTTGGAATAATTTTAATGTATTAGGATACTCATATCCGTTATCATTGAAGAATTTATCTGCATACATGTAGATAAATCTTTCGATTTCAATTGCCAGAATTGAAGGTTTATCTCTGTTTGGTCTCTCTTGAAATCTATCTTGTCGTTGTTTTGCATACAGAGGACGAAAGGGTTCATAATCCATGGGTCTTTGCAATTGTTGAGGCATTTGATTAGGTAAAGGACGTGATTGAGCCTGTGATTGAACTTGTTGAGCCTGTTGCACTTGTTGTTGCACTTGTTGTTGAACCTGTTGGGCTTGTTGTTGAGCCTGCTGTTGAGCTTGTTGCTGGGCTTGTTGCTGGGCTTGTTGCTGAGCTTGCTGCTGAGCTTGTTGTTGAGCTTGTTGTTGAGCCTGCTGTTGTGCTTGCTGTTGTACTTGTTGTTGATTTTGTTGTTGTACTTGAACTTGGGCTTGTTGTTGTTGTTGCTGCTGCTGCTGCTGTTGCTGTTGCTGCTGTAAAATGGGATAACCAAAATTGATTTGATTATTGTATCTAAGACCATTTTCGTAAAAATTGTTATTGTAGTCGTCTTTCAAATTCATTCTCATGCCACTGGGTATTTGTGTACCTGGAATATTTGATTGAGGTTCTTCATTAGGAGGTTGTGGGGTGGAAGTTTCATTGGTCTCATCATTATTGTCATTATCTCCTTCGTTGAATGTAGTATCAAAATCATCAGCTACATGGAGAGTTCTTGATAATTTCTGTCTAGTAAGTCCATGACGTTTTTTGAACTGACTTAACCAACCATGACTGAATCCCACTAGTCTTTTAGGATCATCAACCCCAAATTCATGAGCATAAATTGACCAATGTTCTCTTAAAATTGGTTCATTGATAACTTCTCCTCGGGCTAATCTTTGTTGAACAAGGAGGTCCATCGCTTTGTTGATCTTTTCATACTTGAACTTCACTTTTCTCTTGCTATTCTTTGCAAACGTTGATTCCGCCTTGCTCAATCTTGATCTCAAATCGTCTTCGTTTTTTATCCATTCACTAAAAGAAGATGTTGATATCGAGAGCTCATTTTTGAACTTATCGACAGTTTCCAGCTGTGGTCTATTACTTTGATGGTAGTAATCCAAGATCTGAATCTTCTGCTCCAACGTTGCTCTTGGTAACTTGTGCAAAGTCATGTTGTCACAGAGCTGTTGTTTAGAAAGAGCGCGAATGAAAATCAGGGGGTTGAAGGGTTTGGGTATTGATTTACTCAATATTGGGACCAGAAACTTCGGTACAGCCACCTTTGCCCTGTTGAAGAAGCTTTCTATCCCTACAGGAAGTTCATGTGTGGGTTACACTAAGGGATTGCCTATATTGGGACCAATGACCAATAGGAGACATCTCATCACTAAAAATGATATTTTATCCCAACTTAGAAACGGCCACAACTTGGTTTACCTGGATAACAGCAAATCGGGAAAGTCATTTTCCGCTTTCATATATGCAGTGGAAAAGGCTCGCTCAACTCCAAACGAACTATCGGTTATTGTGGTTCCTAATCATAGCTTATTGTTAAAATATAAGTATTGGTGCATAGAAGCGACAAGAAGTATTGATAAATTATCCATAACCATCGTTGACAGATCTTTAAATAAGGATGTGATATCCTCGAATCCAGACGCAAAAGATGTTCCTCTGAGGGGAGATTCTCTCGTTACCAATGGTTTCAGAGGGGACTGTAATTTTATCATCTTACATCAACAAGCATTAGAAAAGCTTTCCACAAACCCCATATTCCTCAAAACGAATCTCATGATCGTGGATGAAGCGGACTTCACCATTTCAGGAATCATGCACAGTAATAACTCTTTTGCTATTACCACCACCCCACCTAAGGGAAAGTTCAAATTAGTATTGGAAAATTGTATCAGGGATATCAGAATCCAAAGACTGAAAAAAAGGAATATGTCACCCATCCAATTTTGTTTCCTTTTGCATCAACATCATCCTTACAACAAGAACTATTCTCAAACTATCGGAACATTCGATATATATGATCGCATCGGAGAAATTATAAAATTAAATAATGGAGAATTGAATATAACCCATGGCGAACAAGCGAAATTCAAAATTTCAAGTAACTTCAGTGTTAAACAATTCTTCGATAAGACCCACAAAAAAGTAAATGTGGCTTATAGGTATATCGAGGAAAATAATGGAAAACCTCAAGTGAAGGGTATATCCCTTGAAAATTACCCTGAAAAATCAAAGTTCACTGAACATTTCAGGATGCAGCAAGTCAATTTTAAGGAATATTATCGTTCCCTTCTTAAATCTTCTTCGAAACTTCCTCATTATGGATTAGCCGATAAATTGGATGTTGTTATCTCCCAATTCAGGAAGACCTTCAAAAACAATGAACCGATTTTAATTGTCGTTCCTTCGTCAACGGGGATTCATTCGGCCGTTGTAGGATACAATATCAAGCCATTAGATGAAAAGGTGGTGGGAGTAAGACCAATCAAAAGCATAACGAAGCCATCCTTGTTTACTTCGCCTAACTTAAACTTAGCCCCTGATTATCTGACTATTCGAGATTTTTTCACTTTAGATTTCAAGAAACTTGGAGGAGATAAGAACTGTACATATAATTTACTATTTCCTGCCAACGAATTACCAGGAATGGATATCAATAATGTCAAAAATATGATTTTGTTGGGGCAAGTGACACTGGTTGAAATGGCGGGAATACAATGGGAGAAGACTCAACTCGAGAAGTGTTGCAAATTATTGCCAGGCTTGAAACATCCATTGAACGATTTATATCAATATTACCTTTCAAAGTTCGAATTGGAAAATGGTAAAGAAGCCAATTTGATGGTTGTTCAGGATTGGTACGATCAGCCCAATGAGAATGACTTGAAGACTTTAAGGAATCAGATTTTGGCCAACGATCTTGGTACCTTGACCAATGACATAAGAATGCCTGGGGACAACATATTAGATTTTGATAAGCCCTAGTTTATAGACCCTGACTGTAAATAGTATAAAGCATAATCTGCACACAAACAAATCGCAGAGATAAGGATAAAATATAACCTATCTATAACCTATAAAAAACCTAAATGAACATCATGATATTGATGAACTCTATGCAACAGCAAATTTGAAATTCAATTTCTGTTGTCCTTTCTTCTTAGCTTCTCCTGCCGAACTCAATGATTTATAGAATTGAATCACTTTTGGATGAGTCTTGATCTTATATCTATCGAAATGTAATACTTGTAACCCTTCTCTTGAAGTTGCTCTCGATAACGCAACATAAGCCTGTCCGTTTTCAAAAACTCTTCTCAAATCCACTTTGACTTTGGGTAAAGTTTGACCTTGGGATTTATGGATTGATAAAGACCACGCGAGTATTAATGGGAGTTGAACTCTTTTAGCCAAAACATTCATATTTTCATCTTCAATATTCCACAGTTCAGGTTCGACCAATACTTCTCTGGTATTGACACCATCAGGTAATAAGAACCGAACTAATGGATACTTGTTCCTTTCGACATTTGTGGAACTATGTAATTTTTCGAGTAAATCTTTCTTTCTTTCGATATTTTCACCATGAGCATCGGCTGATACTGGCACATCCTTTAAGAAATCGAAAATGGAATCGGTCAAAATCTCATCATTGGAATCTTCAATCTTCAAATCTTCACCTTTTTCTTTCTTCTTACTTTCTGCTAAAGCTGCGATCTCTTCTGAGGATAATTCAGGATTCTCCTTCATGAGTTCATAATGCATATATGTATCTCTGTTCATGAAGCCTATAACCTGACCCAACGATCCGTTAACCAAAGTCTCATCGAAATTCTTGATACACATGACCTGGGCATCTTTTCTGAGAAAAAGCTTTTGAGGAGCTAAAATATTGTTCAAGATGGTTTGACGATTTTCAGCTGGAAGTGAACCAGAATCTTCAGATGTATAAACTTTAGTTTGTCCGGTTAGTCTCTTCAATCTCTTGTTGTTAGCATAGTCGACTTCCCATCTAGTACAAAACAATTCAGCTGGTTCTATACCATCCACTTTGGATAATGATCTGGTAAGTTTCTTGAATTCCTTGTCGGTTTCTTCGCTGACCTTACCGGTCCTCATATCGTTTAACATATCGATGAATTTTTGGTCTCCCTTTTGACGGAAAACTTCTTTCAATATGATCGTTTCCTCAATGGCATCTTCCCAACTCTTACTTTCGAAAGCGAACATGGCCTCTTCCTTCTCTACCACCTCTCCTTCCACTGACACAGTTTTCGAAACAGGAGGTAATTGAAAGAAATCCCCACAAACGACTAACTGGATACCACCGAAAGGTTCATTATTTCGGCGTAATGTTTGAGCTAATTGGTTTAAAATGTTGAAGAATTTACCGTCAATCATTGAAATTTCATCAATAACTAATACCTTGATGTCCCTCCATCTGTTTAAAGCTTTACGATTCTTTCTGATTTTCTTCAAAAGCGTATTCATCGAGCCTTGAGCTAAACCTACACCAGCAAAGTTATGGACGGTGATACCTCCAATATTACATGCAGCTAAACCAGTTGATGCAGTAACGGCGACTTTTCCTTTGGAATATTTATTTTTCAAGCTTTTGATGATAGCTCTCAATAACACCGATTTACCAGTACCAGCTGAACCAGTGTAGAACAATGAAGTACCTTCCATGACCATTTTTAACACTGCTTCTTGTTCTGCTGATAGTATTAAGGCTTTGACACTTTTTGGAACAGGTTTGAACCCTTTCTCTGGCTGAGGTGTCGTTGGTTTCTGTGTGGCAAGAAATAAAGAATAATCATTATTTGAAGTGGAAAATTGTCTCTTAGACGTTTTGGAAACTGGAGAACCTAATCTTTTCTTAAATTGTGGAATGAAGTTAGAAGGACGAATAGGGGATATTTTCACCGGACTAGCAACGGGAGAAGACTCTATGATATTGACATCTCTATCTGTGAGTTGATGTCTTACTATTGATGGGCTTGATTCTATTAATTCTATTTGTTTATGAGTGACATGATTAACTCCGTCAGTTAAATCATGAGGTACGAGGTTTTCCTTTTCATTGAATGAACTGAACTGATCTGACCGTAGTATTGAAAGGATTCTTTCTGCTTTGGATGGGGAGTCTTTAACTGTTCCAGGAGGACTCAGACTTATCTTTTTATTGGGAGTTAAAGGTTTCAAAGTTGCACCAAAAGAATCATTAAAATCATCAGAAGACATGCTCAGATCAGGGGAAAATGACACTTTATGAAATAGTAGTGTGCTATAATTCGACGATGGAGATGCTGATGGTCTAGATGAATAAGTGATGCGATGAAATACCTTTTTCACAGACTTATTTAACATCAATTCTACGTGTTTGGAAATTTCGCGACAAGTCACAATGGTTGGTGATGCTAGGATCTTACAAAGTGTGGTCGAATTGGCAGTCAATAACCAATTCAAGGAATTGTCAACGGTTTTGGAAACTTTAGGCACTTTGAATAGTGGACGCCGTTTGAAGTATAGTAATATCATCAATATTTCCTATGTGCTACTCATATTTGCTTCACCATTACAATTATCTATAGATGATTTATTGATACTTATCAAAGGAATGGAAGATAATATAACTGATGAGGCATCAGACAATGGTGATGAAGTAGAAGAAGTAGAAGAGTTTGCCAATTGGGTGAGTTCGAAATGTGAAGAGTCCGTCGATAGCATTGATTCCATAATGACAGCAATATCGCAGTTCAGTGATAAGTATCCTATGGAAGATGATTTGTTATTTTCCGTCTTGAAGACAAGACTTATCATCAATTCTATGTACTTGGATGACATAGAACTTAAAAATATCAGTATAGTGAATTCTCCAGCATTTCATCAATGGTTCAAAGGATTCTATCAACCTTTCAAGTATTATTGGGATAACTATGGAAAACTCACACTGTCAATTAAATATCACGAAATATTGGGCCAAGATTATTTCCAGCATTTAATATCACCTGTTGGATCCTTGGATAGTGATAATTTGTCCCTCTATAATTGGTTGAATAAAGTTATCATCCCAATCAGCAAATTCTCCCATGACTTCTCACTGTTGGAACAATGGTGTTTCAATGAAGCAAATCTTCAACTGAAAAGCTACGAAGTATGGTTCACCACAATAAAGAGTTTGGTTGACAAAGAAGTGCCTTTAGAAGATTTCCAAGGTATCGTAGAAAAATTTGTAGCTTTTTGTTATTTCGACAAGGAGGTGGAAAATTCCCTAGAAATGATCAGAAAGTTTGATTACATCAAAGACACTTTAGTCTTATTGGTTCCAATTGCACCAAAATCATCCACGATTAAAACGGGAGAAGTCAAGTATGTTAATGAGAAATTTGATAGTTTCCAACAATTCATGGAAAACACCAGTCTTATACCTTTGATTTCAATAAGCAAGGACAGTTTGATAAACCTTTCTGAAATGATAGAGAGTTGTTTGAAGCTTTATCCCATAAATCAACTCACAATCCCCAAGTTCTTGGAACTAAAATATGGCTCTTCTCAATCAGAAGATTTCAAAAGAGAGGCTTCTATCATCTTAGTTGGAATAAATACCAGTAATTCTACCACCTTAATTTCTTCCTTGGAATTGTTCAAAGATATTTTCGTGGAGGATGATACAGAGATTAATGAGTTAATGGTGGAAAGATTTCTTTTCAATAATTTATTCGATTTGGTGGATGACCAAGTACCAGATGCAGTTTTACGTAAACTTCTTACCAAAAAGTTTTGGGACAGTATCAATTACAGTACATCTTTAGATGATATCAGATTAAGCTATGCTGAAAAGTGCTTGGACATGATGAGTTCCAAGGAACAAACATCAGAGGAGAAGGAAGAGATTTCTCGATTCAGAAATTTATTGAAAATGTTCAATCTCATTAAGAATTTCAAGATCTCCTTAAACAGGCAACCCATTAGCCCTTCAGACATCTTAAAGAAATTCAGTAAAATCCCTCATAATGATTTACAACTTGAGTTAGAACCTTCTTCACCTATGGGATTGATAACAACTATTTTGGAGCAAAACCCCAAGAGTTATAGAGCTTTCGAAAAGCTTTTCAAGATTTTAAACCACTTTTTGATCTTTTTGAATGTAGAAATCAATTCCAACTATTATTTCAAACGATTGATATCAGCTTGTATCGAGAGTTCATTGATTGATTTCAATTTCAATTTTGCATACTCCAAATCAATTGAATTATTCAGCAATTATACTGACTTGAATGATTTATGGTTGGTTTTCTATCAGATAGGAAACTACCAAACTCCTGATTGGTTTGATAATCCAAGTAGTAACCTACCTATACTTATTAAGAAATCATTTGTGTTATCCAATTACTTAAGTGTGATAAATAGATCTTTGACTACTGTGGACAATAGTAGAATAATAGTCGAATTGTGGAATAAGATCAATAATGAGATAGAAGAAATAACCAATAACGATACATCCCTTCAAGATCAAGATCAATCTGATGCCAGTACAGTTAATAGTACAGTCAATAGTATTGCCCATGGTATATCGAGGAATTTGAGCCCCATGTCGGAAAAGCCTGGTGAAAAGTTATCAAATCTTTTCGTTTCGGGTTTGGGTTGGGCCATTGGTGCTAATAAGTAATAAAACTATTAATGTGTGGTTTTCTATTCTCTCATAGATATCTACCAAATTTCTTAAACGCGAACCATAATGATAGCCAATACTCAACAGATGATGGTAGATGATTCTATCAGATCGTTCATGAAGTACAATGAACCAGTTGTAAATGAATATTTGACTCTCAGACAGAGGATTCTTGAATTTTGTGGAAGAAGTGAAGACCAACCGAAAGAACTGAAAGAGGAAAAGGATGAGACTGACATGGAAGTTGATACCAATGAAGCAGGAGATGCACCAGATCAAGAGGTAGCAGAACCCAAAGAGCCCGTTGAAACAGAAGAGGTCAAAGAGGTGGATGTTGAAAATGAGAGAAAGAAACTTCTTTTGGAATTGGATTTGGCTTGGGAAAGTTATAAATCATATTTGAACGAACTTCAAATTCTTTTAAACATAGAAAAGCTTCCTACCAAGAACTTAGAAGAAATCAACAAGAGCTATGAAGTGATAATAGGTGAAAAAGTCGGGTATAACAATAAACTCAAGAACATTAAAAATATTCAAATGCCTTTGATAGAGAAGATGAACAACTTGAAGAATAATTTCAATACCAACTTGAACCATAAAACCAGTCAACGATATTACAAAGAGAGCAAGGAAGAAGAGATTGATTCTACAAACCTTCTTTTCACCAAAGAAGAGATCACAAATATGTTTGATGTTGATTATGATTTCGATATGAACAAATATAACTTATTTACTGAAGTTAAAGATAAACTTTTCTTCAAGATTTTCAAAACCCAAGAGTCCAATGAAACCCTTATTGACGAGTATGACGAATTGATAGAGAATTTGAATATTGACATCAAAGAATCTATAGAATTGAGGAATAAGGCTCGTAGTCAATGGTCAAAGAATGCTGAAATTATTGATCAGTTCAAAGATATATTGAAACAAGGACCCCAAGAGAACCCCGAACAGTAAATAGTTGAAGACATTGACAACAAGAAGTTCATCTGGTGGTAAAGTCCCACAGATCTTTGATCACAAATTGAAAATTTCTCTCGTAAGAGCACACTTATCAAGACATTAATATACATTTACGATATAGGACTGATTAAAATAACGGAATCTCCACGAATGAACACCATTTCACAATCCTTCACTATTGGTTCCCCAGTTTCATTATAGATATATTCTTTAGCATCACTTAAAACCATATTACAATGGGAATCATAACCTTGTAATTTTCCCTTCATTTCTCTAGCACCTCTTAATTTCACCAACACAGTTTCATCGAGTTGGTATCTAATCAAATCTAATGGTTCTTCTGTCTGTTTGTCTGCTTGGACCGACGACATGATTGAATCTGTTGATAAATTTCGCGGAAAAAATTTTCATTACCAAGGTAGTATCTACAGTAAAGATGAGGAGGTTCAGTACTACTACGATAGCTCAAGCTAGGAAATTAAGATTCGAAAGCTTGAAAGACATCAAATTAAGAGCACCTATCTTACCAACACATAAAAATTTCGATGTTTCACCTGATCATCCCCTTTGGCAATTTTTCCCTAATGGTAATGAATCTTTAGCCTATAGACCAGCAAGTGAATTAGATGCCACTTCAAGATCTTGGACTATGAGTGAGTTAAGACACAAATCCTTTGATGATTTACATAAATTATGGTATGTCAACTTGAAAGAACGTAATATACTTGCCAAAGAAATGTGGTTATTAAAATCCATTGAACAAGTTAATATGGGACAATATGATGAGTTAGATGCCAAATTAGTTTTAAACCAAAAAAGAATCAAACAAGTATTATTGGAAAGACAAACAAGTTATGAAAGAGTCAAAACCTTGGATACTGAAGTCAAAGAATATTTGGAAGATTTCGAACAACAATATTTAAATGCCAATGAACAAGAATTATTAGAAATGAATGATAAATTAGTAAGGTTACAATATGCTATCTTTGGTATTCAACCAACTTTATCAGATATTCAAGAAGTCAATGAAGACTTAGTTAATGGTATTGGATACGTTGGAAGATTAAAATCTCAAAGGTACGTTACTGAAAACCCTGATTGTGGATTGGAATTACCTTTGAAAGGTATTGTTGAAGAATTACCTTTCCTCTTCAAACAACCATCCGAAGCAGTTGAAGAAGTTTTAGCATTAAGAGAACAACAAACTCCAATGTTACCTAAACCTGAAATCTTTGAATATTTAACTAATGTCTTGGAAGACTTGAAAGCTTCTGAAATCGAACAAGACCAATAATCCTAGCATTTATCATTGGAACATTTGAAATCTGGGTACTACCGACTAGTAGAATCTGACCAACACCCATGGTGGAGTCAACTATCATCGGCTGACATCCATGGCACTAATGTGCGTATAGTATAGTCCTGTAAATATAAACCTATCATATCGCGAAAATCTCAATTTTCAGTTCTCAGTTCACAGTTCTCAATCAACAATGCCAGGTAGAATTCATGGGTTCTTAGGAGGAGTGTTGTTCACTGCCTCATTAGTATATTATACTGGAGAATACATAAAGAAAGATCAACAATTCATTTCCAGACAATTGCAAATTTCAAATACTGTCGTCAATGAAAACATCATCTCAGGTAAATCACTTGAACCAATCCATAAAGCTCCACCAAAAGTGATTCAGTATAATGGAGGTTTTTATGAAAGTGCCAAAGATATATGGAACGAAGAGATATTTAAGATGGTGAATTGGTTATATAGTATAAATTGGTACGAACTTGGAGTCAAAACCGATGAAAAAGTAATGAAATTGACTGACAAATTGGCCGACCAAGTTAAAAAGTAGGGATAATGCACATAGAATATCAAGAAGATTTTAGTAATTTTGGTGACTCACAAGTCGTTCATTTTTATTTCTCTCCTCTTTCCGACTTCTCGGGTGTTGACTAACTACAAAACTTCCACGTTCTTTACTCTAATCCTCTTTATCTTTCTCCTTGAAGTAACCTTCAATGTCTCTATCAACAACCATCGAAGCAAACGGAGCGATGATTGAAAAGAGAAAACTCACTATGATTTGTAACACACTCCAGTATCTTGGATTGGTACCTAACGACGCAGACGATAAGATCCATCCAATACTGTCAGTATAACTCACATCATATCCACGATCCAAATCTCTTAAGATCATATCGGCGGCTTTACTGGTGGTAATGGCCACACTTGAACCTTCTATCTTTTTGGTTATTGATGGCTTGGTCCTTTCTTCTTCTCTATATCCTTCACTGTCAAAGTTTCCTGGGAAGATACACGATACTCTATAATTATAGGCTGTCAACTCTTGTCTCAAATTCAATGATAATGCCATTAAAGCAGCTTTTAAAGGAGCATATTGAGAATATCCAATTAAAGGATAAACTCCTGCCACCGACAGAAATATAACGATATGACGGTGTTTAAACTCTTTCCTACTCTTACTCTGGTTGTCTCCAAGTACCTGTTTGATACCAGCATGAATTGGAAATAATGTGGCGGTATAATTGGTATTTATACCCAAACTAAGTTCATCTCCTGATAACTCAGTGAACAACTTACATACACTTCCTCCTACACAATTAAAGATAAAATCAGGATCCTTACCATCTTGTGCCATCGAGGCCCACATTTCTTGACATTGCTTATAATCTGACACATCACAAGCTATATAATCAATAGTATTTGAAAATTTCCCATGGTTTGATTTGATCCTTTCCGCTTCCTTTTTAATCACAGCTTCTCTTCTAGCTACTAAGATGACAGAACATCCTTTGTTATATAATTTTTCAGCTAATTCAAGCCCTAAACCTTGAGAGGCACCGGTGACTAAGGCTAATTTGTCTTGTACTACGAGTTTTCCTGGTAACATGTATTAGTATTTACAGAGTGCGCGGAAGCGCAGATGTGGTGTACCAGATTTAACTGATCCTGAACCATGCTTTATCGACGTCTAAGCTCGAAACTCGAAACTCAAAACATTCAAACTTGACCTAAGCTAAAAATGGAGATTGTGGTAATTCGACTGATTGCTTGTCGAATCTTTCTTTGGTGTGGAATTTCTTGGATTTTTGGAAGTTTATTCCATGGTCTCTTGGTTTATTCTTTAAGTTTTGTTTGATAGCTTCGTCTTCAATTTCTCCAGTTTCAGCGTTGTATTTGAAGAATTCTTTCTTTGCAGTTTCAACGGCTTCATCAAACTTTTCTTGACCATTCTTTCTGAATTTTATCAACTTGCTGACTTCGTATTTGGTTAATTTATCTAAAGGTAAGTTTTGTAATTGTAATCTGGCGACTATCTTAGCAGTATACCAGAATTTGATATCGAAATTAGAATCTACTAACTCGAGAACTGCCATAGGTGCTTTATCTTCACCCAATCTTGGTTCTAACCTTATTAATCTGGTATAACCTGCATTTCTTCCTTGATATCTATCACTTAATTCATCCACTATCTTGTTTCCCAAGGTTTTGACATCAGGAGGTTGTAAAAATCTTAAATGTTTGTTATCCAACTTATTCTCCAACGATTCATTTTCTCTTAAAGTTTTGGTTAAAAATCGTTCTAATTTTGGTTGCACTCTTTTAGCTTTGGCCCTGGTAGTAACAATTGATTCATGTCTTATGACGTTGGCACAGATGTTCTTATCCATCAGTTTGACATGACGTGCCACATTGGCATGAAACTTCTGTAAAGCTGGCATTGAAAAATTTTCGCACTGAAAAATCGATATAAGAGGACGAAGGACTGAAAGGTTAAGGTGAAATTTGGATGAGGGAGGGAGGTTTGAGAGGAAATAGGAAGTATTTTGAATATACCAAGAAATAGAGAATCAGAAATGTGAACCAAAATGGAGTTATTCGAAGTGTGCAAGGTAATATGGGAGGAAATATGTATCTTTCGGACATAATATCCCTTCCACCCACCTTTGTTTGTCCCCAAGTCCACAGCTGGCATTTATATCGTGACTCTGATCATCTCTGAAGCTGAATCATCTCTTAGTAATCAAGGATCACAAAATAATGTGTATTAACATATATGAGATGAGATCAAGGACCTTATTTCTCTATATTTTAAGCATTAGCAGATCCCCAAAGTAACCACAGACGGCACAACATCCTTTAGCAGTCTTCGGATTTCCTGTACAGGAATAAATCATCTACTTCTTACCTGACTTTTTGATACCTCCTCCAACTAATGGACCACCTTTCTTGGCTTTTTCCATCATAGCTTTTTTGGCAGCAGCATCGGCTTTTTGTTTGTTTTTGAAGGCCATGTCTTCATCATCCATGTCTTGAGTCTTCTTTTTTGGTGCCTTCAATGGCTTAGCTTTACCTCCTTGTCTACCTGACATCGCTACCTGTTGATAATTTTTTTCTTCCGCACTTTCGAATCATTATGGGGATCTTAACTACCACAGATAAGGATAAAATCAAGAGGGTTATTCCCAAAGCTAACAATAAGATCTTGGATGCTACCGTAGCTAGACTATACATTGCATATCCTGATCCAACGCAATGGAAATATACGGATTTATACGGAGCTGTATGTTTGGTAGACGATTTAGTAGGTCATACATTCTTCTTGAAATTGGTGGATATCACTGGTCATAGAGGTGTGATTTGGGATCAAGAGATTTATGTTGATTTCGAATACAATCAAGATAGGAAGTTCTTCCATAGTTTTGAGATTGAAGAATGTATGGTTGGATTGTTATTTGAAGATACTACTGAAGCTTCACACTTCTTCAAGAAGGTCACTACTCGTCAAAAGAATGGATCTAAACAAACGGTTAATAATAAGAATGCCATAGCATTGAAGAAAACCAGTGAAGCTTCCAAGAAACCTATGGCTCCAGGCCCTAGAGGGGAATACATCGATACTAACACAGGTCAAAGATCTCGTCATACTAAAGGTGTGTTATATTATGATGATGTTCCACCACCAGAATGGAGGTCTTTGTATTCAGAATTAGCCGCTGCTGGTATCACAGAAGATATGATTGCTGATAACAGAGAGTTTATTAAGGATTATATATCTAGACAGGGGGGTCCATTGGTAGGCTTGGAGCCACCTATCCCTAGAAGGAAGAAGATGGAAATTTCAAGGGTAGATACTGTCACTAGTGTGAGTACTACTAATAGTGGGCATACTTCCAGAAGTAAGAAAGCACCACCACCACCTCCACCCCCGGGAGGTGCTGATATATCTTCATCTCCAGCACCACCAGATATTCCTACCCCCGTAGCACAACTGCCAATTTCCCTGGCAGCTTCTGATGTTGCTACACCAACAGAACAATCACCTGAACCATCACAACCCAAAAGACAATTCAGATTACCTCCTTCAACGGCAGTGCCTCCTCCAGTGAGTCATAGTCATATACAACCTCCTCAACAGTTTAGCCAACCTCAGCAATATCAACAGCCTCAACAATATGGACAACCCGGACAACAGGCTCAACAGTATGGCCAGGCAAGACCACCACCACCCCCATCGAGGGGAAATGCACCACCAGCACCACCATCGAGAGGTCCTGTTCCTCCACCTCCACCAAGAGCCCAAACTGGTGCAAGGACCCTTCCACCACCTCCAGGAAGAGGACCTGCTCCGCCAGACAGAACGGGTCCTCCAGCACCTCCTCCTCCACGTAGAGGTAATGCGCCACCACCACCACCATCGAGAGGTCAACCGGGCCCTCCCCCTAGACAAGTTCCTACCACACCACAACAAATTCCACAAATGCAATACCAAGCACCACCGGTACAACAGATGCCACCACCACCAGTACAACAACAAATCCCACCACCAGCACCACCATTACAGAACAATATTCCCCCAGCACCACCAATGCAACAAGAAATCCCACCGGCACCACCAATGCAAAGTAATATTCCACCTGCACCACCAGCACCTCCATTACCATCTATGGGATCACCTCCTCCACCAGCACCACCTTTGCCATCAATGGGGTCACCACCACCAGCACCACCTTTACCATCAATGGGCGGCCCACCTCCACCACCTCCATTACCCTCAGGTGCTGGAGAAACCGCACCATTACCTGCACCTGACTCCTCAAGAGATGCTTTACTCGCTTCCATTAGAGGTGCGGGCATTGGGTCCTTGAAGAAAACTGACAAATCGAATTTAGAACGTCCTAACGTCATTTTACAAGAAGCCAAAGGAGAGAAAGTAGATATCCCATCAGCAGCACCTCCTGGTAATGGGGCACCAGTGAATTTCGCTGATGCCATCCAAAATGCTTTGAACCAAAGAAAAGCTAAAGTTTCCAGAAGTGATGATGAAGATGATGGTGATGATTGGTAATATATAAAGTTAACATGAAATCTCTCGATCCATGAACATCTCAAAACCTCCTGAATCCTCAATCTCACACAATTCCTCAATCGCGATGCTTAGAAGAATTCCATTCAAAAGGTTTGTTAGATCGTACGCAGTTCGAAGTGAGTATGACTCTCCATTTGACTACTTGCCAAAAAACCGTAAGAAACCGTTCATAAGTTGGAAAGCGACGTTATTTTTCATTGGGTTGGGATCATACATATCTTATTCCGAAGTGATTTTAGATAGATATGCTGAATTCACCGAAATGGAAGAGAAGAATGATTTCTTACCCATAAAGTTGAAATACAAATTGACTCAATTACCAATATATCAAAAATTGATGAAGAATGGTTGGACAAGATTCGAAACCTGGGAAGATTTCAATCATAATATCTTAGATCACCAGAATTTCACCAAAAAAGACGACATTGATGGAGTCACTGGTACTATCTTGTCTCATACATTGTCTAAACCAGGAGGATTCCTCATAAAGCCGGTGATTTTTGCCAAAGATGATGAGACCGTGACATTAGTCCATGCTGGGTATAGATTATGTGGATACCCATTTATTGTCCATGGAGGTATTATAGCTACTATGTTGAATGAGACCTTCAAAAGAAATGCAGCATTATCATCATTCACCAAGTCGGGATACAAGGGAGACTTCAAAGTGGAAAATATTCTGATCAATTATAAGTATCCACTGTTTGCTAATCAGTTCTTAATTATAAAGACCAAAAAGATCCCAATGGAAGGAGAAAACGATAAATTAATTAAACTAGAAACCATTATTGAAAATGAAGGTGGAAAGATATTAGTCAAAAGTCAAGCTGTGTTACATGATACGGGATATGTATCAAAATCCAGTTTGAAGAAGTTTATAGGTTTATGAGACATGGAAATTCACTCTACAAGGGCCACAGTTTTCTGTGTGCTCGCCCTAAACTCTGCGGCGCTATCCCTGATTTGGTGCCAGACCAACACAAATCCATCGCGAAAAACCTAAACCTCAGACGACCAGAATGACTGAATCAAAGATAGAGGTTATTTCCATAAATGATACCAAAGAGGAAAGCCCAGAGACTGTGGTGCCGCATGAACGTCAAGTTATTGACGAAATTATCAAAATCTGGAAAGAAGATCCTTCTACTGAAACTTTAGGTATGAGTAAACTTCATGCATTGGTTAAGTCCAATCATCCAAATTGGTCTTTAAGTGAAAAAAGAGTGAAAACGCTATTGAAAAAGTTCGGTTTGAGTCAAACAACCCAATTCAATTATGCTAATGAAATCAAATCCATTGATAATCCTGATTTAGAACTTCCAGATAAGATCAAAGTGGTAATGACTACTAAGAGAGGTAAAGGTTTGTTTGCCAAAACTGCCATTAAGAAAGGTGAATTGTTATGGGAAGAATCTGCCAAATTCTTTGTTCCTCCACTTGCCAACCTCAAGCTTGTCAAGCACGGTAAAGCATGTAGTAATTGTGGGAAACTTCTAAACAAAAGAGGTCTCGATTGTAATGGATGTCTTGAAATGTGGTGTTCTCCACTTTGTAAGAATAAGAACTTTCCCTTACATTGCTTACTCAAACATATCAGGAAAGGAAACCGAGATTTAGTCAATGCTGAATATTATCTTGAACTAGAAGAGTATGTAATCAAGGAGAATTGGAATGCTTTATTTGCCATCACTTTGATTTATGCTGAGATTCTTCAAGATAAGACTGGTCAAAGCTTACAATACTTCAAAGCTATGGCCAGAGTTAGTCAAGAAATTAGATACAAAGCATTAGATTCATCAGCAGGATCATTTGATAGTCTTTCTGGAGGAGCTTTATTCGTTCAAGAACAACAGGAGAATCTTTGGAAGGAAGGGTTTGAAAAATTTTCTAAAGTATTCCCCAGTGCTATCAAGAATGGGGACATTGATTATCAGGAGTTCCTTGTGATGTTAGGGTCATACAATATCAATAACTTGGATAGTTGTATCTTTGAAATCCATTCCCATTTGAACCATAATTGTAATCCAACAGTGGATGTCACTTTTGCTACCAACAGAGTTGAGGGTGTGAGAGTGTACGCATTAAAGGATTTAAGTCCTAACGAAGAATTAACCACCACCTACGTTAACCCAAGTCATACTGTTCAACAAAGACAACGAGAATTGAGATGTAATTGGGGATTTACTTGTGCATGCCAAAAATGTAAAGACGATTTAAAACAACAATCTGGAGCTAAAGAAAGAAAGAAATCAGAAACTATGAACAAATCAGATATTAGAAAGATGTTGAGTGATGATACCGAAGAGTTCGAATTATCAGTCCCTGAAAATACAGGGGAAAGAAGAAAATCAGTCAGATTCGATGAAAAGGTTATAGCTGTTAGTGAATAAACGATGTCACGTGATCTTTAACTCTTCTTCAAACTCCAACTTTGTTTAAAAAGTCGCAACATCTTTTAATTTGTCCTGCGACATGTCAGTACTCAAGACAGCTAAACAGAAACTACGGTCCCATATTAAAGCTGAACTTCAAAAAATCTCCCAAAGAACTATCGAATTACAATCTAAGAACGTTCATGATACCTTAGTAAAATTTCCAGCTTTTCAAAATGCTAAAAAGGTAGGTATTTATATGCATATGCCTCACCTGGAAATCAGAACTTTAGATATAATACAGACATGTTTTAACTTGGGTAAACAAGTTTATCTTCCAAGATGTATATTTGAACAAACTTACGATCGTAAGAAAAATCATATCCAGCTATTGAAAGTTGACGCTTTCCAACAGGTGAAAGAATTGAAACCTCATGGCAGATTTCAATTATTAGAACCTACTTCAGGTGAAGATATACTCGAATCAGGAGGTTTAGACTTACTCATAGTACCCGGAGTTGCGTTTACAAGAGATCTCAAAAGATTAGGTCACGGTGGAGGTTTCTATGATGAGTTCATACAAACTTATACCAAAACACATTCTCATCCTATAATAATAGGTATAGGTTTGACTCACCAATTGATAGATCAAATTCCAACTGAAACCCATGATAAAAAGTTGGATGCTGTCATCATCGATAAAGATACATACATGACATAAATACATTACTATAAAGGCCCTAAGGTTCATATCTACCTATCAAACAATTACTTAACATTCTATCAACACTAACCCAACTGTGATACTTATTAAACAACATCGTACCATCTCTACCGGCACTTTTCATGATTTCCTTGACTCCTCCAGGATGGAAATTCACATACGGCGTGATATTATATACTTTTCCATTGATAGAAGTCCAACAATCATCTACTTTATTATGCAACTTTAATTCCTTAGGAGTAACCTTCACAAATTGAGGAGGGGGAGCTCCTGGAGGTAAACCACGAAGGTTCTTGGATTTAAGATTAGCCCAATCTAATGGAGAATGACCTGGTTGTAGTACAACTTTCTGTCGAGCTCTAGAAGCTGAAGATTGTGGCAAAGGTAGCGAATTACTAGCTCTTTGATTTGAGTTTGGTGATGGGAACATAAGGATTCAACTGCGCGATGAGACATTTGTATATATTGTGGTTGTCGCAATACGACATCTCTAGGTTGAAGTTTTAGGTTCTTCTCTTTCATAATATAACATATAAACACTGGTGGTTTCTACTAAAACGGCAGCTTTTGTGACCTCTGAAATCATTGAGTCACTGATTCTCCAATATGGATGTTTCAACACACTGGAAATTTTTTTAAATTTATTAATTTTCTTGTTAACTTGATCTAAATTGAAATAATCGTTTTCTTTATCGAATTGGAATTCTGCTGGGGTATTTAAACCATCAGGAATGATTTCATTGGTGATGATTTCAGGGTCTGCTTGAAATACTGCTGGTTTTCTGTTCACCATATTAGAAAATTTTCTTCTGAATGAACCTGACTCTACTTCATCATCAGTTGACCTTTCTGAAGATGAGGATAACGAACGTGACTTATCAAAGACACTATCTTCGATGACTTCATCTAAAATTTCCGGCGATAATTTGATGATCATACCTTCACTATCTTTGACAAATAAAGGTTTTCTCTTATAACATTCATAATGTCCTTGGGTATGAGATCCTTGATGTCTGATCATAGCTTTAAGTCTATACTTATAATTGTCATTCTCATTAAAATTGAAGCTCTTGAAGTGATTAACAAGATCATCTGTTTGATCGGTAGTGATGGGGGATTTATTTAAAGTCTCTTGCTTTTTAACAGTATCAACACTTGAGTCATCATCATCATCATCATCTACTTCTACGTCATCGTCATTGTCTTCATCTTCTATATCTTCTACTTGATTAATATCACCTTGGACTTCAAGTTTCTCATCTTGTACATCGTCATCTTCCATATCATTAACATCATTGGTTAAAACCTTACTTTCATCAATATCTTTGAAAGCCATTTGTTTGAAGTTCTTTAACTCTTCAAGATATTCTTTACCAATTGATAAGTTCAAATGATCTCTAAAGGAAACTCTACATGAATTTCTTACAACATTGAATCCATTGAAACTCGATCTCGATAAATGTAAACCAAAGATCTTGGGGGGTTTTAAAATTTGATTTTTACGTAACACTGTGGATTTAACAGTGATATCTGTCTTTTTATAGTCCTTGATATAATTTTCCAAATCTTTAGGCAAATCTTCATTAATAAATGAACTTTCATTATCATTAAAATCATTCAATTGATATAAGAAATCAATTTCTTCAGCTGAATAATTATTGTCAAGTTGACGTTGACGATCAAGACCATTTAAGGATTTCTCATGTTCAATAAGTTTTTTGATCTTACATTTCAAACATTGATAATCATCTATTTGTTCACTTTCATTTTCATTCAATAAAGTCTCTAGGTCAGTGGATACTGATTCAGGTGTATGCAATGTTAACATTAAGAAAGGAGAAAAGTTAGGCTTGGATAATCCTCTACAATTGATACATTTCATTTGATTCAAAATCAAACCATTTAAGGGAAATTCAGGAATTTCAATACCTTCTTGAAGAACTTTTTTGTTGATTTTCTTTAAAAAATTAAACTTCCTTATGATCTTCAAATTCTCATGTTCAAGGGTTTCATTGATCAATTGTGTGAGTTCTTGAGCATCGTGTTGGGATCGAGATATTTTAGCATTAAAAATCTTCTCTAAATCATGTAAAAATGTCCATACAGAAATAGTTCTTGACGTTAATTGAGTACTTTGTAATTTCTTGATAATCTTAGCTAATGATATATGTAAGGGGATATTGAATTCCATTTCCATTTTCTTGAACTTTGGGTTAGTTGAAGTTGATGGTGGGGGACTATCCGAGCTAGTACTATCGTCGGTAGTTTTAGAACTTCCACCTTGACTTGAAGTTTCAAAGTCTTCAAAATCTCTATCAATGCCATTATTAATAAGGAATGTTTCAATCTTTTTGAATGCTGTAATAAAATCATTTAAATAATCAGTTAATCCTGGTAATGAACTATAAGCTTGAATTGAACTGTTAGCAAAACAGTCATTTCTTAGATTGATTAATCCCGTAGTGAATTTATCGGGCCTTTTAGTAAACATAGGTTTGGGATTTAAATTGAAGTATTCTTTGACGGTGGGAGCTAAAATATAATATAGAAGGGATGCACCAATGAATACTTTGACAACGGTAGATTTGGAAACTTCCATGGCAGTTCTCCCGCGATTCTTATCTTTAAGGAGGGGCACTGCGGTACACCAGATGACAATAAATACTATAGATTAAGGTTAAGGCTTAGAGGGTTAAGGAACTGATGGATAGCAATATTACAATTAGGGGATTCAGTAATTAGTTGATGGAGAAATAGGAAGAAATGTACATTAGAAGTTGAATAAAAGCGAAGGTAAATGTATTATCTGATGATCTTTCTTTTTTCTTTCTTTTTCTGTTCTTTTGGTGGTTGGACAGGCTCTTTTGGTTGCTTATTACCTGAAAATTTAGGCAAGAAAGGAAGTATGAAACCTGATAATTTATATCCCACAAATAAAGGAATGATGATCCATCCATACCATGCTCTTTTAGTAACTACCAGCAACACATCCAAAAACAAATTGAAATATATAACATCAAATAAGTATTCAATTAATCCTGATTGATTCAAGTTCTCTCCGGAATTAACAATCTTTTTATAGCCGTCAATAGGATCAACCTTGAATTTGGGTGATCCGAATTTTTCAAGTAAAAAATGACAGGTAACGTTAGGTATGTTGAAGAAGATAAACCAGAAGATTGAGCCATTGAAAAGCCAATTAAGGAATAATGTTGATGCTAAGATAGCTCCATTGGCTAATCTGAGATTGGAAAGTATCTTTATATTCTCTTTTGTGGTCTTTTTTAAACTTGATGATGCCATAGTGAATTGGAAGATATCGCGAATCTATTTATCTATATTACATGACTATAAAATGACAACTATAAATAATGAATGGCTGTAAATAATGAAGGTATGGCTATAAATCGTGGAGGTATGACTATAAATCTAAGCTGACTATTCTCTTGACATATGTGTATAAAGTTAAACATTGGCTACTGATGGATAACATATTGAGCCAGTAGTTGGAGGCTAAAGATTGGATCATCACTTGATCTAATTGAGTTACTATCTGTTTAGATAAGCTATTATTTCTTACCTTCAAGTTCAAGAATAAGATCATGAATGTCATGGTGATAATACACCATAAAATCTTAAACATGTTCATCAGTAATATACTCATTACAACGGTGGAGAATAAACTGACTACAAGGAAGATCTCTGAAACTAAGGATATTTGTAACAAGTAAACATAATTCGTTTGTACTTTTTTGATATTGACATTGATTAAATTCTGGTATTGTATACCAAGGGGCAAATGTGGAAGGAGATTATTTTGGAAATAATTTAAAATGTGAAACACCAGGAAAATGTTGAAACTAACTAAAATTTCAAGGTATTTACCTGAGGAAAAGTAAAACCATATGGCAATGAAGAAATATTGAAGGTTTTCATCATTGAGGATCTTCGATGACTTGGTCTTATCTTTTCTTTGTTTGAATATCTGTTTGAGAACAATAACGTAAGTTACAATGATAAAGAAAAGACATTGTTTGTAAAACAATTTTGATCCAAAAATTGATTCAACTAGTGAAAAGCTGAAACATATGAAACTTAACAAATGACAAATAAACCAGTAAAATTGTTCAGTACGTGCTAGATTCTTCAATTGGTGTGAAAGAGTAACCATGATCAATCGTTTAGATTCGGGATTCCTCGCGCATAGTTAAGATCTTTAGGGGAGGATCTAGAAAATTCCATTCATCGGATTTATTACTTAATTTCATAGATCCAAAACATCATCACAGTATGAATGGTATTGAAATGGTGGGGTTTACACTCACATAAGGTTTGAGACCAAGTGTTTCATGATCATGATATACGAATTTCCATATTAAGGGGTTCATGCATGATTAAGCCCCCAAATAAAATATTTACCGAAACCCTTGTATTCCTCCTATAATCATACAGTTGATCAATTCTTTAAAAGTCATGCCAGTTGAGTCTCGGCATCTCTCAGCCACTCTGTGCTCATATATCTCCATATTTGAGGATTTCGCAACATTGCTCAAATGGACTTCATGTTTTTCTTATTTGGTTGTAAGTATATTTAACATCTGATTATCTAGCAGGTTAACCAATTGTGTGTAAGAGGTACTAACAAAATCAGTTAAAGAGACCAACAAACCATTGAGTGATATAGGTAATATCACATGTTACTGTAATAATTGCCATAATCAAGCAGCTCACCCGATTAGAACTATAAATTGGTTTACCCTTTTTTTTATCCCATTGATTCCATTTTACTTCTCCAAGAGGTTAAAATGCTCAATCTGTGGAGCTTCAGGTGATATTAATGATGATGTCATAAATCGATTGAAGCAGGGTCAGCCTGTGGCTATTGGTTAAAGATGACCAATGACTAGCAGTTCAAGTGAATGTGAATCACGATATCGCTTAATCCATAGCAAAAGGGTTAATGTTCAATCATAACCCACAAGATTAAATTAGAAATATATTGATAACAATGATTATTATGAGATAGGCGAATCATAAAAGCTCTACTTTTTTAAGAAAAGACTCATAGAATTCTGGACCCGTTCGCATCCAATTGAGTATGCATTTCACAATTTCCAGTTGGTGCTAATTGAACACCAGACACCCTACCTGACAACACACCCTTTCAACCCTTCTCATAACCCTTCCTGACAACATCCGTATGAACCCACAACATAATCTTCCAGACAATATCCAATAATCATACTTCTAGCCCTTTCTGCCGACCCCCTTCCTGCCCATTCAAAGTCATGATTACTATCTAATTACGTAAGCGCTTATGTAATCCAAATAGTCTGATGATTTTCTAAACAATATAGCTCTTGGGCCAATTAAGATTGAAAGGGTAATTAATGAATAATTAGGTTATCCTCAGCATACAGTGATCCTATAATCCCGATGTGCTTTACCCGTTGATAAGTTACAATTAATATCTGGTGATAATCAAATAAAGTCAATAACCACCGTTCTATTGAATCTCTTAAATATAATGATCTGTATGTTTCATCCCAAATGAACCTCTCTTTATAGTGGTTTTTCACTTGCCACCATCCATAACTTTAGAACCTACCTTCCTGTAGGTTCAAGTGAAAAACACCCTAACTCGATGTTCTTCGTATCCTATATACAGTACACACATAACCGTCAATTCCAATAACGTTACAAGGTCATACTTCCAATGATTCTGTGATCATGAATCTACCGCAAATCCCACTATTCATCATCAACTACATATAAATAGGGGCTAAGTTACCCCTATTCCATTACTTACAACATCAATTGTTTAGTTCAAAATATGTATAATCGTGAAAATAGTGCACTTAATTTAAATACAATCTCATCTGATATTGATATCCATTTAACTACTCATGGATCTGATTGGTTATGGGCAGTTTTCTCAGTTTTTGCTTTATTGACTGTGGGCCACACTGCCTATCTTGGATACCTGTTCAGAAAGGGAACTAAGAACATCGTCGTGTCAGTACCATTACTTGTATCTATTATCTTTACCATCAGTTACTTTACTTATGCTTCTAATTTAGGTTGGACTTCCACTCCAGTTGAATTCAATCATGTGACTACTGATGAAGAGTTAGGTATTAGACAAATCTTCTATGTCAAGTTCGTTGCGTGGTTCTGTGCTTTCCCATTAGTTTTAACTATGTTGGAATATTCTGTAGGAGAAATCGGTTTAGATTCATTATTCTCCTTATTAACTAAAGTATTAGTTATGAATGTTTTCGTAGTTAATTATTTGATCGGTTCTTTGATTAAATCCACCTATAAATGGGGTTATTGGGTATTTGGTACCTTTGGATTATTATTAGGTATTGTATTTGTTGGTCATAGTCTTATTAGATCTGAAAAGAAGACCATATTCATTTTAGGATTGACGGGATTACAACTCTTGATTTGGGTTTTATATCCTGTTGCTTGGGGTTTGAGTGAAGGTGGTAATGTTATTCAACCCGATTCTGAAGCTGTTTTCTATGGTATCTTAGATTTAATCAATTTTGGCTTCTTACCATTATTGTTCTTGGTCTTCAGTACTAAAGATGAAATTGCCCATGAAAAGACTACCGAAACCCCAAGAGTTTCAGGTGAAACAGCTGTTTAAACCATTCTTGGGGAAATACAATCGTTTATGAAAATCTCCTACTAGTAGGATTAATAGTTAATTATGTTTATATGTTTAATAAAAAGATGAAAAGTGATATATTTCTAAAACTAAAAGTTGATTAACTTCATTATTGCAAACCCAATGGTGATGATGATGAAATAAGCAATGAAAGATGCTGGTACACCTCTGGTGATAAAAGTACTAACAGTTAAATAAGGTTTACCGAAATCATCAGTCATACAGATAGCTGTAACATTAGGGAAACCTGAAGTTGGTAAACCCATGGCTGAAGAACATAATAAAGCAGTTATCATGATTAATAATCTTGGGTGAGGTTCAGGTAATTTATTACCTATTTCGGAAATCAACGGAATAGTAATTAAAGCTGCAACTGTATGAGAAACAAAAGTAGCCATAATCAAGATTAATAACCCAAAAGTTATAACGATACCAAATAAGGAGAAATTTTCTACTTGACGTTGAATTTGAACAGCTATAGTTGATAATAAACCTGATGATGACACGGCTTTACCTAAGGCAGTTCCTCCCATAGCTAAAATGACAATATTCCAAGGATAATTATTGAAATCTTCCGTAGTCAATAAACCACCACCAAAGAAAAGGATGATTGGAATTAAAGATATAATTCCCATTTCTCCAAATAACCATTTCATTTTTGATGCCAAACACCATAACACAATGGTCATCATTGAGATGAAAATGATATACCATTGAATGAAAGTGAATTTTTCATTGGATGTTCTAATAGATACCAATTTAGTATTCTTAGAATTACAATTGAAAGTAATCAACAAAAACACCCAGATTAAAATCAACGATATAAAACAAACTGGTAAAGAAATAACAAACCATTGACCCCAAGAAGGTTGAGGATCCATACTTTCAATAGCAATCATATTTTGAGGTGAAGCTATGGGAGATGCCATACCTCCAACATTTGAAGATAATGCAATACCTAAGATCAAAGCATTTTTGAATCTTGAATCTTTTGGTAAAGTTCTCAATAATGGTTGAATTAATGAAAAACATAAAACTGGTGCCGCAACATTAGAAATCCACATTGATGAAAATAATGCAATCCCCATAATAGTCAATAACACCGTACTAGGATTAGTACCAACCTTTGATAATATGGTTATGGAAAGAAGTTTAGCAATGTTATATTTGGATAATGCAGCAGCTAAAGTAAAACCTCCCAACAAAAGGAGAATAACTGAATTCCACATAGTTGATAAAATGAATTGTGATGATAAGAAAGAATCTTTGGTTGAACCATCATCATTCTTTAATACTCTTAATACTATGATCATTAAGGGGATTAATAATGAAGTGACAAATAACGGAATGGTTTCAGTAGCCCATAATAAAGATGCACAGATTAAAATGGCGAAACATCTTTCTTGGACAGGATCTTTAAAGATACTGACATTAATTAAAAGGATGGTTATTGAAGCAATAGCTAATAACTTGAGAATCACAGGATTAGTGAAAGATAAGTTTATTCTACTCAAACCAGCATTTGCTTCTTTTTTACTTTCCTTAATATCACCATTGCCTTCATCTTTGGCAGCATAAGTTTTCCTTTCCATACCAATCATATCTCTCCATACAGTGTTTCTTTCCCAAACTATATGTTCTCTTAAATGGACAGATAATTCCGATTTCGCTACTTCGAAACTTGAATGATTACAGATCAATTGATAAAGTTTAATCAAAGAATCGATTTTATTATTCAACTCTATCATGGTAGATTCTTTGAAGATGTAACTTCTAGTGGATAAATTATTGAGATATTCATCTTTAATGGAAGTATTTAAAGATTTATCGAATTTTTTCAAGGCTTTTTTGAACCCAGTTTGATTTAATTCAACAAAAGATTTCAATTCTGAAACAATGGTAAACATTTCAATGATTTTCTTTCTTAAAATGATTCTATTTTCATTTAAAAACATCAACTGAGCAGGAATTTCATCTTCATCATTCATTAAAAATGGTGATTTCAATGATTTTGAAGATTTTAAGTATTCTTCAATCGACTTAGATTTCCTTAAATTGAAATCATCGTCTTCTTCTTGAGTTAATTCTGTTTCTGGGTCAGTGGTACCATCGTAGTTGTTCATAGCTTTGGTATGATGTTTGCTAGGGCCTTCATTCAAAGTGAAATCATTGAGATCTTGACTCTTTCTATTCAAATCGTTCTCAAAGTTTTCGATCTCTTCCACCAATTCTTCAATGTTCTTATAAATATTATGTTGTTGGAATTCATAGAAATCATCTATCTTCAAAAGTTCAGCGTCCAAAGCAGCTATAAAGACTGTTGATGGATCCTTAATGTGACGATGTTCATTATTAAGTAAACGGTTTTCTTCATCGTTTTCTTCATTTCGAACTTGATCTCTTTGTAATGAGTAGATAAGTTTCTTTAAGGTAGTATAAGCTATATACTTTGAAGACCATTCAGGTACAGCGTTGAATTGTAAAGAATGGGAGAACTTCATTACCCTTTTTCGCACTTAAACGGGATGAAGATCGCGAGATATGAGGCGGTGGTGATGGTGAGTGTTTGGGTCATTTGAGGTTTTTTTGGAGGTATGAAGGTGTGGATATGGTTCTTTATGCATCGAGATAGCTCTAGGTTTTTTTGTGAAAGTTTTTGGATGGAGGGAAGGGGAGAAAATGGTTAAGGTAAAATTGTGGGTGTAGATAGCTTATCAGTGAAGGGAATTAATGAGGCAAGTGCCACTGGAAATATGTTCAGATGGGTGGGACAAAAAGTGAGGAGGCTAGGTGATATATGAATCGATCTTTAGTGCCGTTCAAACATTACGGGCGTGGTTATCGATCAGATGGTTAACTGAACCCTGGACATGGAATTTTCCGGATAAGCTCAGAAAGTCCTTAGATCGTTTTCAAAGCTGACTCTAAAATGACCCAAAACTGACTCAAAACGGACTTAGAATTGCCTGACAGCCTTATATTCGACTTTCGAAGATTTGTTCGAGTAGAAGTAACTTTCACTTTGAAAAGTCAAGGAGTAAGTAGGCTTTCAGTTGACTAAATCTCAAACGATGTGGTTGATCCTACCCAAATTATTCACAGAGAATAGGATCATTTCATTTATGGAGTTGTAGAGGTACAATTCGTACAACAAACTCCCACTGACCCCGTCACCTTCCAGTCCCTTCTCAAATCTTCACCGACATATCCAGTTTATACCTCTTTCCAAGGTCTCACTGAAAAATCGCGATGATAAGATTCTACTCAATGAAAGTAATTAACTCCTCCGTCAATGGACCCATGGAAAAGGTCATCGTAGATAAACTTACAGCCCTCAAACCAACATCTATCACCGTCCATAACGATTCACATAAACATTCTCATCATAAAGGAATGGAAAATGCTGAAAATAAGGTAGAGAGTCACTTTCGTATAGAGATCATTAGTGATGAATTCAAAGGATTGAACATGCCTTCCAGACATAGATCAGTTTTCAAGTTATTAGACCATGAATTCAAAACCGGCCTTCATTCATTGGTTCTTAAGACCAAGACTCCCGAAGAGAAATAGTACACCCCCAGGCAAAAAAAAGAGATCACCAAAATAGAAATAAACATATTTATTCAGATTCTTGAACACTAGCATTCTTTGCAACTAATTCGACAATTCTTCTAATTATAGGTAAAGTCAACCAAGCTGGAACATAAGCTTCAACTCTTGAGAAAGGTCTTAAATTGACAGTTCTGAAAGGATCATTAAAGTAACCATCAGTTGAGACTAATTCAAATAAATCTTGATTAGTTGAATCATTTGATAATTTGACTCTATCAGCAACAGCTTGTAAGACTTCAGGAGATATTGGAGTTTCATAATCAGCAACATAATATTGACTGATTAATTTTTGAATTTGGGAAGGTTTTAAAGCATAACAAATTTCATAAATGATTTCAATATCTTCAGGAGTATTCTTCTTAATTTGTAATAATTTAGCAGCTTGGAATAAATGACATAAATAACCACTAGCTTCTTGAATTTCATGACCTTTACACCATTCTTCTAATCTTGTAACATTATAATTCAATTGTAAACCTCTCTTCCAACTTAAGAAATTTCTTCTCATAATTAAATCATTGAAACATAAAGCATCAATAAATCTTAAAAGTTCAATGATAACTTCATTCATAACTTCATGTTCAATAAAATAAGATTTCATTGACCAGTAAACTGAATTAAAGAATGATAAGATATCATCCATTTTATATTGATTAGCAGGAGAGAATACTTTGGCTAAGAAAGGAGAATTCTCTGGTGCCATATATCCAGGTAATGATTGAGATAATACCACAGCAGAAACAGCTTTTCTTTCTAATTCCTTTTCCATCTTTTTCATCCACATATTATAAATATTATAAGATAATGATTCAAAATCTTCTTTAACCACAGCAATTAATTTAAGATATTCATCGAATTCTTCTTCACTCATTTCATAAGATAAAGTATCATTTGATAAAATGGTTTGTTGAGCATATGAAACAAATGAATATAATTCATGAGTATTTGATAACCAAAAAGCTCCATGAGGTATAACATCATCACCTTTCAAATTTGAAACAATTACTTGAATGGTAGCTAAGACTTCACCTAAAAATTCTTCAGATTCTTTGGTTAAACCTAATCTCCACATATCACTTAAAATGATGATAATAATTCTTGATGGGAATAAGATCTCTTTACGAGTAAAATCTGATGCAACACCAGCAGGTGGGATTTTCAAGTTTTTCAATAACCCTTCAACAACTTCACGATGTAATTGACGAGAATTTCTTAATAATCTGAATAATTCATCATTAATATCATCAATATTGGTTTCTTCATCATTAGAAATAGCTATTACTGAAACAGGTCTATTATCACCCATATGATTATTATTTGATGAATTTATTGATGAATGACGTTTGGTATTAATATTTCTATTCTTTGCAGCATTTAATTTAGGCATAACTATTGGTTGACTCTTTAATGTTGATAATTCATTCTTTAATTGATCGATATTATTCTTTAAATCAATTTCAATGGTATCACGTTTAAGTAATTCATCTTTAGCATTCTTTAAATCTTGTAAATTATCTTGAACTTGTTGTTTAAGAGAATTTTGTTCTTTAGTTAATTGTTCAATTCTTGATTCTGCTGATTGATATTCATTCTTTATAGTGAGTAATTCTTCATTAAGATTATTGATTTCGGTTTGATGTTCATCATTTTGACTATTAAATTTATCTTTAAATTCTAATTCTTTGGATTTTAACATATCATGATGATTATTTGATTGTTCTAATTGAGATTTCAAACTGGTGATTTCACTAATAAGTTTCTTATTATCTTGAATCTTAGCAGTTAATGATTGAGTTAATTCAATGACTTTATTCTCTAATTTATAACTAACTTCTTTAAAATGATTAACTGATTTGGCTTCAACTTTTAATTGTTTTAATTCTCCTACAGCTAATTTTCTACGAATTAAACTTTGAATAAGAACAGCTGATTTCTTTTGTTTAATAAAACTTCTTCTATTATTTAAACCTCTCCAAGATTTTTGTAATACAATGGCGGATTTTTCAGTTTTCAAAGTTAACATTGATTGTCTTGCTTGATAACCTCTGATAGATTTTTGTAAAGTTATAATTGAATCAAGAGATTCTTTCAATGATTTTCTTGCTTGATAACCTCTAACAATAGTTTGAATTAATATAGCTGCAGTAGTTTCTCTTTCATGTTTAATTCTTAAACGAGCTAATCTACCTCTGATTAAACTTTGAAGTTGTTTATGACTTGATAAAATTTCATGATATCTTTTTTGAACAACAAATCTACGAATATTCTTTTGAATCATAGTAGCAGAATTAAATAATTTATCACTTCTTAATTTTTCAAAATGAGCTAACATCCCAGCTTTAAAAAAGATTTTAGTATTACCTAATTGATATTTCATCTTATCAGTTTGATTAGTTTCTAAAATTTGATTACATAAATGAGATAATTCTTTATTTTTACCATTAGCATCAACATTTAAAGAATTTTTCATAACTTCAATCCAATCATCAGATTTAACAAGAATATGATATCTATCAGCAAATTCCAAATAAGTCCATCTAGTTGGGAATCCAGCACATGAAATTCTAATAGTTTCTAATACTCCACAAGCTCTTAATTGAGAAAGTACCATTAAACTATCAAATTCCCAAGCTTTCTTTAATTCATTAGGTTTAATACATCTAATATAATGAACATTAGTAGAATTAATAGTTTTCATTAATTCAATCAATGAATTTTTGAAAATTGATCCTAATGTTGGTTTCTTACTAGCAATAGATTTTTTAGCTCCAGTTAATTGTAAAGCATTAGCATTTTTATCAATAATTTCTAAAACTTCTTTTAATAAATCATTGGATGAATTCTTTAAAACTTCTAAATGACCTTCACCAACAGTATCTCTATTCTTTTCAATAAATCCTTCAATATCATAACTAACATCTAAAGCATAATGAGCAACAATAAATTTAGATTGACCAAATCTTGGTTTTTTAAATACTTTATTGGTTGGTTCTTTATTTAATGTTTGATACATTTTTTCAATTAAACTTTGATCTGAACCTGAAGGTAATCTTGATTCTTCATCTAATAATGATAAGATCCCTAATTTATTTTCAATTAAATTAATACATGGTTGATTATCACTAAAATCAATAAAACTCCATTCAATTTCTTCTTTAACATATTCTTCTTGTTCTAATTTAAATACATGTTGATTAAATTCTTGTTGTAATTTTTCATTAGCATAATTAATACAGAATTGTTCAAAACTATTTTTTTCAAAATGTTCAAATCCATAAATATCTAATACTCCAATAAATGAATTAACTTTATCACTAACTTCTGGTGGACATAAATCAGCATTTATATAATCAACTAACCAATCAAATAATGCTGAATAAATATATTTAGCAAATGAATCTCTAGCAACTAATGCTTGTTTATAATTTAAATTTGATGTAATCTTTTCTGATCTGGTAGTTATTTGTTTCTTAACACACCATTTACTAAAATTCATAGCATCAATACCTAATAAATCACAAGCTTTAATTAAATTTGGTTCATCTGATGATAAATGGGCATCATTTCTTGATGGGGCAATTTCAATATTACCAATATGTAATAAAGCTGCTAAGATTTTATAAATTTCAAATTGTTTATCATCATTAATACCAATTAATGATAAAGCTTCTTGAGTAATTTGAAATTCTTTAACATCATCAGTACCTTCAATAATTGATGCATCACCTTGAGAAGTATAATTATAATCATCAGGATTGGAAAGATTTAATTTTAATTTATCATCATTATTTAATCCTGATAATAATTGATAAAAAATATGATAATTTCTTTCATTTTTGGGTTGGAAAACTAATCTTGATCTTTCTAAAAGATAGGTTCTAATTCTAGCACCAATAATTGAAGTTTTATCATCAAATAAAATTTCTAAATATTTCCCAAAACGAGATGAATTATCATTCCTGGTGGTTTTAGCATTACCAAAAGCTTCCATAATTGGATTAGTAGCTAAAATTTGCTTTTCAACATCACTCATATCTCCATTATCAGATTTATCATTTTCAACACTGGCGAAATATCTCATGATATATTTAGCTGATACGGTTTTCCCAGCTCCTGATTCTCCTGAAACCACTATAGTTTGATTATTACCATCTAATTTCATACATCTATAAGCATCTTCTGCTATAGCAAATAAATGAGGATCTAATTCACCTCTTCTTTTACCACTATAAGCTTGAATGATATCTTGAGAATATAATTGATCAATCTTTTGAAATGGATTGGTGGCAATTAAAACAATCCCAGAATATGTATAAATATTTAATTGACTATATCTTAATTTAATAGCATGTAAAACTGCTGGTTCATTTAAATATGATAAACTAGTTAAATCTTCACTGGCTTCTAAAATTGGTGGATTTCTTAAAGGAAATTTACTATCTTCTTCTTCAATGGATTTGGTAGTAACATCAAATACATTATCATCATCATCATTTTTCAATTGAATGTCATATTGATTATTATTCAATTTACATGATTTGACTGTTGTACCTATCCAACCTAACTTATCATCAGGGTACCAACAACGAGTACCAACATCATAAACTGACATTCTGATGATCTTCTTTAATTGGATTGTTTGGAAACTTTAATTTCTAATTGTATGAAGTGTACAAATCGTCAGTGTGGTAAAAATTTGATCTGGATTTGTTGATTTTTACGCGTAGTCGTGTGCGAAGTGAAGTTTGATGATTTGGTCTGATGAAAAGGTTGATATTTGAACGGTTATTAGAGTGATTTAACGCTTATATTATATGGTAGAGTAATAGTTGTTACTGGGACATTAGATGGGAGTTTTTACAAAAGTTGGAAAATGACGATAATTTCTTTGTTTACATATTCTATTGTTCTCAAATTTGTTTCACAACTTGTTTCACAATTTGTTTCACAATTTGAACTTAGGATGTTCTAATGGTTGATAAACTCCATTGAATAACTTGTCATCGACTTTCAAATCCCCCTTTTCAATGAATGAATCATTTAATTCTTCAATCTTGGTAACTCCTAATAATCTCATATTCATAATCATTTCATCTTTTAATATTTGCATAGCTTTATAAACTCCATCGTCTCCATAAGTTGACATAGCATATAAGAAAGGTCTTCCGATTCCAACTCCTTTAGCTCCTAAACAAATAGCTTTTAAAATATCACTGGCTCTTCTAACCCCACCATCGATGAAAATTTCAAAGTTTTCCGGTTTAGTGGTATTATTCTTCTTGAAATATTCATTCAATTCAAATAAAACATCAATTGGAGGTTTGGAAAATTCTAATTGTCTTCCTCCATGATTGGATAAAATAATACCATCAACCCCATATTCAATGGCTTTTAAACTATCTTCAACTGTTTGAATTCCTTTCAATATAATAGGAATATTCAAAATCTTTTTAAACCATTTCAAATCATCCCATTTCAATCCGGTATCAATGAATGAACTAATGGCTCTAGCAGCTCCTTGAGATCTATCAACAGAATTATCTTCATTTTGAACATATGAAGTATCTTCGAAATCTTTACTTCTCATATCTTTCTCTCTTCTACCTAATTGAGGAGCATCAACTGTGATCATAATGGCTTTAATTCCTCTATTCATAGCATGTTTTAACATCTTTTCTACTATATCTCTATCAGAATTGACATATAATTGTAACCATTGAGTTTGTTCATCAATGGCAGCATCAACAATCTCATCAAATGAACATGAAGCTAATGTTGGAATCATTTGAATAATATTATGTTTGGCTGCATTTCTAGTTAAAACAATTTCCCCCTCTGGATGTCCTAATTTCCCTAAAGCTGTAGCAGTTACATAAAATGGTGAATCACATTTAGTACCTAACATTGTAGTAGATAAATCAATATTGGTAACATCTACTAAAACTCTAGGTTTAAAGAAATATCTATGATAAGCTATATGATTAAATCTCATGGTGATTTCATCATCACATCCTGAAGAATAATATCCCCAAGCTATTTTATCCATAGTATATCTAGCAACAAATTCAAAATCAGTTAAATTATAAATCTGTCCGATGTCTGGTTTACCCTTTTCATACTTTCTTCTCTCAATTTCATATTCGTCTACTTCATCATCTTCATCATCTTCATCATCTTGACTTGATAATTGAGCAGGAACGGGGAAATTGATTGCTTGCTTATCTTCTTGTTCATCATATTCAACATCATATTCATCCACCATAGCAACATTGGAATCAACTTTAACTTCTTTTGTCAATTGTTTCTTAGGTTTGGATTCTAATTCTCCTTCAACTTCTCCTAAACAACATTCAGGAGGTAAATATTTGGTTAAAACATCACTTGGATGAATAGGATCAAAAGCTTTAGTAGCATCCTTACCAGCATACTTTAATATAATACCTGAACCTCCAGGATGTTCAGGTAAAAATTTGGTTACATCATAAACTTTCTTATGAATAATCACCCAACAATCTTTATCACTATTATGTTTCTTTACTTCATTAATATCTACCATGGTTAAGTTAAAATTCGATTACCAAAGGGAGCAATATCATTCGCAGGGTTTTTACCCCATACTTTCGACGTCAACACTCCACACCACTGCGACAATTAACCTTACAGCAGTTCGACTCTTTCAGGGGTAATTTCACTTCTCAGCCCCTCATTTTTATTGGGTCATTTGACGAAAAGCTATTATTAGTTCGATCTTTTTGTTCAGAAAAGTTTATTTATCAAATCATTGAGGATTTATCAATGTCTGCCTAGATGCTTATTATACTTATAACAATAGAAATACGTGATTATCTACTAATGCTAGATTTGAAAGAGATATTTTGAGAATGAGATTGAGAATTAATGTAAATATCTTCAAATCTTAACCACTTTTTCCATATTTCAACACCTTCAACCTTTCTATTCATCCTCTTATTCAACTCATATTAACTTTATGAAAGAGTTTTAAACCCTAAGAAATCAATGAAATTTCAAGATGAAAAAATTTTCTTCTCAATCCAAGGTTTTCGCAAAAATATCCTACAAGACTGAATAAATATTAATTTAAAGTGTCAAAACTTCTAAGGAATTTTTCGATTATCAGAATCACTGATTGTTTTAACTTTTCAAGGACAACGTTAAATTGTTGGTGAAAGGTCTCGGGAATTCAAAGGCCAAAAGATTTGGTGAAAAATTATCCTGATAAGTTTCAAATAGAAACTCCTGTGACTAATTTATAAGTCTAAAATTTATAATTTTAAGTGAATCTTACATCGTGAAGGTAATTAAAGTGATTAATTAGTGTTGGGACAATCCCCTTCTAAGAATATGGTGTTAATTAATGGTGTTAAATATGCTTGTGAAAGATGTATTCGTGGTCATAGAGTTACAACTTGTACTCATACAGATCAACCTTTAACTATGATTAAACCAAAGGGAAGACCTGCTTCTCAATGTTTACATTGTAGAGAACAAAGAAAGTTGAAAAATTTACATATTAATTGTAATTGTAAAACTAAAGGACACTCTTCAAATTGTTTTAAAAATCCTAATGGTTGTACTTGTTATCAAAATCATAAAAATAGGCAAAAGAAAATTATAAATAATCAAATTAGTCCGGCTATCGATAGTAGTAATAGTTCAAATGATGAAAAAATCGGTAGTGGTGAAACAAATGGAATGATATTTGATTCTTTAAATACTTCAGTTGATGATTATTTGATGGATAATTCTTTACTTAATTTCCAGAAAATCTTTGATAAACCTTTGACTGATGATGATTTAGGGAACATTAATTTTAATGAATTAGATACTTCAAAATATGAAAGTCTGAATATTTTTGATAGTAACATAAATGAAATTGATTTAAAGGATAGTGATTTTGTTAAAAGTGAAGAAAGTGATGATGTTTCAAGTGATATTAAATTAAACACTGTATCGCCAACATATTTTCCGTTATTTCCTTTGGTTGGTGGAGGGTCTTTTGAAACGAGTGAATCAATGCCTATGACTTCAATTCCTGATGATATGAAAAAATCTTTAGATACCCCTAATCATAGTTCCCCAAATCTAACTCATCATAATATTCCGATGAATGCTATTAATATGAATCTGTCACATAATCATAGCGTCAACGGTAGTATAAATGGATCTAATAGACCAACAAGACCGGCATCGGTTTTATCAATAAATTCAAATAATTCCGTTGATAAATTTGATGCATTTCCCCCTTCACTTCATGCAAGTTCCAGTACTACCAACCTCAAGTCAATTAATTCTACTCTTGGTAGATCTAATAGTGTAAATTCTAATCAAAGATCAAGTAGAAATAATTCCATCACCAATTCAATCCAAAATACTCATACTTTACATGGTTTAAATAACCCAATCATGGAAACTAACGAATTTTACGTTTCTGATGAAGATATTGAACATTTTTTAAATGATTTGAATAATAAAAATGAATTTTTTAAATGATATTTATTAAAATATATATTCAGTGAATTTTACCTAGTGTAATGAAAGTCGATCAAGTTTCATGATATTATTATCCATTTCTTTATTTATCCCGAGGTAAATGCTTAATTTTTCATCATTTATTGATGAAATAGCTTTATTTTCTGTCTTTTCAAGTTTAAGTAACTTTATAAGATATTCAAATAATGAAAGATCTCTATCACCTTCAATGACTTTGATTTCAGGTTCTTCCCCTTCTTCCTCCGTTTCAGAATCACTTTCGAGTGAAATATCATGAGCTCCGAACCCTACATAATCTTCTCCAAGTTTAAGAATAAGTACAGGTAGATTATTATCAAGTCTAAGAATCTTTCCTGATGAAGTGAAGAATAATTTACCTATATCTTCCAATTTAATGACTTTTTTTTCAGGTTCATCTTCATCGTCATGATATCTTCCATCATTAAAATCTTCCGTTATGGTGATATTATATGGATCTTTTGATATTTGTACAATAGCTTTGGCATATTTCTCTTTCCATGAAATACAATCCAATTGAGAGCCCCCATTTTCGAGTCTGGATGGATTATAGAATATAGAATAGAACTTGAATGAAAACGGAGGTCCCACATTAATTTCTTTGGCTTCGTCTTTGGCGTCTTCTCCATCGTCTTTGTCTTGCCCTGGATCAGTGTTCTTTTCCAAGTAATTCAGAGCTTTAATCAACTTACTTAAACTCACACCATTCCTGTTTACACTACAAGTGATTAAACTCAAGTTTATCAACGGTACACTTTCATCTATCTCTTCTATCAATTCATTCATCTTCTTTTCAACGTTCTTAATGATACGTTGCTTATCACCATTACCATTCAAATCTTGAATCATTGCTTCAACATCCTGATCAAACGTCTCGAAACTTTCTTCCAACTCTTCTATTAACTCCATGGTGGAAGCCAATGCACTATTACCTTGAGCACTAATCAACTTGATCAATTCAATTGAAGATGAGATGATACTGATCTTCGTACTGATCCGTTTACGTTTCTTTAGAATCATCGAAGTATCATCATCAGGTAACTTGTCAAGTAGTTTTGTGATTCTCTTAATAGCAAACCCAGAAGCTAAGGAAATTCCTGATTTAATGGCGAAAGACATCGCCTGATTCGATGCTTTATATAAGATATCATCCATGATTAAAGATTTGAGGATGCTCGCTAAGATAAGCTTTTGATGACTTAGGGCTTGAGCAGCCAAATCTGGTCTTCATGAATTGACTTGGTTGTCTTAATCTCCTTAATTGTCTTGAACCTTCAATCTTCAGTTACGAATAAATCCCATAGAATTTAAAAATCAACTCAAAGAAACATACCTTAAGTTCTACCATACTAAATAGTCCTGGATGTTACACAAAATCATTCAAAATTACACAAAATCGAAATCTAAACAACGCGAAATTCTTCCTTTACTTAAATCCATGGCTCCATTTGCAAGAAAGTTATTGACGGGTTATACCACTCCTTTAGGTTCAGGTGCTGGAGTTCCCAAAAACCAGCGACCTGCTCCCATTGTAGATGATGATTTGAGACTTAAAAAGAGTTTTAAGATTCCCTTCAAAGCTAGAAATGGTGATAAATTACTAAGAACTGTTAGAACTAAAGCGGTTAGTTATCTAGATGGCCAGGAAAATGTCCCTGATGAAGGTATAAAGAAAAGAGGTGCCTTAAATCCTAGGCGTCTAGAAGGTGGTGATCCTGCTAAACAGTTTGTCATACCGTTGAAGAATAAATCCTTGAATAACTTACCTCCCCCACCTTTAGGTACTAAACCTAAGATAGTCGTACCTCCAAGACCTTTACATGACCCTATGAGTGAATTTGCTATTGTCTTATACGACCCTACCGTAGATGTGATACCTGGAGAAGAAGAAGAACCAGAAATCAAAGAAGACAAAGAGATTAGTCCTGAGGTTGAAGAACCTCTGAGGAAGAGAAGAGTGCACAAATCTTTAGCAGAAATCTTGGGCATACAACAATATGATACCGATAAGAAATATCCCAATGTTCCTGTGGTGATAGACCCTAAACTTCTGAAGATTTTAAGACCACATCAAATCGAAGGTGTGAAATTCTTGTATAGATGTACTTCAGGAATGATTGATCCTAAAGCCAAAGGATGTATTATGGCTGATGAAATGGGGTTAGGTAAAACCTTACAATGTCTTACATTGATGTGGACTTTATTGAAACAAGGTCCCAAAGGGAAGAAAACCATTAGTAAGTGTATTATTGTTTGTCCATCGTCATTAGTAAGGAATTGGGCTAATGAGATCGTTAAGTGGTTGGGAGAAGGTGTTTTAACTCCTTTGGCCATTGATGGGAAATCAGTTAAAAACAATGAAATAGGTGAAAAGTTAACTCAATGGTCAGTAGCCAATGGTAGAAATATCGTCAGACCAGTATTAATTATAAGTTACGAAACTTTGAGAAGACATATAGATAGACTTAGAGGTACTGAAGTGGGATTAATGTTGGCAGATGAAGGTCATAGATTAAAGAATGGTGACTCGTTAACTTTCACATCATTGAATGAATTGAAATGTGAAAGAAGAATTATTTTGTCCGGTACACCTATACAAAACGATTTATCAGAATACTTTTCATTACTAAACTTTGCCAACCCAGGTTATTTGGGGAACAGAAACGAGTTTAAGAAGAATTTCGAGAATGATATTTTAAGAGGAAGAGATGCTGATGCAACTGATGAAGAAAGAAAGAAAGGTGATCTCAAGTTAACAGCATTATCAGAACTTGTATCCAAATTCATTATCCGTAGAACCAATGATATCTTATCTAAATATTTACCCATCAAGTACGAACATGTCATTTTCGTCAACTTATCACCATTACAAACCAAATTGTACAATCATTTCATAACGTCACCAGAAATCAGGAAATTATTGAAAGGTATAGGATCTCAACCTTTGAAAGCTATTGGGATGTTGAAAAAACTTTGTAATCATCCTAACTTACTTAATTTACCCGAGGATTTAGAAGGTTGTGATCATTTATTGCCAGATGATTATGAAGGACAAGGAAGAAATAGAGAAATTCAAACCTGGTTAAGTGGGAAATTTTCCATGTTGGAGAGATTCTTGTATAAGTTACATCATGAAACAAATGATAAGATAGTGTTGATTTCTAATTATACTCAAACCTTGGATTTGATAGAAAAGATGTGTCGTACCAAGAAATATGGTTGTCTTCGTTTAGATGGTACCTTGAATATCAACAAAAGGCAAAAATTGGTGGACAAATTCAATGATCCTGATGGATCAGAATTTATTTTCTTATTATCATCTAAAGCTGGTGGTTGCGGGATTAATTTAATCGGAGCTAATAGATTGATTTTAATTGATCCTGATTGGAACCCTGCCAGTGATCAACAAGCTTTGGCTAGAGTCTGGAGAGATGGTCAAAAGAAGAATTGTTTTATTTATAGATTCATATCCACTGGATCAATCGAAGAGAAGATTTTCCAAAGACAATCAATGAAGTTGTCTTTGAGTTCATGTGTGGTGGATGAAATGGAAGATGTGGAAAGATTATTCAGTTCGGATAATTTGAAACAATTATTTATGTTCCAACCTAATACCTTATGTGATACTCATGATACTTATAATTGTAAAAGATGTAATGGAGGTGATCAGTTCAAGAAACCTCCAGCTATGTTATACGGAGACCCCACTACATGGAATCATTTGAACAAAGAGAAATTAAAGGATAACAATGATATATTATTGAAAAATGAAGCCAACTTTGATGATATAAGTTATATGTTTCAATATATCAGTCATTAGGACAGTGATAAATTTCACTGAACTATAGCATATTTATGGTAACTAACACTCAATAACTCTGCTAAACTCCTACTACCACACCCTCCTGCCCCACCTATCTTCTTTGACGCACTCCCCACAATTCGCAACCAATAATCATCCCCATAAATAATCATTACCATGGATATCTTAAACCCTGTAATTATTGTTGGCGGAGGATTAGCTGGATTATCAGCTGCCCATAAATGTTACCTTAATGGATCCAATGTGATCTTAGTAGACAAACAATCATTTTTGTCAGGAAATTCAGGCAAAGCAACTTCAGGTATTAATGGAGCTTTAACCAATACTCAGATTGAACAAGGTATTAAAGATTCAGTTAAAACCTTCTATGATGATACTTTGACTAGTGCTAAAGACAGAGCCAATCCTTCATTGATCAAGGTTTTGGTTTCACAATCAGCAGCTTCAGTTCAATGGTTACAAGATTATTTCAATTTAGATTTAACTGTAGTTTCACGTTTGGGTGGTCATTCTCAACCTAGAACTCATAGAGGTAAAGATTCTAAGTTCCCAGGTATGGCTATAACTTATAAGTTATTGGAAACTTTGGAAGATTTGGCCGATGCTGAACCTAAGAGAGTTAAGATCTTGAAGAATACTCAATGTATCAATCTTATTATTGAAGAAGGTAAAGTTGAAGGAATTGAAGTTAAAGACTTAAAGCTGAAATCAAAATCAAAATTGATGGGTCCAGTCATTATGTGTACTGGGGGATATGCTGCAGATTTCACCAAAAATTCCTTACTTCGTAAGTATCGTCCTGATATTTATAATCTCCCTTCAACTAATGGAGTCCATGCCACTGGTGATGGTCAAAAGATCATGATTAAGAATAACGCTAGTAGTATTGATATGGATAAAGTCCAAGTACATCCAACTGGGTTGATCCCTTACAATGATAAGGATGTAATTGAAGGTGTTACCACACCTCGATTCTTATTCTTGGGTGCTGAAGCTTTACGTGGAGAAGGAGGTATCATGTTGAACAGTCAGGGTAGAAGATTTGTCAATGAATTAGGTACCAGAGATTATGTTTCTGGAGAAATGTCTAAACAAGAAGGACCCATTAGATTGATTTTGAATGAAAAAGCCGCTTCAAACTTACAATTTCATGTCAAGCATTATGAAGAAAGAGGGTTGATGAAGAAAATGAACGGTAAGGAATTAGTGCAATCTATGGGTGTTGAACAATCTGTCATCGAAGAAGAGTTCAAGAAATATAATGAAAAAAATGACAATTTCGGTAAACAATACTTCCCCAACTTACCCTTGACTTTTGGTACGGATGAAATCTATCATGTGAGTTTCGTTACTAGAGTCCTTCACTTCACTATGGGAGGAATTAAAATAAACGATAAGTCCCAGGTTTTGAGTGATGATGATGTAATCGAAGGTTTATATGCCGCAGGAGAAGTTGCAGGAGGTGTTCATGGTCATAACAGATTGGGTGGGTCGTCATTATTAGCCTGTGTTGTCTTTGGAAGGTTAAGTGCTGACCAATGTTGTAATTATTTGTTACAAAAATTGTCTAGCCAATCCAATGTTCCTGGGGTCAACAGATTACAACAAATCTCCTTACATTTACAACCAGGGAAGGTTATAGTTGATTATGGTGATACAGCAAAAGAACCTCCATTAGAACAATCACCAAAATCCGAACCAAAAGCTCTGGAAGCACCCAAAGATTCGGAATCTCCTTCCATTCCTGATAAACAATTCACTATGGATGATATTGCCAAACATAATAAACCTGATGATTGTTGGTGTGTGGTCAAAGGTGTTGTACTTGATTTGACCTCATTCCTTGATGACCATCCAGGTGGTAAACAATCTATCTTGAACTTTGCAGGTAAGGATGCTACCACCAATTTTGAAATGTTACATGATGACAGTGTTGTTAAACGTTATGCCCCACAATGTATCAAAGGTACATTAAAAGGAGTTAAACCAACATTGAAATTTTAGATAAATAAACAGATCAGCTCTTAGAGACCAGAGACTTCTAGAGACCAGAGACTAATTACCTGAACGACCTCTTTTCTTTATTTATTATACTTAAAAATAAAAAACAAAGAAATCTAAATATAATTTAATCTTAATTAGATTAGAAACATTTAAGATGAACAATTGAAGGACCAGATTCATCATATTCTTGTTTTGAGATCCACATTTGTTGGAAAGTAGATAATGAAGATAAAATAGAACCACCAATCCAGACACTGTATTTTCTTTCTGGAGGAGCAATAATTTTAACTTTCATTGAAGAAGGAGCTAAAGCAGTAATTTCTTTTTGCATTCTTTCAGCAATACCTGGGAACATAGTAGTACCACCAGACATAACAATATTACCATATAATTCTTTTCTAACATCAACGTCACATTTCATAATAGAATTATAAGTAGTTTGGTCAATACCAGCAGCTTCTAAACCTAAATCACTTGGTCTGAATAAAGCTTCAGCAGCTCTAAATCTTTCATTACCAATAGTAATAACTCTACCATCTGGTAATTCATAAGATTTTTCAATAGCTGATGATTGAGAAGAAATTTGCATTTCTTGTTCGAAATCTAAAGCAACATAACATAATTTTTCTTTAATATCTCTAACAATTTCTCTTTCGGCAGTGGTTGAGAATGAATAACCTCTTTCGGATAAGATACCCATTAAGTGATCAGTTAAATCTCTACCAGCTAAATCAACTCTTAAAATACCGTGAGGTAATGAGAAACCAGCATAAATTGGAACAACGTGAGTAACACCATCACCAGAATCTAAAACAATACCAGTAGTTCTACCTGATGAATATAATGATAAAACAGCTTGAATAGAAACGTAAAAAGCTGGAACATTAAAAGTTTCAAACATAATTTGAGTCATTTTTTCTCTGTTTGATTTTGGATTTTTTGGAGCTTCAGTTAATAAAACTGGGTGTTCTTCTGGGGCAACTCTTAATTCGTTGTAGAAAGTGTGGTGCCAGATTTTTTCCATATCATCCCAGTTGTTAACAATACCGTGTTCAATTGGATATCTTAAAGTTAAGACACCTCTTTTTGATTGAGCTTCGTCACCAACGTAACAATCTTTTTGACCTAAACCGACCATGATACCTTGATGTCTTGGTCTACCAACAATTGATGGGAAAACAGCTCTTGGGGCGTCATCACCGGCATAACCAGCTTTACACATACCAGAACCGTTATCAATAACTAAAGCAGCAACTTCTTCTAAATATTTGTTAGTATTATGAAATCACCTTATTTAATCAATAAATCATAATTCTTAAGCCGACATGGTAATAATTAACTATGAAAAATCTTGGTGGAATTTTTTTATACGAAAGGTCAACTAAATAGGAGATCGCGGCACTGCTTATCAGGCCGTCCAGTCTATAACCACGTCACGAATTTATCACTTGCCACCATACAATTAACATTATAAACTTCCCCTTCAATATCAATCCATCTCTATAAGTTATAAATTGATGCATTAGCTTGATTGGGAGTTGATTCTAATCATGGGTATCTGGAAACTTGAAGTAACAGGGATCAGATCTCAGGAAGCGGTTAGAAAAAAACACCACCTAAAATCGAGTAATAATGATAATTGAACGTGGAAAATTTGATAAAATGGCGATTTTTCGTGTTAAATATTGAATTATGTCGATTTAATTGATTAATTACCTTTATTTTTAAGTGTTACATACCTCCGTCCATTTTTTATAAATTAAAATTAGTGAAATTTGTTGAGAATTTTTCGACGAAAACTCTCGATTGTTTTTTGGGGATTTTGCACGACCTCGTAGGGTTGTCATTCAAAGTCGCGTAAAGGAGACGAAGTAAACGGATTCTGATTGGAAAACTTCACCTTTAAGCATTGGGGGTTATTGTATGGGTTGAAAAGATCTTCAAAAGGGGTAGGTTTTGTTTAAGATCCAAGTTTTCGATGGTATAAGAGTTGGCCGTTTAGAGTGAGAGATTGTATTGGTTCCCTTACTATTCCCACTAATAGGTACTCCTGATTCTCACAGAGTTAGGAGATCGATAGTATTATAGAGTCGTTTAAGTATAATGTCCAATTGACCAGACGACAATATTTAATTGTTTGGCTTTTTTTTTCATCTGTTCTATTTTAGTCTCAAATCAGCCAGCCATTTTTTTCAGATCTCTAAAATCCCATCAAGATTGATCTTACCTTTGATAAGGACTTTTTGAACTTGTAATTAGTCAAAAGGTAATCATGATTGAATCTCTTACTGTTCCAATCTCATCTTCTCATTGTCATCATCGTGATTGTCACAAAGATTCAACTCTTCCACAGAAGCCAACCTTGAGATCACGCAGTGCGAAACATCCAATTTGATCTGTTCAAGTTTAAAAAGTTAATTAAATTAATAAGTCAATAAAATGAGTTCATCTGTACCATATGATCCATATATTCCATCACAATCTACTGAGCCAGAGCATTCAAGAACTGCTGCTATACAAGCTCAAATTGATGATACCGTCGGTATAATGAGAGATAATATCAATAAAGTTGCAGAAAGAGGTGAAAGATTAGATTCAATCGAAAACAAAACTGACAATTTAGCTATCTCTGCTCAAGGTTTCAGAAGAGGTGCTAACAGAGTCAGAAAAGATATGTGGTGGAAAGATATGAAAATGAGAATGTGTTTGATCTTAGGTATCATTATCGTTTTAATTGTTATCATTGTTCCAATTGCCGTTCATTTCAGTTAATTGTGGGTTTATTAAAATATGAGAATTTGGTGATTACGTATCGATTAGAGACGATCACCAAATTTTATTTCCAACGTATAAAAATTTATGCTGAAAATTATGCTTTATGTAGTGAATATTAAATATGTAAAATTCTTGACTCTGATTTACGTGCTTCTAAGTATGTATGAGTATCTGGCACTAATTTGAACAGTTCAGATTCCTTCGAAGAACTATGAAAGCTCTTCAAAGAAGCGGAAGCTTTTGAGAATCTCTGAGCGGGATGAGGTGGCTTCATTACACCGACTTATGATTCCGCCGGGACACTCATAACTAGAATCAGCATAGGATGTTTGGAGAGATTTCGATTTCTATGAAATTCTATTGAAAAAGTTACAGCTCGGAACTTTTGAAACTATTTATTTGATAATTAACTATGGATTTATTGGTTTAAGAATTCTTTGTATCCTTCTTCATCCATTAATTCATCGAAGTTTTCGGTTTCAACTTCCAATTCGATTAACCAACCTTCACCCATTGGGTCTTGATTAATCAAACCTGGGTTACCACTCAAAACTTCATTAACGGCTCTAACTTTACCACCGACTGGGGTATAGATTTCAGATGCAGATTTAACACTTTCAACTGAACCAATAGTGTCACCGGCTTCGAAAACTTCATTGACTTCAGGTAATTCAATGAAAGTAGCATCTCCCAAAGCTTCAGCAGCATATTTAGTAATACCTAAGAAACATGAACCGTTTTCATGAACTGTTAACCATTCGTGATCTTGAGTGTACTTGATTTGTTTTGGAATTGAACCTAAAGGTTTAAAGTTGAAATCAGAATTGAATCTTAATGCACTGAGTGGTTTGACTTTACTAACTAAGTTAGTTGGTCTGATAGTTCTTAAAGGATTGATTAATTTAAACATATGAATAATTATAATTTTATCAAACGATCAGTAGTTTGACTCCTAGAAAGAAGAGTCTAGTGCGCCCTGTACAGAGTCTCCCAGAGTCGCGAGAAGTCAAAATATATCATGTGACTGTTCACATGCTTTCGGCGTGATTTTCTGGCTCGGATTCGGGGGCTAATTTTCAATGCTCACTTCCGTAAAAGAAACTTCGGTTCTAAACATAAATAGATAAACCCTCAAATTTACGGGAAACGGCACAAATACGGAACAAAAATGACTGATGGCAAAATTGAATACCATGAAATATGGTATTGCAATAACTAAAGCACCGTTTGTTTTTAACTTCCGGAACCTGATGGATTCTACTCCCTGATACCTGCCGTTATCATACCGAAGTTCCGGAGCCACCATCTCTTCCAGAAAAATTTTTATTACTTATCATTTATAAGCAATGCGGGGGTTTCTTATATCCGTCTGACAAATGATTACAAAACCAAAATTTAATATATAATTGCCTTATGGAAGGGCTGAAAAAAACTAATCACTTTACCATGAAAGATTTCGAGTTATTATTCGATAAGAATTTAAATCAATATTATTATAAGTTTAAGAATGGATTAGTTTCATTCGATTCTCCTAGTGAGATTAAACATAACAAGCCATTTATCAAAAAATTATTCAAGAGGCAACACTTGAATAGATCCAATAGTTGTCAATCACAATTATCTAACAGTTCACAAAGTTCAAGAGGTTCCCAAAGTTCCCAAAATTCAGATTCCTCGGAAATTTCAAATTTTTCATTAACAAACAAGGTCAGATCCATCAAACCCCATCAATACATTAACGATAAAAAGGAAGATTTCGATGACGAATATCTTTTAAATTTCAATAATTTCAAAAACTTTGCAGGTACTTCATTAGCATTGGATTCTGAAGATGATGATTCACATTCAATAGTTTCATTTTATCATGAAGATAATGAAAGTGAAGACCTTTACACCTTCGATAAAGAGAAGGAAAGAATTGAATTGAGATTACAATTCTTGAAAGAATTAGAATAAATGATTGACGACCTGTAAATACTTGTAAATAACGACTAATAGATAATGATACTTAGATCTGATTCTCTTTTTTTTTTGTTGGGCCTCGCTGGTCAAATTTTCGTGAAAGCTTGGTTCGAGTTTATACCATTTTCTAGAACCATTGGGCCGAGGGCCTACCCAACTATAAATAATTTTCGCGATCGATCACTCAAATTATCCATAATGGTCTCCCAATTATTTAACGAAAAAGTATGTATAGTCGTAGAATAGACTCAATTGATAAATCGGTACTAACCTCAGGCTGAAAAAGTTAAGAACTTAACTAAAAAACCAACTGATGATGAATTATTAAACTTATACGGTTTATTCAAACAAGCTACTGTTGGTGATAATACCACCTCAAAACCTGGTTTCTTAGATTTAAAAGGTAAATACAAATGGGAAGCTTGGACCGAATTAAAAGGTACTTCCCAAGAAGAAGCTGAAGAAAAGTATATTACTTTAGCTGACGAATTAATTGAAAAATACAATTAGTAGTTACTTATATTCAATTTATAAATTCTTAATTTCCTATCTCTTCATCATGTCTACTTCTTATCTGACTCTACGGGTGATATGATATGATTCAAATTCTTGATACCATTGATCATAATCAATAAAGGAATCAAACAGTAAGGACCATAAACTCCCATCAATGGATAGTTTTTTTCATTTAAAGCATAGATCAAACAGACAAATGTTGTTAAGCTGGCATTTAATCCATATATAATATCACCGATATACCTAGATGGTTTGTCTTTCAAGTGGAAACAGTAAACAAAGAAATAAGGTAATTGAAAAATCAATTCGAAAAATATGAAGATCTTAAACCATAATGGTGGTACTTTCAACAAAAAATCATTGTTGAAATCAATGTGGAATGATACAATTGCCTTCTGAAACTCAAAAACTGGCGGTATTAATACCGTAGAATCTATTAATAATGTAATAGGAATATGTATAAGATAATAGTAGTATATCAAGCTCATTGATATTTTACTGAGAGTATCGCGAATGTCTAATATACATTATTATACATCTAAGTGAACAATTCACCCAGTCTGGCATCATCTTTGGTTTGTTGCATTAATCTATCATTGGTAAAAATATTGGTGGTTTCGTTGTCTTCATTGAGTTCTTTGATTATTTTTTCTTCGTCTTCATTCAATGACATATCGGGTATTTTCTCCATTTGAACTGAAGGAGCGTAATCTAAGAATCTAACTTGTTCTAAGATTTCCAGTTTTAGATTTTCTAGGTACTTCTTGGTATTCTTGTTATCTATCCTACCTTCCAATTGTGGGTGAAGGTTATAATCAGGGTAAAACCATTCATATCCTGGAATGTTATTGGGGATTTTGTCATCCAACATTAAGTCATTACAGATACTTGTTTCGTAACACCACAATCTACTAACATTCCTTGGTGTATAACCCCCACCTCCTAGAACTAACATCGGCAATCCGAAACTCTTGATATATTTAACACATTCTCCGTGAGCTTTAATATTCAAATTGAAACATCCCAATCTATCGAATCCCAAAGAATCAGCTCCACATTGTTGTACAATTACTGTTGGTTGGAATTTACTTATTAAAGGTTCCATGATCAGTTTAAATAATCTGACATAACTCTCATCATCGATCCCATCTTTAAGTGGTACATTTATTGCATAATTTTTACCTTTTCCTATACCAGTTTCATCGATATTACCTGTTCCTGGGAAAAATTCCCCATTAAATTTATGGAACGAAACAGTCATTACCCTATCACTAGTATAGAATGCTTCTTGTACCCCATCACCATGATGTAAGTCAATATCTATGTACATTACCCTCGGGTGGACAGTTAATAAATCTATTATACTTAGCACAATATCATTTATGTAACAAAACCCTGATGGTTCGAATTTTTTAGCATGATGTAAACCACCTGACCAGTTGATCGCAATATCACTTTGACCTGATATAAGTTTCCTCGTGGCATCTAACGAGGCCCCTGTGTAAATTGCACTATAATCATAAATCCCATCAAATATAGGACAGTCATCACCAATATTGAATTGTTGTAATACTTTATTATCCATTTTTGCCATCATTTGAGGCGTTGTACGTTTCAAAAACTCTATATAAGATTCATCATGGAACCTCAGCATTTGATTCTCTGAAGCCCTTGTAGGTGTATACAAATCCATCACCTCATATAACTTATAACTTATCACTAATTGATCAGTCAACATGAGTCTGAAGGGTTTCATGGGATGATGAGGTCCATAATGAAACTCTGTGACCTCAGGATTATAGTGATAGGATACTTTTGACGAATTAGATTGACCCAAGTACACTGGTGTGTGTTTTGTGGTCGTCTCATCATTAGTGAAGGTTGACATCTCCAATATTTTTTTCGCACCGCTGCGAATTTCTGATCGCCACCAATGTCAAGTATGTATTATCGAATTATATTTATATCCTAGGGAAGTTTCCAGATGATTAATTGACTCATTGATTAATCTAAGAATGACTCAGAAGTATCAATTACTGTTTGGACATCTGAGTACTAGCCAAATAGTCGTTATATACCCTTTTTACCCTAGTGTAAGATATCCCACTGAGAACATTAGACTAACAATTTAGATTCCGGTTTCGATAGACATATCACTATTTTCTCCCCTGAAGGGAGATTATATCAAGTTGAGTATGCATTCAAAGCAATCAACTCCTCAAACTTAACTTCTTTAGCTGTCACTGGTAAAGATTCAGCTGTGATCATTTCTCAAAAGAAGATTCCTGATAAGTTGTTAGATGAATCTACAGTTTCATACATTTTCAAAATTACTCCTACCATTGGAATGGTTGCAAATGGTTCCATAGCCGACGCCAGATCACAAGCCTTAAGAGCTCGTTCGGAAGCAGCAGAATTCAGATATAAATATGGTTATGAAATGCCAGTTGAAAGTTTGTCCAAGAGAATGGCTAACTTGGCTCAATTATATACTCAAAGAGCTTACATGAGACCATTAGGTGTAGCTTTAACTTTTGTTCAAATTGATGAAGAAAAAGGTCCACAAATTTTCAAATGTGATCCTGCAGGATATTACTTCAACGGTAAAGCAGTTGCCACAGGACCAAAACAACAAGAAGCTATCACCCATTTAGAGAAGAAGTTCAAGAAGATTAGTCACGTTAATGGAGATTGGAAAGATACAGTAGAATTTGCCATCAACAGTTTGAGCTCTATTTTAGGTACTGAATTCAGAAAGAATGATATTGAAATTGGTATCGCAACTGAAAAAAGTTTTAAAGTTTTAACGGTTGATGAAATTGATGAAAGATTGGTAGCAATTGCTGAACAAGATTAATGGAGAAATATATATTTTGAATAAAAAAACAATTTAACTTTTCTTTTGTACTCTGGTAATATTTCCCCAGAAGTACTAACTAATAAACATAAGGAATGAAAGTCCATGGACAATGCTTTAAGTATTCATCCCAATCATCACCATATTTCTTTTCACATTTTCTTTGATCTCTGTAATTTCTTTGTAATAAAGCAACGGCAAAGAAAACAGGGTGGAACCATGGCCATGGTGAATTAACACCACAAACTAAAGCCCAGGTTAAACACATAAAATAGTCAGCGGTGTAATTGATCTTACGGGCCCAAACGTACCAACCATCAATCATCAAGTAAGAACCTTGTTTGGTTTTTAAATATTTAGGATTTTCAACTTTTGAATATGGTAAATATGGGAAAGTTTTTCTTGCTGGTGGAACATTGGCAATAGTTCTTCTGAATTCATATTTTTGACGATTACCAGTGTCAAAGAAGTAGTAACCGACGAAGACGATAGTATACAACAAGAACATGTAGCCTGCAGACCAATTATATTCTTCAGGGTCATTGTAAGCTAAGTATAAGGTACATAAACTGTAAGTGAATGGAACACCAGCAATGTTCCAGAAAATTAACATGAAACCAAATTTTTCGTAAGCCATGTCCCAACTGGCAGTGATTAATTCTTCACCTTTGGAACAAGCATGAGCATAAAGCCAGTGGGCAAAAAGAACAAACAAAGCTTGTGGAGTGATGTACCCATATTGTTCTTGTTGTTTGAATACAAGTGAAATGGCGAGGAAGTATAAAATGTACCATGGAATTCTGACTTCGAAAAACATCTTTAAATCTAAGTATTTACCAATTCTTGGATTCAATGAAGCTCCCATCCAAACATCATACATCATGTTACCTGTTAAATCATGGTAGTCATGAGAAACATACATGGTGTAGAAGTATAAACCAAAAGAAAACAATAAACCATAAACAATAGCACAAGTCATGATTTCACCGAAGTTATCGATTAAGTAACTGATATGGAAAATTCCAAAATGATTGAAAACAAAAATTAAAGCGGTGCTAACGTAAACGGAAGCCAATGAATTACAAAAATATGGTAATTGTTCGTTATTTAAATGAGCTAATGGTAAACCTTTTGACCAGAAACCAGGTAAAGTCACGTAGAAAACACCTTGAACGACCACGAAAGCAGTGAAAACAAACCAACTCTTGAAAGACGGAATACCATATTCCACAAAGTAACTTCCAAATTCTCTTGAAAATTGAAACCAATCTTGACCGTCGTGAGGGAAAGCAAAACCTTCATAGAATTGTAAACTGATCCACATGTACCACATCAATAATGGGAAAAATCCCATCATAATAGTGACACCAATTGGTCCACCAAATTCCCATTCGATATGTTTGGGGTCCAAATACCCTTTTTTAACTTCACTGACCATTTTCAATGATGTTTTTAAATCAAATGGTCGATGGAAATATTTCGCATTAAATAAATAGTTGTTTACACAGGGCTCGTGTTAAACGAGAAGATCATGGAGTATGCGATGGTCACGTGATGAAATAAATAAACTTTTTAATTCGAAATATTTCCGATCCTAAACGATTTATATACATGATGATAGATTTCACAACAATAGATCAGGAAAATGGAACCACGTCAGTTTGTCCCACTTCCACGAATTCCTCATCAATACCTAATTTGATGTTTTCGATTCTTTTGTTAACTTCTTCTAATGCTCCTAAAGCACTACCATTACCCCACTTCACTAAACCCATAAAGAATAATTTCAACATTTCCAATTTTTCATCATACACTAAGTTTATGCAAAGCCTATAAGGACTTTGAATCATATATGCTCTAGCATCAAAATCTGAAGTCAAATAAAAGTTCTCAGTTTGTGCCAAAGGTTCTCGGGTACCTTCGTCAAATTCCAATAACTCCTTCTTTCTTATAAAATAAAGACAATCAAACAATTTAGATACACTTTGTTGTACAAAAGCATGATCTCTGGACAATTGGAAAAATCCCTTTGTGATTAACATTCGAAGATGAATACTTTCAATGTGAATTTGCTCACTAATATCAAACCATGAGTAGTATATGGTTTTATTACCAGTCTTAAATTTTCCGAAGGCTGATTCGGGTAATGAGATCTTGTCAGCTTCGGCATAGTTGGGATGCCCTGGACTTGTTTCAGGTATTGAATAATCATTTTGGAACTGTGGAACTATTACGCTGTCTTTAGACTTGTGCATCAAGAAATATAACTTCTGGATTCTTTCGATGGGTAATGGGGATGATTGGGGATTTCTCAAATGCTCTAAACAATGAGTGAACTCCTGCATGAGGTATACTACATTCATGGTGAAACCCAAAAAAATGTTGAATTCCGTAGTCTTGAGCTGTTTCACTAACAAAAATCCAGCATTTACAAGAGCATCATGGTATTCGGGATTGGTCTCATAGTCAAAATACCCTGTCTCCACATAAATCCTATTACTCTCTTTACCATCATTTTTATCTTCTTTGTGATCCAGTTGTTGCTTAGCTTTTGTCAATGAACCTCCCAAAGGTGTAGCAATACTAGCCAATGCTTCTATGGCGAAAAACCAGGTTCTAGCCAAGGCTAAACCGCTTGAAACTTTCAACCTCGTTTGGTTCCTAGTGGCCCTACTATAATTTACCAACAAATCCTTAGTTCCCCTTAAATGAGTTTTCCAACTATTAAGAATGGTGTTGTTATTCTTATATGTTTTGGAAGAAAAGAAAGAAGTCAAAAGAATAACTGTCAATAACAATCTCTCAATATCATTCAAAAATTGATTTACTTTATCTGCTGAACTGTTAACGAAAGCCTCACTCAAACTCTTCAAACAGACAGAAACGTACTTTTGGCCGCTTGATTCATGGACAGTTTTACCTGTAATGTTGAACTTAACCAGTGAAGTCACGGCTAAAATAGCACTCAATAAATATGGACAATTATTGGCATACTTTAGTAAAATATTAACTACCTCGTTATTGTCAATGTTGGATGCAAATGGAAATAATGTGAATGATATTATAGGATCATTCAAGTACTTCAAGTATGATATATGAGGTGGTGTCAAATTGTGCAGTTTGATTAATTGTTCTATCAACTCGTTATTCAGAGAAGCTTTTGTATTTTTCATGTGATTAATATTAATAATACCTGGGGAGTTCAAGTCATAAAGATTGAAATTTCCATTGTTTTCGTTATTGATAAGTCTTTCACTAAACTCGTCAAATTGGAAATTATGTTTTTCGTAACTTTCAGAAACTGCTTCACTGGAAGCTATCAGTAGTGGCTTATGATCACTGGCATTGTCGACTGACTTGGGACGACTCATTTCATGTCCTATAGCCACTGTATGACTGTTATGATTGGTCAGGGGTGTGGTTAAATGATCAACAGTTCCAGATAGTTCGTTTGATATTTCTTCTGGTATTTCATGTAAATTTATATCGTTTATATGATGCACGTCATTCACTGGGAATGTACGAGTTGGGAAACTTAAAATGTCAAAGTTATTCAAGTCATTCATATCGTGCACCAAACCCGATGCTTCATCAAATAAACTTCTCAATTCATTAATATCACCAGTCAACAAATCATTGTCACTGGGACTTAATATATCCGAAATTGAATTGGTGAACTTGGACGATAGTAAAGGATTCAATCCACCATTGTTGGTGAGATTTGCTATAGAAGGACTTTGAGGCAGATCAGTCTTGTCATAGAAGTTTTCCTCACCCACAAAGTTGTTAATGTACGAACCGTTATGAATGTAATGTTTAACAGGGAATTCGGTTTTAAGCTGTGGAATTTGAACTTTAATCTGATCGTCCAATCTCTGGGCAGGTTTGCTGTGGATATCTGTATCTTTATTATTGTTCAAAGTGTTACTCAAGTGAGATTCAAGGGAGAAGTCAATCTTTCTATTTTTTGTCTTGTAATGGCATACTTTATTCAATCTGGAACAATTATAACAATACGGTTTCTCTTCATCACATTTCATCTTCCTCCTCTTACATTCTTCACACCCTTCTCTACTGTATTTTCTCTTTTTTATCTTACTCATTCTGATGAGATAGTGTTTTGTGATAGCGAAATTGCGACCCTGGTCTGTAATGAGATAACTCGCATTATCTTCCATCTCATCGTACTAAATACGAAACTAAGCGAAGTATCGTAAATCTTCTGGAGATGTACACTTTGTGGATAGAAGAGTGGTTATATGAAACCGATCATATCTGAGTCATGTCCAGCTCCTAACTCGACCACTGCTCATAGATTTTTCAGGTTGATATATCTAATAATGTTCCATGAATATTCCGGGGGAAGCTCTCTCTCTAGACTCAACAGGCAATGAAGTCATATTTCTAATTTGCATCTCAGTTTATAGGTTCCATGATACTTTTGGCAAAGGGTAATCTAAGTGGCTGTAATTTATTGAGTATTAAATCTAGATCTCGAACATCAAATCTGTTACTTAAGAAATGTAAAACACACCTAGAGTATTGATTCAAATTGCAGCTTTTATGTGAAACAATAAGAACAGTTGTTATATTTTTTCCCTTTTTATTTTTCTGATCTGACTTCTTCGGAAACTAATTGAATGGGAAGTTGTAAAATTCACAAAAAATAAGAGAAAAAGTATTTTAAAAAAAAAATTTATTTGACTCTCCTGTTTTAAAGCCATTTTTCGCTTTCTTCACACTGCTGAAAGCAATTCCAGTAATTGGTCATTAGAATTCTTAGAAAGACTCTCCAAAATACAATTTTAAAGGAGAGTTGAAACTGAGAAGAAGTCAAAGGTGCCTGGGAAGGAGATGCGGAAACAGGAGAAAATCCCCTGATTCGACGGGGGAGTTTTTCATTAAAAGGGGTGAGCTTTTCAGGGGGTTGCCATAAATAATTATTGCAGTTTTGCCTACATACCCTAAGGTATTCATCAAACACCAGCAGAAGTCTCTTAGAAATAGTTCCGATCCACAATAGAGCTCGCTTCGTAAATTCTTTCATCCCTTCAATCACCACGTAAAGTTACACTGAGATTTATTTATAGGTAATTGTATCATCCACTACTTCTGAAATTTAATTGAAAACTCTTTATATGGTTGACGACTGACTATCGGAAAGTTAAATAAGATTAACCATAGATCAAATTACATTGACTTAAAGTGTTCAATTCGAAAGATTCTAGAATCCGTAACAGATCAAACCATTAAATCCTCATAAAACAATCTGAAACAATCCTCACCCACACGACTCGAATCTCGAAAAAACTTTCCAAAAGTTTATAATAGTTAAGAATCTCCTTACAAATTTCATCTTAATTACTTGGGAGGATTGGAAATTTTTTCGAAAGCTTGTTAATCAGGTATTAAATAATTCAGTGTAATATTCCCTACATTTTTATATCGTTACAAAAAACCAGACAAAAAATAACTCAAATTTAACAAAATCCTGAAATTTTAGAAACAGAAATGATTAAATCATTTAGAAGACCTAAAAGACTGTCAAGTAATTCCGATTCGATAAAGCATCAGATTTCAAGAGTCCCATCAGGAGCGAATTTCAATGAATCAGTATTGAATGTTCCAAAAATTGTTATCAAGGCATTATATGATTATCAGCCTCAAGGACCTGATGAATTAAGTTTCCAAAAAGGGGATTTTTTTCATGTCATGAATGTTGTTGATGAAAATGAACAAGATGGTTGGTATGAGGCCACCAACCCTATGACCAATGCCAAAGGCATGGTTCCAATGACTTATTTCGAAAAAATCGATAGAACAAGACCTAAAACTAATGATCAAGTGGGTTATATTCCAAACGGGAGCAAATTCAGTAGCCCAAAGAAGTCATCTGTATCCTCGGTTTCATCTGGATCTTCTCATAGAAACAGTAGTCCCACTTTATATGCAATTGTATTATATGAATTCAAATCCGAGAGGGAAGATGAATTGGCTATTTCTCCTGGTGAAAGTTTGATAATCTGTGCTCATCATGAATACGAGTGGTTTATCGCTAAGCCGATCAATAGAACTGGGGGTCCTGGTTTAGTTCCGGTCACGTATGTGAAAATTGTTGATTTGATTAATCCAAACAATACGTTAAATCACAATGATGAAAAAGATTTGATCAAAATCATAAATACTCTCAAAATTCCAACAGTAGAACAATGGAAAGCTCAGACTGCAAGATATCAAGCTTCATCAAGACCAGTCGAACCAGTTGACGGTGATTTACATACCTTTGACAGACAAAGAGTTTCTGGACCAATTGGACCAGGTCAAGTCCAACAATATAAACATTATGACGAAAATGGAGAATATTCATTATCAAACAGATCATCTTTATCTTCGTCGAATATTTCGATTTTGGAGGCAAGTGTTGATTCTTATCACTTAGATGCCAATAAGTATCAATATTTGATCGTTGCAAGATTAAGCAACGGGAAAATGAGATATTTATACCGTTACTACGATGATTTCTATCAATTACAAGTAAGCTTACTTGAATTATTCCCTTACGAAGCTGGTAAAATAGAAAATTCCAAAAGAACTATACCTTCAATACCTGGTCCATTATTCACAGTAAATGATAATATTTCAAGATTGAGAAGAGAAAAATTAGATAGATACATCAGAGAATTAATCCAATTACCTAGTCATATATCAAGATGTGAGGAGGTTTTAAGATTGTTCGAAATCTTAGATAATGGATATGATAGAGAAATCGAAGACAACTCAAAAGAAAGACAACTGAAACCGATCAGTCAAAAATCTATCTACCAACAAGATAGATTATCACAATATTCCAATTTACACAATCAGGTGAATGACAGACATTCATCGACGCCAATATCATCAGATTCAAATTTAAACAGGTTATCAGCATCATCAGGTAATTTATTAAACAACATTGAAACATCTCAACAAACGTCAACATCATCACAACCAGCTCAAACTACCCAATCACAGTACAATCATGCTTCAAACGTCATCTCAAATAACGAACAACAAAAACCACCAACTACCAAAGTCAAAGTCAAATTCTATTATCAAGATGATATTTTTGTTTTATTATTACCCGTGGGATTGAAATTGAATGATTTGAAAACTAAGTTGTTTAAAAGATTAAGTTTGAACGAAGCATCAAAAGAATTTAATCCTGATTTGATCAAAATCTACTTGAAGAATGATTTGGATAATTATCAAAACGACAACAACGTTCAAGATTATGCATTTAATGATAATCAATTATTGAGTTTGAAAACTTTCGAAATTAATGATGACGACAGATTTCAAAACGTATTGTATGATAAGTGTAAATTATGTATCTTAGCTTAATAAATTGGGACCATCATGTATGTAGTTATGGTTAATAAATGAAATATTTCCCTTAAAATTTCGTCTTCGCGGAATCATGTTTAAGGTATTATCTACCTTCAAGTCCTTTTTACTGGGCCACAACCAACAGCTGGAGAATGGCCAGCGACAGCAGCAAGATCCTGAAGACCACCAGAATCAACAGAACGACAAAGATGTAGCTAAGAGAACTGTCAGTATAGCGAACATGATTTTGAAAAATCCTCAATTTCACCCTCAAAATGTAAACACACAAGATAGATCGAATGATCCCATAAAAAATACACCAGTAAGATCACAAAATCAACACAGAACGAATGGGAATGCCTCAGAAACTATATTGGTTTCAAGCCCCTTCAAAAACTCCACCTCAAAATCAGCATTCAAACAATCCGCTAAACTACATTCTTCTTCCGGTGTGATAAAACCTAGCCCAAATTCACCTTGGAAGCCTAAGGGATTCCAACCAAGCAAGAAAATATCAGACAAAGAGACAAAAACTTCGGTATCACCTTGGAAAAGCAAAAACTTGGATTCAATCGTTGCATCCAACAAACCATCGCCGGTTTCATCTAAAAAACCGGTATCTATATCCCCTTGGAGAATGAAGCTGAATGGAAAAGATTCTCCAAGTAAAACACCTAATGTCAGTACAACAAGAATATCAAATATTCGTCAAGTTCCAACTAGTTCTGGAAGTACACCACAAAAACAACTTGATGCACCAGAAATAAAGGTCAATGCTCAGCCTAACGCATTAGAGCCAAGTTCAAACACAGAAACATCGACGCACATCTCAAACAAATTGACTGGAACAACAGTATCTGATAAGCTTCAAGATTTGAATGGGCCAAAGTCCAAATCTCCATGGAAAACGAAAGTTCTCCCATCCTCTTCAATCCTGAAGGATGCCCCTCACAAGTCCAACTCACCTTGGAAACAGAAAATTAAACCCATAGAGTCACCACGGGAAGCCATTAGAGTGTCACTGGAACCTCTCAAAGAAAAAGTGAAATCTTCCCCTTGGAAGCAATCCGTGAATACGACTCAAAAAGAAATCGCCACGACTCACAAGACAAAACTGGGAAATACCTTGGAATCATTATTGAGGGAGGCTGCAAGTCCAGTATCCAACTCACCTTGGGCTGTTAGATCCAAATCTACCGAGAGAGGCAAAGAATCAAGTTCAAAGAACGAGGAAGTAACAAGGTCCAACACAGAAGTGATATCTCCAAACTCCGAAACTCCAAATCAAACACCAAGTAAGCCACCGACTGATCCTGCGAGACACCAGACTTATGTCCCAAGTAAAGAATCGAGCAAAGTTAATCTCGATGCACCCGACAAGGTTCAAGGCGAGACACCCAAGGAGACAAATCCACAAACTTCCAAACCAGATACCGAGATGGTACCGTCGTCTGTCTTATCTACGTTCCAGAATCCTCTGAATCGGTCAAAAAAGTCATCCTCACCACGATTTGCACAAGAATTAGTTTTCATTCCCTTTGAACAAAATAAATCAACGTCAGCATTCGCTAAGAAAAGAAAAGCGCCTCAACCTGCTCCTCCGAATAAGAAATCAAAAGCTCTGCCATCCCCAGTGGTACAAGCGGAAGTATTCAAAACGACTAGGCTACCCGACGAATCAATAGAAATGAATCTACAATCAGAGGCTTCGAGAAATGAGTATTCAACACAAGTCAGGAGATCATGGAAGTCGAATATAAGAGAAGAGAGAGAAATCAACTCAGAATCTAATATCACCTCTGTAAGTTCTGTCAGAGGGGCAGAATTTGGGATTGCCAATCATACAGGTGGTCATATAATCATTCCCCAAGCCATCCCTCCTCCAAACTTTAACAAGTTCATGGGACCGCCCGATACTGTACTTCCATCAGCTTCCTCGTTATTGAAGCATGGAATCACATCTACATACAAGAATCGAATCTCGATTCTCAACTTAACAAACCCTGAACCCAACGAGGAGGAGAGGGAGGCTGCACAAGTGGTGAACTTGCCACAACAGATAGATTCCACCATTCCACCTCCTGTTCTTCCAGTGCACTATGTAAATGTGGAAACAGTGTCAGATGGAGAATCGGACGAGGAAGTTAAGAGGTACACAAGACGAGGAAGGGCCAAGCATAAGGATAGCGCATTGAAGAATAATTTGAAGAATACCCTGACCACATCCGATGGTATATCTCATCATGTGGTTCGTATTGACCCCTCCGACGACGAAGATTCAGATAATGAGATGGATGCAAATGAAGAGGAGGGAAATTCAACTTTTCGTTCCATGACCAAGGGGGGGGAAAGTTCAACAGCTTCGGAAAGACGTCAAAGAAAAGAGCAGAGGAGGACAGAGCGAAGACTCAGAAGGGTGGAGGTTCTTTACGAGAACTACTGGGACTCTGCCCGTCAAATGAGAATCGCCGGTGGTCAAGAGAGTAATGAAAAACCGATCCATGAAACGAACGGTATATTCGTAACTGAATCAGAATCTGAACGAGAAACTTTAGCCAACCAAACTGTTGTCACCATTCAGTCCATAGAAGAAAATTTGGAACAAGAAAGAAGAAGAGACGATCCATCCTCCCCTCAGGTACAGCAATCATCGGTTATACTACCGGGATTCCTGCAGCTGAACGGAGCAGAGAAAGGAGGAGAGGATTATATGATAGATAGTGATGATACCATGTATAGTGATTTAGGTAGTACTGAATCAGAGGATAATAGAACTTTTACCAGAGTGCTCAGATCAGGTAAAATCATAGATACTTAATATTGAAGTTTCTTTTACCCAGAACTGGCTCGAGTATATTTCAAAATTAATGATAGAATGTTTGTAGTAGAATAATATGAAAAGCATGTAGCCATCTCATTCTTTGTGCAGCATTATTTAACCTTCGATGTCTGTGGAAGTAACGAACCATGTCTTCAGCTTCTAATAATTTCAGAGGTAATATAAATTCAGAGGTTTCGCTTCTAATTATCGATTTTAGATGGAAGGAAACATGTGTCGGGAAATTTTAAGCTTCATGAGAAGCCTCACTTACCACAGTTTGGAGATTTCGGTCCGCACTGAAGTCTTATCACTGAACAAATGATTTCACCAAAGTACACCAACAGCCATGCTTTCTACCCATTGAGTCACTTCAAAGTGGTACCAGCTCAAATTAATTTATACTTAGACTATAACTGTCCTTTTAGTGCTAAAATTTTCTTTAAATTCAAACAATCTGTCATCCCCCAATTGGAAAGCAAGCATCCTGGAAAATTTCAATTTAATTTCATGAACGTAATACAACCATGGCATTCGAATTCAAATTACTTACATGAATTTTCATTGTCTGTGGCCAAATTAATTAGAGAAAGGGAATTGACATCAGAGCTTTTCTGGTCAGTTTCCGAATCACTTTTCAAAAATATTAAGAAATTCTCAGACAATGCTAATTCAGATAAGGGAAGAAATGAGATTTACGCAGATATTTACAAAGCTGTGACTGAAGATGTTGAATTACCTTTCAGTAAGGAAGAAGTATTGGGAAATATTCAGATCGCTCAAGTAAAAGACGAGTCAGATTATGATAATGCAGGTAATGCTGTGACTGTTGATGTTAAATATTTCACCAGATATCAAAGGACCGTTGGAGTCCATGTTACACCTACAGTCAGTGTCAATGGTATTGAAAATGGTGGTATAAGTAGTGGCAGTGAGCCCGAAGAATTGGCTAAAATTTTAGAATCCGCTTTGTAGTAAATGTAAGTGTATGAGTCTTGATATACGGTCAAGTCTTCGTGATGTTGCAAAAGTTCTAGCCATATGATAGCCGAAGCTCTAACCAACTCTTGACTCCTCTCTCCGTCAACTATCAAGGTTGAGATCTGGGGAAACGCGAATTATGGCACAGTACATTGAGTTATCGAATCTTGAAGAATCTGATTCGAAATTCAACGATGATCAGATAAGATTAGTTCTACTTCGATTGGGCCAGATATCAGATGAAGAGTATAATCTAAGGCATGAGAATTTCATAACTCCCAATTCACAATTCATAATATCGAAAATCGAGGTTACCACAGTTGATGAAGCATTGGGAATTCTTAGGAATACATTGGCTGAACATAACGGCGATGTAAATTATCCTTTGGAGGATTACTATTTCATAGAGAGATTGATACAGTCCCAGACCAGGCAGGACCTGTTAGAGAGAGACGAAGACGAACCACATGAAGAAGCCGAAAAAGAATTATTCATAAAACCCTACCTCAATATCATAGATTGGTCGCTTCAGGTTCGTCTAGAAGCTTGTATGGTTGCTTACCACTCACCATATCCTGAAATAAGAGCTTTGACCGATCCCTTTGATGATACTTCAATGCCAGTCGATACATTGAGAGTATACATCATAGGTTTATTTTGGACGTTTGTTGGATCGATTATTAACAATTTTTTCATTCATAGGATGCCGTCAATCAATCTTGGAAGCCATACTATTCAGCTATTGCTTTTACCTTCAGGTAAATTATGGGAGAGATTAGTACCTATGAATTACAACATAAGGATCCTTGGAAGAGACTATGACTTGAATCCAGGTCCTTGGAACTACAAAGAAATGATGTTGAGTTCAATAATATACGGGTGTTCTGCAGGGACACCTTATGCAATTTACAACATCATGGTCATGAAACTAGATAAGTTTTATGGTTTGAAGTGGGTGACCTTGACTTATCAAATCATTTTGACTTTGTCTACTCAATTTTTGGGTTTTGGATTTGCAGGAGTCATGAGGAAAGTTTGTATCTACCCAGTTAAATCTTTGTGGCCCACCATATTACCAACTATTGCCTTGAATCGTGCATTAACTCAAAAGGATTCGAAACAGTCTGATTTGAATGGATGGAAGATTTCACAATATTCATTTTTCTTCGTCGTTTTCAGTGCTAGTTTCTTATATAATTGGTTACCGTCCTTTTTCTTCAAGACATTGTCAACATTTAATTGGATAACATGGTTTGCACCAGATCTGTTACTACTAGCCAATATCACAGGCTCCAATATCGGATTGGGGTTTAACCCTTTGCCTAGTTTTGACTGGAATGTGTTGAATGCAGGTGCATGTTTAACCATACCATTCTACACGTACTTGAATCAATATTTTGGATCTTTAGTGGCATTCTTCACCATCTTGATTCTTTATTACACCAATAATAGGTGGACTGGCTATTTACCTATCAACACCAATGAATTGTTCAACAATAGAGGAGAGATATACAAAGTACACAGTATATTGAACGATAAAAACCAGTTTGATAAGGGAAAGTACCAGGAGATAGGTCCGCCATATTTCTCTGCTGCTAATTTAGTTGTCTATGGAGCTTATTTTGCATTGTACCCATTTGCTATTTTATACCAGTTCTTGAGCGAATGGAGTTCAGTTAAATCAAGTTTTAAGAATGTTGGTGAAACTCTTTTTGACTCATTTAGATTCAAATCGTCCAACGTCTACGGAAAGTTTATAAATGACCCTCATTGTAGGATGATGTCCAAGTATGAAGAGGTTCCAGACTGGTGGTTTACTGCGATTTTAGTTATCAGCACTTTCTTGGGTATATTGGGTGTTTGGTTATACCCTGTTGAAACTCCTATTTGGGGTATATTCTTCACTGTGGCTATAAACTTCATTTTCTTGATTCCTTTGACCGCTATAACGTCTGTTACAGGATTCTCATTCGGTTTAAATGTTTTAGTAGAGTTAATAGTTGGTTATGCCATTCCAAATTCAGGTTTGGCCTTGATCACTTTGAAATCATACGGAACTAACATTGACCATCAAGCAGCAAATTACATAACTGACCAAAAGCTTGCTCATTATGCCAAAATACCACCTCGTGCAATTTTTAAAGGACAGATTCTATCCACATTATTATCTGTAGTTATTTCTTTGATTATAGTCAATTGGCAGATTAACAATGTTGAGGATTTGTGTGAACATCATCAGAAAGATAAATTGAGTTGTCCTGGAGCTAACACATATTTTTATTCAAGTGTCCAATATGGTGTTATAGGACCTTACAAAGTATTCAACGGGGTGTATCCGATTTTGAAATACTGTTTCCTCATCGGGGTTTTATTAGTGCCCATATGCCTTTTGTTCAAGCAATATGGACCTAAGAAAATCACTAGGATTTTCAATCCTACAGTAATTATTGGAGGATTTCTCTTTTATGCTCCTTACAACTTGAGTTATTATACTGGTGGACTTTATTTGTCTTATTATTTCATGTATCATTTGAAGACAAATTACACTGCTTGGTGGGAGAAATACAATTATGTTTTGACCAGTGCTCTTTCGGCAGGGGTCGCTTTCAGCGCATTGGTAATATTTATGGTCAAGAATGAAGGGATCAAACTCGACTGGTGGGGTAATAGTCTAAGTAATATGGGAATAGAAGGAGACAACGGGGGACTTAATTGGTTACAGCCAACGAATGCTCCCGAAGGATATTTTGGTCTAAGAAAAGATCAATATCCATAAATTTTCACTATATAGAAATAGAAACAATACAATCTAATGTTCTTTCAACCAATCCAAAATCAAATCTCCAATCAACTTTGGATTTTCACGATGTAAAAAGTGACCAACACCATCCACAATTTCTACCTTGGCATTTGGAAATTTCTGCAACTTTCTCTCTTCTAATTCGAACAATCTTACAGTCATACATTGGTCTTCTCTTCCACCCATAATTAAAGTTGGGACCTTGTCGAAATCTATGTGCCCACGGATATGACGAATGTTCAAAGGATTCATAACACATCTATAATAAGCAGTGACGTGATCGATAGTATCTTCGAACAAAAGTGTTTTTCTAACAGGCTCAATATCATCATCGAATTGATAACTTGGGGACCAATATTCCCAGAGTTTGTTCAAATAAGATTTGGAACCTAATTGCCTCAACTTGCCATAGAAATATGATGATTGCATAGTAAGGAAATAGCTTGAATAATAAAATTGTTCAGGAGCGTAAAAAAGAAGATCATGTAAATGTAAGTTGGATAAGTAAGGAATGGCCATGGTGATAACAGATTCAAAATCATCTGGATACATACTTGCAGCTTTGAAGGAAGCAATGGCACCCCAATCATGTCCTATCAAGGTGACTGGTCTACCTAAAGCTTCAACCCAATTGTGAACATCTTCAGCCAAATCAGATGGCTTGTACTCATTGAACTTGTGGTAGCTTGAAGGTTCGTAACCTCTCATCAATGGTGATAAGATCAATGCTTTTGGGTAATTTTTATCCAAAATCTTAGCTAACTCCTGAAAACTTTCATTATTATCAGGGAATCCGTGAAGTAAAAGAAAAATTTTAGAAAATTTTCCTTTGACGCTTGGTCTATTGCTCAAAGTTGAATGAATGGAATCACCACTTCTTAATTTAACGGAATAATTCATAATCTCCCTTCCAATGTTGATGGGTTATATAGATAATTTCAGTGCGCATGTGAATGGCTGCAAAAAAGATACTTTAAATGCGAAGAGAGTCTTTTACATATGATAATGTTATGCATTAATATTCATGAAACCAGTCACCGTTACCAACACCCCTATTTATATCGTTAAAATAATCCCATGCATCCTTTCTTGATAATTTCAAATCTTCCAAATCTTGGAAAATAGGGTGATCAATATCTGAATCCAATAATTTATGACGTTTAATTGATTCGAAATTAATTCTATATTCATCCCTCAAGATAGGGGAATCACAAGATCCTTCTTTTGTTAATTCTTTTTCCGAGCTATCGGTGAATCTATCAATTTCGGGGGATTTGTCACATATTTCGTCAGCAACCCATAAATCAATATCTGTTTGATAATTATAGTTTTGGAAATGTAATTTTGTAGTGAATGACTCTTTACCATATTTCCTTGATAAAAGAGATGAAATGTTATTTGGGATATAAACTGGAGAACCTTCGAAGAATGTATGACGGATAGGTAAAATTTCCGCTAATGAATGCCAGTTAAAATGCTTACAATGAACTAAAATGTCATCTTCAAATTCTTCGTCCAAATCTTTTGGGGGTTTGAAATTAGTATGACTTAATGCTGATAAATCGATGTAAAGACCTGAATTGATATCGATGAATCTTCCATCTATGAAATTTCTACCATTACCTTGCTTGATGTAGGTGGGACTAATGTCTAAAAAGAATTTCCCGTTTCCAAACTTTGGATTTTCAATGATCAATGTATTGTTGTAGTTTTGAGCTAAATAGTCCAATGATTTGATAGGTAATTGAACATCCACATCAGTATCCCATGGCATGTTAACCCCATTATAGGCCCATCCTAATAATGATCCATAATTAATCCATGATGGGACATCGATTGCTTCAGTGAATTCGAACCAACTCTTGACTAAATGTTGAATGATACTTTGACGTTCCCTGATACTTATGAATCTTTTGAAGAAAGGATAAGCTAAATGATGGGAATTTCCTTGAACTACATCAGTAATAATCCAAGGATATTTAAAGTATCTATCAGAATTGTCCACGATATTGTTCGCATACTTTAAGAATTCTAAATACTTTTTCTGTTTTTCGTCTAATTCTTGATTCTTTAATTGCATGATTTCATAATCAGGATTGAAATAGAAATCGTTAACGTCTATCTTTTTATAATTGGAAAGTTTCTTTAATGGTAAAGTTTTCAACTTCAATGATTCTTTATTTATATTTTCGAAATTCAAAAGATTGTCATTGTTTAATAAAGACCCAAATCTTTTCTTCCCTTTCACAGGGATCTCTACCATATTATAATCTGTTGTCAAATAGACTTTACTAGGAATATCTTTGATACAGAAAACGTTCGTCATTCCCCTTAAAACTTTTTTATTGTAACTTTCCATCCAGTAACCGTTGACTGAACCATATGAAATCATTTCTGCTGAACAATTGCATGGTGAATCATCGACTTTTACATCTTGTAAAATGGAGTTACCGGGGTAAGTATCCAAATAATCATCCCAATGAAACCAAATCCCATTTTCATCGCCTATAATGGAAGTTTCTTGGTCTTGACCATCATTTTCATGGTTATTGATGATTTTAATGATCTCAGAAGTAGTGAACTTTGGATTAAAACTACTAAACTTGTGGAGATTTATGCTATTCTTATCGAGTTCGAGTTGATTTACTTTCGTAAGTAATATGTTCTGTACGGAATAAAGTAAACATATTATTATGATAAGTATAGGTAAGTAGAACCTTAACTTCTTGTTATAATACCTGGGCAACATCCTTAACGGTTGGTTCGTTGGTCAAAGATGAAATGATGAGTAGGTAAATAGCAAAGTGAAAATTTGATGATGAAATTGAAAATAGACAACCTGCAGACAAAGATTCGCGAAAAAGAAACTTGCGGTCACAAGATTCACAACTTGAATTTACACCTGCGTTCATACAGGTTAGCAACATATGGTAATTATTGATTGTAAGGTCAATTAAAGGAGAGTCCTTGCAGTTACTTGCTCAAAGATTTCGTAATAATCGATTAAAAAAATAAAGTTATTCTGATTTTTAGACGAAATCTTCAGCGGAATAGACACAATATCCATCACACTACTAGGCTTAGAGGGCTGAAGATATTGTTCTTGTCGAGACTTAGGAGAATATAATTTCTTCGCTTTTGTAGCTTATCAAGACCGAAATTATTTATCTGTTGAAATACCAAGATTATTCGACCTGGTGGAATTATGGATATGATGAACCAATGATCATACCCACCTCCGCTTTAATCTCCCTCACGCGGCTACTTACCAAAAGAGATCTTATTACGTAATCGAATTTGATGATATCATATTTACACCCACTACAAACTCTATATACCGAAAATTAGAAAAAATACCCCTATTAGAAGATTTACAATTTTCCTAGCCCCCCTATAAAGGATTGAAGAGGCTTTCGAATTTTGTGCCTTTGAATAGTCTCATACCCATGGTGGACCCATTATAGTTGAGTTTATAATTATGTAAAAAGTTCGTCTTCAAATTATCTAGATCAGACTTTATTAATAGGAAGAAACCACTTGAAAATATTATCAGAACAAGAATATCAAATTTCCAATGATGATCTAAATAAAGACTTGACCAAATTTGTAATAGTAAATAAATCACTATTCCTACTCTTACCATGATGGATTTGATCAAATAACATAAAAAAAAAGTTATCAATAAAGAAATGGATGAATGTAATGAGGGTAAGATTCCAAATTCTATTGATTTGACATAAAGTATAATATATTGTACAAAAGGATTAATATCTATTCTTGTTAATCCTTCACTATACCCAGGACTTTCATAACTGGGGATTTTGTTCTCACCATAATATTGTATGTAAATTGGTGGTACATTAGGGAAAAATATATGAATCAAAACAATGATTAAATTTTGTAACCCTAAAATGATAATGAATCTTTTCAATACACCAGGGTATTGGAATAAATATAAATAGTAAATTGTTATGGGTAAGATGAGGAAATGTCCCATTATAAAAAAAATTAATGCTAATAAATTTTTGAATTTAGTTATAGGTTCTTTAAAGGAGAATACGATTTTGAGTATGAACCAACTAAATGAAATGAATATTAAAGGTAGATTATGAAGTAATAAATCACCTGCAACTTTGGTTGAAGATCTTGTGTATTTTCTCAGTCTTTTAGGCACGATGGTTAATGGTAAGTTAAATTTCGTATAATCTATTGAGCTAAATGTCTCTTTATAAAACTTGTTAAATAACCCTAATGATATCAAATTTGTTAATATAATGCACGATATTATACCCATGAAGTTATTGAAAATATAATCATCCAACCTTAGTAAAAGCCTAACATTTATCCTAGGTTTAACATTGTTAGGAATCATATTGACAGAATTGAATAGAATCAACCATAATAAGAAAGGGAGAGCACTCACAGCAAAATCTGCTAATACCTTTGATACACTTCTATTATTCTTCCAACATTTGTAAATATGAATTGTTAGTAGTCTAATCCGTAGGATGTTCATTACAACAAATGCGAAATTATTTTGACGTTATATGGGGGCGGTGGGGGCGGTATCGCAGGATATAGTGTTAGAATTGATGAAGACTTCAATGAAATCGTGAAAAGATATCAGATAATACGAATGAAGGTTTTCTAGGTTTAAAGAGTGAATTATTGGTTAGCAAAACACGTTAATCATAGAATCCAATTTTAAGCAGAGGTGCGGTTCAAGCAGCACCCTTACTATTACCTTTAGAAGATGTTTCATTGGTGGTTTCTGGATTGTTCAAAAAATTTGAATTTCTGATGTTTTCAGGTTCTAAAGTGTTTATAATTAAGAATTCCTTACAATCTTAGTCAGTGAGGATGAATTAAAAGAGGTTTTATTCATTTCTAAAGTTGACAATATTTTGTATTACTGAGTGCGTATCCTCATGTTACATAAACTGTTGATAGAATTATTTGAAGTTCCCCAGAAATGCAACACCGTGGGAGATTTAGTTCTTCAAAATGATATCTATCAAATCATATTCGAATCCAAAACCGATAAACAATGGTTTTTATCATTGGCAAACGACTATGTTTTGCTTAGTACAATAGATCCAACGAGAGACATTTTCATCGATACCTATCAAAACCTAATAAAATTCCTTGAACAATTGTTGACCGATACCAAGTCCTTCCCCTTCACTTTGAATAGTCTCATCATTGATGATTTATCAAGATTTTACTTCTCCAAGGTTGATCTCCAGGGTTTGAAAAATCTATTGCTCAACATAAAAGATAGATTTAAATGCAATATCTTGATATTTTCCTGGGATTATAAGTTCGACAGAGGATTCAGAAATATGACACACAAAGACATATCAGAATTGGATAATAATATCAGTTACTTGAATTTGAATTTGGATTTTTTGTATGTTTACAAATCAACAATTTACAAATACTTCGATCATAGGTATCAAGCAATTGAAGAACTTAAAGCCTGATAGATTCAGTGATTGGTGAACTTGTTTTGGTTCTATGATAGTGGTTTAAGAAACAGAGTAACAACCCTGGTGGTTGATTTGTATATAGAAATAGCGTTGAATAATAACATCTCGTTAATACAACAGAGAACAGGAATTTTTAAATATTTTATATTTCTAATTATGAAAAGGATGGTTAAGCTATGGTAACTTCCTTACATAACGGTTAAATCACCGAATTTTTCTTTATAAGTTGGAACTTCCCATTTACCGTTCTTGACCATGTAGACAACTTTATCTTCGATATCTGGTTTAGCTTTAACAACATCATCAACAGTTAATTCATTAAATGGTCTAGCACTTTCCATATCTTTCAATGATTGTTGTAATTGATTGATTTCATCAATGACTGATTTTTCAGTTAATTTAGCATTTTCAATGGCTTTTGATTCGAACATTTCAATGGTTTTTAAAGTTTTGGAAACATCGTAAGTGACTGGTTTGAAACTTTTGACTTTACTTTCAATTTCATCAATAACTTTAGTGTTTGATAATTTAGTTCTGTAAGTTTCGAAATCAACTTCGGTTGATTTTGAAGTCAATGCTAAATATTCTTTCTTGGCTTCATCGTGTCTTTTTTTGAATGCAGTTAATGAAGAAGCAGTTTGACCAGTTAAGCCTAATGTGCTTATGATTTTAGCCCAATCTAATTTAGTATTGATAACTTTACTTACTGATGACATGTTGAAGGTGAATTTTTTCAAGCGTTCGCAGAAAATTCGGATTGGTTGAGAATTTGACCAATGAAAATGGCGGTGAGAAACGATTAGGATTATGGAAGTAATAGAGGTTTGAGACAATAACTTCCATGATGTATAGACATAGTATCAATGTTGGTTACGCATCGAAGGTTTAAAAACAAAAAATCATTAAGTGATTCCATATTACATAGATATTCAGTAAACACGTGACACACACGTGACCGCAATTCTTAGTAGTCCCATTTTAGTTGAATTTGTTGGCTTCGGCTGAAACTATCATTTTAATGAAATAACATGACATCTGACACTCTGAATTGATCCACCGACTTCGAAATCTCCAATCACTTCCGTTGAAACCATCTCGATGAATTTCGCGTCAGATCTAACAGATGAAAGGATTAACTCAATTCATTGTAGATATCAGGAATACCCATGACCAACAGGAGGAGAAGAAACGTATAAATGTTGAAGTCAATAACATTCAATTGAAATTCAACAGTGGTTTGAATGATTACCAAAGAAGAAAATATATCTCCAAAATCGTCTATATATATCTACTTGGTTACGACCATTTGATAGAATTCGGTACTAAAGAATGTTTACAATTACTTATGAATAACAAGGTTCCTGAAAAACAACTCGGATACTTATACTTATCGGTAATGATTCAAAACAAAGGTGACAACGAACAGTATGTGAATGAAATTTTTGGATTAACCTTCAACCAGTTGAAAAACGATCTCAACAATAAGAATGAAGATATCAACACTATAGCCATACAATTTATTAGTAACAACTTGATACTTGATTATAAGTTTCAACAAGGATCTCCTAATTCGAACGATTTCATCGAACTTATAGAGACGTTATATTCAATGGTCATATCTCCAGTCAATTCCATTTTGATAAAAAAGAAGGCTATAGTTGGATTGAAGAATTTGATCTTGATGTACCCACAAATCCTTGATGATAATAATTGGATTCCTAGACTTCTTAATCTAATAGATAATAATCAAGATTTGTCAATAATTTTGAATTCGACTAAGTTGATAGAAATCTTGATTACATTGAAACCAAACTATATTTATTCCATCATTCCTTCCATAACGAAAAATTTGAATGATTTGATCATTGAAAACACATGTCCCAAAGAATTCTATTACTATTTGATACCTTCTCCGTGGTTGATAATCAAATTATTCAAGCTACTTGAACATTGCTTCTTACTATCAAATAACCAATTGATGATAGATGATGCCAATTTGAACAATTTACGTCAAATCGTAGCCAAAACCATTCAAATGTCTTCCAAACCTATCAAAGGATTACCCAATAGAAACAGTCAAAATTCAATTTTGTTCCAAGCTGTATCAATTGCTGTATTCTTACAAGCATCCGACGAAGCTATCACAGGAGCAATCAATGCCTTAATAGATTTGTTGGTAACTCATGACACAAACACAAGATACTTATCATTAGATGTGTTAATAAAGCTAATTGGTAGATCAAATAATAGTAGTTCAAGTAACAATTCTTCCAATTTGATTTATAGTAATTTGAAGACCATATTGGGCTTGTTGAACGATAGGGATATCAGTATCAAAAGAAAGACTCTTGATCTCATTTACATAATCACAAACGAAGAGAATTACCAGAATATCATAAATAAATTGATTGATTATTACCCACAATGTGACATACAATTAAAGTCAGAGTTGAGTATCAAAATAGCAGTTTTGAGTGAAAATTTTGCTCAAGATTCCAACTGGTATGTAAATATCATGATTAAATTAATATCTATTCCTACAACCAATGAAATATTGAATAATGAAATTTGGGAAAGAATTTGTCAAATCTTAATCAACAATCATGATCTTCATAAATCTACTACAAAACTCATCATTTCCAAATTAGCTAAATTGATAAAAGGGGGAGAAGCTATATCCAATAACTTGATCAAATTATCGAGTTTCATTATTGGTGAATTTGGTCCACTTGTGAAAGAAGATTATTCACCAGCATCTCAGTTCAATTTGCTTTTTGAGTGCTATTCAAAAGTTAACTTGATTTCGAGATCAATGATCTTATCAAGTTTCATGAAAATGTTGGTAAATTATCCTGATGAAGATTTCGTTCCTAATATAGTTGATTTGTTTGAACTTGAGTTATATTCTTTGGATTTAGAAATCCAAACCAGGGCTAACGAATACTTGAAATTATTTACAACCAACAATTTGCATTTACACAAACCTTTACCACCATTCGAATCAACTGAAAACCATTTACTTTCCAGAATTGGTAATGTTGATAAAATCGTTAGCGGATTTGTTAACAAAAAGAAAATCCAACAACTGAAATCAACAGACGATGATCCTTTCGGAGATGAAGCAGTTCCAGAAGAAACCTATCCATTATCCCCTAACTGGTATAATGGATATGTTAGAATGCTTAACTTTAATGCAGGGATCTTTTTCGAAAATCAATTGGTCAAAATCACTTATAAAATAACCAGAGATGGTTTCAATCTTTCTTATAAATTTACTATCATAAACAATTCATATAAGGTATCGAAAAACAATTTGACAAACTTCAAAGTCCTTGATTTGAAATCCTTGACCAATAGTGTCAACCCCAGTTATCTCATGAACATTCACTCATTACCTGAACAATTAATTACTGATAAATCCACCCTTGAAATGTCAGTTAAAATTAGAAGTGTTGTAGAGATTGAAGAACCAACCATCATATCCTTAACATTCAATGTGGGAGGCTCTTTTAATCAATTGAACTTGAAAATTCCAATTAATTTGATCAAAACATTATCACCAACTGGATTGAAAATGGACGAATTCAAAAACAGATGGATGCAAATCAATCAGTTGTTACCCAATAACACGGGAGAACATATCATCAATACTAACACCAGCATCAGATATAATTCTTCGAATATCATAAGATTATTACAGAGATTAGGGTTCTCAATTGTATATGAAAACACTGAAGGTATTTTGATTTTAGGTGCAGGGATCATACAATGTCAAAACTCTAAATACGGTTGTTTAGTTTCAGTCAAGAGTTCCCAAGATATAGGTAAGCAATTTGAAATCATTATCAAATGTACAGGTGGTGGAGTATCACAGATCATAGCCTCCACTATTGATGAAATTTTCCAATCAGGTTTTTAAAAATATAAATCATATGAACAGATCATGAAATTTCTTAAGGCTTCATAAACATTTAAAATTTTCTTCTATGTGGAGATAGCTCTAAATACTTCCCTGTTTAAGTATGTCTTGAATTTCCCACTTTCCTCTTTAGGTATCTTAATTTCGCACCCGTACACCAAATCTCGATGGCACTCAATTTCGCGCAGGGTATAAATCTTTGAAATTTCCTTTTTAGGAATAGTAATTAAATTAATAAACAAATTATAAAAGAATGAAATTCCCATGGAATTTTCCCATTAGTACATTGTTGATACCTTCCCATAATCATGAAACTCTCATTGATTGTCTTAGTGTCCATAGCCACTAAAATCAATGGAGCTCCAGCTCCAGAAGTTGCTACTGTATGGCAAACTGCTACCAATGTTGTCAATGATGATGGTTCAATTTTCACTTTCCTTAATGCTTTATTTGATGACACCCCAGATTCTACTACTGCTGTAGCTGTACAAGCTACTCCTGTGACTGCTGCTGCTGCCGCCGCTGCTGCTACAACCACTGCAGCTGCTTCAAGTAGTTCTGGTTCCAAATTCAGTTTAGATTCATTTTTATCAACAAATATCAATAAATGGCTTAACTTTTTCGGTTTGGATGATTCATCATCATCATCATCGTCTGCTGCTGCTGCTGCTGCACCAGTTGCAACGTCTGCAGCCGACACCGCGTTCCCAAATTTCACCTTTCCAAATAAAGCTTCGTCTGCTGTGGCCACCACTCCTGCCTCCACTGCAGCATATACCCCAGCTACCACTACTTCAACCTCCTCAACGGCCGCTGCTACCTCCTCATCTTCATCAAGTGGTGGATCCGTAGGTGGATCAGATGTAGCATTCGCTTCAGCCATCTTAAAAGCTCACAATACATATCGTGCTCAACATGATACTCCAGCTTTATCATGGAATCAAGGAGCTTATGAATATGCTCAAAATAATGCTGATAATTACGACTGTTCGGGTATATTGACCCACACACATGGTCAATACGGAGAAAACTTAGCAGCAGGATTCAAAGATGGCCCTTCAGCTGTTAAAGCTTGGTATGATGAAGGAGAAACTTATAACTATCAATCTGCCAATACTTATGATCATTTTACCCAAGTGGTTTGGAAAGGAAGTACCGGTGTTGGGTGTGCTTATAAAGATTGTTCAGCTGAGAATTGGGGATTATATATTGTTTGTGAATATGATCCTCCAGGAAATGTTATTGGTAAAAATGCTGCCAATGTTTTACCAGTTTCCAGTTAGATTAACTAGAAATACCCCAACTTCAGTTCCCATATAAAAAGATCGATAGATCCAGTTAAAAGTAATGTATAACGTATAGTTCTCTTGAATCTCTGAATTTGCAGCCAGAAGTTCGCGATGACTTATGTTATCGAGAACAGTATCAGAAGAGTTGTACCCTATTATAAGTTATATCAGACTCATATAAAGACCCGATGGGAAGGCCGAACACTAACAGATGTGTTTACTAAGGAATTTGGCCAACTGGAAAGTCAGGTAAACAAAGAAATCGAAGAGAATAAATTGTATGTGATCTCTAGATGTGGGTTTAAAGATCAATCAGAATATAAGGGAAGTGACGTGTATACGAGATTGATAGCCAAAAATGACGTGATATGTAATTTGAAACATATTCATGAGCCCGAAGTTAGTGATAATGGTATAGAAATAGTACACGAATCTGACGATTTATTGGTTGTCAACAAACCTCCAGGAATTCCAACTCATCCAACTTCAAGTTATCGATACAATTCAGTCTTGGAAATCTTGAAAAATGATTTAGGAATAGATTTATGGACTACACATCGTCTTGATAAGGTCACCACTGGAATTTTGATATTCGGAAAGAACAAAGCATCTGCTGTTGATATAATGGATAAGATTTCTAGGAAGGATATTACTACAAAAGAATACTTTGCTAGGGTCAAAGGGGAATTTCCCGAGGGTAAAATCCGTTACACATGTCCTGTGTTCCTAGTCAATGCTAATGGGGGCTATTTAATGCCAAGTACCGTTCCCTTAAATACCACCACAAAATTCGAGAGAATCAAGTATAATTCCGACTTAGATGAAAGTATCGTCAAGTGTTTTCCTATATCAGGTAAAATGCATCAGATAAGAATACACCTACGAAATTTGGGGCACCCGATATCGGATGACTTTTTCTATCACGATTCTTTGAAAAACACCATAGAAATGGAAATCTATAAACATGTTTTCCTCAAATATCCCAGTTTAGATAAGTATCTGAAGGACGACTCAAACGATGATGATACTCAAATAGGTGACGAGGAGATGATCTCTTTCAGTCCCTTGATTCTGGAGTCAATCAAACAGGATTTGGAGAATCTAAAGAAACAATCTTCCGAGAGAATAGAAAGTTACAAGAAGGGCAAGATGTGTGAGGATTGTGGGAAAGAATTGATGGAGCCAGACCCCAAAAAATCATCCATATATTTACATGCATTCCACTATAAATTCCCAGAATTCGAATTCCAAACATCATCACCATCATGGTGTGACATATAAGTTTACTTCTTGAATGGGGTTTTTACCTGACTTAGTGGTAGCACCCATTCATTATATGTATTATAAGGCTTTGAATCGATTTTCCCCTTAAACCTCTTACTTATTTCTTGGAGTTTTGGAGGAAGTTTCATTTTTTTCAATCCTTCCGAAACAATCTGTTTGTCTTGCTCAGATTCTGGGATCTTATATACCTTAACAAAATACACACCTCTGAACTTGTCAATTGGTTTGTCTTGAATGGCATCCACAAGCCATTGTTTGAACATTTTTCTGAATTTCGATCTTCCCACTGCAGTATCAAATGGGTTTCGTCTTTCCTGGAAGAATCGATTGTTTTTATACTGCCCTTTATACTGTAAAATGCCTTTCTCTATCTCGGAGTCATTCTGAATAGGAACAGCGGTATTGAAACTGGCAATGGCTACATTGGATTTCCTGGCACCTGAAATGAAATGATAATCAGGATAAAGGGTAACTTCAATGAATGGATCCTTATAGATTTTTGGCATAGTAAATTGCATCTTATTCTTGTAGAACCATTTATAGGCCATTGAATCTATTCCTTTGATTTCTGATGCATCTTTAGGGATGGTGTTTTCATGATACCTTGGTTTGGTATATTTTTTATAGTATTCGCTTGGTGATTTATATTTCAGGGGTACGAACTTATTTTCTGTTTTTGTGACATCTATTTGTTTGGCTTTCACTTCAGAGATGATTCTCTCAGGGTGTCGTATTCTGGAGGCATCTTTAATAAACTTACTCATTTGCAAAGAAGCGAGATTGAGGAAGTGCGAGTATATGTATATATATTACAGGGGTTGCCAAAGACTGACTGAGTTATCAGCTGTAGCAAGGGTGAAAAGTTTTGGATTGAAGGATACAATCCTTGGGACACCTTGGTTTGATTGTATAGTCTTTAATGGTAAAAGTTTCTTTGGATTGTCAGATTCTTTAACAATTTCTGATCCATTAGTTAGCTTCAAATTAGTTAAATCGAAGATCAGGAGTGATGAATTTGATGATCCCACAAGGACATACTTCCCATCAGTGGTGAAACAAGAAGATCCGTAATTAGGATAGTTGGATCTGATTTCATTTGTTCTGGAACCTGTTGTCAAGATTGTGATAAGTTGACCTGAAAATGCATCTATTATATAATGTTCGTTACCATCTGTCGATATCAATATCAACTTCCCGGTGTTTGAAAACTCAACTTTATTCCATTTGAACGACTTGGTGCTTATTTTAGTTGTCATAAAAGGTTTCAATAATGATTTTGCATCGTAAAATTCCAATTCTCCTTCTACATATTCATTCTTATCACCAGATACATTTGGAATTTTAGCTACAACAATGACTATACCATGAGGATCGTATGCCACATAAGAACTCTGTCCAACATCAATGTTACCCGTACAAGATGGGGTCTTAGTATCCCATAATTTCACTGTTCCATCAGTACTTGAAGTCAAGAAGAAATCATGTACGGGATCAACCTCTAAAGACAAGACCTGATCACTATGTCCTCTGAAATATCGTATGTACTTTTTATCCGCTAACGATAAGTATCGTATAGCATTGAGATCTTTATCAGATTCATCGATTTTACCATTTGCACCGTCAGTGCCCGGTACACTTGAAGGTGTAGATACATAAAGGCAGTCAAGATCCTTATGAGTGAATCTAGCTAAATGAGCCCCATATTTTTGTGATTGAATGTCTTTATAGTGAGTACCTTTGTGAACATCATATAACTGTATTGATTTATCTATTCCTGCCGATATTAAATATTGCCCTGAATCATCAAAGTCAAGTGATGTTATACTACCTCCCTTATGGTAGTTGAAAGTCTTCGAAGGTTTTATCTTCGTTAACTTCTCTGTTATAGTAACAGTCGAAGACTCTTTACTCATAATGAAAACCTTGAGATTTATCCGCACTGTTATCGTCACACCAAAATCTCAGTTAGGGGAAACACAGTAATTCGAATAAATTATGGAACCAAAACCTCCGTTCAAAGTTAAAGCCATTTATGATTACAAATCAGACCATGATGAAGATTTGTCATTTACGATAGGACAAATCATCACTGTTCTGGAAATTGAAGATGATGATTGGTTTACAGGTAGTTATGATGGTTTATCAGGTATGTTTCCCAAGAATTTCGTTCAAATTGTTCCAAAAAGAGAAGTCCCTCAACCTCCTGTTGCTCCTATTCCTGTAGATGCAGAATCTGAAGGAGAGGAAGAATCAGATGAACAACCAATTGAACAATCCATAAACAAGGCTGAGGCAACCCCAGTTCAACCCATTGATCTGGAAGAACCTGCAGTTGAAGAGGGAAAGGATTCAACGGAAACAGCCAAAGATGTACCTGAACCCACTCAAGAGCCAATTGAACCAAAAATCGAACCAAAGATCAAACCAATGGGTGTTTTCCCCAATCAGAAAAGAGAAGATCCCTATGCGATCAAGAAGCAATTCATTGCATCGGCCAAGTCATCATATGTCCCCCAATATAAACCCAGGGATGATTCGTTTTTGATCGGAGGACACCATGACAATAAACCACCTCCAGCTGATATTGTCAAGTCAACACAAGTTGAAGATGTTAATGAAGAACCAGAAGAGAAAATGAGTTTGCAAGAACGTATTAAATTATTGCAACAACGTCAAAAAGAAGAGGCAGAAAGAGAATCTGCTGCTATAAAAAGACAAGAATTGAGAAAGCAGAAAGCTGCTGAGGAAAGGGAAAGATTAAAGAAGGAAAGAGAAGAAGCTGCTGCCGCTGCCCCAGAAGAACACCCTGGTTTAGACGAAGACACCCCAATTGAACAGGAAGTTGAAGTTGAGCGTAGAAAATCACTCTCCAGAACCAACACCGGTAGATCCTTAGAATCCAGTCATACCGGAACATCCAGAAAGTCTATTGATCATGGTGAGATCGAAGACCCATTAGGTGAAACGAAAGAAGAAGAGGAAGAGGAAGTTGATGAAGGGGAAGATGATGAAGATTTGAAAAGACAAAAATTGGTTGAAAGAATGGCCAAGATATCTGGGGGTAGAAATATGTTTGGTATGATGGGAATGTCTCCTTTTGGGGCTCCTAAACCTAAAGCTAAAGAGCCTGAACCTGAACCTGAAGTTGAGGAAGAAGAAAAGGAAGAGGAAAGAGCTGCACCTATCCCGATTATGCCTTTTGCTGACCCTGCCGCTTTAGAAAAATTGAAAAAGAAAGCTGAGCCTGAACCTGAACCTGAGTCTGAATCTGAATCTGAGGCAGAGGAAGAAAAGGTAGGTAACAAAACCATTGATCCTATTGAACCTCCTGTCTTCGAAGAAGAAAAAGATGATGAACCATCCTTAGGTGAAGACGATCAACCTGAACCTAAAGAGATCAAACCACTAGGCTTGAGTTCCAAGGAACCTGATATTCAAACTGATAGCGGATTCGAAAGCGAACATGAAAAGTTACCCATCAAAACTGTAAAATTGGAAAATGAACCTACAGGTTACGAAGCTGATGAGGATGTATCAGATAAAAAGTCGTCTCCAGAACCAATGATTGCAACTTCTACCAAGAATGATGATATTCCTGATATTACACCACCATTGGGTTGTCAAATGCCAAGGAACCCACAAGTTCCTCAGGTACCTCCTGTTCCTCTGGCTCCAATTCCACCAGTTGCCGATAGAGCCCCACCGGTCCCTCCTGTATCCAAGAGTGAATTACCACCTATTCCTCCTGTTGCACAAGCACCCCCAGTTCCCCCTGTACCTACTGCTCCAATTACTCTGGCTCCATTAGAAGAAGATACAGAAGTATCCGAACCAGAAGTGATCAATGAAAGTGATTTAGAAGACGAGTTCGAATTTGGGGCTCCTCAAAGATCCAAAACTTTACCTCCTAACATGCCTCCACCGATTCCATCAACCTCCACTAGTCAACCACCGAACGTGCCAGCTCCAAATTCTGCACCACCAGTCCCACCAACACCTTCAGTACCAGTTCCAGGGATCCAGAGAGCTTCCACGGATGCTTCTCGTTTAACCCACACTAATACTGGATCATCAATGGGATCTTTCAAACGTACATCTACTGATTTATCCAGAGGAACTCAGGCGGAAATTTGCTTTGACAATTTGCAAAATGAATTGTTGAACCTAGAAAATTCAAACTGGTGGTTGAAAGACTTATTACCTGAATTCTTGACCATTAAAATTGGTAGTGAGTTGATTTTCGAGGTAGATTCCAATCAAATAACCAAAAGAGGTAATAGAACTAAGGTATACAAAGATTATTACATCTTGTTCTATGATTTGAGTCAAATTGTATTCGAATTGGAATATGAACTTCAAGATCCTAGAACAACCGTCAAATTCACCAATTTAGATCAAAAACCCATTCCCTTAGTAAGAAAGGATTTATTAGATAAATATTACCATACTTACAGTAATGAGATATTGAAAATTGTTGGTGGATTAGGAAATATCAATAACAATTCTTTGGTTAGTGTGGTAACTTCAAAACTAGGAGGCTCCTTACCTCCAATTGGTAGTAAATCTTTTGGAGTTCCAATCTATAAGAATGTCAATAATCACAACGTTTCAAAAACCGACGATATTAGACCTGGTGACATATTATGCATCAAGAATGGGAAATTTCAAATACATAAAGGCTTGGGATCGAAGACTTTGATAGTTGGAGATGAAGAAATATATCTGTCGATTATTGGAGAATTTGATCCAAAGAAAGAAAAATTCAAAGTGTTTGAGTCAGTCAATGGAAACATAAAGCAAACAAGCTATAAAACAAGTGAAATGAAGAGTGGGCAAATCAGAGTTTTCCGTATTGTAGGAAGAGATTACGTAGATTGGTAAATGTACTGTCTTTTGATATAAGTGGCTATTGCCACTCACTCTGACTATAATACCTCTTTGCCTCTAATCAAAGATTCCCGTTTTTCCACGGTATTACGTTCACAAATTGGTGTGACACCATGCACGTTATGAAATGAAATATAAAACTATACACCAGACACAAAAGTATATTAGACCAAAATAAGGAAACAAACTAGTAAATAATGGAAAATAAGAGACTCCATTAAGAGTACCAGTTTAAAAAGGATAATCAATGACTTGTGTTCATGAATAATGTTCATTTCTGATTGCGACCAAACAATATGATAATGGAATCTCTAGTTGAACTTAGTGATTTTAGGATTTAGGAATGGAAGGAAAGTGTGGTTGGAGCAATATTAAGTGGAGGATGTGAATGAAAGAATCTTAGGAATCAAAAGTAACTTGAGTAGGAATCGTTGGACTAGAACTTATTCAAAAAAGGTGAAAGCGAAAAAAAACAGATAACCAATAATTTTAGAAAATTTACCAGATATTTCATATATTCTCGAAAGCAGATGAAAGGGTAAATCTTCCAAAATTTACTAATATCGTTTCTCTTTACTTACTTTGGTCTAATAATCTTTTATGTCTTTTGTGATGGAAATTTTTTGTGAACCCTTAGAAAAAATGACTTCGCGCTGGTTTTTATATGTTTAAGTGTCCTGATTATGTAAGCAAATTATTTTCTAGACCAGAAGAAAAAATGTCTGGGGTGACAGGGAGGCTCTGTTCTTGGTGTACGGTGGTCTTAGGGGTCTTAATTTCATCGCGCATGAAATTAACACAACCTTGCTAAAGTTTCAATTGCAATTGAATAACCACCATGTCAATTAACCAATTAGAAGCAGACTATGTATTTGTCTATGGTGACAAGAAATCCAATGAATTAACTTCATTGATTGAATTGTTACATGACAAAGGATTTTACACTCAAATTAGAGATAATGATGAGAATTCGTTGTTAGTATTCTTGAAAATTGCTAGTTATAGATATAGTGAATTGGCTGAAAAAGATTTGATTAAGAACTATGAATTTGGAGTTGTTTCATCAATTGATAATCAAGCTGATAAGTTGAGAATTATCAATGAATATTTAACCGGTTCCACTATTGATGATTTAAATTTGAATAAATTCAAACATGTTAAAGATTTGACTCCAATTACACCTATCATCAAATTTTCAACTATTTATCAAGATGTGTCTAAACATTTGTTGAACTTCCAAAACCCTTCATCAAATTTCATCAAAGAGAATTTCGGTATTCATATTGCTATTTATTTCGAATTTTTGAAATATTTACTTGTGTGGTTATTCTTTTTATCGATCTTTGGATTAATTAGTTACTTCAAATCCAAACATGTATTCTCATTAACTTATTGCTTTGTCAATTTGATTTGGGGGGTTTTATTCATCAGTTTTTGGAAAAAAAGAGAAAAATACTTGATCAATTACTGGGGTAATGCTAATTATCATTACATTCAAGATCATAAATTGAAATTAGTCAATATCAACGAATACTTTGAAACCAAATCTTCTTATAAACATAACTCCAATTATGAAGGGTATAAGTTTTTGAAACAATTGATTTTCGTTCCTATCAGTTTAATTTTCATGGCTGTTTTAGTTTGTTATCAATTATGTTGTTTTGCATTAGAAATCTTCATAAATGAAATTTATGATGGTCCAGGAAAATCCTTCGTTTCTTTAGTTCCGACTGTTTTAATTTCAGTTTTCGTACCAATCTTTTCAATGGTTTACAATGCTGTGGTTAATGTTGTTATCAAATTAGAAAATCATAATAACTCCTACACAGAAAGTAACTCAATTTTGATTAAACAATTCATTTTGAACTTTTTAACAAGTTATATGCCCTTATTGATAACTTCTTTCATTTACTTACCATTTGCTCATTTAATCAAACCAAATTTAACTATGATCAGATCATCAATCGAATCGAATTTGAACTCCGATTCTATCTATTATAAATACTTGACCCATTTGAAGAACCAAAGTGAATTCAATATGAATCAAGATAGATTAAACTTACAATTCAACTATTTCATCGTTACTAATCAAGTAGTACAATTGGTCATGAAATATGTTTTACCTCACATTATCAGTTTCGTTATGTCATTTGTCTCACCAAAAACCTATAAACCTAAAGATAACGAAGAAGAAGCAAAATGGTTGGACAATGTCCGTAAATACGTTTCATTACCATATTATAATGTTAATGATGATTTTAGATTTATCGTTGTTAATTTTGGTTATCTTGTATTATTTGGACCTGTTTGGTCTTTAGCTCCATTAATTACCATGATTTTCTTCATTATAACTATCAAATTGGATTATTTCAAATTATTGAATGGTAAATATTTCAAACCTCCAGTTCCTGAAAGAGTGGATTCTATCTACCCATGGAATTACGGTTTATTCATCTTGTCCTGGATAGGTTCAATTGTTGCTCCCGCAATTACTACCTTTTATAGACACGGAAATTTACCTCCTAAATCAATGGGTCAATTTACCTTGGATAAAGCTAGTATCAATGTCAAAACCTCCAACTTAATTTTCATTTTATTGATTTCTGAACATGTGTTCTTGATCATTTGGTTTGTCCTCAATAAAATCTTTAGTTTATTCAAATCCGATATCGAATGGGAAAATGATTTCTCCGATAATGATATCAAGTTGAGACACGATTATTATTCAGGTAAAGTCAAAGGTTCATTCCCAGTTATAGGTGATGGTGAATGGGAAGGTTTCCAAGCTAAAGATTCAATCACTCAAGCTACTTCAATCATTGAAGGTGGAGCCCCAGTTGTTACCTCATCTGTTCCAGTGGGTAAATCTTCAGGTATCGATACCAGAGATTATCAAGAGTTAAAGAATGTCAAAGACAAATCTGATGATATCATCAAAGTACCAAGTCAAGAAGGTGGCTCAGAATTTGCAACCATTGATAACGTTCAACATATTGATCCAAAAGGAGATTTCAACGAAGTTGAAAATAGATATCAACAAGATTTCGAAGCCAAAAACAACTTACCACAAGCCGAAGATATCGTACAAGGAAATAATGGTGAAGAGGAAGAGGAAGAAGAAATCGAAGACATCGAAGATAACGATTCAACACCTTCATCAGGTTCGAAACCAAAAAAGAGAAGTCCTTTAAAGAAATTATTGAAGAGAAATAAGTAGTTAACGTTCTATTTCATTATTCCTGTTTCTAATAATCAATTTTTTGGTGGTCTTGAACCAAAAATTGAACTACCAACTCTTACACTTGAACTTCCCTTTTTGATAGCGTCTTCGAAATCATTGGACATACCCATACTGGTTTGTAAGTCAAGACTATATTTTTCATTCAACTCATTCTTCAAATTAACTAATCTGGTGAAATCTTCATTCTCATCTTTGAAACTCTCTCCAATAGATCCTATAGTCATTAAACCCTGGAAATTTAAATGTGAGCATTCTTCACTTAACAAGAATTCAACTGATTCGTAGATCAATGATCTTTCACTTTCGACAATTGAATAACCTGATTTTTGAGGTTCATCGGATGTGTTGATTTGTAAGTAAACGTTAATAACATCTCCATCGATCTCCTTACGTAATGAATTCAATTTCTTACATTTTTTCAATGAATCAATTGTCTCCACAGCATATAAATTAGAAATCTGTTTAGCTAAGATTTTACATTTATCAGTTTGTAAAGTACCAATGAAATGCCATTTTATGTCTTTAGGTAATTCTTGGGATTTGGTAACTAATTCTTGAACGTAATTTTCACCAAAATGTCTTACTCCTTCATTATATAATCCCATAATATCACTTGATGGTTTCAATTTTGATACTGCAACTAAGTTAACTTTATGTTGAACATATTTCTTAGCTGTTTCAGAAACAACCTTAGCTATACTTTCATAATTGGATAAAAGTTCTTTTTGTCTGGCAATTGAAGGTAAAGCTGACATGTCTCAAATGTACTCGATAATGATTTAACACCAAAATCCCAAAATCTGTGCGAAACTTATTCTCATCGTTCATTGTTGAAAAAACTTCAAAATGACTGAAAACATTTACCAAGGAGAAGATTTCGAAGAAAAAGTCAAAAGACAAGTTGAATTCTATTTTTCAGATAGTAATTTACAAACTGATAGATTTTTATGGAAAATCTATGAATCAAATGATGGTTGGGTTGAATTAAAAACCATCTTAACTTTTGGTAGAATGAGACAATATAGACCAGAAGAAAAAGTTATTGAAGCTTTAAAATCTAGTGACAAATTAAAATTATCCGCCAATAACGAAATGGTCAGCAGAAATGATCCAGTTAAAGACTTCAACGAATTGAAGAATCAAAGAAAGAGAAATACTGTTCATATTGAAGGATTTCCAAAAGATTTAACTCAAGAAGATTTAGAAGAATTTTTCAACAAGAAAATTTCTCCTTCCTTACCTGAAAGTAAAGAAATTGGTTCTATACGTAGAATCAGAAACAGAAAAACCAAAGAATTTTTCGGAGTTGTTGATGTTGAATTCAAATCATCCGCTGATTCAGAATATTTCTTAAACGAATTGGAAGTCTCATATCCAATCGGTTTAATTAATGATGAAAACAGAGAATCTGTCGACAAAAAGGATATCTTAAATAAGATGTCACTCTTAACTTTCCAAGAAATGAAAGAAAATGGTAAGAGATTTGGAGTTAACGAAGTCACCAAGAGAAAGAACAGTTTCAACAGTAAGAATGATGTTAAAGTTTTCCGTAAAAATCAAAAGAAAAATGATGAATCAAAGAAGGAATCAGGATCAGAAGAAATCAAAGAAGAATCTGAAGCTCAAGAAGACAAAACAGAAGAACCTTCTGAAGACAAAGAATAAATCACTGAATAATGAGAAACTTAAGAACTTATTTGGGTTGATTTTCAACAGAACTTATCTGCTGCCCTTCTAAATTCCCTTATGTATAATAGTTACATTCTTGTAAGTAGTGCATGTATCAAATTTTGCAACCTCTACGCGTACGCGATATATTTCTCATTTACTTTAATACTTACTCAATGGATTCAAAAGATATTATTGCAGCTTTTGGGCCATCCGAGTCATTAAATGATGAAGTTATTGAGAAGATTAATACATTGAAGCAGATATTTCAACTTTCTACGGACGATATTTTTGTTCGTTGGGAAACTTATAATGTTAATGAAGTTCAAAATGATCTTGATTTAAACACTGTTAATTTGGAAGGGTTCCAACAATACTTACAAAGAGAATTATCAAACCAAACTAGGGCTACTCCGTCTATCAAGAAGGCAAAAGATTTCGGTTCAATCAAGAGGAAACCTCTTTTACCAATCAATTCATCTAGTCCTATCGAGACCCCAAATAAATTCAGAAAATTAGGCGAAACTCCTTTCAAGACTCCAAATACTCATTTAAAGTTAGATTCTTCACCTGGAGATAATTTCCACACTGCCAATAACACTTTCCAGAGATCTCCAGTCAATAATTTATCCAGCTCACCTACAAAACCAGATTCAAATTCAGTTATCGAAACCTTGAATGCTCATATTGACGAAATTTCTAATGATTATGAAACTGATTTCAAATTCAAAATTGCTACCAATTTTGATGCTGCCAAATATAAATTCCGTACCATGTCAATGAAATTACTTGAAAGTGCTGATGTTTTGGATGAACAAATTGATACTATGGCTTCTTTATACCAGGAAGTTCATAAAGACACTCAATTTGGAAATCCTTGTTTATCATCTCAATTTCAAATTACATGTTGTGGAAGAATTGTTCCTGATTCTGCCTTGTATGACAAATTGTTCAATCAAGATTTGAATGCTACTTCTTTATATTTGGAGACTTCAAGATTATCGGGTATTGGTCAAAGAGTACCTTTGGACTTGACAAATGTCAAAGAATATAGTTTGTTTCCTGGTCAAATCGTATGTTTAGAAGGAAAGAATCCTACCGGTCGTGGTTTCATTGTGGATAAGATTTTGGAATTACCTGAACTTGGTGCACCAGTTACTCCAATTGAAGAAATAAAAGAAATAAGTGAAGGGTTCAAAGGTACTGATGGTTTGAAATTTGTCATTGCATGTGGTCCGTTCTCCAATTCAAGTAATTTGAACTACAATAAGTTCGAACAATTCATCAATAGAATTAACAATGAAATCAAACCAGATTTGGTGATTTTATGTGGTCCTTTCGTTGACTTAAACAATAAATCCGTGGTTGATGGAGAAATCGAATTACCTCAAGAAAAAGTTCAACCAGTTAATTTGGACGAAGTTTTTAAGAAGACAATTACGCCTATATTGAAAAAATTGAACCCTAAGATTCAAGCCATTTTAATACCTTCTTTGAGGGATGCCACCGTAAAACATTGTTCCTATCCTCAAGACTCATTCGATAGAAAAGCACTTGGTTTACCAAAAAACGTCAAGGTCTTCCCCAATCCAAATGGGTTCTCTATCAATGAAATAGTCTTCGGATGTTCGAATTTGGATGTTTTTAAGGATTTGAAAGACGTTTCCAAGATCGATTCTTCAAGTAAAATTTTATCTAATAGATTCGAAAGAATAATAAATCATATTTTCGACCAAAGACGGTATTATCCAATATTTCCTGGTTCCGTTATAAGGAGACCATGTAACGATAAGAAGGTGGTAGAATCATTGGATGGTATAATGGCTGAAGAACTTTCTGAAACCAAGATCGGTGGATCATCATTGGAAGTCAGTTATATGGGATTGGCCGAATTGGGTGATTCCTTACCTGATGTGCTCATATCACCATCAGAGTTGAAGTATTTTGCAAAAGTAGTTAAAAATGTCATAGTAATCAATCCAGGTTCATTCATCAGACCTTATAAAGATGATACTAAACAAGAAGGTACTTATGTTGTGATGAATACCAGGGTCCCAGACTTAGAAGATTCAGATAACGTTGAGGCCATTAATGATGATCTGAACTTGTACTATCATAATGTATTCAAACGTTCCAGAATAGATATTTATAAGAGTTAATAGTAATGTATTTTTAATGCGCGTTGGTGAGAAGAGATATTATATATGGTATTTAGGAGGTTAGGTTTCAAGAGTTTCTCTACTTCTTCTATAATATATTCTTCAATAGTGCTACGAGACTATCAGCAAAAAGCAATAGATTCACTTTTGGATGCGTTTAAAAGAAACGTGAAACGACCAGCATTTGTTTTAGCTACTGGAGGTGGTAAAACGGTGGTGTTCTCAAGTTTGATACCCCAGATCCCCAAATCTGATCCTGATAGAGGTGATAAGGTACTTGTATTGGCACATACTGAGGAATTGATCAAGCAGGCAAGTACTACCATCAAAAGGTTGAATCCAAAGTTGAAGGTGGAGGTTGATATGAGATCTTCCAAGCCATCACCAAAAGCTGATGTTATTGTGGGGTCAGTCCAGACCCTTGTAAGAGCTTCAAGGTTAGAACAGTATGATCCTGATGATTTCAAGGCTATCATTCTCGATGAATGTCATCACGCAACTGCTAACTCATGGTTAAAGATATTGAAATATTTTGATGCTGATCATGCAGACCTGAATATTTATGTTATAGGCTGTACCGCCACTATGGAAAGAAGTGATAACCAGTCTTTGGGGAAAGTTTTTGACGAAATAGTCTTCGAAAGGGGCCTCTTAACTATGATCGAAAATAAGGAGCTTGTTGACGTTAAGTTCACTAGTTTGAAAGCTGATTTAGATTTATCTAAGGTAACGAGTTACAAAAATGACTATGCCATTTCAAGTTTATCTAAAGCAGTGAATGACTCGAATGCAAACTTGGTGGTGGTGGCAGCTTACAAGAGGTTGAGAGAACAAAACGACTTTAAATCAACAATTATGTTTTGTGTTGATATAAATCATTGTAAAACTTTATGTGGGATATTACAAAGGGAGGGAATCAATGCTCAATATGTCACTGGAGAAACTGTTAAGCACCTAAGGTCACAAATTATTGAAGACTTCAAGAACGGTATAGTCGATGTGCTCTGTAACGTTCAAGTTTTCACTGAAGGAACAGATATGCCAAATATTGATTCTATATTCTTGGTTCGACCCACAAAATCAAGGCCCCTTTTGGTTCAAATGATAGGTAGGGGTTTGAGATTAAACAAAGGGAAGTCGGTTTGTCATGTAGCTGATATTGCTGGTACTAGAGGTACAGGTATACAATCAGTTCCAACACTCTTTTCTTTACCGTCGGACTTTCCTATAGAAGGTAAGAGTTATAAGCAGATTGAGGAAGAAAAGCAAAAATATCTTGAGGATAAAAAACAAGAATCAATCAACAAAGAGCTTCAAAGAAGATTAGAAGAAGAATTAAGTCATGAAAAACTAGCAAAATTTGAACAAGACCTTGTGCTTAACTTCACCACCATTGATGGATTCAATGCCCTCGAAGCTAAGGATATTGAGGATTTCAAAGATTCAACCAACATACATAAAGCATTAGATGAAAGTTCTCTCACTTGGGTCAGACTAGAATACGACGTGTGGGCTGTCCAGGTTGATGAGAGATTTTTCCTTTTGAAAAGAGTTGACTATCATATGAAGAATCTCTTTGAACTTTCAGCCAGTGGTTTCATACCAGGTTATGTTAAGCTCATGGCTAATTTCAAAGTTTCAAGAACTACAAAGGAAGAATTCATTATGTCAGACTACAATCTTACTTCAGTCATCAGGAAGGCTGAAAAGCTAATCCAGGATATAGGGCCCCCTAGATTTGGGTATCATGATAAGAAATCAATAACTGAAAAGCAAATTCTGTACTTGGATAGCAAGATGACCAGTGTGATTAAAAAGTATTACGATGTAACTCCAGAATTGGAACAACAATTTCTAGAAAGTCTCAAGACATTCACGCGGGCTAGAGCTACGCACATGATATTCGCTTTGAAGTACTCAGTCAATTCATTGCATCTTAAATGGGAACTACAGAAAATGTTAGGTCCTAACAAAAAAGTCACAAAGACTATAAAAAAAATCGTGAGTAGAGAGACCAAAGATAAAGATTTCCTAAAAAACGATTTGAATAACAGTCACACGGCCGTTTTTTAACTGTAAATATAGCATTGAAGTTTCATATTCTCTAACTTCTTCAGTCTAACTTCTTCAACTTTTGGGTTTTAATACACGCAAGAAAATCGCACTACAAAAAAAAACACCAATGAAGATTATTAATAGCCTTTTGGCATGGAGTATTTTACTCTTAACGGTGTTATCGCAAGTTGTAGATACTGAAGATGCCGAAAGAATAATATCGGAATCGGGTCATACTAATAATTGGGCAGTTTTAGTTTCGACATCAAGATTTTGGTTCAATTATAGACACATTGCCAATGTGCTCAGTCTTTACAGAACAGTCAAAAGAATGGGTATACCTGATTCCCAAATTATATTGATGTTACCAGATGATATTGCTTGTAATCCTAGAAACGCTGCTCCAGGTACAGTTTTCAATAATATGAATCAAGCCATCGATTTGTACGGAGATCTGATTGAGGTAGATTATAGAGGGTATGAAGTGACAGTGGAGAATTTTATAAGATTATTGACTGATAGGTGGGATGAAGATCATCCAAGAAGTAAAAGATTATTAACAGATGAGAATTCCAACATCTTCATATATATGACAGGTCATGGAGGAAATGAATTTTTGAAATTTCAAGATGCTGAAGAAATAGGGTCTTATGATATTGCTGATGCTTTTGCTCAAATGCATGAAATGAAACGTTATAATGAAATCTTTTTCATGATAGATACTTGCCAAGCTAATACCATGTATCAAAGATTTTATTCTCCAAACATTTTGGCGGTTGGATCATCAGAACTTGATCAATCATCATATTCTCATCATTCAGATTTAGAGATTGGAGTAGCTGTCATTGATAGATTCACCTATTACACATTGGATTTCTTGGAAAATGTAGAACCTAATTCAACCACCACCATCGATAAATTATTCGAAGTTTACACTTTCGATAATATCCACTCTACTCCAGGTTTTAGAACTGATTTATTCCAAAGGGATATTTCAACCGTCAAATTAACAGATTTTTTCGGTAACATTCAAAATTTGATTGTTGATGAAATCGAAGACGATATTCTTTACGTTGCCAATCATGATGAGAGTGGAAGACTCTTAGAACAGGTCGAAAACAAGACCAATAATGTTGCGAAAGTCTCCAAGATTGATTTTGAAAGTTATACCAAAGAAAATCAAGTCAATTTGGTCAAATTGAGTCCTGAACAAACCAAACTTATTGGTTTCATATCATTTATAGCAATCACTGGGTTATGGATCGTAGCAAAATAAAATAAAAATTTATCGCTATTTATTCTCTATTTTTTGCAGCTATTATTACTTTGTAGAAATCACGAATCTTTCAAATCTGGAAGAGAAAATTGATATTGGAAAAAAAAAAAACAACTTCATAATATTCATGGTATATTATATGCCGTGATGTGGAACTGTTTCGACGTTATTTGAGCTGAAATACTCATATTCAAGGGTGTGTATTGTATTTAGTTCGATTTAACTCATAATGCATGATTCTCACATTACATTACCTCAATTTTCAGTACTCTCTAATTGCTCAAGACCACCAAATGTTGGTTTCAAAAGCTCATATGACCCAAACACGTCCTCATAAACTTCTTCCTCCAATCATATTACCAATAAGCATCGTTATAAATTCTGAGGTTGGGAGCCTCCGCGATCTGATTTGTTTTGATTCTTCGCGATACACAAAAAACAGCTTCACCTAACATGGACCTGCAATCAAGACAAAGTCCACCAGAAATATCTGGTGAGGAGGCATATGCAACCATATCATCATCAAACATACCTACAAGAACCAAAACGCTGTTGATAAGGTCGTTGAGATCTCAATTTAAAAGGGGTACCGTAGATTTCAATCACGTAAACAAATATCTCGATACATTATTGATTGCCCTTGACATAGATGAAATAAAGGATGAGAGTTACAACATGTTCCACCCATTGTTGAAGAGAATCGCCACTCAACGAGGTGATGAATACTTAAGAAACTATGGTCCTTTGATCATTCCTCATTTGATTGAAAGATTAAGTACGCATACTCAAGAGACAAAATCTGCATTGGAAACCTTCTATTTAGTGAATGGCTGTCATTTTGAGGAATCATTCAACAAATTTGCATTATCCCATAAGAATCCCAAGATCGTAATCGAAGCCATTGACTTTTTAGAGCACCTTTGTACTATCAAGAAGCAGTTCACAATTACCCCATTCATCCCATCAATAGTAAGTGCTTTGAATACGAACAATAATGATTCAAAGAAAGAAGTCGTTGAAGGTATAATATCTTTTTTATCCATCTATTATGGATTACAGATTCATAGATTCGATAAGAATGAGTTAACAAAAGAAATGTCAAAACAGTCAATTGATGGTTATTTAAAAGAAAAAGTCATGTCTTCTATTAACTCGACAAATATGGAAAACACTAAATCCAATCCTCAAGTGTCTAGATTCAGTAATCGTTCCCAAGCTTCCGTCACCTATCCACCTATAGTTGATATCATCAATAAACCCGAAAAGGTAGAATTAAAAGTTCCTGTGAATAATACCATGAGTGATCCAGAAATATCCATTCATAACGATTCTGAAGATGAATTGAAATCCATCACAAGCAGTTTAGTCAAATACGACTTCAACGACTCATTGTATCAAGCTAGAAATATCATAAGCGAAGAAGATTTGCGCCATAGAATCAACAGATTATTACCTGCATTTACAAATAAAGAAACTGAACAAAATTGGATGTTAAGAGAGAAGGCGATGATAGCTCTCCGTGAATTTATTAGAGGTAATGCTATTACTGAATTCCTTGACGACTTTAAGGAAAGTATCAGGGAAATGAGTGAAGGTATTAACAAGTCAATTTTGTCGTTAAGAACTACATTGTCAGCCCATGGATGTCAATTCATCAAAGAATTAGCTATACTTTTGAAAAGTTCGTTTGATTCATTGGCTGAATTATTTTTCCCAGCTTTGTTCAAACTTTGTAATGCTACCAAAAATCTTGCATCATTGAATGCTCACACAGCTATATCAGCAATCTTTATAAACTGTCCTTTCTCCTCAAGGTATATGAATAAAATTTATAATTCATCTAGTGATAAGAACACCAAGTTGAGATCCTACAGTGGTACATGGTTACAAATTATGTTGATCAATCATCATACAATGTTTCGCTCACCATCACATTCTCAGCAACAACCTGAATTGTCTCATATTGAAGTAACGGTCAGAATGTTGATAAGATTATTATCAGATCCTAATCCTGGGGTCAGACAGTGTTCAAAAGATGCTTTCTGGACTTTAGGAAAATACTTTCCCAAAGAAAAAGAACACCTCATATCCAAGCTTGAACCTAATGTTGTGAAGGCAATTCAAAGATTCCAACCGAAACCTTTTGTTCCTACGCATAGAAAATCAGCATCATACGCAAGTGATTCATTTACTCATAGGAGTGTTACTTCAACTAATAACCATGATCATCCCAATTCACACCAGCCCACAAACACCCATACTGCTCCAACCAATAGACCAAGGGTGTCTATAATGGAAGGCATTAGGGCCCAAAATAAGGATTTAAAAGAAAGACAACGAGAATCAAGACCATTTTCGAGAACCCAATCCCTCAAAGAGAGAGAGAAATCTCCAGCAAGAATTTCTAGAGCCAATTCACATACCAGGAAGGCGCCTGTAGAGAAGATGAGAACTAATTTAGAAAAACCTAAACTTAGTAGAGAGCCGTGGAAACCAACCGTTGCTACGGCACCTATCCAAAGAACCTCGTCAGCCATGAGTGACAAGGAATCTGAACCCAAATCTCGTGGCAGCTATTCAATTAAACTGTCAGAAGAAATTCCAGACGACTTCGATTCTCAATCTGATCCCATTTATCACTGCTTGTCATCGAAAAAACCAGATCTCATTCAAGAGGGGATCAGTTTGTTGATATACGCAATTCAAGCCAATGAGGTATTCAATGTTGAGATCAACACTTCATTAACGGAGATTTCCTATTCCAATGTTGAATTATTGGGGCCTTTGTTCAAGGAAATAAAATTAAGAAAACTCAAGCAGTTCTTCCATATCGATGATTTTTTCAGAACTTTCACCTTGCTTGTTAAACCCATAACGTCAGAAATTGTGAAAGATTTCAGTGATATTGTTGGAATTAATGACATGTTCAAACCTATGAATAAATTGTTAAAGAAGTGCGTCGACATCAATGGCTCAAGCAGTTCGAATCCTTTGTTGACGAATCAGTTAATCAAATACAAGTCGACTATCATTTTACTGATCATTGAATTTATCAATTCTAGTATCAACAAGATCCCAATGAAGGATAATGATTACTCATTGATGATCATTAATTTGTTCAGTTTGGTAGAATTGATCAAATCAACACCTCTTTATGAACAATATTCTAATTTATTGGTTGAATTATACAACATGAACAATGGGTTATTTTCCAAAGAGTTGAGTATAATGAGCTCAAGTATCAGACAAGAAATAGGAATTATTGTAGATTTTGACGGTTTAACAGATTTCAACAACACATTGACTCGAGAATTGAATGGGAATCTTGATTTGACGAAAGTTATCATTCCAAACATTTCTAACATCAATACTTCACCCGTCAAAGGTATGGTGAACGACTTAACCATGATCATTCCTGTGAATGGTGGAGAATCTTTCAAATCTATAAAAATGAATAGTATCAAAGAAGATGATATGGAGATAGATTCTAGCAATAACTACGGGAAAATATTGGAGTCTAGTTCACAAGAAATTAAACAGTTGAAACCTTCACCAGAGTTAATCGAGAGTTCTGTATTCAATGATTCACAATCCACGAATAAATCAGAATTGGTTGATGATTTCAGACAAGTTACCATAACTGACAAACATAATTTCATCAAAGATCCTTTACAATTAATGGTAGATAAAGTTGATCCGTTGAAATCCCTTTCGGATAAAAACAAACCCATTGATATTTATGAGGATGATACGAATTACAGAGGCTCCCCCAAGAAATATGACACGAAATACGACCATACTGAATTGAACTGGTTCAATTTTCAATTGGTCAATTTGAAAGTTGATGATAGTGAATTTTCTAAGAGAGATTTCGATTATTACTGTAAGATTCTCAGTGATAATACAATTGGAAGTAATGACTACTACAAGCTATTGAATGTATTACAAAGTAGTCTGCAATTTGACATGGACTTCACTAATTATTTCTATGGTGAGGGGTTGAGTAAGATTGAGAATGGATTATGGAGCTTCTTCAATAAGAATTTATCTGTCAACTACAATCTGTCAAACACATTGAAAGGGTTGATAATATTGAAACAACTCTTAATCAACAAAGTTCAATTAGACCATGACAAGATTTTCCAATTGTTGAACCATTTGTGTGAGTTCAAAAGTCACAATATTGTAAGCGAATTAGACCACGCCCTTAAAGAAATCTTCGAGGAAATGATAAGTACAGGCAAATTTAATTCCAATAGCATAGAAAAAGATAGCAAATTATTAGATGTAATTTTACATGAAATCAAGAAACTTGAGGATAATGATGACGATACCAAATGGGAAAAGCTATTCTTCAACCTCGATTGCTTAGAAAAAATCATCAGTGGAGAACTCATCAATGATGAAGTGATGAATAATATTGATGACCAAATTTTCAAATATATTAATAATGATAAACTTGAAATCAGAAGATTAGTTATTCTCATCTATGGGAAAATGACTAAATATTGTAAACAAGATATAGGAAAAATCACTTTGAAACTAACACCTTCCCAAAGGAAGTTAGTGGATTACTATAGTGAATTATAATGCATATTTCATAATCAAATTCTAAGCCCTCTGAAATGGTTGCAAAATAACTTATAAAGTTGCGCCGCACTAATTTTGAAAATATATTAAATTCTTATAAATAAAACAGACAGGAGAAATAAAATAAAATACAAGATTTTTACATGCAAAGAAGAAATGACGATTAATCTTTCTTCGAATGAGGTTCCAAAGCTTTTGTAACGGAATCTTTCAAATCACGAGGCTTCTTTGATTTTGGTTTACTTACACGTTTACCTGAGATTTGTAAAGGGTCTGAGCTTGTGGAAGTTGAAGGACCCGCAGATGAAGTTGTAGTTGAAGGACCAGCAATGGTGCCAGATGGGGAAGCTAAAGGAGGAGGTTTAAACATTTGACGTTTCTTCATCATCATTGTAGCACTGATAGCTTGTTGACGTTGAGAAGGTCCTTGGAAATTTGGACTCATGATGTAAGGATAACCACCAAAACTAGTGGCGTACGGTGAAGATGTGGCAGCCATTGGACCATGTGAAGGAATGGTGATAGTTTGAGTTGTAGTTGGAGGACCTGTAACGGAAGGAATGTTTGATACTGAGGATGTCGATTGATGACTTGATTGATGTTGCGGTGGGGGAGCCGATATTTGAGGAGGTTGTGGGTAAGGTGGATAGAACGCATGAGGATTCATTACCTGATAAACAGGTTCATAATTCTCATTCATCACCATGACGGGTTGGTTTACCATAGATGGATCGTATGGCCAATATTCCTGAACGGGAGGAAGTTGTCCTTGATTTTGCCCTTGCGATGGTTGTCCTTGGGTAGCAGATTGGCTAGAACTTGGTTGAGTGACGGTTCGTTGAGTTGAAGATTCCTCTGAGGAAGACCCCACTTGTGTTGAACTCAGGGCATTCTGACCTTGATTTGCAGACTGGGAACTGGCTGTTTGATTTTGACCCTGAGTAGGATGGAATGGCTGGGTTGGTGTTGATGAAGGAAAGTGTTGATACTGACTCGGAGTAAAAGGATAGAAAGGTTGATTTGCGGATAATGGTTGCAACATCGGAAATGGTTGGCCGGTAGACAATGGTTGATCCATTCTAGGGAAACTTTGGTAACGACCGGATAATGGTGGGAAATTGTAATACTCATCAGGGTTTGACGATGTGGGGAATTTAGCTGAGAATGGGACGGGTAAAGGTGTCTTAAGTGGTAAAGTTTGTTCGATTAAAAATTCATCATTTACCACCACTTGATTGGTTGAATAAGGAGGATATTCTTCGAAAAATGGATGATTCGATATAGAAGGATCAATGGTTATATAATCGTTCGAATTCTCTTCAAAATAGTCCAACGGAAAGTCATCTTCATCTTCATCGGAATCGTTTTTGAATTTATCAGGAGTTTCTTGATTTAAAAATGCAAAATTATCATCAAGCTTGTTTAAATTGGTAGTTGTGTATTCCGGTGAAGAAGCAGGTTTTTCAAATTTAACTTTATCCTTCTTCTTGGGCTTGTCTTTTTTATCAGATTTTTTTGATTCGGTTTTATTAACCTTATCATCAGCATTGATGGTTTGTTCACTAGCTTCAGTTTGATCATGGGTTTGATCATCAGCATTGTTGCTACTCAAAGTTGTAGATGTTGTAGTGTTGGCATCATCAGTAGTGTCATTAGCTGACCCTCCAGGTTTGAGTAAACCTTGACCAACTAATTCATGATACAATAATTGCTCTTCGGAGAAATCAAAACTTACGGAAGGCTCTCTGTCAGGAATGGTAGTTGGTTGTTGACCTGATTTAGCTTTTTTGATGTCTCGTTCAAGAGCATCGGCCATCAATTTATCATGGGGGACATTGAACCAAAAGAATACTTTTTGTTTCTTTTGAGTTCTTAAACAACTGTTTTTATACAAAAAATTCAAGAATTCTGATTTAGGAGGTTCTAAAATAGCATCAGTACCACATTTCAAATTTCTTAAATCGGAAAAAATCCCTTCTTCGAACTTTTTCCGATCTAAAATCTTCCTACCAAAGTGTTGAAATTTATAAACGATACATCTAACAATATCAGTACCAGTGATAAAATAAAGGTTATTCCAAAAGATACAACTGACAAATCCTTCATCATGATTTAAGTAATATCTTCGTATAACTTGATTTTTCTGCCAATTAGCAGGAGCAGTATCTAAAAAAAATTTAAGATCTTCGATTAGTCGTAAACTCTCTTTTATATCATCAGTGATATTGATTGATGCTAATTTTGATTTTATGAGTTCAGTTTGATCATCAGACATTATATAATCATAGGAATTTAATTATAAAACAACTGTTTCAGATTTACTGAGAAATTATGATATGTAACAAAAAAAAAAAGGATTAACTCTGGGACAAATTCCTTTAATAAGTAAAAACGGAATTGCAAACTTTTTCGAAATGAAAGGATTGTTAAGTTCTTAAAAGTCAATCGATTTAAATGAATGTGATTCAGTAAGGATGGTTTTGAACTATTCAAACAATAGAAAAGTCTGAACTGATTTTTTTCAAAGAAAATAAATGGAAATGATAAAGGAATTGAAAGAATAAAGAATAATGAAAACAATTATTCCACTATTGGAAGTCAATTAATCAATCAATGGATATATGTAACAGTTAATGTTTCAAAGCTGAAGTTATCAACTAATTGAGACTTTTGTTGAAAAGAAAAAAATTGTCTCAAAAAATAATTCAAAAAATAAATCTGAAACTTCTAAATGAATGATATGAAAAGATCTAAATGAGCGACCAATGACGGAGAAAAAATGATATCAAACGATCTCTTAACGGGTAATTGATGATGAAATTATCTGTAAACGAAAATTAAACGAAAAAAGTTTTTCTCCTCTAAGGTACAGAAATTAAACTTTACTAGTTTTACGATTCTGAAGTTTCAGATATTTTAAAAAATTCACCGTTGAAACTAAGGGGTAAATCATCAGTATTTATAGTAGGGCAGAAATACCCATTTGTGTAAAAAAATATTAATTTGCAATTAGACGAATTACTTAAAATGGATAGCTCAAGTATGCTTAAATGAGTAACATAGTGTGAAAAATTTAATTTATTGTAATAATACCACGTCAGAAATATTATTCAGGGACGGTCAATTGTTTAAAGAAATGTTAGCTAATCTATAGCAATTGTTCTTTTTCATAATAATAACCAGATGTAAATATGGTAAGGCAATTTTTCTTAGATGAGCGTTTCAGATTTGAAGTTTCAGATTTCATTCTGAAACATGAGTTTTTTTACGAATGCCCGAAATTGACGCGGAGTAAACAAATCGTCAATTTTTCTAAAGGGTCTAGACTTTGAATTTTCCTACATATATCTGTTGGTAATTTTAAATCTTAAACTTAAGTGTTTTTAGTGCTTAATAGTAATTCTAATCTTCTCTTATCTTTAACTATATATGAGGCATTTCATCGTAGGAGGTAATAGACCCTTTGTTGAAAAGATTTTCCAGGGTAGTGCGACAACAATTGAACGGTACTCCATTGTTTAAATATTTTTTTCACTTGTTAAAAATTCTTTATCTAACGGTTATTCAGGTACCAGCATACTCGTGTAAAATAAGGAGGCAATTTGAAAATTCTTGTCGTAATTTTTCAGAATTTTCAAAGGGTCTAGAGCGTTAGGTATATATGAAAAAAAAAATTGATGTATATTAATCGTAAACTGTCCAATCTTTCCTATAAGAGAACCAATCAGTTGAAGAATTTGGAACTGATGAAGCTCCATTCAATTGATTAAAAGTGTCCATGTAGTGTTTAGATCTTCTTTTATTGTTGGGAACAGGATTATTATGATTAATGTTAAGCAGATTAATGGGTTGAGAATGTCCACCATGAGACCCTCTTCTGAAAGGTGGAACGTATTTCCCATTAGTATCGGATGCTGAAATTTCATTATTTAATGACATAGGTCTTGTCATTTCATGCATATGCTTAGGCTTATCAAAAGCTTTATGTGTGTCATTATTATCATGATGATTATGATTTTGAAGATTATTCTCAATTGGTAAAGGATTATCCAAAGAAAAATCATCGTCTTCCAATTGGAATACTTCGTAATCATTTAAGTGTAAATTATCCATTGCTTCATGTAAAGGTGTTACATTTGGCGATTTCGTATAATGAGGTGATCTCATAAATGGGGGGACATATTTCCCATTGCTAGAAACACTATGACCCAAAGAATTTGAAACGGAATTATTAGATTGATATGATGTACCTAATTGATTCCTATTCTTAGATTTCGACATCGAGAATGAATTCAGTTTCCTTCTTGGTTGTATAGGTGTATTGAAATTGGAAAATTCATTCTTCTTGTGATAAATTCTATCAGTTTGATTTCCGTTCTTCTTCTTATGACGGGTGTTTCTATAATTTTTTTTCCATGTTTTTGGCTGGTTATTATTTTTTTTCCAATCATTTGTTTTATTATTATTCTTTCTTGGTCTTTCATTCTTATCACTATATTTTGTCATATAATGATTAAATACTGATTTCGGAGTGAAAAAATCCTCTCTATTGAATTTGTTATTCTTATGAGATTGATAAGAATGATTTTGAGTAGGTTTTTGATAACTATTATAAGATGCCACACTGATGGGTTTCCTACTATTTCTGAAAAATTTAGATCTATAGTTATTAGTTCCATTGCTAATAGGAATAGGTTTCAAAGTGGTGGAGTTCGATAATAAAGCTTCAGCCCTTTCATTGAAAATCGGTGATGTCAATTCTTTAGGAGGCTCTAAGATTTTGTCTTTATTCAAAGTAGAATTAGACCTATCAGCATCTTCATCCATATAGAATGTCGAATCTCCTTCTTCATCATCGAGTTCATCAGTATTTTCATTATCGGGACTTTCGCTATTTTCATTATCAGCATCATTATCAACATCTTCAATTTCAACTATCGGAGTATGAAGTTCATCATGATGATCATAAACCTCATCGTCAGTATCAGAATACTCATCGCTAACCCAGTCTTCATCATCAATAGTGAAATAATTCAAAATGTCTAATTCATTTCTAACAAAAGATAACTCTCTATTATTGGGATCAATATTAAGACAATATCTTAAAACTGAGAATAAATCTCCTGTCATGGTTGAAAAAATATCAAATAAAGATTCCCTATTGGTTGCAAATTGAACAAACCGTTTATCAGAATAATTAGCTACTTCAAAAGGATTCTTATGGAAAATTATTGTCAATAAAATGATACCAATTGACCAAATATCAATTCTAGAAGCATCATATTGTTTCAAATTAGTATCAAATAATTCTGGTGCCATATATCTTTCTGAACCAACATCAAATTCACTTCTATCAGTGATTATCAAATTGGTAGTAGCTAAACCCCAATCACATAATTTAATTGTCCAATCATCACCAATTAAAATGTTTTCCGGTTTCAAATCTCGATGATAGACACCTTTAGAATGACAATATTCTATTGCATCTAAAATTTGATAAAATACATCTTTGATATCTTTAGGAGTTGTAGGACCTTGACCATTTTGAATAGCTTCATAAAGATCACCTCGACTACAATATTGTAAAATCAAATAAGAATCAAAATGATCGTGTAAAGCACTTACATTTTGGTGAGATCCCAAGATTTTATGAATAGATATCTCTTTAGCAGCTTCTTCATACAAAGATTTCAAGATGTCATGGGTATTTTGTCTTCCTTTATCTTCTTTCTTCTCATCATGACGCATTTTAGCTGGTGAAGAAGAAGGTCTTGAGCTGTCTTTCTTATAATCCAAGGGATAAATATACTTAACAGCCACTAAAGTGTTTAATTTAGTATCTTTGGCTACAGATACCAATCCATAGGATCCTTCACTTAAATCTGCAACCTTTAAATATCTATCTTTAAGTAATTGTCCATTACTATATTTCTTATATTGATCCATGATTGATATTTAACATAAAGATTTAATGATAAACCTTTCTTGAGGAGGATTTTTTAGATCTTAAGATCAGGTTTATAATGTAAGGGAAATCCTAGGACTCAAAGAAGATATAAATTGAGATACAATGTAATTTTTCCACCTTAATTGATTAGGAATTTAACCAGGGTCCTAGCTTTTGGGAATCACTTAATCGATGATTTTTAACTCTCAACATTTGGGGGATGTCGCTTTGTGATGACCGCGACATCGCGACAATTTGCCCTTTTCCGCATTGTATCAAAAGTATTTAAAAGATCAGTGGTATTGTTAAGTAAAGTCAAAAGATATTTTGTTGTATAATTAATATAGTAGAGTCATTGTAAGCATATAATTAAAATTGAACCATGGACGAATTGATAGTATCTTTCCTCGATTTCACAGGTACTCTGGATGAAACTGTAGCTAAGCAATATTTAGATCTCACAGGTAATAATTTAGAATATGCCGTTCAATTATTTATGGAGAATGGTGGACCCGTAGGAGGCGATAGTGGAAGCAATGATGCTGAATTGGCAGAAAGATTGCAACAAGAAGCATATGGAAATGATGAGGTGAGGGAAGCTGATAGCAATATTCATAGACATGAAACTTTAGTGGATTCATTTGATTTTGTACCCCCATCAAGACCAACTGATATATTTGGTAGTGGAAGGATCGGGATTTTCAATCAAAGATTTGACGATGAAGCCAATGAATATTTCGAAAATAGAAGTGAAGATGAAGATGATTCTGATGAATCGGATGAAATTATAGAATTAGATAGTGATGGTGAAGTTATAGAAAGACCTCGTAGACCGGGAAGTAGAAGAAGAAGGGTAAGACAAGAGAGAATAAATGAATTGAACAGCACACAAAGAAGATTAGCCAATTTGTTCCGACCACCTTTTGATATAATGCAGAAAGTAGATATTGATGGTGCTAAAACTTTAGGTAGATCAGAGAAGAAATGGATCTTGGTGAATATTCAAGATGCAACAGAATTTGTTTGTCAAGTATTGAATAGAGATTTTTGGAGTAATGATGACGTTAAGCGTAAGGTGAAGGAAAATTTTATCTTCTTACAATATCAACATGATTCGCCAAATGGGGAAAGATATAAAAACTTTTATACTTTGGAAAAATATCCTCATATTCTGATTTTAGATCCTTTAACTGGAGAAAGGGTTTACAAATTTACCGAAGGTGAAGTTCCCAACGTTGAAGAGTGGTTGGAAGAAGTCGATGAATTCTTAAACAAGTTTTCAATCTTTGGTGCTAACAATCCAACTATTCATCACGAAAAGAAGTTCAATCCGGAAGAATTGACCGAAGAACAACAAATTGAGTATGCTATGAAACAATCCATGGGTAATTCTAATTCAGAATCTCAACCACCACCTGAAGTTGAAGAAGAACAGGGTGATGTTTTCGATAGAATTGAAGCTAAGGATCACGAGGTTGATGATTCAGAACCCACCACTAGACTTCAAATCAGATTCCCTAATGGTAAGAGATTGGTTCACAAATTCAAATTATCTGATACAATAGAAACTATTTATAGCTGGCTTAAATTCGCTCAAGAAGATTATGCTAGATTTAATTTATCTAACGCAAGTGATAAGTCATTTAAGATGATTGATTCATTACAAATGACTCTAGAAGAGAGTAAATTGAAGAATGCTTCAATATTATTAGAGAGTGAGTAGTTTATTATACATTTCTCATTAACCGGTAACAAATAAAGTGATTCTAACTATTGGCAAAACTTTCTATTGGCGGTATCGTTGGTAATTCCATCACTTCAGTGGAGAGTAATTCATTGTATTGATTCTGGAACTCTCCATCGACATCTTCAACAGGTTTTAACTCACCTCTCATCATTTTCAAATCATTATTCGTTTCAATTTCACTTAAACTTTCAAGTTGGGAGAGTTTGTTATCACCTAATCTGGAAATTATGTTCCTTCTGATGTTTGTTAACTCATAAATATTATAATTAGGATTGTCATGTTTCAAATCATTGATTGAAAGCAAAGATTTATGATAATGGTCCCAATCTTGCTCATAATCTTTAGTGATATCTTCACGATGATAGCTTTTATTCAAATCATGCAATTCTTTCAAACTCTCTTCAATCAATCTTTCCTTCTCCGCCATTAACTTCTCCCTATACTGTAACCATATAATATTTTTATTCTTCTCCAAGTTCTTGTGGACGAGACTTTTTTGATATTGACTTTCATTAAACACCATGTCGATTTCCTGATTAGAATTCTCCAATGATGGCTTGAAGAAGTTATCAAACTCTAATTTATTAGATTCATTCAAAATGTTATCGAAAGTTTTAGGGTTTGATATGTTGGTAATTATTTCGTTAATTTCTTGTTCATACAGCAGATAGTCTTTGATACCACCACCATTAAGGAGAAGTTCCAGATTGGATTTCATGGAATCAATAGCTTCATTCTCGAATTTAAAAACCTTCTCCCACTGATTATCATTTTGTTGTAACTCTTTGATGGAACTATCAATATTTTTCATCATAGCATTCACCTTATTGACTCTTTTCTCGAGATAATTTCTAACTAATTCCCTAAATTCTTGCTGGATCTGATTCTCCATTTGTCTTAGATGTTCAGGGTCATTAGCTGTTATACTCTTTAGTTGGTCGACTTTGAATGTCATGTTGCAAAAAGAAAAATGTGCGGAAGATCTAGAGTGCGAAAAAGGGAAATGGTCTCATTAACCATATAATCTTCACCACACAGTGGTTGTTGAAAAAAAAAATCTATTCCTCTATTCAATATTAGAATAAATACTAGCACTGAAGTCATCTAAACTATCCAAATTATTCAATTCATTAATATATTGATTTCCTGATAATTCTTCGAAATTTTCAAAGTTATTATTTGAAAGGAGTTCACATTGAACGGATAATTGAGCTAATAAATTGGCTAATTTAGTATTAGAATCATTCAAATTGTTGAATAAATTGGTAACTAAAGTATCAATATTAGTTAATACCAAAACATTCAAGTTCTCTAAGAAATAATCATTATTGAGAATCAAAGTAGTTTCATTGATCAACTTAACAAATGATTGATTGAAGTTATTGATCAAATTGGGTTGAATGTTTAATAATGTTAAATTCAAATTATCATTATTTGGAAATATGGCATTTATAAGTAATAATTTATCATCATTAATTTCATTAATACAATCACTTAAAAGATATTTGAATTCATCAATGGTTAATTCGTTTCTGGCATTAAGTAATTTGAATTTTTCATCAACTATAGCTTCAATTTTCAAATTAATTGACTCCCATCCTTTATTCAATAACCACCATGAAAGACTGAGATAACTTTGTTCGATGAAGTATTCTTCTTCTGTTAATTCATGTTGACTAGTACTATTATTGGTCATCTGTATAGCACTTTGTAAATAAGATTTTCGAGCTAAAATATTCAATTGTAATCTTGTTAACAATAATAATGAACTTATACAATAATTCAACGTTAAGAAACGAGTTAAAGTCTTAACTTTTAATAACTTCCATAATTCAGATTTGGATTTGTTTAAATATAAGTTTAATTCATTATCATTAGTTGAATGTAAGATCAAATTGTCAGTAGTTAACATTGAATCACTGATTTCTTTGTTATTTTGATTGGATTTTTTCAATTTTAAAGCTTTGGTGATTAATTCAATGGGTGAATTGCTTATGATAGGATCAATCAACACGGGTAATAATGATAATAATGTATAATAACAATCATTTTGAGTCTGAATGAATCTTCGCTTTATTTGTTCTTTAATGAATAAATCTTGAGTCAAGGAATTTTGAAAGTTCCGGAATTTTCTGATGATAAAATAATTTACTAGGTAGTAGACGGATACCCCTACGGTTGACGTGATGAAGATCTTCCTTTTATGTTTGTTAAAGAACGAACTTAAGGATGAAAATATGGCCATGGTTGATTGATGACTGCGCGCTGTCACATGAATGTGAGATTGAGATAAGATAGTGAGAGTGGAGGAGGAGATGAAGTCTTGTTGGTTATTCCAATGGTTTCACGGATCGATTTGATATGATACCAGGATCGTAGATTCTGCATCATGAAATCGATCGCTACCAATGACAAATGTGTGTTCATGAATTGAGTTTTTGTGCCGATACTCCTTGTAATGAGGGTCGCCATAATATGGGGTATAAGGTCAAATAACAATATGTCCAACACTTCTCACCCATCTGACAAACGCTGAACCCTATGATTTGAATGCCCCTATGATAGTCTCCGATCCCGCCAATGAGCCGACTTCTCGACCATGTGTATATCTCCTAATTGGTGATAATTAATTCCCAATCGGGAGTTTCCGAACCACCTGCTCACAACTAATTCCCGTTCCTTATTCATGTTTCCTTCATCATTCCCTGACTACCATGAACCCCTATTAATTTCAAAAATGTGCACAATTCTGTCAACATTAATTCAGGGTGAACCCTGAAAACTCAGCTCACTGCTTATCATAAACTCTCACATCCCACTTGACCTAGTTTACATTGCCGGATAGCAAAATCTCCCATCCAATCGTAAATAAGATTTGGTTATTGTATTAGGATATGTTATTACCGTTCGAATAAATGGCTTAACTAATAATAAAACGGTTATGTCGTATGTCTAGTGACACATTTTAAGTCTATTGTCAAATTTCAAAGAAATCGACCAACTATTGATTCAATTCTTAACTATCAATTACTCTACAAGATTAATGATCAATATGTCCACATAACAAGATCTATCAACCTTATTTAGGTCTCCTAGCGAGCTCCCCTGACACCCCTATTCAATTAAAGTTATGTCTCACACATGGAGTAGTGCATCGGGCAATTGTAGATGTCAAAGTCAAATATGTCAAAAATTTCAACCACGTTTATTTGAAACTTTCCTAACCACTAAACTGACTTTACGAAAGTTACAATGAATATAAAAGATGAAGAATCCCGCTGAACTTTATTACAATTACAACAATCAAAAAAGATGCAAATTCTTTCTTTATTAACTTTAGCTACTACTGTTTTATCAAAAAATATTGTCTTAACCAACGATGATGGTTGGGCTGCTACTCCAATTAGAGCTTTATACAGAGATTTAACCGATGCTGGTCACAATGTCTTAATGGTTGCTCCAGTTACTCAAAGATCTGGTTGGTCAGGTAGATTCCAATATTCTTATTCCAAAGAATTATTAGAAGATGGTCAATTCAACTATAGAAACAAAGGTGAACCAGCTTGGGGTTACGAAGAAGATGATAACAAAATCTGGTACATGAACGGTACTCCAGCTGGTTGTGTTGGTTTCGCTTTAGATGTTGTTATTCCAAAATACTTCCCAGAATTAAACAACTCAATTGATTTAGTTGTTGGTGGTGTTAACGAAGGTGTTAACAATTCTCCTCAAACTTTCACTGTTTCTGGTACCATTGGTGCTACTTACGAAGCCGTTTATAGAGGTCTTCCAGCCATTGCTTTCTCAGGTTCAAACAGTAACAATTCATTCTTCAAAGATGACTTAAACGATGATCCATTAAACCCTTTCAACATTTATGCTAAAAAATCCGTTCAATTAATTGAAGAAATCTTTACCAAACAAGGTGATAACGATAGAGCTTTACCATTAGGTGTTGGTTTAAACGTCAATTTCCCTAAAGCTGGTTATGATGATGAAACTTGTACTAACCCTGTTTACACTAAATCTAGAATTGCCGGTACCGATTCTGGTGCTTATACTATTTACTTAAATGAAACTACTGGTTTATTACAAGATGGTCCTAATGATCTTACCCAAGCTTTAGGTGTTTGTTATAATGGTCCATGTAACTATCCATCAGAAACTGAAGTTGTCGGTGGTAAAGTTGGTCACTGTAAATCTTCAATTTCAACTTTCTCAATTGATTATGATGCTAACTCTCAATTACAAGCTGAAGTTGATTCTTTAATTGGTGGTGTTTTCAACCTTTAGATTAGGCTATGAATGCCCTTCACTTCTTCTAAAAATGTTTCCGTATTTCGAATAGATATTGTTTTGTTATCTCGCACGCTCTTTTTTTTTGCAGCCAAACCAGAAAAGCCAAACCAGATGCTCAACTACAGAGCTAAGCCAAAGAGCTGAACTAAAGAGGCTAGATATTCTCTATTACTTTTATTAGACATATATACATTAAACCCTTTTGATTACCCTAATACAAATATTTAAATTTAGGATTCAAATCACCTTCGAATAATTGTTCCAATTCGGATAATTGATTGAATTCATTTATGAAATTATCGGTCTTTTTGATCTTATTTAATCTTACAATGGCAAATAAGTAAGTAAAAGCCATAAGAATAGCAAAACAACATGATGCTATACAAACAGATAAACCAGGTCTGAAAATTGGAGCATCTTTTGAAAGGAAGATGAAGGTGGAAATAATACCACCAATGTTACCAAAACCAATTTGGACAGAAGTACCTAAGGATTTTCTAGCATGACCAGCAAAATTTATAGAATTCCAACAAACTAATAATGGCATACCAGAATATAAACCTGAAGCAGTTAAGAAACAACCTCCAAATCTGACACTTGAATTTGTTGAACCTAAAATCATAGCTAAACCAACAATAGCCAAGAGTAAACAGAAAATGACGAATGGGAATCTTCTTCTGTAATGATCAGATAAAACAGCTAAAGAAACTGAAATAACGAAAGCTGCACACCAAGGAGCAACAGAAAGTTGATTAGCCCTTTCACCAGTATAACCCATGGTTTGAATAATAGTAGGAGCGAAATAAGCGTAACCATAACTTGGAATAATAAAACCAAAGTAAGTTAAAGCTGGTAACCAGATAAGGTAATCCTTTAAACCTTTCAAGAAAGTTTTAACAGGAACTTTTTCTTCATAACCAGATTTAGCACCAGAGAAAGTTTCTAATTTGAATTTCAAGAATTGTCTTTCGGCAGCATTTAAAAATTTGGATTTTTCAGGGAAATTTGGAATGATGAAGAAAAGGATGAAACCTAAACCAACGGTGGCAGCACCTTCAATGATGAAAATATATCTCCATGAAGATAATCCATGAGCACCATCTAAATCAGCAATTTTATAAGCAATAGCACCGGAAGCACCACCAGCTAAACAAGTTGATGAAAAAAAGATGGAAAATCTCTTTTGTGCTTGTTTACCAGTATAATAAGTCGATAAGATATAAAAGATAGCAGGGAAAGTACCAGCTTCAGTCATACCAATCAAAAATCTACAAGCCAATAATTGACCGTAAGTATTAACAAAACCCATACCAATTGAAATAGCACCAAAGGATACAATACAAATTGATAATAAGACATGAGGACCAACAATTTTAATCAAATAATTAGCAAATAATTCAAAGAAAATGTATGGAACATAAAAAATAGTCAAAGCAACATTATATTGATCACCAGTTAATCCAAGATCAGTTACAAGACTATAAACTTTGGCATTACCAATATTAACTCTATCCAAGAAGGATAAGAAATATAATAAACAGAATGGTGGGACGACACAAAGATCGATTTTCCATTGTAATTTTCTTTCATTAATATTTAATTCTTCAGCAAGTTGACTACATTTAGCATCTTTTTCAGCTTCTGTTAATTCAAGAATGGAACTTTTTTCAACTTGATTTTCTGAATCCTGTTGAGATTCATTTAAACTTGGAGAATTTTCTTTACTCATTATGTGAACTAAAGAAAGATTTGTTTATATAATCCAAGAGACGTTCTAAATTTAAAGAATAATGGGAATTTAAATATTTTATATTGACTCATTCCTGAATCGCACAAACGAATGTCCGCTCCGCTGATTTTTCTTTGTGGAGTACCCAATGATAACTCCTTGATACGAGAGTGGGGACATGTAATCAATACAGTTACTTAAAAAGGATAAAAGGTTGGATGATACATTTAGGTTCGTGTCAATAGATCATAGGTTATAACATTTCAAGGTTAATAGGTTGTATCTATTGTTTATTATCAATCTTGTAAAAGGAATTAAATTTCAGGAGTTTTTGGGCAAATTACCGAAGAGTCATCGCACCGGACTTTTGACAGAACCATCGTCTTTTTTTGACGGATCGCCTTGGCGGAAGGTGATCGGATGATTTGTCAGATGACATGGGAACGATATTTTGGTCAAGATGAGGTTTGGCGAAAGAGTTCCTCGTTAATATGGGTTTTAATTTTCGGATATCGCCTAAAAGCCTGAGTTCGTATCGTAACACCGATCCGCTCAGGAGACGTGCTCTTGGTCATTTTCTTATTCCGCTTTCAAAGTCGGGATGTTAACATTGACGTAGAAGTGCAGGAGGTAACTGTGGGAACTTTTCTTTGGTCCACGGCAATGCTTGAGATAATAGAAAGTGATTTTCGGAAAAATCAATTACCAAGTTGAAATCTCTGGAATGATAATTCTGTAACACACAGCTGTTTGGCATTGATGATATATATGATGATTCATATGATAGTCATGAGATTAAACTCTACAGATCTTCATTTCCCATATAGCTGATTCACCTCCTAATTTCTTATATTATTGTTTCACCTTCATCTTCCTTCATCTTATCTTATCTATTACCCGGACAAAATCACACAGAAATGAAAATCTGGAGAAATCCTTCAATCTGTCAAAAATTGATTTTCAATACCCTATGAGGTTTAACATATTCAGCAAACCCAACAATAATCTGAATTTGACCTTACCCCCACTACTTTGGCAATTTAGGGTTTTTCTTGTCATGACGTCTCACCCACCTTGCCCGCTAAGATCCTAAAGTTCCAACAATTGCTAGTGCGAAACCATGAACCTTGATGTTGAAAGAAACGGGTCTTCAACTTCGTTGGTAAACCGAACCAGGTCTCGATCCAACTCAATGATGAAATACGATGAGTCCGGGAGACCTACCGGTCATTCCGATACTAGCAATGGAAGCGTTGGAGATCATGGTAAAAGCCTTGATAAAGGCTTGAAGTCCGTGAAACATACTTTTGATATAGTTAAGGACAAAATCACTGATAAGCATCACCTCCACCCAAACAATATCGTTGATAAGCAAAATCTTAACACATCACAGGAGAAACTTGACGTTGAGATCAAATCCATCAAGTCCAAAGAAGAACCAGGTATTTTATCATCATTATTGAATATAGCCCATAGTTCCATCATAAAGACCGATAAACCAGAGAAATCAGACGTTTCAACGTCTGCTAGATCGGAAACTGACAATTCCACCTTCAGCAAGAATTTGGACGAATTGATCAAAAGTGACGGAGTGTCACCTAATCAAGAATTATCTCCTAAAAAGTCCACTTCGTCTAATAATGATTTGAATTCCCTAACCAAATCAATTCATTTTGCGAGTGTAAGAGAGAGTCCTGTGAATGATATGGGAGATGGTGACTTAAGACTTGACGACTTCTCCAATTATCATGAACGTCATGAAGATTTGTATCCTAAAAAGAGTGCTATTACCAGTGATCAAGAAAGCACAACCTCAAGTACATCTATCAAATTTGCATCCAAGAAACGTAATAAGGAATTCCATCAAATATTTAAGAAGATTCCTAAGGATGAATTTTTAATCGATGACTTTTCATGTGCATTATCAAAGGATATTTTAGTTCAAGGGAGAATGTACCTTTCTCAGAACTTCATCTGCTTCAAATCTAATATTTTAGGTTGGGTTACCAATCTATTGATACCCTTACAAGAGGTTGTTCAAATAGAAAAACGGTCAACAGCGGTCTTATTCCCAAATGGGATGATTATTAGAACCTTATACCAGAAATACACCTTCGCCACATTTATTTCCCGTGATACCACTTTCAAATTATTAACAAAGGTTTGGCATAAGGTTTTGATGGATAATGATCAAAGTATAGCATTTGAAGAAGATGATGATGAAGAAGAAGAGGAAGAGGAAGAGGAAGAAGAAGACGATGAAAAAGAATACTCTGATATTGATTCAGAAACTGGAGCGGATTTAAATGATGAAGTAAATGCATTTGATGATGACCAAGTTGGGGAGGTCGAACTGATTGAATCTGAAGATGCTGGTCCATCTAAAGTTGAATCTAATACCGGGAAACGGTCTAGATCAGCTACAGAAAGTAAATCATTCAACGGATTACCGATAATTGGACCATCAACTCATGAAGCCACAAGTTTGGATTATGAGAAATCTAGTAATGAGGTTCTCATCATTGAGGATGAATTCAAGGCTCCTGTTGGAGTGGTGTTCAATCTTTTGTTTGGTAAAGATAGCTCATATTATATCAAGATTTTGAAAAACCAAAAGAATATCCAAATTGAAGAAAATAATATCACAGGCATTTCCAATAATGCTAAAGAGAGAAATTATAAGTATGTGAAACCTTTGACAGGATCTATCGGTCCTAAACAAACTTCTTGTGTGATAAATGATAAAGTAATAGAATTTGATCTTAATAAGAAGGTTCTCGTGGAACAAACAACAGGTACTCCTGATGTACCTAGTGGGAATGCATTTAAAATCCGAACTAAAATGTTTTTATATTGGGGAGCGAATAATTCCACCAAATTCTATGTTTTGACCCAAATTGAATGGTCAGGGAAATCTTGGATCAAGGGACCAATTGAGAAAGGAAGTATCGAAGGACAAAAAGAATCCATGAAGATTTTGGTTGATTCCATAAACGAATTTCTCAAGTCTGACAATAAGAAAAAGAAGAAAAGAAGTCCAACCATCAAAAAATCAGACGATGAATCCAAACCAGAACCTGAAGTTGAAGCTCCAAAACCTTTGAGTTTCATGGATAGATTGAACGAATTGATGAGCTCCATTGGTTCTTTTGTTCCTTTACCTATTGGTGATGCAATCATGGGATATATAGTGAGTTTCATTGGCTTGATAATACTTTTTAATGTCTATAATATGATTTTCCACCATGGGAAACAACCTAATATCAAGATGTCCAGTAATTCCATCAGTATCGATGACAATAAGTTCTTATTGATTCCAAGCATTGAAAACAACTTCAATAAAAATAATCTCATGAACAGTGAAATCAATTTATGGGATTGGATCGAAGATAAGTCTAATCATAAACTATCTATCAATAATGAGGATATTCTCAAAACCTATAACCATCAAGAATTAAAAGAAGTAATAAAATTAGCAAAATTGAAAATCGATAAATTATCCGATAAGCTTGAGTAGATAAGGATAACCTCTTCAACATATATAGTAATTAATACATGGAAAAATGCATTGGTTATGTAACTATTAATAGACCGAAAAGACGTGCGAAATCCTATACATGTTGTAAAGCCGATGGTCGATGACGTAAAGACACTAAATGGCCAAGTACACGACCGATGAATAATGAATAAATGATGTTTTTCAAAAATTTATTTTCAAGGATTGGATATATAGATAGAATTTAACAAAAACATAGGATAGAAAGGAACTGGGTATAATACAGGTAATTTCAAACACAGAGATATTAATAATAGAATAGATTCGAAGTTCAAATACACGTTATAGTAAGACAAGACACAAGAAACAGAGGATACATAAGAAAAAACATAGATGTTCAAATCAATATCGCCAGAAGTTAAGGATATAAAAGAAATAAGACCCATGGATCCCATAACCATCGACCCTTTGATGGAACCACGGATGGAACCCAGAATGGAACCTTTAATGGAACCATTAATGGAACCAATGATTGAACCAATGGAACCACCACTCCCTTCAATCAATCAAAGCTTAAAAGCTAAAAGTTTGGAGGACATAAAGAATCAATGTTCTGAATTAATAAGTGAATTGGATAGTGACGACAACCCCGAAGCTATCGTCAAGAAACATATTGGAAAATTAAAGAAATATAACGAACTTAGAGATATTGCATTAGGTTTAGTAACTATGATAGCTGATCAAAGGAAATTAAGAACCACCGACATTCTAGAAGAAATGAAAGTTGAATTAGGTGATGATAATTGATTAGTGCTGGCACAAAACATCTGTAAATATGTGATATCAATGTAAAAACATAATAGGATTGCTCTGGTATATCTATTCGAAGCAACACGGTAAAGTGGGCCTATAGAAGCCAATGCGCAAAATAGGCAGTACTTGCCTATACACATTGCGTTACTAGATGTATACCCTATGAGAAAAAACCGCCTGCAGGCACAATTGCAGTTACCGATTTCCTATACAGTCTCACAACAGTCCAAAAAGTATGTTAGATGGACTGGTTATAATCCATTGGTCCAGATTTTCAGTTGTTTCCTTTAATGTCCTTTTCACATGGATTTCCGTAAAACTTATAATTTTTATGTTTCACTCTATGAAGTTTTTGACTGCACCACAACACATCTATACACTCTAAACTCCATCCCGTATATGGCTTCCAAATAACTCTTGGATCTGACCATAATCGAAGTATCACCACCTATTCGCGAACCTGAAATCAGTGAGAAAATTTTTACACAAGGGTTCAATCATTAGTTTTATTTCTTCTTATATATTAGTTTAGTTTATTTTCAATCAATCTACCAATTGGCCAATCACCATGAAGTTGTTTTTTTATTTTTTATTATTACTTGGGGTTTGGGCAAGTGATTCAAATAGAGATTTGAATCATTATGAGAAAGGTAAGGCTCACGAGGATTATTTAAGTCCATTAAACTTACGATCTATAAGTGATTATTCGCTATCGGATAACCTTCTTATAAGCGATATAGATGGAAATTTGCATAGTATAGACAGGCATTCTGGAAGTTTAATTTGGACGCTAAATAGCGATCCTTTAGTAACTATAGTGAATAACTCCAGTGAAAATTCCAACGTCGTTTGGTTTGTTGAACCTTATGAAGATGGTTCATTGTATTATTTCACCAACGAATATGGTTTGAATAAACTTCCTACTTCCATCAAAGAGTTGGTGCTACAAAGTCCATTTTCTTTAGATGGAGATAATAACATTTACACCGGAACCCGAAAAACCCAACTTTTCACCATTGATATTAACACCGGGGAGATCTTGAAGTCTTTTGGTGGTGACAAATGTTTGAATTTCGATAACAATGGCGATAAGAAAGATCAGATCATGATAGGTAAGACTACCTATGAATTAACCATCCATTCCAAAATCAATTCCAATATAATATGGTATGTTACTTATAGCCAGTGGGGGCCTAATAATATTGATAACGATTTAATAATTCAGAACAAGAAATCAATAGATGAATTGTATTTCACTCCATTTCATGATAAATCACTTCTAGGAATAAATCAAAACCTAGGAACTCCTGTTTGGATAACAAAATTACCATCTTTGGCTATTAACGTGTTTGATATCTTTAGTGATTCGGAGAGAACTTCCCAACATTTGATACCCCATCCTTTGAAAGTGTTAAACGACCTTCAAATGACAGAAGATAGTCAAAATCTTTGTTTCATCAACCATACCAATAATCAATGGTATGCTATGAGTTTCAACAACTATCCTACATTGATTAAGTCCGCTCCTATTTCCGAATACCAGAAGGCTGTCTATGACTTTGAATTCACTCAAAACCCTTCGGCATTAGCTGAATTGGAAAAGAAAGGTATTGATTACATAAGCGGGATTCATAAATATCATAGTCTTGGACCTGAAACCAACTATCATCCTGTTTCGAAATTTAGACCTCAAGAAATCGATCAAGGTATTGAAGAACATTCGGGCAATTATGATCTTATAATCCCTGATCAAACAGTACCTAACATCATTCAAGGTATCAAGTTCGGTACTTCTGACAATCAATTGATACCAACATCACCTCAAGAAGCAGACAAAATGTTTGAAACTTATCTTCCTGATATTTACCCCAAACGAGAAATCACCACATTTTCAGTGGTGAAGAGAATATGTGAAGATATGATAGTGTTGTTATTCTTATTGGCATTATTTGTGTCAATATCTAAATTTGGCGCATTCACCAGACAATTTAGAAGGAAAGAAGAAAGAGTTGAAGAAGGGGAAGAAAAGAAGAAAGTGAGTTTCGATGTTAAAATCACTGATAAGAATGACACTAAGAACGAGGAGAAAATTGAAGATGGCGAGGATGTTGAAGACAAAGAAGAAAAAGAAAAGAAAAAGAGGAAAAGAGGAGCTAGAGGTGGTAAAAGATCCAAAAGAAAACCAACACCCTCAAGTGACGGCGAGGAAGAAGAAGAAGAAACTATTATTCCTACAACTTCTTTGGTCAAGCAAATTGTAGGAAAGCAACAGATCAAGAAACTTCAAATAGAGAATAATCTTGTGATCTCGAATAAAATCCTAGGCTATGGATCTCATGGTACTGTGGTTTATCAAGGAACGTTTGAAAACCGTCCAGTAGCTGTCAAGAGAATGTTACTTGATTTTTATGATGTTGCTAACCATGAAGTGTCTTTATTACAACAATCTGATGACCATCCAAATGTTGTGAGATATTTCTGTTCCCAAACTTCAATGTCAGAGAAATTTCTTTACATAGCCTTGGAGTTATGTCAAGGATCTCTTGAGGATTTGATTGAAAAACAATTAAAGATTTCTCAAAAGATTGAAGCTAATGACTTACTTTACCAATTAACTCATGGATTACATTATTTGCATAATTTGAAGATTGTTCACAGAGACTTGAAACCTCAAAACATTCTTATTGGTGATAATTTGAAAGAAATTCGATTATTGATCAGTGATTTTGGATTATGTAAAAAATTAGATAATGATCAAAGTTCATTCCGAGCCACTCATCAGAATGAAGCTAGTGGAACCAGTGGTTGGAGAGCTCCTGAATTGTTATTGAATAATGATATTTCAGAGATTTCTCCTTCAGCCATTGCTTCCAGTAAACGTTTAACCAAAGCCATTGATATTTTCTCCTTAGGTTGTATATTCTTTTACATTCTTACAGGAGGTTATCATCCATTTGGTGATAGATATTTAAGAGAAGGACACATCATAAAAGGAGACTTTGATTTAAGTTTATTGAATAAATTACCTGATAAATACGAACTGAAGGATTTGATTAGTCAGATGATAAATTTTAATCCTTCTTTAAGACCTAATACTTTCGCCATTTTGAAACATCCATTATTCTGGTCAAAGGGAAAGAAGTTAGAGTTCTTATTGAAGGTTAGTGATAGATTTGAAATTGAAAGAAGAGATCCACCAAGTGAACTTTTATTGAGATTAGAAGCTGTGGCTAAAAACGTCACTAAAAACTGGCATGACAAGTTCGATGAAGAGTTCTTATCAAATCTCGGGAAATATAGAAAATACCAATCCGATAAATTGATGGATTTACTTCGTGCTTTAAGAAATAAGTATCATCATTTCAATGATATGCCTACGGAATTACAATTGAAAATGAGTCCATTACCTAATGGGTTTTACGATTATTTCAATAAGAAATTCCCAAATTTGTTGATGGAAGTTTATTATGTGGTGGAAGAATTGAAAGGTGAACATATTTTTGAAGAGTATTATTAACGATTAATGATTAATGAATATGCATAGAAATACCCTTTATTCTCTATTTACCCTATTATTTACTGATGGAAGTACCATGATTGTCTAATTTTATCAGGAGAGCGTCATGATTGTCCAAGTTTGACTAATTATCAAACTTCTTATGAGTGCCTTGAAAGTTAGATTTACTGATAGCCGTTTCATCATCTTTAACACCTAAAGTCTTGGTTAAGAAATCTCTAGTAGATTTCTTCATCTCTTCATCTTTAGACTCCTTATTGGCCATTTCAGCTATCAAATCTTTATGTCTCTTATTATAAGTTTTAACTCTTTCTAATTCTTTCATAATGGGGTGATCAGTTAAATCAGTACCTGTACTTTTCAAATAAGCATATATTATAGATACCAATACATATGAATAATTGTTATAAACTTCTATACGTTCAATTGGATTTTCAATAGGTGCTATGACTTCTTGTAAAGATTGAGTTATTATGGGTTGTAACTTTGTTTCCAAGTCATCTATGGAACCATCTAATGATTGAAGGAACTGTTGAACCTTTTCTATACTTTCCATTATTATATAATTTTTTTTGAGATGCTCATCGAATTTCTCACAGTTCAAATCAGGTGTTTGCTTTCAGTGGGTTGAAGGACAATTTGATATTTGGGGGTTAATTTGTTATATAAATCATGGTAAGAACTAATAGAGAGATCTTAACTGGGGGTAAGAAATATATCCAGAGACAACAGAAAAAATTCGGGGTAGATGAAGTTGTTTTTGATAAAGATTCACGTCAAGAATATTTAACTGGTTTCCATAAACGTAAAGTTCAAAGACAAAAGAAAGCTCAAGAATATATCAAAGAACAAGATAGAATAGCTAGGGTTGAAGAAAGAAAGAGATTAAGAGAAGAAAGGAAGAAAGATTTGGAAACTCAATTGAAACAATTCAATAGTAATGTTCTTCAAGTTTCCAGTGATGATGATGAAGATTGGGATGGTTTTGGAGGTGATAAAGATGACAGTGAAGCAGAAAAATCTGAAGAAGAAGAACAAGAACAAAATTCAATTGTCAATGAAGTATATCATGTTGAACCTGAAATAGTAGAAGAATCTCAAGCTATAATAGATGATGATACTACAGTTACAATTGAAGCTGTAGATAATCCCCTTATGACCAATATTCAAGATCTTCAAGAAAAAGCCAAAGCTAATAACGTTGATTTAAGCAGAGCTCAAGAAGTTTTACAACAATCAATTAAGAGAGCCCAAAATTATGCTATAACAGTTAATGGTAAAGATAACAATAAAGATAAAGATAGAAGAAAGAAGAAATTCAGATATTTAACCAAAACTGAAAGACGAGACAAAGTCAGAAAGGAAAGATCAAAGAATAAGCCTAAGAAAGATAAGAAGACCGACAAGAAGACAGATAAAAAATCCAAATCAAGGAAATAAATAGTCACAAAAATATACATAGAAGGAAAACCTCCGTACACCAGATTTCACCAGCGCACTATATAAAGAGATGAAAAATTTTTCAATGAGAATAACTCAAGAGTATGTAAAAATAAGAATAATATGATGACAAGTTGTCGCCCCAAACGGAGGATCCTCTTCAGGACTATGACCGATTCGATTATAGCCAAACACTGAAAATTCTGAGATTATTCTATATTTCATTAGAACATATATTAACATTTTAGAAAATTCTGAACATACTTAAGTGATGGATACTTGAATCAGGAGATTCAATTATTGATGACATAATATGAGATCAGAGAAGTCCACTAATGATGTTTTTTTTCTATGCTAATCATGACAAACCAATGATTAAATTTAATTTTACTGAAGTGAAACTTCTATGAGATGAGCTTAGTTTGGACTGGGGCAATTGATCAGGTACAACTGACCAGCGACAATTGGCCAAGGGCAATTGATCACACTCGAGTAATTCACCGTAAGGGGCTCTTCTAACCGATAATATTGACCTGAACACACCAACTTCTCGTGTTTTGACAAGGCTATACTAACGTGGTATAACCTGGTAAACCTCTCGCGACACTCCACAAGGCTGGGCCTATGTTATCATGCCATTTAGGACCCGCGCTCAGCATCGCTGGTACTAAAAAAGACCACCACCGCGACAAAAACAAATATGGATGAATCAGAGCAATTAGATCAGATAATATTCGATACTATTATCCCCTTACCTTACAGGATTCTATTCCTAATTCAATTGGGGCATCTCCTTTGGTACTTAATAGTATATGGATGTTATAAGATAAACAATCTCAATGTTTTACAGTTAATAAACTTATCATATTCAAGCCATAACTACCCTCAACTAGGTGATAATTTGGAAGTGGGAGAAGAAGCTACTGTTAACGAGGCTGATATTCAAGAAAATGACTTGCTTTTGAAAGGTATTTGGTCAAACTTCAGAATCATCTCCGTTAATACCATCATTTCATACATTATCTTCAAAAGTATTCAGATAATCTTTGTTAATGAGAATGATCATGATACCTTAAAGTTATTATACCATTTGATACCGCTTATAACCATGATGGTGATATGTTATAAGATATTTCATAATGATGATAGAAAATCTATTGGGAAATTAAGGATATTTACTACCATGAAGAGAATCTTGACAGGAAACATTAATAGTTCCACTATGAGAACCAACGATATCTTAATCAGTGATAGTTTGATGTCTTATTCTAAAGTTTTGAATGATATAGGGATATTTATATGGCATTATTTCATCAGTGATGAAATGCACTACAACGAAATACTAGAATTCTTGATCTTATGTTTACCTAGTTTGATAAGAATTAGACAATGTTGGAATGAATTCGTTCTTACGGGAAGTAGGGCCCATTTCTTGAATCTTTTGAAATATGTTAGTGGTCTCAGTCCTATATTCATCAATTTCCTTATCAAGTTCAATATTGAGCAATGGGGAGAAGATGAGGGAGCAGAGAAAGATCAACATTTACAGTTCATCAAGACTTTGAACATGATCTGGTACTTTGCATCATTTGTAAATTCTACTTATTCATTTATTTGGGATGTTAAAATGGATTGGGGGTTTGGGTGTTTTGATGGAATAGCTGCCAAATTTACTGCCTCACCTTCCCCCACCATTTCAACTCCAACTCCTACAAGTACCAGAAATATGGCCAAATCATTACTTTTCTTAAGACCTGATCACCAATTGATCTATTCCAATAAGATTATCTATTATTTGGCCATAGTGATAGATTTCATCTTGAGATATTTATGGGTTTTCAAGATTGTCATAATACATGATGCCGAAAATCTACCTGTGATCACCAAAATAGGACTTTTCCTTTTTGGATACGATGCATTCTCTTTTGGATATTGTTTAATAGAGGTTTTAGAAATCTTAAGGAGGTTCATGTGGTGTTTCTTCAAACTTGAATCTGATTGGTTCAAGTTAAAACCACAACCTATAGAATTGACTAAATTTAACCAATAAATATATATTTATGCAAATTTCCTACTTTAAAGTTAGTTTATTTTTGACTGTCTAACCAAGTTTGTGAAGCGTTTCTCCAAGCTAAATCAGCTTTAGGACTTATTCTATCTTCTTTTAACCATTTGTATTTCAAGGGGGATTTGATGGCCACATATATGATGAATACTGATGACATGGCTCCTATAGCCCATGCATTTAAACCTGGAGCATGATGATGTCCTGACATAATGTTGAGAATAAACTGTTTTTTGGTTGGATGAGATTTTTGTGCGCGGGTCGTGGAATGACCAGATATAACGATCAGAAGAGAACTGGGGTTCTTGAAGGTGCTTGGATTGAAGATGAAGGGCCTTAAGTGGGGGTGTGGATATGGAATTCAATTTCGATTGATGGTATAGATTTGTGGGTTTTGGTGGAGTTTCCTGATTTCACAAACTTCCAATTGATCGTGTGACTATATGAGACACTTAAATCTACCTCTATTCAATCAAAATTTCTTCGTTCAACTCCAAACTTTCACATTATTCTGAAAATATTACCCGATATGTGTCCTATAAATTTCAACCCTCATCGACCTTAAAATCAACCCCATAAATCACCTTCCCCTTCATGCTTACATAAGCACGATCAATGAGAAAAAAAATCGTGAGAAAAAAAAAGTGAAAAATTGTCAATGATGATAAAAGGTTTAACTTCGATTAAATTATCATCAACCTCCACGAGGTGTATTGGAAGAACATTTGCCCGTTCATACCAAGTGGCTCAACCAGATCCTTTTTTCAAAACCGAATATGACGAAATAGACAATTATGGCAGTTATAAAAACACTCGCTTCACTCACAAGTTACCTGAAACCACAGCACAACAATCACCATTATTAGTAGCTTTACATTCTCGTTTGAATTTACCTAACAAATATGAACATTCCACATTATCCCAAGCATTAAATTTAATCAAAAACGAAGGATTAGCTAATAATTTTGGTTTAAATACTTTAGGTAAGAACCTTTTAACCTATTACGTTTCAGAATATTTATTGATGAGATACCCTAGATTACCCATTCCAGTATTTAACGAAGCTATCAATGCATATATGGGGGTAGATAGTTTATACGAAGTGGGGAAAAGTTGGGGGATTGAAGCTGATGTAACTTCTAAATTGGATAAACATTTATCACAAGAAAATGAATTATTGAAATATGGTAGATTAAGATTCTTGGAAGATAGTGAAAAGAGTAAAATAACCGAAGATGGGATTGTAGAATTAAATGAATATGAATCTAGAACCATTCAAGGTAATAAATTCATTTCTTCAGAATCTGAAGCATATGCTTCAAGTGTTAGATCTATAATTGGAGGTTTATATACTCATTGTGGAGAAGAAAGTGCTAAAAAATTCATCTACGATCATATATTATCACGTAAAGTTGAATTTGAATCCATGTTCCAGTTCAGTAAACCAACAAGAGAATTAACTAGAATTTGTGAAAAATTGAATTTAACTGAACCAATATCTGTTAGATTAATTGCTGAAACTGGTAGATTATCCAGTCATGCCATTTATGTCACAGGAGTTTTCGTTGGAAATCAAAAATTAGGTGAAGGTGTTGGATCATCCATTAATGAATCAAAAACTAGAGCTGTTGTAAATAGTTTATTGAGTTATTATTTGTATACTCCAATTGATGAGTCCGGTAACCCTATCAAATTACCAAGTGATGTCAATTATAAGTTTGAAGGTATAGTTGGTGAAGGGGACGTGGCTATTTAGTGTAAATATGTACATAGTAATGATAGAAAAATATTTCGATTTGAGGGTCTATGGGCTCGCTATTTTCTACTACCATGACGGAAGTAATTTTACCGCCATTTTTTCTTCCATCTCATCGCTACCCAGAGTCAAAAATCAGTCGCACTTAATTATTACTATTAAATACCTAAATCTTACTTTAAAGTCTTTCAACAATCATGTCTTTAAACATTCTTGTCATTGGAAATGGTGGTAGAGAGCATGCCATCGTTTGGAAGTTGGCTCAATCTTCTCAAGTTTCCAAAATCTTTGTTGCTCCAGGAAATGGTGGTACTTCAGTTAGTGATAAAGTAACTAATGTTCCAGAGTTATCTGCATCACCAAAGGATTTCCAAAAATTACAACAATTTGCCCTTGATAACAATGTTGGTTTAGTTGTACCTGGTCCTGAACAACCTTTAGTTGATGGTATCTCAACTTTCTTCACCAAAGTGGGTATTCCAGTTTTTGGTCCATCTGCCAAGGCTGCTACTATGGAAGGTTCAAAAGCTTTTTCAAAGATCTTTATGGATAAACATAATATCCCAACTGCTAGATTCAAGAACTTTACTAGTGTTGAAGAAGCCAAAAAACATATAGAAGAAATCGATTATAAAATTGTTTTAAAAGCTGATGGTATCGCTGCTGGTAAAGGTGTGTTGATCCCAGAAACCAAGGAAGAAGCTTTAGAAGGATTAAATGAAATCATGGTTGCTAAGAATTTCGGTAGTGCTGGTGATGAAATCGTTATTGAAGAATTCTTAGAAGGTGACGAATTATCCATCTTAACTATTACTGATGGATACCTGTTTTTCAATTTACCTGCTGCTCAAGATCATAAAAGAATCGGTGATGGTGATAAAGGTTTAAACACTGGTGGTATGGGTGCTTATGCTCCAGCTCCAATTGCTACTGATTCTATCTTGAAAAAAATCGATGAACAAGTCATTAAACCAACCATTGATGGTATGAGAAAAGATGGATACCCAATGTGTGGTATTTTATTCACCGGTATCATGTTGACTCCTAACAAAGAACCAAAGGTTTTAGAATATAATGTTAGATTCGGTGACCCTGAAACTCAAACTGTTTTACCTTTATTAACCGAAGATACTGATTTAGCTCAAGTTATGTTAGCTTGTGCCGAACACAGATTAGATTCAGTTAAAATTGAAACCAAAGCCGGTATGTCTTCCACTACTGTAGTTATGTCAGCTGGTGGATATCCTGAAAGTTATGAAAAGGGAGATGAAATTAAAATTTCAGAAACCCCAGAAAACACTTTCATTTTCCATGCTGGTACTGCTGAAAAAGATGGTAAGATTGTTACTGCTGGTGGTAGAGTCATTGCTTCTACTGCAATTGCACCATCATTAAAAGAATCTGTTGATAAAGCTTATGTTGGTGTAGAACATGTGGAATTTAAAGGTAAATATAATAGAAAAGATATCGCTCACAGAGCTTTCAGAGATTCAATCAAGAAAGGTGTCACATATGCTGAAGCTGGTGTCTCTGTTGATAACGGTAACTTATTAGTTGAAAAAATCAAAGCCAAAGTCAAATCAACTGCTAGACCAGGTACTGATTCAGATATTGGTGGATTTGGTGGATTATTTGATTTATCAAAAGCTGGTTATTCAAATTCTGATACTTTATTAGTAGGTGCTACTGATGGGGTCGGTACTAAATTAAGAATTGCTCAAATCATGGATATTCATGATACTGTTGGTATTGATTTAGTTGCCATGAATGTAAATGATTTAGTCGTTCAAGGTGCTGAACCATTAATGTTCTTAGATTATTTCGCTACTGCCAAATTAGACATTAACGTTGCCAAAGACTTTGTCAGTGGAGTTGCTGATGGATGTATTCAAGCTGGTTGTGCTTTAGTCGGTGGTGAAACCAGTGAAATGCCAGGTATGTATGCTCCAGGTCATTATGATACTAATGGTACTGCATTTGGTGCCGTTCACAAAAATAAGGTTTTACCTAAAGTAGAAAACATGAAATCAGGTAATGTCTTGATTGGTTTAAAATCTGATGGTGTTCATTCCAATGGGTTCAGTTTAGTTAGACATTTAATCGAAAGTTCAAAAGATTTTGATTACACTTCACCTGCTCCTTGGACTAATGGTAAATCTATTGGTGAAGAGCTTTTAGTTCCAACCAAAATCTACGTCAAACAATTATTACCATCCATTCACAAAGATTTAATCTTAGGTTTAGCTCATATAACCGGTGGTGGATTAGTTGAAAACATTCCAAGAGCTTTACCAAAGAATTTACAAGCTAAAGTGGATATCTCTACTTGGGAAGTACCAGAAATTTTCAAATGGTTTGGTAAATTAGGTGACATTCCTCATAAAGATATCTTAAAGACCTTCAATTTAGGTATTGGTATGGTATTAATTGTTGAAGAGGCTAACGTTGAAGCTGTTGTCAAATCACTAAAAGAAAACGGAGAAGACTCGGTTATAATCGGTAAGTTGATCGATAGACCTGAAGGACAAGATGGATGTGTCGTTGATAATATTGAAAGTGTTTATTAGAAAAATATATAAATGGTATTAACATTTCCTAAAAGGGGAAAAACGTCCCCGTGAGATGAGACAAATTTCCTTCTCTCGCACGTGACGTAGGAAATATCTCTTTAAGTCCATTGGAAAATGCTACTAACTATTGGTTGATCCACTGTATATAGCTTCTGCCTTCCCCCCTCCCTCCATCAAGCAACAATGTCACCTCTAATGTAGATCTGCACCCAAAAAAATCATAATCTCATCGCTGGTGAATTTGTCAGCATAAATCTCAAACACCAATTCCGTTAGGTTAATTCCTTCTACGTTGGTACTTAAAATCCTTCAAACCCCCTAATCACTTTCACGGATTTGTGATTATCAATAACCGAGACATTTATCTGATATCTTTTTTGAGGATTTCAACTCACGTTAAAAAGAAATCCTTCACTGTTGAAATCACAAAAGCCAATATCGGATTTTTTTGTATCTTTGAACTTGCATAATCAGGTTGAGCTATCAAGGGATTAAGTTATGGGATTATTATCATTAGGAACTCCGTTAGATTGGCACCAATCCAAGAAGCATAATCAACATGTCAGAAATAATGGTATAGAGCAACTTATCAATATCTTCAATCAACATGGTGACAGAGACGATGATAAGTTCTATTGGGGTGATGAGGTAGAATATATGTTAGTGCATATCGATGATGATAGTCAAAAAGCAACCTTATCAATAGATAAAGATTATATTTTAGATGATTTGAATGATAGTACTTTACCTTTGTACAAAGAAGTTGTTGATAAGAATGTTTCGTTCCATCCTGAATATGGTAGATATATGATCGAAGCAACACCTTTGAAACCTTTCAATGGTGATGATATTTATGAATATGTTTACATTGAAGAAAATATGATCAATAGAAGACAAATATCCCAAGATCAATTACCTTCAAACATTAAACCTTTAACTATAACTTCATTCCCCAGACTTGGATGTGAAGAATCAACTAATCCTGTAGCAAAACCTGTAGGACCAGCATCACAATCATTATTTTTACCTGATGAAATCATCAATCGTCATGCTAGATTTCCAACCTTAACTGCTAATATCAGAAAGAGAAGAGGATGTAAAGTATGTATCAATTTACCTATTTATCCTGATATCAATACCAAGTTACTTGATGATTCTATCCCTTCAAGAGATCTTTTTGATAGTGATAAAGAATATCTCTATGCATCAAAACCAGGTCATATTTATTTAGATTCCATGGGTTTCGGTATGGGAGCTTCTTGTTTACAAATGACAATGCAATTGAAGAACATTTCTGAAGCAAGATATGTTTATGATATGTTAGCACCAATAACTCCTTTATTCCTTAGTTTAAGTGCAGCTGCACCTATGTTCAAAGGGTTCTTGGTTAATCAAGATGTCAGATGGAATGTTATTAGTGGAGCTGTTGATGATAGAACATTTATTGAGAAGAATATCGATCCATATCCTGATTATGATTATTTCGGAGGTTTAGATGTTGATGATCAAACCAAACTTCTTTTCAAGAAATCCGGTGGTCATAGAGGTATTGATGGTGATAGAGTTATCAACGATACTGGTGATACTGCCATTAAGACTGCTGACGGTAAGAACATTCAAAAGATTCCTAAATCAAGATATGCTTCTATTGATAATTATTTATCCAACTCCACTGAAAAATATAACGATATTTATTCTCCTTTGAACGACGGGGTTTACCAAAAATTGAAAAAGAATGGTTTTGACCCTGTTTTAGCTCAACATTTCAGTCATTTATTCATCAGAGATCCTTTAGTGATCTTTAGTGAAAGAGTCGATCAAGATAATACTTTGGATAATGATCATTTTGAAAATATCCAATCAACTAATTGGCAAACTTTAAGATTCAAACCTCCTTCATTGTATGGAAAAGTAGATTGTCAAGGTAAACATATTGATTTATCGGAAAAACCAGGATGGAGAGTTGAATTCAGACCTACTGAAATTCAATTAACAGATTTTGAAAATGCTGCTTATTCTTCATTCATAATATTATTATCCCGTGCCATAGCAAAATTCAAACCCAATTTTTATATCCCAATATCAAAAATTGATGATAATATGGATACAGCTCATAAAGTGGATTCGGTATTAAAAGATAAATTCTGGTTCAAAAACTTCACCCATTGGGAATTAGATGCTCAAGAGTTCATGAGTTTTGATTTATCTTGGTTTGATAGATATATCAATAAAGGTAATGATTTGAATACTTATCAAAATGGGTATATGGATAAACCTGTTACTGACATTGGATGCAAATCAACTGCTGATGATCATCCATGTCTTAACAGTACTTGCAAATATACTATCAATGAAATCATCAATGGTAATAATAACTTCCCTGGATTAATCAGATTGGTTATTAAATTCATAGCTACTGATTTAGTACCTAAAAATCAAGTTCATTGTAATTCTAAAACTTTGGCTGCAAAATTATTAAGATTACAATACTATTTAACTTTGATAAGTAAAAGAGCTAGTGGTAAAACTCCTACCATTGCTAACTTTGTTCGTTCCAAAGTTTTGAAATCATCATTATATCACCAAGATTCCAAGATTTCCTCCGAATTGAATTATGAAATTATTAAGATGACCGAAATCATCACCAACTTAGATTTTGATAATCATAAAGATTTATTATACGAATATTTCGGACCTAAAGTAGCCAACTACTTAGAAAAGAATCCAGTTCTTAACTTAGATTTATAGATGCCTATATAAAGATAATGACTATTTGAAAATCTCCATCTCTTTAAACTCTAAAACCTGGAATCACGCGCTTTTAACTATCACCGCGCATCAGATTGTGGACGAAACATTGCCAACATTGAAACAATATATTCAGAATAAATCATGGGGATTTTCGATAATTTAAAGGCGTTTGTTCATTCTATCACTACCGAAGATCATTATGCTTCTTATGATTCTCCTTATAGGAATGTTATTACAGAAAATAGTTTAGGTAATTCATCCCGTAGTAATTTAAATGAATTAAATAATGAAAGTAACCTATCTTTAAATGAAGGTACCAGTAATTTCATTAACTATAGACCAGGGTTAAGATCTTCTAATACTAATTTAAATGGTTCAGATGTCCAATTACAAAATTTTAGAGATGGTCAACCTCCTTTACCATCAATTGATTCATTATGGGATAGATTTGAAACTTGGTTAGATGAAGAATATCCTGAACTAGGTGATAATATTAATGATGGGGTTACAACGGCGGATTTGAATGAATTTGAAAGTGATTTAAAATGTGGTAGTTTACCAGTAGAATTCAGACAATTTTATAAGAGACACGATGGTCAATTTAGAAACTGTCAACCAACAGGTTTAATAATGGGTTTAAGATTATTAGATTTAGAAGCTATCATCGAACAACATGCCATTTGGTTAAAAGTTGGTGGTAGAATTGAAAAGCAAAAGTATTTCATTCAACAAAAGGAAAGTGAACTTCAACCAAGAGAAGGTTCATCATCAGAAGAAGGTTTAAACAATAGTTTTATAAGTAATCAAAGATCCATACCACCAAATTCAATTCAACCTGTTTATACTCATCAAGGTTGGGTACCTATCATTAAAGATGAATTTGGTAATCAAATCGCTTTAGATTTAGCTCCTGGACCTCAAGGTAATTGGGGTCAAATCATCATTTTCGGTAGGGATTTCGATACTAAATTAGTTATCGCTTCTAATTTACAAGAATTCTTTTTCAATTATATCAATGATTTAGAAAATGGTAATTATAAAATCGATCAAGCAGAAATCGATTCTTCCTATGGATATTTAGAAAGTTCGAGAACTGACGATGATTATTATATTGGAGGTGATGATGATGGTGAAGGGGATTTGGTCTTCTGGGATAAAGAAAATGAATTCGGGAAAGTTGGTAAACCTTTAAGTTATATCGAAGTATTGAAAAGAAGAACTTTAAAGAAATATGGTATTAATAATGCTGATAAATTCTTAACTTCATTTGTACCTCAACCAAAAAAATCCGCATTAAGTAGTAAGGTTGTTAGTCCACAAAGATCAGCAGCTAACTCAACTAGTGATTTAGGTAATTTAATAAAGGTTAATTCTACTGTGAATTTACCTAAGGAAACCATCATAGATGAAGCCAAGACTGAACCTGAAGTCAAGACTGAACCTGAAATCAAGACCAAAGTTGTAGAAACTCCTGAAGAGAGTAAAGATTCAGAACTTGCATCATCCAAGACAAAACCTGAAACAATCAACACGGAATCAAAATCTGAATCCCTCGAACCAGAAATACTCGAAGACGACTCTGAACCAGTCGAATCTGAAACCAAACCTGAACCTAAATCCGAAACCAAACCTTCTGCATCTGAAATCTCAGAACAATTACAATCAGTTGAATTATAATGTATCATATCACCCTAAATATATTTTACCTGTCGCGCTCTGTTTGCACACTAAATGTTCCACTCTGATAACAGTGGTGATACTGATTCCACCAATTTAACGGGGTCTCATTTACTTCAGACGCAGAATACCATTCCTCAGTCGGAGATAATAGATTCTATCACTTCGTCTAATGCATCAGAACGTAATCGACCATTCATAAACGAGGATGAAGAATTTGAAGAAGGTACTGAAATAGAGGATGAAGATCGTTCAGATATCGTCAATGATCAACCCACGGTAGAACAGATTCAACGTGTTTATTATACAAAAGGTTTGGAAGAATTGGAATCCTTGAAATTATTGGATTTATCTCCTCTAGCCAATTGGAAATTATCATCATTCAAACCAGGTTTTGCTATTAATCAATTACGAGACGATACTCCTGATTCTTACTGGCAAAGTGATGGTAGTAATGGGTCCAACAACAATAATTCCAATAACAATAGTGGGGTCATTACCAATAACCAATTGAGTAACCCACATTCCATAACTATTCAGTTTTCTAAACGAGTGTCACTTGAAAGGATATCAATATTCACTAATTATAACTTGGATGAATCTTATACGCCTTCCAAGATCAAGATTATGGCAGGATCGTCAGATGGGTGGGATTTGAGTGAAGTTTGTACAGTGAATTTCAATAAACCTGTAGGTTGGTCTCATATAATTTTCAATGGTATAAGGAATGATGGAGTATTGAAATGTTTCATGGTAAAATTGATCATTCTAGCAAATCATCAAGATGGTAAGGATACTCATATCCGTGCTCTCAAATGTTTTGGTAAGAAACTACTGGTTAGTAATCAATTACCTCATCATAGTCATTCGTTAACCAATGAAGAGATTCTTAAAGATTTGAGTCTTACAAGTGCTATAAGTAATTCTGGATTTCTGAACTCAGCATTTCTGAATTCTGGATTTCTGATGAACCTGATGAATCATCTGATTGATTTTTCAAGAAATATCACTCATGATGAAGAAGATGAAGATCAACCGATGGATAAGAACGTAGCGAAGTATTTAAACAATGCCAGTAATGTCATTGGCTTCAATACAGGGTTCCAGAGTTTACCATTAAAGAGTGTTTCTAACATAAGATAGTTCTCAAGTATATAATTATGAATTTACGGTTAAAATCTAAGCTTTGATCTTTAAAGAGAAATCAATAATACCACATCCTTGATGGATTGAGGATGTTGAGTAAATATCAATATCATTACAAAGATAAGAACTCAAGTTTTGTAATGTTAAACCTCCTGAACATTCTAATAAAAAAGATTTTTTACCATCATAAAGTTTCTTTAATCTTTGAGCAGTTTCTTGTAATTCTTTACCACTGAAGTTATCCAACATAATAACATCCGCACCAGCATCAATGGCTTCTTTAGCATCTTCTTCGTTACTGACTTCAACTTCAATCTTGATAGCAAATCCACAAACAGATCTGGCAGATTTGACAGCTTTAGTGATACTACCGGTAGAAGTAATATGGTTGTCTTTTAACATCACCATTGAACTCAAATCATATCTGTGAGTATCAACACCACCTACCAACATGGAGTATTTTTCCAATTGTCTCAACCCAGGAGTGGTTTTTCTAGTACCTGCAATCAAACCGGTGTATCCAGCTTCATCGGCTAACTTCTTAGTGGTGTAAGATTGAGTAGCAATACCTGAAGATCTAGCTAATAAATTTAAAGCTGTTCTTTCACTCAATAAGATCTTGTTGGCAGGTCCTTTAACGGTGGCAACCAATAATTTACCATTGTGTTTAGCTAATTCCTCGGTGGAAATGAAATCTCCTTCTTTATAATGCCATTCAACATCAAGTTCACATTGTTTGAAGACCTCACTGGCAAATGGTATACCAGAAATAAGACCTGATTGTTTCATTAATAAGGTGGCGGTTTCTTCTTTTTGGCCGACAACAAAACCTCCGAAATCAAACGAGGGGACATCTTCGGTTAAATAGTCAGTGATTTGTTGTTTCCATTTCCCATTAACTGGGAGTAAATTGGCATACATTGGTGGGGTGAGAGTTTTTCTCGATTTCCCCAGTATCATCACCAGAGAGAGTCGCACCCATGTCGTGGTGTCGTATAGAACCCGCCGCGCACCTAAAGTTTTCAGCTTTCAAGACGTGGATTTATGAAAAGAACTCATGATATAGCACTGGTGGAATCATCGAGGGTTGACTTATCATTTGAATCTTCACACAAAAGTCTTTCTCCAGCTAAGAAACTCAGAAAATCTCAAAAGCAAGGAACCTTAAGTTTCCAATCCAATATCAATGAAACTAAGACATGTAAGTTATGTGGTATGAGTTACTTGAAGTATCTCAAACAAGATCAACAACTTCATGAGGAATATCACACTAACTTTGTGGATGGGTTATCTTGGCAGTTTCTGGGGAATTACCTCAAATCCATTACTGTGGTAGTTAAGAAACAACGCCATAAGATCAACTTCGTGGCTATTGATACCGATCTGACACCCCAGATACGACGGGTTGATGACGTTTTGCATATGGTCAATCAGGAATTGAATGCCAGCAGTGGCAGTGATAGTTGGAAGAAAACCCCCGGGCAAGCTGTTCTCGCTATAACTAACCGTAGAGTTATTGGCATTGTTGTCACTGAAACTATTGATGATGTGGAAGGTCAATCACGTTGGATGATCCACAAAACTCAAGCTATTGTTCCCAAGCAGATAAATAAAAATGCCAAACTTGGGATTTCTAGAATTTGGGTAGCTTACAATTGGAGACGATTGGGAATCAGTACTGCCCTTCTTACCACTATTACGACTTATCCCAAACCTATACATCGACGAGAAATTGCATTCAGTCAACCTAGCACTAACGGTGGTCTTCTTTGTGCCAAATTTAACGGAGTCAAGCATAAATCCGGAGAAATCCTTCTCCCTGTATATTTAGAGCATACATAATCATTCATTACTGAAAACAGTCTTACTACTAGCATTATTAAACATACTCTCAAAGTAAGCATAAAGGTTAGCACTCAATCCTCCACTGACCAATACTTTGATACCTCTGGGTAAAGTTCCTTTGTAAAGGGAGGTGAACCCTTGTTCCATCACAAGTCTATAGGCAGTTCCCAAAGAATCCTTATATATGACATGAGAATTCTTTGATTGCATATGAGACTTAACCACGTCTATAGGTTGAGTTATAGTTATTACCGCAGCACTGGCTGCTACTTGTAAACCCACACTTTGGATCAACGTTAAACTTTCACCGAACCATCCATCATGACTCTTATTATGGGGTAAGTATAACTGTTTTGTCCAGTTATAAGTGGATAACCAAATGGATGATATGGCTCCTTGACGAATAAATGTGATGAATCCACCATAAGCAAACCCTTTGGTTCCTTTCAATGTATATATTTCCTTAATGACTCCCAGTAAGGTCAATGAAGGGTTTTTATTATACTTTTGTTTGAGGGCATCCTTCTTGGTATGTTTCATGTGAGTTGTGGAGAATCTTGATACGTTCAAACCTTTATATTGGGCTGCCAATTCGTTGGTGAAATAGATATGAGGTGAAATATAATGGTTCTTGAAGATATTCTGGGTAGGTTTATGGTGCATATCTATGGATTGTCCCGTGACATCGATCTTAAGTCCTTGCTTCAAACAACTATCGATTTCGTTTCTTAACAACTGATTCTGAATCATAGCTATTTTGATATTCTCAAAGGGAATTAACCATAAGGTCTCTAACATCCCACTCATAAACCCAGCAATAACAATTCTAGGAGCAGTAGTTTTTTTTATGGAGTTACCGTGGGAATCTTGCAGTTCCAAAGACATGAAATTGGATGCCCAATGATACAGAAAGATTCTAGCACCATTCTTCAAGATATTACCTGTAACTAAAGCACTACAACCTTTGAACAATTGAGCCATGGAGTGAGGTCCATTAGAAGGAATTTTGTATTTGGCAATTTGTTGGGGGTGATTTAACTGCGTGCTATGTTTGATGAAATCTAATGGATAAGTCAAAGTACCCACCACGGCAGCAGTGGAGGTTCCTGATACCAATGCTGATAACAAGCTTCCTTCTATATTGGTAGACATAAGATGATTGCGCAGTGCGAAGAGTTTGAACTAATGGCATGTCATGGGTCTAAATATTCGACCTACGCATTTGGTTAAGGAGAATTGTCTAATGAATGTAACGACCACCTCAGGCTCAGCTCCGTTGAATTTCAACTACTTTTTTTCGTATCTGACCCTTCATCGGTCAAAAACCTTTCTCCTAAGTATCACCAGATTTGCGACACGCTCCGACATTTTGTGACATAAATCATTTTAAACTTACACAGAAACCTACGCGCACTGTTTATCAATGGACCGAAGTAGAACTGAACCGTCTACTCCCACCAGGTCAACTAATCTGGACTTGGGAGGTCGTTATTCTCTACCTAGGACCAACGAAATACATTTACCTGTTACAGATTTGTTGGATATACAAAAGCAATGGAACATTGAGGGACCTAGATCCATTAAGAGAAGAAAGTCTCTGATGGCAGGAGATATATCTACACCAGGTTCAGCTAGAAGATCAGGTCCATCTACTCCTCGAAGGTCAGGAGATTTCAATTTAACTTTAACACCAAGAAGCCGGAGATCATCAATTGTTGTGGAAAATACTACAAAATTGAATCCAGAATATGAAGGTCCTATCAACTTAGAGTTCTTGAAAGGCTTTTGGAATGCTTTGGATAAGGATGAACAACGAAAGGAGGAGTTTCGTCGTAGAAAAGGTTATGAAAGTCCAGCAAAGAATAGTCCAGCAAAGGATAGTCCAGCAAAAAATAGCCCACAGCTAGATCATTTACAGAAAGAGAGCCAGAATATAGCCTTTATGGGTGATGAAAGTTTACTTTTACCTTCAAATACTGATGAACTTTTGAGATCCCCTGAGGTTTTGACAGGTCTAGGCAATGTTCTTGAAGATAGTGACCCCAAACCGGAGGATGTTGAACCACAAGAAGAAGACAATCCATTCATAGCACCAAGAACATTTTCGTATTTGGAACGAATTCTTGCTAACCAAGCATCAAGGAAAAGAAGGGCATCCAACGATGGTAGCAGTTTGAAGCAAAGCCGTATAGTAGAAGAGCCAGTACGGCAAGAATCACAAGAGGCTGAAGAGGAACCAGAAGTTCAAGACTTACAATTCCCACAAGAGGAGGAGTTCCAACCAATGGATCAACCATTGGACTTCCAACCTGATAATCAACCCGAATCACTCGAAGAACAACCCCAAGTACAGGAAAATTTACCTGCAATACCGGAAGAATTCCCACAATTCTTTGAACCTGGTCCAGATGTTGGTTACGTCACACCGACATCCCCAAATCCTGATCTAATTGAAGAGGAATTTCTCGTGGAAGATGCCCCCAACTTCCAACCAATTGATGAGATCTCTTCCAACTTCCGTGCTCCAAAACGTATGCCACCAAGAATTCAAAGCTCTAAGAAAAGAGCTTCTTCGGCTTCCACAATGTCAATAAAAATGGTAAAAGATCTCATACAAGTGCTTAAACCAGTCGATAAACGTATCAAAATAGACCCTGATGCTTATCAATACATTCAACAGCAATCAGATATTTTCCTTCTGACATTAATGGGTGATCTAGAAGCGTATGCTCTTCATAGAAATCGTAAAGGTAATCAAATCAATATCAAGGATGTTTTGCTTTATATGACCAGACTTCAAAATGATAAGTCTAGTCTGGAATTCTCCCAATTAGCCCGAAATCATCTTCCCTTGGAACTTCTCATGGCTTTGGATAATAATCTTAAGGAAGCAGTACCATCTGCGGAGCTACAAGCCCAAAAAACTAAAAGAGATGACGACGATGATCTCGATTATGTGACAAGCAGCAAAGACACAAGGCATATAGAGATATTTAGTGACAGTGAATAATGTAATATAGTGTATAAATAGTGTATTTTATGTACAAGACGATGGCCGAATATCTAAGCAGTTCTTTGAGATGCAAATTCAACTTGATTACCCTTTACTAACTTGTAAAGTTCGAATATTGCCGCAGGAGTAACACCTTGGATTCTACGAGCTTGGCCAATGGTTTGGGGTTGAATGGTATTAAGAAGATGACAGACTTCATAAGATATCTTGAGATTTCCTTCGTTAGTGTAAGTGAAATTCAAAGGAAGAAGAAGGTCTTCGTCAGCTTCATAAGCTCTTAAATGAGCTTGCTCCTTCTTCATCCATGGTGCGTATGTACTCTCGACGTTGATTTTGTTTCTTAATCTTCTGGTAGTTGTGTGGTATATGTCTGGAACGGGCCCGAACTTATCCATATGAGGTATCAAATCCTCAATGGTGACTCCTTTGTATGATAAAAGCTTCCAGCCATCAACAATGGTCTTCTTACTGACATCTGAAACAAGTCCTTTGAGAGCTGGTGCCCATTTGGCTCCTGACAATTGAAGGGAAGAAAGGTGATCTTTGATGAGGTTGAACTGTTGCAGTTCTTTCTTGTAGGCATCGTAACGTTGTTGACTGACAGCCCCAAGCTGATATCCCATTTCAGTTAAACGAACGTCAGCATTATCGGATCTGATAGATACTCTGAATTCAGATCTTGAGGTAAACATTCTATAAGGTTCCTCAACACCTTTAGTGATGAGATCATCAATAAGTACACCTACGTAACCATCACTACGTTTGATTTGAAGGGGAGCTTTTCTGAGATATGACAATCCAGCATTAATCCCCGCTACAATTCCTTGAGATGCTGCTTCTTCGTACCCTGTAGTACCGTTGATCTGTCCTGCAAGATACAACCCATCTACAAGCTTGGTCTTCAATGTAATGTCTAATTCCCTTGGATCAACATAATCGTATTCCACACCGTATCCCGGTTGGGTCATGACAACATTCTCACATCCAGGGATTAACTTGACAAGTCTTTCTTGAATGTCTTCAGGCATAGTACATGAGATACCGTTAGGATACACCAAGTCACTGTCTAAACCTTCGGGTTCGAGCCAGATAGTATGGGAAGTTTTATTGGGAAATTTAATCACCTTGGATTCTATTGACGGACAATATCTAGGACCTTTGACGGTTTCTCTGATATGGATGGATTGATGAAGATTATCAGCAATAATCTTATGGAACTCGGGAGTTGTACTGGTTTGGTGACAAGCCACCAAATTTTCCTGGTTGGCCACTTCATCATTCATGAACGACATAGGTTGAGGAGGATAGTCGGAAGGTTGAATTTCAAGATTTGTATAATCAATGGACGAAGAAAGTAATCTTGGTGGTGTACCTGTCTTAAGACGTCCTAATCTAAACCCGGCATCTTTGAGGGTCTTTGACAACCCAAAAGTAGCATCTTCGCCCATTCTTCCTGAAGGAAAAGCTTTCAAACCAATGTGGATTTCTCCCCCTAAAAATGTCCCTGTAGTTATCACCACCTTATCACAGGCAAGTACTCTTCCATCTTCCATGATCAATCCCTTAACTGTCCCGGAAACTCTACCACCAGTGTCAGAATTTGATTGAGGACTCAAAATAAGATCTTCTACTTTCCCTTCCAATACAGTTAAATTTGGATAGTTTAGTATAGCTTCTTGCATTTCTTGCAAATAAATCTTTCTATCTATCTGAGCTCTTGGTCCATGAACAGCTGGACCTTTTGAAGCATTCAAAATCTTGAAATGTATACCAGCTTTATCGGTGATTTTAGCTGCCAAACCATCTAAGGCATCAACTTCTCGGATTAAAGTTCCTTTACCAACACCTCCTACCGAAGGATTACATGAAGCAGTACCAATCTTGGAAATTTCAGGGGTAATTAAGACTGTTTGAACTCCAGTACGAGCAGATCCAGCTGAAGCTTCACATCCAGCATGTCCTCCACCAATAACTACCACAGGTATGTGTTGAGAAACCTCTAGTTTCTTTTGAAGTTCACTTGTGATAAGAATGTTTCTTCTGAAAGTCCGAACTGTGGTGGAGGTGGTACCCCGGTCCACATTTCTGGTGACTAAAGATCTGATTATCATCGCAGTGGAAACTTTCTCATCTCATCTCACTATGACAAAACCAGAATTGGCAGCCGATGATTTAGACGACGGATTGGACTACGAGTTCGACTCCACCGTAGCAGACGACGTAGAAAACACTGAAGAATTTGTGGATGATGGAAAGGGAGGTGTTAGCGATGAAGACCAATTCGAAACTGAAGAATTATCTAAACCTGAGACTGAAGGTAGAAAGAAAAGGAAGACCACAGATTCTAAATTTAAAGAAAAGAAAAGGTTAAAGATGGAAATGGATTTAGAAGCAAAGAAGAAAATCTCTGCTGAATCATCTCCTGAAGTCATCACCGATTATATCAATCAAATTGTTAGCCAAAAAAATAAAAAATTGAGTAGTTTGGAATTATCTGACTTATACATCTCCAAGACTGATGTCAGATCTACAGCTGAATTCTCTGAGAAGAGAAATTTGGACAATTTACCAAAATTCATTGATGGTAAGTTCAATAACATGTTGCCTGCCACTAAGAAAGATCTGAAAAAGAAGAAAGAACAAAAGAATCAAAAGAATCAAAATTCCGACGAGAGAAAATTCATCGGTATCATCTCCATGTCAGCTATACGTGCATGTGACATACATAGAGCCACTAGAGACTTACTGGGTTCATCATTAAAATTAATTAATAAAAATAAGATCAATGTTGATCTCAAACTTTTAACTACTACTAATGCTAGAGTTTTATGTTGTACTCCAGGAAGATTACAAAAGGTTTTGGAATCTGAGGATTCACCTTTAAAATCTGAAGAAATTAAGATCTTGATCCTTGACAATTCATATTTGGATCAAAAAGGTCAAAATATTTGGGATATTCCAGAAACTATTAAAGTCATCAAACTGTTGACTTCTGCGGGTTCAAAGGTTTATTTGTATTAATTATATGTTTAATGGATAATATGTGTTACTACAAGCGTTGTAGTAGTCTTTAATGGATAATTCAATCTCTTTAAAATCGATATCATTACTTTCCCAATTTAGACGCGACATGTCGGGAGACATTCCTATGAAGTTTCCTAAGAAACATAAATTGGCGAATACTTTGTATTTACCTGGTTGTTGGACTTCAAGTGGTTGTAAGATATCATAGATCTTATCCAAGATGGTAGTGAGCCATTTGTTCTGTGATTGTTTGAACATTATGGTGAATGCAGGGTCACTGGCAATGATACTATAAATGTAATCTGAAGACCTTGAGTCTTGAGGATTGATGATTTGAGTACTCAAAGAGTAAAACAAAGTGGACAATTTCAATGATACTTGGATGGAGTCAAGTTCTACAGGGTCTGTTTCATTGGCCAAACTGGTGAAAATAGCTTCTAACTGATTATCTAAATCAGTGTTGTGCACTCTAGTGAATATGTACAGATAACAAGATTCTGCTACAGGGGAGATCTGGTCATGAAGTTCACTCTTTTGGTTTAGTATAACGAGAACTGTAAGGAGGTAATACACGTGATCAGTATTGGACGATTCGATAGATTTCTTAACTATGGTATGTAAAGAATCGATGAACTTGGATAATTCCTCATCTATTTGGAGGGCAAGGTCTTGAGATAATTGCTTGAAACCTTCAACAATACGACTGTTATTGGAATAGTCGAGTAATTTGGATAATTGTTGACCTTCAATATCTATCAAAGATTTATAACTGTCAACGGAAGTGAACCATTGATGAAGGACAGGTGCGGTATCAATAGTAGTCAATGATGATTTGGCTGAAGTGTTGATGAAGTTGAAATAACTATTCATGTCATTGTGTATCATATCTACCAATTCATTGGTGAAGAGAAGATTCTCGTTGACTGAATAATCAGTTATTTGTTCGAGAATCGAGTGTAAATCCTTTAATATTGGGGGAAACCTGGACTTACAGGTTTTTATCATTTCCTGGATGCAATCGTTACTTTTTAGTTGGGCGTGGGTCACTGATTTGAAGCCATTTTCTTCACACCAAGTACTCAATTTTTGGAAAGAAGCCATAAAATTAATGAAAATTGTCATCACGTCTCCCAATTCGCTGGAAGCGATAAGTAAACTGAATATTGTAGTTACTTGTTGCATCATTGTGGCTTGAAAGTCATTGATTTCTGTTTGAAGATCAGATAAATCACCTTTGAATGCCTCATTGTTGAATTTTCCAAAGTCTGTGTCATTCAAAACCAATGGGAGTTTGAACTTCGATAACTGGTTGAATACTGAAACGTATCCCATGGTATTTTCAATATATCTGACGATTTTCCATGGGGAAAATTTCGTTCCCCAATTCTTAGACTTCAAAATCCCAATCACCTTGTTTAAATGTTTGACCCTGAGTTCTAGGAAATGAAACAAAGCAGGAGATTTGGTTATTGTACCCGTTATGATTATATAAGCAAGTAGGTAGTTATAGATAGGTAATTCCCCTGAAGATTCGTCGATATCTAAAAATTCCAAATCTGATTCATTGATGACATCTACTGGTTGATTCGATACCATATCACTCAATTTCAAGTGGTGGGAAGGTACGTAAGTATCTGAGTTACGTGTATAGACCGACTGAAGGGGGACATTATAGGTTGATATCAAATCGTTTAAAGTATTAATAAACCTGGTTTTCATCCGTTCAAACTTGGATTTGAGTAAATTGTTATTTTTAATGGCATCAAAGGTACCAAGAATGTGATAAATCTTAGCATAAGTCACATACTCCGAGGTGTGGGAGGGTAAATCATTGTTCAATCTCAAATCAAATTCTGTCAATTCATCATGGATTATGATATTAGCAATGGCTTTCTTGTTGATTTGACGAGTTGACTTCAGAACACGCTTGAAGCTTACAAAGTTAGATTTGGAATATGCTAATGATGATAAACTTTTGGATAAATTCTGGGTAAGTTTATGGGTGTTGTTGATTTCGTCGGTTATACCTATAATATCACGATAATTGTCACTAACAAGCGATTGAAGTTGAACTTTAGCATCCACAGCCTGAGTTTTATAAGTGGAGCTCAAAGATTGAATTTCACCAATGGAAAGCTTTTGAAATAGCTCAGGGATTGTGAAGTTTGTGTAATCCATTGATTGAGATTTGAGACTGAGATCGAAGGTGAGACCTACAGAGTGAGACTTGAGACTCAGAGACTCAGAAACTGAGAGACTTGGTAGATGGCCTGATACCAATGATAGAGGAATACTTAATTTTTTATTTCTAATGCAGTATAGATTCACCTAAATGACTTACCAAATGTAACGTTAATTATACAGAGTTTATTTCAATTTACCAAATAATCTTGGAGCAACACAATCATTGACACAATGTTGTAAGTGGAAAAACTCTTCAATACAATCTTCTTTGTAATCTTTGCTTTCGTAATCTTCTTCTTCCATTTCTTTGGTGACACGTTCAACACATTCATGGAAATGATGGTTGAAAGGATGACATTGTGTAGTTTCAGCACATTCTTTTCTCATAGTATCTAAAGGATCTTCAGCTTCTTCTTCATCATCTTCGTCATCTTCATCTTCATCTTCATCGTCTTCATCTTCTTCTTCAGCTTCTTCTGATTCTTCTGATTCTTCAGTTGATTCTTCAGTTGATTCTTCAGATTCTTCTACTGGTTCTTCAGCAGGCTAAAGATGTTAGTAAACTTTCAATGGCCATCGGGGGAGGTAAAACAAGGTGAAAATCTCCAAATTTCGAAATTTAAAATACTAAACCCGAAAAATCCCTATCAAAAATGATAATAACATACTTCTTCAGCGTAAGCAATTGGTAAAACAAGATCTATTAAATCTTTAAAAGACATATCGTTGATTATTTCTCATGAGAAAAAAGTTAGCTGTAATTGGTTGAGGTGAGAAACGTTACCCGGATTTTTCACGCAATTTTGATTTGGTACTACTTTTTTTTAGTATGGAGAATTAAAGAGAGATAGTGATTTAAGGAAAATACATGTATTAGATTTAAACGTTTGATGGGACATCAGCAGCTTTAATAGCTTTGATTTTTTTAGCTTGAGCTTTAGCACCCATGATACCACCACCCCAGTGTTTTCTGTTTTCTTCGTATTTAGAAAGGAAGTTTTCATCAATAGTTGAAACTAATTTTGATAATTCAGCTTCATCAGCAGCTGAAACTTCAGTTAAAGCAGCAACAGCTGAGGTTTTTTGGTGAACTAAAGTTCCTAATCTAGCTTTACCTTTAACAATGGCGTATGGAACACCCATTTTTCTACATAAAGCTGGTAAGAAGATAACTAATTCAATTGGATCAACATCGTTGGCAATTAAAACTAATTTAGCTTTTTTGTTTTCAATTAATGAAACAACATGGTTTAAACCGTATTTGACAACAACTGGTTTTGGAGAAACTGATTTAGCATCTTTACCTTCAGCGATGGCAGCAGCTTCTTTAGTTAATCTTTCTTTCTTTTCAGCAGAAGTTTCTGGTCTGTATTTGTTGAATAATTTGAAAACTTGAGTAGCAGTGTTTTTATCTAAAGTGTTGGTGAATTGAGCAATAGCTGGAGGAACTTTTAATCTTAATGATAAGATTTTCTTTTGTCTTTGTAATCTGACATATTCTGGCCATTTAACGAATCTTGATAAGTTTCTTTTTGGTTGGATAGCTTGACCAATACCAAAGTTCTTTGGGGTTGATTCAATTAATGGGTTGACGTTCTTTGAAGTCTTGGTTGATTTGCTAGCTAATGGAGCTGGAGCTACTTTCTTACCTTTTGGAGCCATTATAGTTACTGAGGTGAATATTTTTTTTTCAATGAAAAATTTGAGATGGTGTTGGTGAGATCCTTAGGGTGAATGCCCTGGATCGTCACGTGAATGTGACTGTTTTGCGCGCAGATATTTTCGCAGCCATTTTCCAGTACTTGTAGGTGTTGGTATACCTAGGTGTGTGCAGTTCAGTAGACGTTGTCGTTGGTTAGGAGTTGCGTATGAGGCTTTAGCGAATGTCAAGAGGTGTCGTTAAGTAAAGAGGTGCCCTTGGTTGTAAAATACTCTCAAAAAAATACTCTGAGCAGTATGAATGAACTTTGGTGGTGGCAGAAACTTGGGTCTTCAATGGCATTTCCAACTGTATTTATCTAACATAACTGAATATCTTACCATCTTGGATTTTCTGGAGGTAGATCTGAAATGTCTATAAATTCCGTGAAACTAGCCAATAGGACGATTCTATTTATAACTTCGTGCATCGCTGGAAATTTCCTCAACAATTCCCCTATAAATTGACACGTACTAAATTCACCAATAAAATCAAACAAATGCTAAAGGGGCAAAAAATAAACGGTTTGTTTGCATGGAACACACCAAATTAGGCATTGGCTTGAATGCCTAACCTTCAGAAAAAACGCAAAAATGTTTGACCCAATAAAGTTAGCCCAGAGGATATTTCGGGTATAATAACTTCAATAATATTGAAACATCTGTTTACTATTGGTAGTAAACTCCAAAAACAAGATTTACAATAAAGTATTGTGACCTAAAGAAGTAAAACTAGATCGGAACTGCGAGTTAGGAGACCCGAAAAAGTGGTTGCGAAAATTCCGTACCACTCGTGTGAAGGTCTTATCCGCCGTTACTACGTAGGGCTTTCCGAAGGACTCCAGGGAGAAACAGCTAAGAGATAACTAAGAGACAACTAAGAGATAACTTAATATTATTGTTCATTAATCATTACCTATTACCTATTACCGTACCTCTAATTTTGAGGTAACCACCTTTTATTAACCCACCCTTTTACAGTGTATTGAGTCTTAGTTATTCCTGAATTAGGATTTGACCCATTTATTAAATACTTCCCGTCACAACCTGTTGGTTTAATGGATTTCTTATTCATCCACGGGATATTATTACCATTCATTACAATGGATTTGATATTATCTCTATCATTACCAACAAATACATAATCTTTATGATCTATATCTGTTGGCATTTCATCTAATCTTGGAGGCAAGATGATATTTTGCCATAATTTGTCCTTTGATGCATTGGACACTTTATAAATATTATATTTTTTATGAAATTTTTGTAAACTTTTGTCAATTATGAAATTTTCATGATCTTGGGGTAAATACCCTTTAACTCTACTTGAATAATCTTGTGCATACAATTTAAGAAAATTACAATTAATTCTTTCATCTCTATTCTTTACTTTTGTAATGTGATGAATAATTTCTTGGGGTTGAGTTTCATTAAATGTAGTTAATTCTATGTCGTGGAAATGTTGCAAATCATCGAAATTCTCCTCTAACTCGATTTCTGATTCATAAGAATCAAAGGATTCATCGGAATCTTCCGATTTGATAGATTCTACCTCTTTTGTTATTTCTATGATATCGTTATTAGGAGATAACTTCTTTAAAAAGTCCACATTTAATTTATCAATAACTAAATTACTTAAGATATTGATCTTATTGGATGATGAATCACTTTTACATTTACCTATTTTCATGAAAAGCTCTTCATCATAATCATCAAATGAGTGACTGATAGAGAAAATCGATTCATTATCACTTAGACTTGACAAACTATTATCTGAATTCGAATAACTTAACTTATTCGTTATAGGGATGGGAAGAATCATGGTGTTTAATCGTTGCTGGTATCTTAAAACAAATTAATCAAAACAACACCTTATCTGAGACAACTTCTTCTTCTTCAACGTCTAAATTTAAGGAATTGAATGGTTTTTATATCCTGTCACTAAAAATTTCATAAAAACGCAAAATAAGAGGCCCCAAAAGAAATCATACTGATAAGCGACATAATGTTCCATGGATTACGCGGTGTCGCGGGGGAAGACAATTCCTATGTCGTGATGCAGACGGGTTACATGAATTTTGACAAATGGCATTTAGAGATCTTCACTGTTTTTGTTCAAAATGATTGCTATTATAAAAGTTTAACCTAATGGTGTTCATTATTCAACAGTATGTTCGTCTTATGTATTAATTGAAAAAAAAAAGATTAAATAAATTTTTTGCCCTAAATGCCTTTATTTCCAAGGCAAAGTTAATTCACCCATTTGTTATTCCATCGTCTGCGGATGTGTTTTTTCTGCCCATTGGGCTTTCCATGGATTTTCCTTCCATTTTTGTAAAAATGCTGTTACCCGGCCGCATTTTTGTCTGAGGTTTCGCGATCTGTAGTTTCGGCGGTTCAACCGCTCGAATCGAATTCCTTAGTTTGTTCGACAATTCCGCACTGCCAATTCCGCTGGGTTGGCGTCGCCAATATCTCAATTAGGTAATTCTATCTCACGTGATCATATCCCCTATTTAACTTTCTCTTTATTATTTTATTTGATGCCATTCCGCTGATAGTGCTAGATAAGCATTTTAACCGACTGAACCCACCTGGGTCAATTATCTTCTAAAGTTTTCATAATCTAATTCATCCAATTCATCCATTTCAAAATCTCTATCATTTTGTTGAACTTCTATATAGTTCATTTTTGGTTTACCACTGTTATAATACTCTTCAAACAATTTATCTACATGTTCTAACTCAATTCCTTTAGTTTCCGGGTAATAAATGATAACCACTATTATGGAAATCACACACGAACAAGCAGGGAAAAGATACAATCCCCATTCAATGGACTCTTGTAAAATAGGAGTCAATTGACCAACAATGTAATTTGCCAACCAATTTGTGGCTGTTGCTAATGACACCCCTTTTGATCTCACGGCTAAGGGGAACACTTCTGGTGGGATTAAGAACCCAATAGGTCCCCAACTATATCCGAAAGCCGCATTATATATGATAACTAATAAAGCTACCAAATTTGGAGTAAATGATTTATTCAAATACATGACGAACGAAATGAGATAAAGACATATAGCCATCATTAGACCCCCACTTACTAAAATTGGTTTTCTACCCCATTTATCTGCTAAAAACCATGGTGGGATTGTGGAAAGTAAGTATACCAAGGCATTTATACCTGTCATTAACAAGGCATTAGAATCATTGAATCCTGCTTCAGCGAAAACCATTGGCGCATAATAACTGATGATATTTATACCATTGAATTGAGCGAATGCAAATGAAGAACAAGCAATTAACACTCTAGTCAAATAATTCTTGAACATATTCTTCCAACTTCTTTCGAATTTGGGAATTAATATTCTCTCGTTCAAGATACTGTTTTTGATTAAAAAGAATTCCTTGATAGGTTTATCATATTCTGGATCAGAAGCGTATAATAAACTCAATACATGGAACCCTTGTTGGTCGTGGTCGATGTCCAAAAGATATCTTGGACTCTCAACAATAAAGAAACCTCCTACGAAAAGAATGAAAGCAATAAGTACTTGGATGAAAAGTGGTAGTCTCCAACTTAAATTTGCAGCAAAAGAATGAGGGTTCTCTCTAGCGTCCCCAACATTTTGGATGAAATAACAGAAATAATCTACCCATACACTTAAAGCATAACCACTTATATTTCCGGTAAATTCCCCACAAACCAATTTTCCTCTTTCTTCACTTGGAGAGATCTCACATTGATAACTTGGGACTATAGTTGATAAAATCCCCACACCAAATCCACTGAGTACTCTTCCAACGGAGAAAACATAAAGATTGGTAGCGAAACTTTGCAAACACCCACCAATCATGAACACGAACGTTCCGATCAAAATAGTTCGTTTTTTTCCTAAATAATCACTCAATTTTGCTACTAACAACGAACTGATCATTGCCCCGATCTCCAAAATTGAGATGATAAGTCCAATAGTGGTAGCATCGGGATTATCAAAATATCCGTTAAACGTCACAAACGTTAAAATCCCCGAACAAACCCCTTGTTCGTATCCAAACAATGACACAAATAGCGATACAAAAGCTGAAGTGAAATACACAAGACGGGTTCCTTTGAATGATAACTTTGATGTATACCGTTTGTAATCAAAATCAATGGTATAGGAATTACCAAAATCATCGGTATATTCCGATTGATTGTACCTTATAGGGTCGTGTTCATCGAAATCTTCATCATGACTATCTCTATAAGTGTTTTGGGGTTCGTCACCACTGCCCAGTTCTTCATTGGTATCAGAAAATGGGTCACTGGGATCACTTGAAGAACCGTCAGGATAATCAATGTGACTACTCTCTATCTTTTCAAATTGACGGTTACTGATCACCTTATGGTTCAGTTTGGGTGGTTTATGTATTAACTTATCCTCTTCCATAATTTGAGTGTAGTCTGGATCTCACGTATCTCGTTAAAGGAGGATTGCGAAATGACGTAACTGGGGTCGAACAGTGAGAATCGGGGGAATAGGAGAATGAATTGGTGTGAGAGTTAGGTTGAAGACGTGAATGGGTTTAGAGTACACTGTTGGTGTTTCTGTGAGCTTTCAGTGATATTTTGGCCGGTTTTATAGGGCGTTAGGGACGTTTTCAATCACTTATTGTGTAGCTGATAGTACGCGGTGCATGCACGACATTTAGTCATTAAGAGAACATCTATTGAACGATTTGTAGTACATAACCTAGTAATCTTGGTGGTGTGGTGGAGAGTGAATGTGTTTCTAATTGCAGGGTTGAAGCAATTATGTTTTCAAAAAATTTTTTTTTTACGAAATTCACAATTCTTCAAGTTTCCCATGAATTGAGTTTCAGATAGAAATTTTAATGAATCTAAAAATAAGAAAAAATTGGAAAACAGTGAGTGCAATTTAAGTCATTTAGTGTGCATAGAAAGCCTTTAAGCAAGTTTTTAGAGCAATTAGGACAAGATTTAGTGCCAATATCTTAAATTAAAATTCAAGAACTGGAGACATTATATGAGCACAGGATAAACTTTCACCGGTGTTTAAGCATTTTAACTCTAGCAGCGATAATTACCATAGAATTTCAAAAGTCATCTAACTCTATTGACATACTTAACTCCACAAACATCAGCATTGATCTCTTATCTTAAACCCGTACACCAATATATTTCGCAACCATATTTCATGTAGTACCTAACAACTAGCGAAACAAAGCATGGAATTACAGCAACAGTAGGAATGACAGAATTACGATCCCCCTTTGACGAACTGTCAAGTGACAAAATAGAAAGGAGGATGCAGCAATTAAGAGGAAGTTTCGGATCGGGTAAAGTTTATCGTCCGGCCAATGCCCTTGAACTGTTGAAATTCTTCGCCTATACAAGGCCCAGCTCCCATTATAGATGGTTCTCATTCCCTGCCGCAGTTTCACAGGTAATTTCAGCCTGGAGAAATCGTTCCAGAACGTCAAAACCTGGAACTCCCTGGTTTGTTTCACTTGGCTGGAAGAATGATTTACTTAGATGGTTGTCCACACAATTCGCACCCTCTTGATTAACTTTTTGCCGAAAACTTTAACAATTTATGAGCATTCAACGTCCTATTGATTCCAATCACTTGGTCGGATCACCCACAAGGCTTGCAAATCATTCCATAACATAGCCAGTAACCCTCAATGGCTTTAAATCTCGAAAAAAAAAGTCTGGCAAGTAAAATTCTAACAATAGCACCCTTTGATTTTTTTCGCAATCAACCAGCCATCGGGGTGCGGTAACCAATTCCCTTATATAAGTCAGGGGATGGCCCAGGAAGGGGATTTTTAAAGGTACAGAAACATCTTAATAGTATAGCTTAAAAATGAAACAGAGGTTAACATCGTTCGATGCACCTCCTGAGATCCCAGCGTTGGATTTGGATCTTTCGCATGCTATATCAAGTTTTAGACCGGGGCATTTGAATGAAGAAGATATACCTGAAATCCCTGTGATAAAGAAGAATGGGAAATTCAGAAAATATAGAAGAATTGTTAGTATGCCATTGATGAAACCCCAATTTTCCCAAAGTATGGTAACTTTGAATACTGATAAAGAATTACCTACTCCTCCAAAATCATCGTTATCAACATTAGGATCACCATTATTGACATCGAGTGAACTTACACTACCACCAAGACCATCTGAAGGGAGAAGAAGTGTTACAATGGCAAGTTACAGATATTCAATGCCACCTTTGATGGAAGATGATGATGAATTTTACGATTTACTTCACTTAAAAGGTCAAACAGGTCCAGGAAGTGCCATTACTGATACCACCATGAGCACTGGTAGTACATCTCCCAGTAAAATGTCTATGGATGACGTTGACAGTTTATTCTCTGATAATTCAGACCGTACTGAAGATAGTGATTTGGCTGCGAAAAGTTTAATGGAGGTAGTGGAAATTTACAACCGTGATTCTCAAGAAGATTTGGCTCATGGTAATTTAGGTCCATGGGATATTTACCGTGATTACGAGTATAACAATAGCGATGATGAGGGTGACAGTGAATATAACACTGAGAGTATTTATTCGTCATATACTGAATTTTCCAATATTTCATCAAAATTCATCGAAGAACCTAAACATGATAGCATCAGTGGCATGATTGATGATACTGTTAGTGTCAAAGATAGTTTATTCAGTTTCAGCTCAGAAGAACCCAATGTTGAAGTCATGGACTCTAAAAGCAAATCAACCTTATCTTTGAACAAAGATTTACCACCATCTCCTACCGATAGCATTCAACCTGAACCCACATTAGCATTAAAATACCCATCAACTCCTTTGGAAGTGAAGAAAGCCAGAGTCAATTTCGATACCTCACCTCGTGTGCTATCCCAACCACCTGCAAAGTCTCCAGAATTACCAAGAAAGAGTTCCATTCGCCATAGGAATTCATACTCAAGACCCGTCAGTATGTATGATCATAGATCTGTACTGATGTCACTTGATGCATACCGTGGAGTGTCTAATGAAAGACCATTGTTAGAAAGTCCAGTAAGACCAATAAGTTTATACCAACCTAATGCCAGTCAATCCAATGTCAGTACGTCAAGTTTCATGACTGCGGTAAGTTTGTCTGAAGCCAAGTCTGAATTGAAGAAAGAGGTAAGACAAAGACCTTTTAGTTTCAGTCTTGATACCGGAGAAGATTATGGATACTCCAGATTTAAGCATATAGCTCCAAGGTCAGTGTCGGGGAATCCCTATGGCACGACATTTTTGGGTGCAAAAAATTGTGAGACATTTCCCCAGAGTTACCAAGGGAATCACATCAATACCAAAAGCCCCAACAGAAGAAGTTTCCTGACTCCCTTGACACCTCCAACCCCACAATCAAGAGTGTTTCTGGTTACTGAAAGCCCTTTCCCACCACAGACTCCTCCCAAAGATAGTCCTCCAACCCCATTAACCCCAGTATCTCCACTGCCAAATGAATACTGGGATCATGACTTCAGAACCACTATCAATAATACCAAGATGAACAACCAAGCAGTAAATAAGGATTTGGGTCTTCAAATCAGGAAGAACCTTCCTAGCCCCGAAAAGAGAGATAAGAACCTCAAGCACATAGCTAATTATTTGACAAGGGAGAAGAACAGTCAATTGTATTTATAGGATGTAGAGTAATGTAGAGTAAGCCGATTGTATTATTCGTAATTGTTTTATTCGTATCTGACGTAAGCTATCCTCTCACAATTTGACCACCATATCATTCCCCCGATATGAGTCTATCAAATCTTTAATGCCATACTTCTCTGCAATCTTATTGTTGATAAACCTCCCTCCGAGGAAATGAACCCCCGAGAAATGTGCTGAACAAGGTTTTGGGGCGGTTAAACTTACCAACATCGTGGGCTTAATATCTGGAGTATCAGATAATGGACCTGAATCAACATCCCATCCACTGGGAATATCTATCGATACTATAGGAGCAATTTTGGTGGTGTTTTCTGCCATGTATGAGATCAACTCGTCAAAAGGGGACCTTATTGGAGGTTTGAAGGAGAATCCAAAAAGGCCATCGATGATAACCTTGCTTTTGGTCATCATGGTTTTAGCTTCATCAAGGGACTGAATCTCTTTTACCTCCAAATCTTTCAATTGAACCATGAGATTGTGGAATAATGGTTTGGATGGTTTCTTAGGGAAATATACCACAGGATTATAGTTCCAAAGTTTCAAATGTCTGGCAGCAACTAATCCATCACCTCCATTATTTCCTGGACCTACGAGGACAAGAATCTGATCTTGAGGAGTGGGAGGATATTGAATGAAAACAGATTGAGCTACTGCTAGGCCAGCTAGTTCCATAAGTTGATCAATGGAAAATGCCCCTGTAGACATAAGTTCTTGGTCTAAAGAGGCAGCAGCTTTGGCGGTAAGGGTTTTAAACATGATTGAAGAATTATTAACAGTGCGACCTACGTAGGTCGACGCCAATGGCGTGGTGGCACGATAAAATAAATGCGGTACTGTCTAATTTAAGGGGATGTCGCGGTAATGCTAACGGTACCTTATATGGTACCATGGACAGTGCGAAACCAGTCCATCACCGGTTCCTCGTTTCAGGTCCACTCCCCCCCTCCAGCCATAGAAAGAAAAAAGAATGTGCGCGTCAACATCAACAACAAGGCACAATCATGGACGAACTGTATTCCTATGAATCCCCATCAATGGTGGCCTCTCCCATGATCAACTACCGTAAAGATGCTCGTAAAGGTGTGAAATTCACTTTTATGGTGGTAGGAGAAAGTGGAACAGGTAAAACCACTTTCGTCAACAGTCTTCTCAGTAAGAAAGTGATGGCTCACCGATTTGAAAATTCCAATCTCGCTATTGTCGATACCAATACCATTTCTTTCACTTCAGCTAAGAACGTTACCTTACCAAATACTTCCATTCTTACTAGAAATGACTTCGACCCAGCTATTGCTCACGAAGAGCCAGGAATCGCTATAACCGAGACCAAAGTTGAGATCATCGATGATGCCAATACCAAGCTCCAATTAACCATTGTTGATACCCCAGGATTTGGTGATAACTTAAACAACGAGGTGTGTTTCAATGAGATTGAAAATTACTTAAAACAACAATTTGACCTTGTTCTCGCCGAAGAAACCCGAATCAAAAGAAATCCTAGATTCGTTGATACCAGAGTTCATGTTATGTTATATTTCATATCACCAGGAGGTCACGGATTGAAAGAATTGGATATCAGTTGTATGAAAAAGTTATCCAAGTATGTTAATATCGTACCAGTAGTGGCTAAAGCTGATGCCTTCACCGTTGAAGAATTGGCTCATTTCAAATCTCAAATCAAAATTGACCTTGAAAAATTTAATGTTCCTATTTTCCAATTTGATAATTATTTGAATGAATATGATGAAGATGAAGATTATGATTTGATTCAAGAATGTAAGTATTTGGCACTGATTCAACCATTTTCAGTTATTTCATCAGAAGATGAATTTGAAGTGGTGGAAAATGGTCGTACTAAAGTCATAAAAGCCAGACAATATCCTTGGGGGATCATTGATATTATGAATAAAGAATATAGTGATTTCCCTGTATTAAAATCAGTATTGTTAGGATCTCACCTTCAAGATTTCAAAGATTTAACCCATGATTTCCTTTATGAAAGTTATAGAACTGATAGGTTAACCAAGGTTACTGGTAGTAATTTAGGTGGTTCAGATGCTATTGATGATGGTACTACAGGAGGTGATTTTAGTACCAGTATTCCATCATTGAGTAATTTGGCTCAATTGACTTCAACTACTGCTTTACCTCTTGATGATGATAATGCTTCATTTACTTCCACTACCTCATCAAAGAAACCTAAATCTATGTTGTTGGATGATTCAGATCTTCAATCATCACCTAGAAAAGATAGTGCATCATTCACATCATCAACTTCCACGATTTCTTTGGATCAATCCCCACGTAACTTGAATACCAATAATCCAGCATTTAAGAGATTATCAATTGCTCCACAAAGAAATCAATTAAGACAAATCAGTGAAACTGTTCCTTATGTAATCAGACATGAAAGAATTGCTGAAAGACAACAAAAATTAGAAGAAATGGAAATGGCAAGTGCTAAAGAATTAGCTCATAGAGCTGCTATGTTAGAAAAGAGAGCTGCTGAATTGAAAGCTAGGGAAAAGGCATTAAAAAAACAAATGGAATTACACAAAGAAGAAGCTGATGAAAGTAAAAAGGAAGAAGCAGATCATTCAATCAGGAAAGAAGAAACGTTGACGGATTTACATTCTATAGTGAAGAGTCAATAAATAGATGTTAGTGCGACAATTATACTCTAAGGTGGGTATGGATAGTGAGAAGTTGACGTCCAATAGTGGGAATTTGGGCCCAAAAAATGAACTTAACCTGTGCTCGCGGCTGAATCGCTGAGTTGATCTGGGATGATCCCCATGATATCGATGACCCAAAACACCCACTGACTTGATTTCTATCACCAAACGTACCTTACTCTCATAACCGCACCATAATTCTCTGCCTATAATCAAAATACTTGCCACCAGTTGTATCATCCTTTACCCTATAATTGCTGCGACAAGGGTTCTCATGCCAAATTTACTGCGAAGGTCTCTAAATTCGTCGCCCGGCCTGGCGCCACCTTGAGTCAAAATTCGCACTCGTCAAAATTTTCTCATCATTGACTTCCAACAGTCCTTATTGTTAGTCTTCTTATCACCAATCACCTGAATTAGAACCCTTGAATAGTTCTCCTGTGATCCCCGTGCTAGTTACTACCATGGACATTGCTCAAATCTTAGAAAATGCCATTTTAGGGATCGATCCCAACGTTAGGGCTCAAGCTGAAGCCCAATTGAACGACGCTGCCACAAATCATTTCGTTGATTACGTAGGTTATTTATGTGGCGTGTTAGCTGATGATAACGCAAAGACCGAAGTCAGAATGTTAGCAGGGATCGCCTTAAAGAATCAATTGGTAGCTAAAGATTCTACCACCAAATCTCAATATCATCAAAGATGGTATAATTTGGATGATACCGTTAAATTGAATGTTAAGAACATTTCCATCCAATCATTATTATCCCTGGATGAAAGAGTAGGGAAGTCTGCTGCTCAGTTGGTAGCAGCTATTGCCGAAATCGAATTACCCATTAATCAATGGCCCGAACTTATGACCCTTATGATCGATAATACTAAAGCTGACAAGGAAATTCTCGTCAAGAAAGCTTCGTTATTGGCTATCGGTTATATTTGTGAAGCCCTTAATCCTAATGATCCTAATATCATCGAACAAGCCAATGGAATTTTAGTAACAATCATTCAAGGTGCTCAACCTAACGAAGAAACCAGTGTAAGATTGACAGCTTTGAACGCGTTGGTTAATTCCTTAGAATTCATCCGTTTCAATTTCGATAAAGAAGGTGAAAGAAATTATATCATGCAAGTTGTTTGTGAAGCTACCCAAGCTGATAATGTTGATCTTCAAGAAGCAGCTTTTGGATGTTTGGCTAGAATCATGGCATTATATTATCGTTATATGTCAGTATATATGGAAAAGGCATTATTTAATTTGACCGTATCGGGGATTCAAAGTCCTAACGATCGTGTAGCTTGTATGGCTATTGAATTCTGGTCTTCAGTATGTGAAGAAGAAATTGATTTGTCAATGCAAAGAGAAGAACTTGGTGATTCTTTACAAGAAGAGTATGCTCAACATTTGATTAGTTATAATTTCGCTTTGGTATCAATTCAATCTACTTTACCAGCTTTATTACAAGCTTTAACTCGTCAAAATGATGATGCTGAAGATGATGATTGGTCAGTTTCAATGGCTGCTGGTGCTTGTCTTCAATTATTTGCTCAAAATACCGGATCTTATGTTATTGAACCAGCTTTAGCTTTTGCTTCAGAAAGAATTTCAAAAGATTCTTGGAGAGATAAAGAAGCTGCTGTAATGGCCATTGGATCAATTTTAGATGGTCCAGAATTAGAAAATTTGAAAGATCCTCTTAATAATGCTTTAGTACCAATTGCTGAATTAATCAGTAGTGATCATCTTCAAGTTAGAGAGACTGTAGCCTGGTGTCTTGGTAAAATTGCCGAGATTGCTATCAGTGTTATTGATTTAGATACCCACCTCCCAACCATTTTAATGGCAGTATCCATTGGATTAAAAGATCATCCAAAAGTTATTACCAATTGTTGTTGGACTTTTATGAATCTTATGGAACAACTTTGTACACAAGGACCTCATGAACCTAATACTGTTTTATCAGGAAGAATTGAAGGTATTGTTGAACTTTTAATAAACTTATCAAAACAAGATGATAATGAAGGATCATCACGTGATGCTGCATTTGAAGCATTATCAGTATTCATTCAATCAAGTGCTCAAGATTCCCAACCAATAATATATGATATGGCTACTGATGCTTTGGCTCGTTTAGACCAAACCATTAACCAAGGTAATAATCTTAGTGCTGATATGAAGAGTAACTTGGAAGATTTACAAACAAGTATTCTTGCTCTTCTTACTACCATTATTAGGAGATTAGGTGCTGAAACCCAAACTGCTAGTGATGGTCTTATGACGACATTCTTACGTTTATTAGGAACTTTAGAACCTAATGCTTTAATTGAAGAAGATGTCTTCATCGGTATATCTGCTGTGGCCATTGCTATTGGTGATAATTTCCTTAAATATATGGATGCTTTTGCACCATTTTTAGTTAAAGCTTTAACTAATACTGATAGTCCTACTGCTAGTACTGCTATAGGGATTGTAGCAGATTTAGCCCATTCTTTAGGTAATTCTATTCAACCTTACCTTCAAGAATTAATGAATATTTTGGGTAGTAACATCAGTAATGACCAAGTTGAAAGATCGTTGAAACCGGCTATTTTCTCCTGTTTTGGACATTTAGCCACTTCATTAGGAAAACTGTTTGAAAGTTATATCGAATTTGTATTCCAAATGTGTAGATTGGCCAATAGTATTCCTGACGATGGAACTTCCGATACTGCTGATTTCTTATTTAATATCAAAGAATCAGTATTGGAATGTTATTCAGGTATTGTTGGAGGTTTACAAGAAAATGGAGGAATCTTATTTCCTTATATGGGAGAAATTTTTCACTTTTTAGAAGCTATATCTATTGATATTGATTTGATAAGTATCGAATCTATTGCATCATCAATTGTAGGATTATTAGGTGATATAGCATCAATGTTCCCCCATCAATTCTCTCAAGTTTATTCAAGTGCTTGGGTAATTGAAGTTATTAAAAGGACAAGATCTAATGTTAATTTTAGTGATACTACGAGAAATACTGCTAGATGGGCTAGAGAGCAACAAAGGAATCAAATAATATGATTTATAGCATTAATATATATTGTGAAGATATTTTATATATAACATATAAATCTATGAACACAAAAAAGAATTTAGCCACAAATAGGAATTTAGCCACAAAATGAAATTGTACCATAATTGTAGACACGAACAACTTACGGTTCGGAAAGGACAAGTTTACAGAAGATAATGAAGGAGTTTGAAAGGGGTGGTTCCGTAAGGAGTTCTTCAATTTAAAATTTCCGTAATGAGGACAAGTATTCAAAGACGTGTGCACAGAATTCTATTACCACCACAAAATCTACGATCATTAAAACTACGAACTCCCTAAAACAGATAAAAGATTATTTTTTTGCGGGATTAGCCATGATATGTGTAAAACCAGATAATCAAATTATCGATAAAGTTTAAGTTTTTATGTTCTCTCAAAAGAAATATAATTACAAAGGACACAAAGAGAAAGGTACAAAGAGAAAAAAAAAGTTGAGGGTCTTTGTTACAGATAATTGCTCCTTGCTGGTCATATAAAAATCTATTACCCAATATCTTTGATATCCCATCGCATCCCTTCATTCCATTACATTCTCTTTAAGACCCCTTCCATTCCCATCACCTTACCAAGATTTTATGCATCTCATTCTACGCGATCGTTAGGCTTTTTTATAACCATGACAACGTTATTACCCAATTGGTACTTTTAACCTTTTCCAGAGGTTAATTGCTCTGTGGAAAAGTCTCAAAGTTAATCCCCAAGAGTTTATCTGGTCAATCGTGAGTCTTCATGGGCCATAAATCCGGACATGATAAAGCTTTAGATAAGACAAATACCAACACTCACTTATCAATTCTCCTTCAAGCTAACCTCATCTCTTGATAATACTTGACTCATTTACACCAGCCTAGACCTCCTTTGTCCTCTAGCCTCCTTTCAAAGGAGTCAATACTCGACTAATGCCTTTATTGTACTAAAACAATAAGATAAAAATGAAAAATTCATCGCGTGATTCTCAAAAAGGTGAAATTATACTCTATTTTAACCCAATTGAGAAATGATAGTTTTTCCCAATTGCATTTGTACCACCAATTTAACCACAAATAAAAAATTTCAGTTTTTTGAATATTACGACCATACCTATTGTTTGACATTTAAGAGAAATTATTTTTAACCCTTTACATTCCTTCAAGGGTTCAAATTTGTTTAAAAAGATTCAATTCCCAGAATTTTTCAAATTATCCAATCCTTTAAAATCAACCAATTTATTTTGGGATGCCAACTTATTTCCCTAATGATATAAAGTACAATCCTGTACCCTTTGACTTAACTTATGTGGTATATGATCCTAAAGATCCTTTAGGAATACTTTGTGTTCATTTGTCATTATTCCCAATTTACACCATGGTGTTTTACGCATCGTGGTTTCTCTTAACAAGAGAAATTGAACCTGTTATTGTGGTAGGTGGTCATCTTGTTAGTGAAATCATCAATAAGTTTGCAAAGAAATTCTTGAAAGAACCAAGACCAGATTTCCATAAAGAATTTGGTACTGGTTCTTTAAGTTATGGTATGCCTTCAGCCCATGGTCAACATATGGGATTCTTTGTAGGTTATTTCCTTTGTATACTATTATTCAAAATTAATAACTTACCGCCAATGCAAAAATACCTTGGATGTATAATATTATCTTTGACTAGTTTGGGTGTATGTTTTTCAAGAGTTTACTTATTATACCATACTGCACAACAAGTAATTGTTGGTACATTATTTGGAATGTTCTTAGGAATGAGTTTCTTCTTAGTTACTTCCGTTATGAGAGATGTGGGTCTTATAGATTGGATTCTTAGCTGGCCTTTTGTAAAATTTTTTTATATAAAAGATTCTTATTTCCATAGTTATCAAAGTTTTAAAGATGAATATGATTATTATTTATCATTAAAATCTTCAAATACTTTGACTAACTTAACAAAAATATGATATAGAGTTTAATTGGATTGTTTTGGTGTTAGTAATATATATTTTATGAATTTTATTTGTGGAATCTCTAATTTGAAAAATCTTTATTTGTGAAATCTACAATTTAAATCCACAAAAAGAAAAAATACACGTAATAAAAATTCACAGAAAAAAATAGAATAAAATCCACAAATAGGAATTGAAAAAAAAACTCGAGTTTTAAAACATTAAATTCTACGATATAATATGTATTAATTGTTATGTATCACAAGTTGATGTAAAATTCTTGAAAATTTAAAAATCATCCCAATCATCATCTTTTTTACCTCCACTAGCACTACCTAAATTAGTTGATTGGTTAGGTTTTTGGAATCCAAAAGCAGTTTCAACTTCTTCTTTTTGATGATCAGTTAAATTATCGAAAAAGTGACCAAATTTAGCATCTACAGTTTTATTGAACCCATTGGATTGGATCTCTTTTGTGAAACTTTGGAAAGTTTCTTGACCATATTTACCAGTTTCTGTCATTTTTTGACCGAATTGAGCCATAGCTCTTTTGGTTTCACTACTTATATCACTTTGTTGAATTTGATTCAAACCTGGTTTAATAACAGATTCATGAACTTCATTAACAGATTTAGCTACAGTTGATGAGAATAAACCCCATCCTTTTGATAAAGTACCTAAAGGATCAGTTTGTAAGTTATCTAAAGTAAAACTTGAGAATGAACCTTTAGCAGCTGGTTGAGGAGTATTACCAAATCCTCCGTATTTACCTCCTTGAGATGGTGGTAAGTCTTCAGGACGGGAATCATTTTTATTACCTAAATCAGCAAAATAAGCTTCATTCTTTAATCTTTGTTCTGTGGTTAATTTTGGAGGATTACTACGACGGTTTTGGATAGCATCCTGTGGAGCTGATGTTTGACTAGCTTGGTTTGAACCCAAAGAATCTTTGGTTGGTAAAGATTCTCCAGAATGATCTTTGGCAACAAAATCTTTACCTTCAACTAAACAACTCAATCTTTCCTTATAATCTTCAGCCACGTAATTGTCATATTTTTGTTTTGCTGGAAGAGTCAAGTCAACACCATTGGTTTCAAAGTACAGTTTCAAACTATCGTTACCACCGTGTTCCATTCTAAGGACTTCTTCAGGTTTAAATTGATCCATAGTGATAGATCTAACAAACGAGATATGAACTCCCAAACCTCTATGTACCCCAGCACATTCAAGACAAATGAAAATTCCAAATTTAGGTGAAGCCCATTGGGGATTAGGAGCACCACAATCGATACATCTCTTATTTCCACCGTTTTTTTGTAATACTAAAAGCTTTCTACGAGTTTCTGGATCTATTGACATCGCGTCGACGATTGAGATAAGGGTGCGAAGTTTGTTAACCTGATAGCCCCATCTAAGGTGCGAAGAGTTAGACAGGGGACATTTACTTAACGATACGAAATACTTACCTATAACTTCATAACTGGGTCACTGTTAGCTTTAATGATGTTAACTGGATATTCATATTTAGTAGAGAATACCCCACTATGCCAAACAGCTCCATCAACTATCTGAATAGTACCTGTAACGTACTCAGCAGCTGATGAGAAAAGATAGATAGTAGCTTGAGCTATATCTTCAACTCTACCGTATCTTTGTAAAGGAATTTTACTTTTAGTTTCGGTTTTACCATTTAATCTATCCATACCCTCAGTACCTTCAATGAATCCTGGAGCAATACAATTAGATCTAATACCTAAAGGACCTAATTCTACAGCCAAAGCATTAGATAAAGCATCAACACCAGCTTTTGCAGCACCAACATGAACTTGAAATGGGATTCCATAATAATGTAATGTAGCAGATACAAAAAGAATAGCTCCTTTATTCTTTCTCAATTGTTCGAAACATGCTTTGGCGGTATTGAAAGATCCAAGTAAATCAATTGAAACCACCGATTTGAAGGCATTGGAAGATAAATGATTAAAGTCACTGAGGAAATTCCCAGCAGCTCCTGCAATGACATAATCAATTCTACCCAATTCTTTAACTGTTTTATCAACAGCTTTGACCAAAGATTGAACATCTCTGACATCTGTATTACTACATTCAACTACTTTAGCTCCAGGTCTTAATTGAGCTATTTCTTTAGCTGCTTGAATAGTCTTTTGAGGATTTCTACCTACAATAGCAGCATTTGCTCCCAATAATACCATTGCTTCCGTTTGAGCTCTACAGATAGTACCAGCACCTCCAGTTACGAATACAACCTTTCCTTGGAACAAATTGTCCTTCCAAGGACCATTTTCAATGAAACTTCTATTGAGCTTGAGGTTTGTCATGATTGATTTATGGTGAGATTTCTCAGATGGAAATTCTGGGGAACCGAGGGGAGAATGTGAAAGTGAGTTTGAGCCTGTGACTTTGTTTTACAACCGATATACATAGTGTGCAAGAGGGGCATGGTATTGACCCGATGGCCGGAGTTAAAGCAGCAGATATTGTTGAGAAGGTGTTTAAGCAGATGCTTTTGAAGGAGGGATTTTGTAATGAGAGAGTGTCAAGTGAGAGACATAATGAGGAAGTTATCAATGAGGAATTACACAATATGAAAGTTATCAAGAAGAGATCAAAGAGTGTGGAAGGGTGTAGAAAGAGCTTCTGTGTTGGTCAATCTGCTCACAGCATCTATTGATCTATCATATATCATTATCATTAACTCTCTTCTTTGGTTGTTCATCTTCATCATCGTCTCTCAATCTCTTCTCATTCATATAACTGTCAACCTCTTCTTCATATATTTCCCCGTAATCATCATAAAACTCATCATCATCATCATCATCTTCACTATCACTATCTTCCTCTTCAATGATATCTCCATCTGTCGGAATATCTCTGGAATCCATTACATTGATCTTCAAATTACTAGTATCTAATTGATCATATAAGCTAATTACATTCTTACCTGTTTCAACACCTTCTATCTCATTCAAACAGAAATCTTTGTAATTGTCATGGATATATTTGATCAAAAGTTTGAACGTCGATTTATTCTTTCCGATCCTGATATCGTTTAAAACTTCCAATATGGAAAGACATGTTGAATTAGCCAAATTATTGGCATTATTAACTGTCTTAAAGAACTCAAAATAATAGTCCATCACTTGATTCTTGATAATATACCTCATAATGAACTTATCATTGACGGAAAGTAGATTAGACAAACAGGTTAAAATGCTTAGTTTCAATGTCATCTTACAATTAATCCCCAATAACTTGACTAGTCCAAGAACGATGTTGTTCTTCAAGAAAAAAGGTCGACTTAGAAGCTTCTCATGAGTGATGATACCAAATGATACTAATTCACATAATTGTTGGTATAAAAGTTCATCACTACTGATTTTATCTAGCAATTTCGGAGGAATGGTCTCACAATTGGCTATCTCGATAATATTCTTATAAAGAATAGGTGCTACACCGTTATAGAAAGCTTTGAAATAACTTTCAGTACTGATATCACTACCAGGACTAGTGGCATTAAAGTCGGGGATAGTTCCATTTTCATCGATTTTCCCGATATTATTATCTAGAAGATTCTTTAAAGCCTGAAACGCTTGCATTTTCAAACCAACATTCTTCTCCTTCAACAATACTTGTGCTAGAAGTGTTATCAACGTCATATCATCACTGAGCTTCAAGCCGAACTTCTTATCACCGGCTTTTTGAAACTTATCAGAATAATTTACTGGAGGTTCAAAATTATCAATTCCTTCTCCATCAATAGAATTAACCAACGACACATCTTGTTCAATGATACTCACTATAAGATCAGTTCCGAGAATCTTTATGCTGAACTCATCATCATTCAAAGCATATTTGATCATATCGAATAATCCATTAGATATCAATAAGGATAAGAAGTCAGTTCTTTGGAAACTTTGAAGATTCTTCGTCAATAAGATATATTGATGAATTAATCTTATACCATTCCGTTTCAATTCGACGTTCTTATCATCCTTATAATAACCAAAAAGTTTCTCTAGGAATCGGTCGTTATTCTGAGAATCTTTAAGAAACTCAATGATAGCTATTTGATTCATATGGATCAAGGAATTCAACAAACTAAACGTTTGGTCATCTATAAAACGGGCTAAAACAACATCTTTCAAGAACGTTAGGTAATAATCTTTCTTGAAAATGTTAAAAGCTTTGGAATCTTTTAATGGAGGAATACTTATAACCACTTTAAACTTCGCCTTATTGAAGAGAAAGTCCCGATGACATGACTTTTGATTAGGAAACTCAGCGTCGTATTCCAAAATACTGATAAGACCTAAGATTCGGTCTTCATTGGAACAAAAATCTTCCATTATTTTCGATTCACTGTATAAAATCAAATTCTTGATTATTTCACTTAAGGTGTACAAATTGATCAAACTATGGTCATGTTCACTTTGTTCGAAGATTTTGAGTAACAAACTGAAATAATCTTTTTCAACCACAAAGTTAACAATACAATTTCGGGTATAAACTGATGTTGAGCATTGGTTGATAATTTCCAAGATTTCTTCCAAATTAGTCATCAGCGGCGTGGGAGGATATGTTATAGGTCCAGCTACTAACTGAGTAATATCGGAACTTCCACCATTATCATCCAACAGGGTGTTGGGGATGACATAGTATAATGATATTTCAGGTGAATAATTCTCTCGTTGAACATCTATGATAAATTCACAAAGGTCAGCACATCCTTCTGTTTCTTGGAATGATAACGCTATGTCATTACCTTCATGATCTGTCCATACAATCAAAGTATCTTGTTGTCGTTGATATTGGGTTTGACCTTCAAGATAAGCTTTGAGAATTATTTCTTCTTGGTCTAGTTCATTTCGTACCACGAAAAATGGTTTATTGGTATCAGATTCAATATCTCCTGAGCAGAACCCTGTGCCATGATCTATCCAAGCTTCATCTTTTAGGAGGTACACTTTAACACGTCTATGGACTTTAGGTATGATAGCTAGTCTTTTGTCATCTTTTTTTGCATCTTTATTGGTGGATTCGTCAGTAATTAGTTCATCTGATGACTCCTTTGTACTTTCGGATGATTGTTTATCATCAGAAGACCCGTTGGTACGAGATTCCAGTTTATTGGGGGATTGTTCTACATTCGGTTCTAAGATAACACCTTTATTATACGTCATAGAATTTGAGTCTTCGACGTCAGATTTATTTTCCACTACCACGGTACCCATAATAACGCGTCACTTACTTGTTGTGTCACGTCTCTGTTTAATCTATAGTCAAGGAAGTAATACCGTGAACGGATGTTTATGGGGTAAATAATACTGTTGAACAAATGTATTGCGCGCGGTCAGGGTCTGGTTCGAACGAGATGATGGATTGGAGGTTGGAGATGATGAACTTGTGCGATAGACATAGTTGGCTTGGTTGATGTAATTCGAATTTCATTGAAGTGGGGATGATGTTCAGATATTTGAAGAGATAGGAATAAAGCTTGAAAAGATCCAAAAGATTCAAAAGATCTAGGAACCATCTGAGGATCTGGAGCACTTGTCTGAGGTACATTAATATACACCCAATCTATTTACAGCTTAATAACATAAAAGGGCAGCACTAGTTAAATTTCTTAACCAATCAACCTTATCTACATCATGAGTATCTTCAACTTCTCCCCACAGTTTGGTTTGGAAGATAGTTTCTAAATTTCCTAATTCTACAATTTCTTCAATGGTTTTGAAATAATGGTCACCATCTTTATTGATTTGGAAGATTTCTTTTTGTCTTGATTCATCAGCAACACTGGATCTTAATAATACTAATCCACATAAGAATGATTTAGATGTTAAAATAGCTTTTTCCAATGCTACTAATTCATAAACAGTTAAATTATCAAGCCAATGTAAAACTACATTTTGTGTAGTGATGATTTGTCTATTACCTCTTAATCCATCAGTTTCACAATCAAGGTAATTTAATGTGATTTTATAATCTTCTGAAGGTAATAACTTATTGTTCTTACCATAAACTGTGAAGAAATCTTGAAATTCTTCAATCAATGGAAGGTATAATTCATCTTGTTTAGCTCTTAAAGTTCCATTATATTCATCTAAAGTAGTGAAAATAAGACAAGTATCAGTATCAAAGTACCTTAAGAGATTAAGTTTGATATCTTCGATATTTCCAACTTTAGCTACTAAATCAGGATTTTCTTCATCCTTATTGGCATTATATAAATCTATGGATCTAGCGGCAACTGAAGTTAAAGGTAAAGAATTGGTTTGAATCTTTAAAGATGGCAAATTTGACCATTCATGTTGAATCAAATATGCCAATTGTTTTTTACTTTCTGGTAAAGCTAAAGGAAATCCCAAAGGGGTTTTCAAAGTCTTACCATCCAATTGAACTTCATACTCTTTCTTTTGTTCATTATAATAAGTATCAACGTTTTCCCAGAATTTAGTCAATGTCTTAGATAATCTATTGGTATCAGATTTTATATTATTTTCCACGGTTCCCTCAACTCCTAAAGGTGTAGAAGTTGGAATGAACCCCTTCATGGTGCCTTCAGTGGCTCTAAGACCATACCTGGTACTAAAAGTCCTGGAAATCAAGATACTGCTAGTTCTAATACCTGCCAACATCTGGAAAATTTCTCAGTGAGCATAATGTCGATGAATCCTGAAGCTTTACAGAAGTTATTGATAGAGATGGATAACCAACTCAACAAGTCAAGAGCTGAGTTGAATATGTGTAACTTACAATTGGAAAGAGTCGATACCAATTTGAGAATGATTAATCAAACTAGTAATAAGTTAAATAAAGTATGTGGTGATAATGAGACTGTATGGCAAGGAATAGGTAGAACTTTCGTACAAACTGATGTGGGCAGTTATGTTGGAGAGATACTGAAGGATAAGGTTGAATTTGAAGATAGTAAGAAATCATTATTGACAAAGAAGAATTATATAGAGACGACATTAGAGAAGACGGTTGAGAATATGACTAGATTAGTTGGAAAGAATTAATATATGAAGTTATGTTGATTTCTATTTGGTGATGGGGAGATTGGGTTGGTGGTTGTTCTCTTTATGAGGTTGGAGCAGTTCTAAAGGAGATTTTCTGTAATTGGACTGAGGAGGTTTAATACTTGATATGAGCATTATTGAACCGGGCGTTTATTTAGTAAATGAGTAGGCTCTAGGTGGGAGACTTCTAAACGAATGATCTCTTGAATAATCTTCTTCCTTTTGTATCAACCTCCATGGGCCTATGCCATTATTCAAGCTCATTAATCACTGTCCTCATCAACACCATCATCCAATATCCTTCTTTCAATATCTCCTTCATCCTTAACTTGTTTCATCCTCTGGGTCAAAAACACATTGATATTGTCTTGTAAACTTGTAATCTTAGCTCTCAACTGTCCTAACTGACTATCACTAGCCTCAGTTGGTTTATCTCTATCTTCTCCTCCAGCTTTAGTGACAAATTCTGATATCTGGGTGGTTTTACCATTAGTTGAATGAGGACCATCTCCAGCAGTCAAGGTTTTATTTATATCGGGACTTGAATATTCTGCTATTGGTGAGTTCATTATGTGTGTGTGTGTGTGTGTGAAAACGTTAATACTCTGTGGATCTTAGTCTCAGGTCTCAAGTCTCAGGTCTCAAGTCTCAGGTCTCAAGTCTCAGGTCTCAAGTCTCAGATCCTCAGTCAGTCGCACTAGAGTGATTAAACCAGAGAATCCCATCTATTAACTATAATCCTTAATCCCAATCGTCTTGGACATATTAGAATAAGCATTGAACTTCATTTCAATAATCTCATCTTGTGCAAAGTGTAATGAAGGAATATCAAAACATGAAGATGCCATCAAGTACCCGTAAAATACCTTTAAAACAGTTTCATCAGCTATAATAAGAATATCACCACTCATTCTCTCCATTTCCAAAATCAAAGGTTCTATTTTAATGGCTAGATCATGATATGATTCAGCACGTGAGAATCTATGATGATAAGGATCTTTCAAGAATTGTTCATACTCGGTAGGGAACTTTTCGGCGATTTCTTCTTCTGTCATTGATCCTACAATTCCAGGATTCTTTTGTGATAATTGTATACGACTTCTGATCTTGATATTCTTATCTTTGAAGAATCTTGTAGTTTCAACAGTTCTCAGTTTAACTGATGTCCAGACCACAAATGAATTCTCATCAACTCCATCAGCACCAGCTGGGAGATGTTTTTCATCAACAGAATATTGTTTTTTCAAACTTAAAGATGATGAATTATTCGAATGAAGGGATTGTTCAGGACTATTATCAAAGTAATTTTTACCTTGACTTTTCAAATAATCCATTAATGTCATTGAAAGGTTTCTTGCATATCTCTTACCTTCTTCATCCAATGGAGGATCATCACTAAAATCTACAGAATTATTATAACATCTAGCAAAGAACACTGATCCCAGTTTAATTCTTGAATTCATAAGGAAGAAAACCACCTTATTAATCAAATACCCATAACTCGAATTATGTAATTCAATCCGTTCACCAAAATTGATCATCTTGATATATGATAACTTATTATGGTCATCTTCCATGCCCATTGGTTGATAATATGGAGTTAACCCTTCAATTCTTTTACTATAATCTTGATATGCTTTATCATAATCCCAGTTTACGTAATCAGGACTTGATTTAGCTGCACTTTCCATGTTCTTTAAAATGATTTTATCATCAGTGACAGAACTTTCAATGAACAATGTTTGGATATTTAACTTCTTAAACTTAGCATCCAATTCTACTCTGTTCTTAATGAAGGGATTGACTGCATCATAAATAGCTACTTGACCAAGATCATTTTCTAAGAAATTCAAAATGTCGTTAACACATTGATCTATCAATTTCAACCTTTCGTTATTGTTTTCAATGAACAATTTTTGATCTAAATCAGCATCAAAATTTTTCCTTCTATAATCACCTAAATGGAAAACATGAGTTTTAACCCCTAACCATCTTAAATATCTTGTTAAAGATACTGATAAATGAGTTTTACCTCTACCTGGTAATCCAGCTAATATAATACATATTTTCCCCGCGTGGAACAATCTACCTGACTCTGTTGAGTATAATTGAGCTGGTGAAATGTAATCAGAATTGATATGTTTATGAACACCATCAACATCGCTTAATCTTCTTCTACCTTGACTTGAAGCAACTGATGGTCTTTCTACAAGATTTGGTTTTGCTGATTCATGGAATGACCATCTCTTTCTAGTTCTTTTACCAGCAGTAGGAGATTGGGGTTCAATTGGAGCTGAACCAAACCCATGGTTGATTTCATAATCTTCAATTGAATGGCTCATGGGTGAAATGCGAGAAATGCGGGTGATAATAAAATGAGGGTGATGGAAATTCTGTAGGTCGATGAGGATCGGAAATTTAAATATTTTTGCGTCCATCTCGGACCCGCAGTGAACTCATGTGTGGACCCATCATGGACCCATCCCATGGACTCATAGTGGACCCGCAGGACACATTTCCCTCTCTCATCTCCACACTAAAATAACATTATAGAGAATATCAAAACTCAATCAGAGTAAAGAGAGAAAACCTTCCATTAGTTTTACATTAAAAAATGTACAGTTATGTATATGAAATCATTTATTCTAATTTACCACCTTTTCTTTCAATTAAAGCTTTTCTATCTTTATCTAAATGTAATTTAGTGATAACAACTTTTGATGGGTGTAAATTGATTGGAACTGAAGCACCATTTGATTTTTCTTTTTGAACTTTATCAACTTGGACAGCAAATTTTAATCTGTAGACAGATGAAATTTTACCTTCTGAACCTTTCTTTGAACCTCTAACAACTAAAACTTCGTCATCTTTTCTGATTGGTAAGGATTTAATATTGTATTGTTCTTTTAATTCTTTTGATAATGGAGCTGATAATAATCTTCTTCTTTCAATTGATGATGAAGTGAAGTAAGCTTTTCTAGCTTTTGAACGAGATGATGAAACGTCTAAAACTTGTTAGTATTTTATGTTTAGGTAAATTTGGTCGACATCTTTAAACCGGGTGATGGTGGGTCTTATTCTTTCGTTTTCTCAATGCACTGATGTCTTCTTAATCTCTTGATTTATTATTTCAACATACCTTGACTAATTTTGGCCATTTTGATTATCTATAATTCAGTGAAAAAAATGAATCAATGAAATTTTACTTTAAGATGAGAATTTTTTTCAAACTGCGTGAGTTACCACTCAAAAAAAACTGTCACGCAGTCACAGGGCGCGAGCCCTCTCTGAGGTAGAAGTATTTAGATTACCAACAAAAAGTAATAAGACTATGGTTAGAGAGTTGAAACAGGTTGGTTATATATGTGGATTAATGTAAAAAGTAAGTAAGATGTTCTTAAGCTGGTTTAATCGTGTAAAAAAACCAACTCAAAAATGAAATAGAAAAGCCCCTGGCGGGACTTGAACCCGCAATCACTAACTCCGGAGATCAGCACCTTAACCATTAGGCCACAAGGGCGAATCTAGGACAAGAAATGGCTCATGTAATCCAAGAGGTCAAAAAGTGATGTTTTCGAATTTTGGATTGTTTCTCCTTTAATTAGGGTATTCAAAGTGGAGAAAGCTTTACTATATAAGGAACTTGAGAGAATACACCAGGGGAAACATATATTAAGCTAATTTGTTGAAAAACTCATCGAAATCAGTCAAGACAACTCTATAATGAGCATCAGACTTAGAGATTTTAGTCAATGCTTTCTTATAGTTATCTTCATTAATGGAGAACACTTCTGTCCATGGCTTGATATCATTCTTTACGGCGAAGTCTAACATTTGCTTGACCTCTTTTTTATTACCAATGATTGAACCACCCATAAATTTACCACTCATACCTAACTTGAGGGCATTAACAGTGATGTTTTCATGAAAATCAGGCAAACCAACACCAATGAGCTTACATCCAGGCTTAACTACATCAATGAATTGATTCAAATCAATGGCTGAGAATGAGGTTGCACAATTAATGATTAAATCAAAAGAATTGGAATGTTTAGAAACCCAGTCAGAATCTTCACCAGTAGCTACAAAATGATGAGCCCCTAATTCAGCAGCTTCTTGTTGTTTCTTAGAAGATCTTGAGAATGCAACAACTTCCCAACCAAACTTATTAGCAAATTGTAAGGCGAAATGTCCCAATCCCCCAATTCCGATGATACCAACTTTTTGCTTAGAATAAGGAGTTAAGTTCCTGACCAAAGGTGAAAACACCGTGATACCTCCACAGAAGAAAGGTGCAGCAACTTCTGCAGACATTCCATCAGGGACTCTGAAAACATGTTTTTCAGTAACTCTAGTATAATTAGCAAATCCTCCTTGAGTAACATATCCATCAGAGAACATATCTGCTTGGTTATAGGTCAAGACAGATTTTTCACAGTATTGCTCGTTATCATTGAGACATAAATCACATTCTCCACAAGAATTAGATTGGGCTCCGACTCCAACAACATCACCGACTGCAAATTCCTTAACTTCTGCACCTACTTTGACTACTGTACCAACGATTTCATGTCCAACGACCAAATCATCTCTACCATACGGACCCCAACCTCCTGAACCAATATGGTGATCTGTACCACATACTGAACATACTTGAATTTTGATGGTAACATCATGGGATTTCTCAGGTTTGGCTTCATATTGTTGCACTTTAGGTTTGTCCCAATTTTCAGGACTTGAAAGGGTAAAACCAGTAAATTTAGAAGGGACACTCATTGTATAATTCAATATAATTTGTTGAATAGCTTTTGAAGGGAATTAAAGTGGACATTTATAGAGTTGAATTTCCTTGCCGATAGTGTAATCATAGTTGGCTGCAAAAAACGGCTGTTACCTCTCGTGCGGAAAATGTATTATTAAGTCGGTTGACGCACACCTATTTTGTCACCAGAACTATAACTATGGGATAAAAGCGAGTGGTGAGACATTCGATTAGGGGTTGACTAATACAAATGCATGAAGCTAGTTACTAATCGGGGGACTTTTCATGGATTTAACGGATTTGTGTCATCGGTAATTATTTGTCGTTACCGCTTTTTTTTTTGTGGTAACAACCACAAAAAGAAGAGGAGAATTAAAAAATTAAATTACCTAACTACTACTTATGATTGAATACCTGTTCAACCAAAACGGCACTATCTAATTTATCAATAGTATCTTTGGAAACAGAACTGAAGTGTTTGCAAATAGTAGTACTCTCTAAATTATTCTCTTCGTCTTTCAAAATCTGAAGGATCTCGTTTGGAAGGCTATCCATGAACGAATTACTTCTACTATCTTTAGTTTGGTCACTAATGGCCGAGCCATTAGTTTTGAACTTCAATAACTTTTCTGGGAAGAATGAATAGCTATCAGCTAAAGTCTTTTCATCTATCGGGGATGTCACTGTAGAGTCAGTTGAACTACTTGAAGTACTGGTTAAATAGATTAAACCATTGGAAGACAAATTCCTGGAATTGTTGGCTAAACTTGACCAAATTGACGTGAATGGTAATAATAAGGCTATCAAGGACAAGCTCAAGTGGTTCAATAAATCACCATAATCCAAGGAATAGCTACTATAAGCCGAAAAAGCCAAGACTGTTGGAATAAGCATGGTTTGGGTAAACATTATTGTCAAAATATGATAATATGAAAATTGCTTCAATCCTAAATATCTTCTGGTTCTAATAGCAAATATAAGCTTCAACACAAGAATGAGACTCATATAGTTTACCGAAGCTGAAAAGACTATTTGTGGTAAACCCAGAATCCATCCAGGCACTTCTGCGTCAATCGATTCATAGAATCGAGTGGTATAAACTGCCCTTGTGACAAAAAGTCCAAAGGTGGTTCCCATGAGTAAGATAGCAACAAAAGTAGTAAGATAGCCATAAATCTTCACTTCTGGACTTTGAAAGATTATCCAAGTTTGATAAGCAAATGATAACTGGATCAAAAAAATCAATATGATCATCATAGCATTACCGGCAATACTCATCTTATACAAATTCCTGTCATCATAAGCGACCATCCCAGTGAAAGTGCTTGTGATTGAACCCAAAGGACCTAATTGGTAACCCAAAAATAAGGCAGATTTAACAATCGAAACAGTTAAAATGATCTGGTTCAACACAAAAATCGGGGTTTTCTTGTTCTTGATTACTAAAAACAGTAACACCAATGCAAAAGCACATGCAGTGATTGAACAACCATTTGTGATGGAATAATTGGCCATAATGTTTGCATGATGGTCCAATTGGGAAAATGTGATTGATTGAACTCCATAAAAGGGAATGGTGTAGTTTAAAGCGATACTCTTAGGGTCGAAATCCATTGAAAACTTATTGATTTCAAGGCTAATCCATGTCCCTTTATAGTTAAGAGACCAAAAATATTTTTTTTGATACTGATGTTTCAAGTGGTTGCAAAATTACCATTTTGAGACGGTTCAATGGATTTATCAAATGTCTTATTGAATATCCTTCACTACCCTTACGACACCCATGGGTACAATTGTCGTATCAGAGACATGTGTGTGGACATATCAATCATTAGGAAACCATTTCAGGGGATGGCGAATATTTCTTAGTATCGATTTTTCATTTGTGTTAGCCTTTAAAACATCTCGGAAAATTTGGAATGCCTCACACCAGTACACCACAACTTTCAAAAAATTCCCCAATCCCCTATTTAATTAGTTACTAGTCATTAGTTTATCTGAGAATTATAGGTTTACGTCTTTTGAAAACATATTTATATTTGTGTTTCCAAGGCGGATATTTTGGAAAATTAACACAAATAGAGCATCCACAAACAAAAAATAAATCCATTGGTGGGTTTGTCTTTCATCCCTCAATTTACGCCTCATGACTGAGAAAAATTCACAACTCACAGATATTTATCTTCAGAAAACTTCCGTTAATTAACACGTATAATATCGAATTTACCCATTGAAGTATCTCAAAATACATCATCAAGTCTGATAATATTAAACAGTCGGAATATTTCAACAAAAAAGCTTTAAATTCTTAAGATAGTCACGACGAAAATAAATTTCCAATATGTCCACTGAACCGAGAGATATATCAATGATTGATGTATCTAATGCATTGACTGAAGTAGACAAGCCAGAAGAACCTATTGCACCACCAACCAGAAGAAAATCCACGTTAATTTTAACCGACGAGGATATGAAAATCGACCAAAATCAAAATCAAACTTCACAACATCCACAAACTCAACAAGATTCACAAACCCAAAGTTCTCATGACGATATGCATATAGATCGTAGTCAAACCAATTTAAGCAACACATCAAACACCAATTCCACATCCAATTCTGAAAATGAACAATCTCAACCACCATCTCAACCAGATTTAAATGTTACCGTTCCTGTAGAAATTAGATGGACTCAAGGTGGTGAAAAAGTTTATGTTACTGGATCTTTCACTGGATGGAGGAAAATGATTGGTTTGGCCAGACAACCTGATAATACATTCTTAATTACCTTAGGTTTGCCAATTGGCACTCATAGATTCAGATTTGTTATTGATAATGAATTACGATTCAGTGATTATTTACCTACAGCCACAGACCAAATGGGTAACTTTGTTAATTATGTAGAAGTTACACCAGAAAATGTTGAGATTTACTTGCAACAACAAGAACAAGAAAAAGCAAAAGAAGAAGATCAACAACAACCACAAGAACAACCAACAAGTCCTTCACAAACCCCAGCTACTACTGAAGACAGAAGATCATCTTACGATAATGAAATACTGAGAAGATCCTCAGTAAGAGGTAGAACAGATTCTATGTGGAGATTAACTAATGATGACGATGATATGGGAGATGGATATTCTAGATATCATGATGAAGATGAAAATTCTGAACCTACTAAAAAGTATGATTACATAACCGATATCCCACCAATTTTTATTGATCCTAAAGTCATGGAACAATACTATATTGCCATTGAAAAACAATCGAAATCCCAAAATGGTCAACAAGCTTGGTTACATCCTCCACAATTACCTCCACATTTAGAAAATGTTATATTAAACAATTTTAATTCAATGGATAGAGATAATAACTCCGGTGCTTTACCAATACCAAATCACGTGGTTTTAAATCATTTAGCTACAACTTCAATCAAACATAATACTTTATCAGTTGCATCAGTGGTAAGATATAAAAGAAAATATGTTACTCAAGTTTTATACGCACCATTACAACAATAAATAGCATTAATTCCTTCACCCTAGTTAATTCGACATCATGCAGAAGGTCCTCTAAGTCCCTGTACACAAGTAGAGATCGAAAGTCTTTGTACACAGTAAGAGAAATATCAAACCAATCATACATTCATAAACTAATAACGATCATTATTGTAATTTCCAGAACTACCTCTTTCATATTCATCGCTGTTAGATCTCATTCCTGATCCCATGCTGACGTCAAAGTCATCATCCTTACGAGACCTGGTGTTACCTCCCATTGATTGGGATCCATAATTGTCTCTGTTAGAGGATCCATAGTTATCTCTGTTGGAGGAACCGTAATTGTCCCTATTGGATGACCCATAATTGTCTCTGTTAGATGAACCGTAATCGTCTCTATTAGAAGATCCATAGTCAGATCCCATGTTGGAAGATCCATACTTATCTCTTCCAGAAGATCCAAAGCCAGAATCTCTATTTTCTCTGTTAGACATTCCTTTGTGAGAGTGATGGTCTTCATCTCTCATACTTGAGTGTTGATGGTTACTATCTTTCTTATCATCATCCTTATGATCATGAGATCCTAAACCAAATACCATTTTGTCAATTAAAATTGTTTTCTCTCTGAATTATTAAAATTTAGTCTTTGTGTATTATATTAAATCCACAAAAGCTATCTTTTTGAATAAGTGATAAAAGTAAGCAGGACAGGAAATTATTCCAATTTATAGTTTATGTTCATGGTTGCCGTAGTCATTTCTTCCAAATATAACTTTCAATTACTTCATATTACTTCATAAGATTACATAATCAATAGAATTTTATTTTTCATCCAAGGATCTTAACCTGAAAGTCTGGGGAGGGTGAATGCTGCTGCCTGCATGAGACTTAGGCACAAGGACCGGTCGCAAAAGAAAATAAAGGGGAAGAGAGGAGTGGTTAAGATATGGGAATAAGGATAGCAATTCAATTTTTCTATACTAATAATCGGAACGGTCGTTTCTGTCGTTTCTAGATCCATAAGAATCATCATTTCTTGAAGATCCATAGGAATCACTATTTCTGGATCCGTAAGAATCACTGTTTGATGAACCATAAGAATCATCATTTCTTGAGGAACCATAGGAACCTTTGTTTGATGAACCGTAGGAGTCATCATTTCTTGAAGAACCGTAGGAATCATCGTTTCTTGAAGAACCATAAGAATCATTGTTTCTTGATGAGCCGTAAGAATCACTGTTTGATGAGCCGTAAGAATCACTGTTTGATGAGCCGTAAGAGTCATCGTTTCTTGAAGATCCGTAAGAATCTTTGTTTGAGGATCCATAAGAATCACTGTTTGATGAACCATATGAGTCTTTGTTTGATGAACCATAAGAATCTTTGTTTGATGAACCATAAGAATCATCATTTCTTGAAGATCCATAAGAATCGGTTGAGCTGTATGAATCGGTCTTTACACCATAGGAATCGGAGTTACCTGAACCGTAAGAATCATTGTCATTTCTTGAGGATCCATAGGAATCTTTCTTGGATGAACCATATGAATCATCGTCATTTCTTGATCCATAAGAATCGTTTTTTCTTGAATTGGATCCATATGAATCGTCATCATTTCTTGATCCATAAGAATCGTTATCTCTTTTATCGTCGTCTTTATCTTTACCAAAACCAAAAACCATTTTTGTTTACTCAATTGAAGGGGAATTTCTCCATTTTATAATTGTAATTAGACCACACATGTTCCACAGTTCTTCACCAATCGGGCATAGCAAGAGAATGTCACAAGCCTCTTTGAAATTTGACGACGTGTCTATATACAATAGGTGTGAGAGATGAAATTTATTATGTGGCTGAAAATATAATAGTTAATGACGGTGAAACAAAGCTTATTGGTTATATAATAGGTGGATTAACCATTTCAATTGCACGGTATTTGGTGAAATTTATCGTCATTTTTTTCGCAACCGAATTTCACTTGGTTGCAACTTGCATCGACACCTCGCTATAAGGGGTATTAAGTAAACAACCCTCCCAATGCCATATGACGTAAACGAACGATTCCGATCTGTCAAACATTAAGACTTGGGTGATTCGAATTGATATCTAAAATTAAGTTTTTCGATCTTATTTGTGCCAAAAGGACAATTACCACAAAACCAATTAATGACAAAACCCACAATTGAAAATTAAATTTTTGAGCAAATTGCCCAAAGTTTCCCCATTCAAGGAACGTGGAAGCTTCAAAAACTTCTCTCTACGCATTAGGGGAAAATCGTTGCTCTCGTTAACCGAATATATTCTTTGATAAAGACACACTGGACTTTGTGAAATGTTGATCTGAAAATTGTCGGGGTTTATTGATATTTCAGATCAATTGTCGAATATTTGATCTAGGAAATATGGTTGACACGATCCTAGAGTTATCGAAGGAATATTACAATTCTTAACCCAAGGTCGAAACATACGTGTAACTCCACACCTGGTAAACCTTCGAATTACTGGAGTATGTCGATGAATATCGATAATTTGTTGAAGTATCTGGCTTTCCTAACGAATTGGAATAACCACCAGATCTCGAATTATTCCTCTCATTCACCACTTCTTCCATCACCAAGGAAGACCTCTCAAATCAATTTCTCGTGTGGCTTAATATATGAGGTGTTTGATATATCCACTGCGAAGGAAATATCCTGCATCACTAAGTGTTGAAGTGATTCAAATAAAGAAATCTTCTGATGCTGATGAACTGAACGGCCATTAGTAGTACACCGGAGCGAATTGGGAAGCTTGAAACAACTTTGGAAGGAAATTATGGGTCAACGAAGAGGTGTACTCTGATTTACTTGGTATACACCCAACGTCCAATAATTATCTTCCTTCACAATTTTTACGTGTTCTGGCACAAAGGATGGCACATATTAGATTACCATGGGGAAAATGTTTACTGGATAAATAAATGGACCAGAAGAAATGGATTTTATCGCTAGTGAAGCCAAAACATCAACATGAACGAAAAGAGGATGAAAAATATAGATGCTACCGAAGAATAGGTTCTGATGGGTCTGCATTACATGAAATGGCAGTAGCGATATGCCCATGGGTTTTACAGGGTCACCAAGCCCTAGAGTACGTAGTAACTATACTGTTGATTCCGTAGTACGCTACGAAGTCAAAACCTGTTGATCACAGAACTATAAATTTTGTTCTACTATCTGTAGCTTTATCAGCAGCCTTAATGTTCACATACACCCTCCTACATACCGGAGATGTTACCTTTAGAAAGTTGAAAGTTTGACGGAAACTAAAAAGGAGTATTTATTAAATAAGTGACGAAAAAAGTAAAAAGGTCAGGAGAAAGTAAAAAAATCCATGAACTAAAAGAACACATTCTAGACCATCATTAAGAATGAGAAGATTATTAAAACAGTTGAAGATATGGCTTTGATGGAAGCTCCACCTTCTATTTCTGGTATAGAAATCACACCAGTTGGTTTTTGAGGACTTTGACTGATAGAGTTACCAGAACTAGAACCAGAACCGGACCCTGAATTAGGATTAGACCCTGAGTTTGGAGAATTTGAACTTGGGACTGGATTATTTGGAGCCTGTGGTTCAGGGTTTAAAAAACCTGAAACTGAACCTGTTGGTTCAATGGTAGTTACTGTTGTAAAGGTTGAAACAGTTGTTCCACCTTGACATACCTTACATGGAATGGTAACAATCACAGAAGATGTTACAGTAGTAGGTTGAGGTTTGGCTGGTGGAACAGCGGTGGAAGTTGTAGTGAAGAAACCACCTTGACATGTTTTACATGGAACTGTCACAACCGTAGTTGATACTAAAGTTGAAGTAGTAGTCGTGTTGATCCAAGGACCAGTGAACAGGTGTGGTACTGGGGTTTCAATGACGACTAATGGTGGGGCGCCTGATTTGGTAACAGTAGTGTATGTACTTGTAAAGGTACCGGTCCATGGAATAGTGGTAGTGGAAGGTCCTGGAGTTTCAACCACAATCAATGGTGGAGCACCAGAAGCAGTCATGGTAGTGTATGTACTAGTAAAGGTACCAGTCCATGGGATGGTGGTGGTAGAAGCTTCTGGGGTTTCAATAACAACTAAAGGAGGAGCACCAGATGAACTGATAGTAGTGTAGGTACTAGTAAAGGTACCTGTCCAAGGAATAGTGGTAGTTGATGGACCTGGAGTTTCGATAACAACCAATGGTGGGGCACCAGATGAACTGGTTGTTGTGTAGGTACTTGTAAAAGTCCCAGTCCATGGAATGGTTGTGGTTGATGGACCTGGGGTTTCAATGACGACTAATGGTGGCTCACCTGAGACAAAAGTAGTATAAGTACTAGTAAAAGTTCCAGTCCAAGGAATAGTTGTAGTTGATGGTTCTGGAGTCTCGATAACGACCAATGGTGGAGCCCCAGATGAACTGGTAGTAGTGTAGGTACTTGTAAAGGTACCTGTCCAAGGAATAGTTGTAGTTGATGGTTCTGGAGTCTCAATAACAACCAATGGAGGGGCATCTGACTTGGTAACGGTAGTGTATGTACTAGTAAAGGTACCGGTCCATGGAATGGTGGTAGTTGATGGACCTGGGGTTTCAACTACAATCAATGGTGGGGCATCTGATTTGGTAATCGTAGTGTATGTACTAGTAAACGACTCTGACCAACCAATAGTAGTAGTGGAAGGACCAGGAGTTTCAATAACAACTAAAGGAGGAGCACCAGATGAGCTGGTTGTTGTATAAGTACTAGTAAAAGTACCAGTCCATGGGATAGTAGTGGTGGAAATATCACTACTTGGAGTCTCAATAACCACCAAAGGAGGAGCATCTGATTTTGTTGTAGTGGTATACGTCGAAGTGAAGGTACCAGTCCAAGGAATTGTTGTAGTTGATGGACCTGGAGTTTCAATAACAACTAATGGTGGTGCATCAGACTTAGTAACAGTGGTGTAAGTACTGGTGAAAGATTCTGACCAGCCGATAGTAGTTGTAGAAGGATATGGAGTTTCAATAACGACTAAAGGTGGTGCACCTGAAGCAGTGGTAGTAGTGTAAGTACTAGTGAAGGACTCTGACCAACCAGTGGTGGTTGTGGAAGGGTATGGAGTCTCTATCACAACTAATGGTGGAGCATCCGACTTAGTTGTGGTAGTGTACGTGGAAGTATCGTTACCTGTCCAGCCGATGGTGGTAGTTGAAGGATAAGGTGTCTCAATAACGACTAAAGGTGGTGCACCTGAAGCCGTGGTGGTGGTATAAGTACTGGTAAAAGATTCTGACCAACCAGTGGTAGTAGTTGAGGGATACGGGGTTTCGATGACTACTAAAGGTGGAGCATCTGATTTCGTAGTGGTGGTATAAGTAGAAGTATCAGTACCAGTCCAACCGGTGGTAGTCGTAGAAGGATAAGGAGTCTCAATCACAACTAAAGGTGGAGCATCTGACTTAGTGGTAGTAGTGTAAGTACTAGTGAAGGATTCCGACCAACCAGTGGTAGTGGTTGAAGGAAAAGGAGTTTCAATAACAACCAATGGTGGAGCATCCGATTTGGTAAAAGTGGTGTATGTGCTAGTGAAGGACTCTGACCAGCCAGTGGTGGTGGTAGAAGGGTATGGAGTCTCGATCACAACTAATGGTGGAGCATCTGATTTAGTAGTTGTAGTATAAGTAGAAGTATCAGTACCAGTCCAACCAGTAGTAGTTGTAGAAGGATAAGGAGTTTCTATAACAACTAATGGTGGAGCATCTGACTTAGTGGTGGTGGTATAAGTACTGGTAAAAGATTCTGACCAACCAGTAGTGGTAGTCGAAGGATATGGAGTCTCAATGACCACCAATGGAGGGCCACCTGATTGGGTGGTGGTGGTATAAGTAGAAGTATCAGTACCGGTCCAACCAGTGGTAGTGGTTGAAGGAGGTTCTTCAATGATAATCGACTCAGTTCCTCCGGTAGATGGAATAACTGTATAGGTACTTGTGAAAGGATTAGTCCAGTAAGAAGTAGATGTAACGGTGGCAGTTACACATTCTTGTACAATATCAGGCGGAGCGTAAATGAAGTCAGGAACATTACTGGTGGTACCATTAGGATAAGTGACCAATAATTCCACAGCAGCTCCGAAAGGTGCTTTATTGTAATAGACCATTTTGAAAGGATAATATTTTCCTCCTTGTAAAGAACCTGTGTTTGTTGCTTCAGTTTCAGCGGTAACACGACCATAAGTAAATACAGTGTATTCAGTAACGTCATTATTGGGAGTTTGACAACATTCGAAAGCAGCAGCACCAATAGTAGCAATAGCAGAATCATCAACGTTTTTGATACTGAACAGATAAACCCCTGTTTCTGGAGCAAAAAGATATCCGGTAAATTTCAAACCGAAATGATGATAATTGGTAGTTCTACCGTACAAAGGACGTTCATCAGTAGTTTCCTGAATATCATCAACACTGAAATAAATATCAGTGACACCATAAACGGTATCAGATATAGCCATGTTAGAAATTTCTCCCAAGTATGCTTTATATTCTTCAGCAGGAGTTGTACTATCATCAGCAACAGCAAAATATTTCACATCATCATAGAAGTCAACTCTTAAACCAGGTTGAGCGTTGACAGGTTGACACCCATCACCTGGTGTAAAATCAGCTTTAGCAATTGAAGCCAAGAGAGCTAATCCAAGTATTGAAAGTTTCATGTTGATTGATAGGTTTGTTGGAGATTAGTGTGCATATTTATAGGTCACTTCATTCCAAAACCCAAGGTATCACGAATCCAGAAGAACAGTTGTCTTGATGCTTGTTGGATCAGGAGAATTACTCGAAGGGGGTAATGTATTTCCCGAAATGGTACCTTAAACATTTCCTGTACAAACCTCGACCCTCTCGAAGGGTTGTTTATTTCCTAAAATAGCTTGAGATGTCCCTGAAAGGTACCAAAATAGTTCTTAAAATGATGTGTCCTGAAAGTTTCTTCCAAATCCTCCATTCTGGATTCGTTTTGGGTATTTGTTTTGAATTATTTTTTGGGTAATGGGCTTATTTCGGTGTTCTTTAAATTTTAAGGTACTGGTGTTTTTCACTGGCCAGGTCTCCCAAAATTCAGACTTTGAAGTTTCTTCGAGAACACCTTAATGGGAAAGTTTCATCTGCTAGAACCTGAACTGAATTGTACTTCTTCATTCTTAACTAGCATCGAAAGATCAAAGTTCTCCACATAGAAGAACTTGAACAATCACTAATCTAATCCACACAGCCTTTGACCCATGAAACTTACGTGTACCAACTCCTGATACATCTTTGGTACAGTTATTACCTGATATGTATATATTGCAGCTATTTCGGGATACATTTCGGGTTCTCCTTTTGGTGCATGTTCAAAAAGAAACATTAAAGAACCAGTTTATATCAAAATTCGTGTTTGTGTGTTTCGCTGCAATATCAGCGCTGTTTCTTGACCCTCATGTGGAATACCTCATTGACTTCCGAACGTTGCAGAACAGTTGAAACTTCCATCAGGTGAAGCACTCATTAGGTTTGGCGCTCATCAGCTCAAATGCTCATCAGCTCAAATGCTCATACATTGGAATTCCCATGCATATTCAAACACAACCTCTAGAAATGTTGAGCCATTTGTATTCCACAGTAATTGATCAAACAGAGAATCAGATAATATCCAATATTAGTAAGCCTCAACTGATAAACTCCTACCAAAGCCTCGTATCTCTATTGTTTCAAAAAGGTTCACAATCTATCGAGATAAGCACATCTAAGAAAGTGCAACATTAAACGGAATAACAAGCATTTAACCCCAAATCTCCGTTTTCATTACCCTTAATGGCTAAAAGGATTTTTCCGATGGTTCCCGCTAGGTTCGAATTTGTTTGGTTTGTTGGATGATGTTTTACACGTTAACCCTTTTAGGCAATATTTTTCCGCAATTAAGTCTCTAGGGGGCCATAAAGGTGCGTTTATACCCGAATAACTGATGGTTTGGGATCAGAGCATTATCAATAGAGATTTTCACCTTTTCAAGGAAGATCTCTATATTTTTTACTATTGTTACACATGGTATTTTTTCTTAGACAATAGAATCATTGATTTGAGTCATTCTGATATCATCAAACTCTATAGGACGAACTTTTTACGAAATGTATTTTTTTTTTTGGCTGAGGGGGTTTTGGGTGGTGAAAAGGATCATAACCTTCTATTATGAAGTTTGATAATTCGATGATTTCTTGAATATCTAACGTATTTAAGGTTTGCAAATACAAAACTTCGGGTTCCAATAAACCGTGAAGTGGAACAATAAGTGAATTTACGGAATCGTCATTGCAACAGATCTCGAAATCTTTTTCGTATTGTTTGAATATTTTTTAGGTGATTTAGAGAAAAAACACCTTTACAGGTAATTCCACGGACCATTTGGCGTGTTCTTTATTCGATGGTACATTTCCTACATATAAAATTTACTTCACAGCGACCCTTGAAGTTTTCTCATTCCAGAAACCGCAAAATTTCCCAGACATAAAACTGACATGTTTCCTTTAGGACAGTTGGAGAAGTTTTTATGAGATACTTGAGGATGAGACCTTTGAGAATGAAACACTTGAGAACGAAATACTTGAGGATGAGAGTGAGGAATTATAAAAAGAATATCCATTGAGTAAATAACGAAAAATTGAAATTGAACTAAAGAAAAAAAAAAGCCAGCTAAATAATTACTCAAATCATCATTAAGAAGGAGAAAATCATCAAAACAGTTGATGATAAAGCTTTCATAGAAGCTCCACCTTCGAAGGTTGGGACTGAAATAGTACCTGATGTTTGAGGAGTTTGACTGAGGGATACCACTGAATCTGGGTTATGAGAATCGGTGTTCGGAGATCCATTATCGGAACCTGGGGTTTGAGCAGGTTGTGAAACTAAAGTAACTTTTGTGACCTCAGAGTTAGGAGAACCTGGGTTACTTGGGACAACGGTAGTGACAATTGTTGAAGTTGATACAGTAGTACCGCCTTGACAGACTTTACATGGAATGGTAACAATCGTAGTTGATGTTATAGTGGTTGGAGTTGGTGGAACAGGTGAAGAAGTAACATCGCCACAGATTTCACATGGAACAGTGGCCATGGTGGTTGAAGTAAGGGTTGACGTAGCGTAAGTGGTGTTTGCCCATGGTCCAGTAAGTACTGGGAGTGTTGGAGTTTCAATAATAACCAATGGTGGTTCACCGGAAGCGGTAGTAGTTGTGTAGGTGGAAGTAAAAGTACCGGTCCATGGGATGGTGGTAGTTGATGGCTCTGGTGTTGGAGTTTCAATAACGACTAATGGTGGTTCACCGGAAGCGGTGGTGGTGGTATATGTGGAAGTAAAAGTTCCGGTCCAAGGAATAGTAGTAGTGGATGGTTCGGGAGTTTCAATAACAACCAATGGTGGTTCACCGGAAGCGGTAGTAGTTGTGTAGGTGGAAGTAAAAGTTCCTGTCCATGGGATGGTGGTGGTAGAAACATCACTACTTGGAGTTTCAATAACGACTAATGGTGGAGCACCAGAAGCAGTAGTAGTTGTGTAAGTACTAGTGAAGGTACCGGTCCATGGAATAGTAGTAGTTGATGGACCTGGGGTTTCAATAACAACTAATGGTGGAGCACCAGAAGCAGTAGTAGTAGTGTAAGTACTAGTAAAAGTACCGGTCCATGGAATGGTGGTAGTGGATGGTTCTGGAGTTTCAATGACAATCAATGGTGGTTCCCCTGAAACAAAGGTAGTGTAAGTACTAGTAAAAGTACCGGTCCATGGAATAGTAGTAGTAGAAATATCACTACTTGGAGTTTCGATAACAACTAATGGTGGGGCACCAGAAGCGGTGGTAGTAGTGTAAGTACTAGTAAAAGTTCCGGTCCAAGGAATAGTAGTAGTGGATGGTTCTGGAGTTTCAATAACAACTAATGGTGGTTCCCCTGAGACAAAAGTAGTGTAAGTACTAGTGAAGGTACCAGTCCATGGGATGGTGGTGGTAGAAGCTTCTGGTGTTTCAATAACAACTAAAGGAGGAGCACCAGATGAACTGGTTGTTGTGTAGGTACTTGTAAAAGTTCCAGTCCATGGAATGGTTGTGGTTGATGGACCTGGGGTTTCAATGACGACTAATGGTGGCCCACCTGAGACAAAAGTAGTGTAAGTACTAGTAAAAGTTCCAGTCCAAGGAATAGTTGTAGTTGATGGTTCTGGAGTTTCGATTACGACCAATGGTGGGGCACCGGAAGCGGTGGTGGTGGTATATGTGGAAGTAAAAGTTCCAGTCCATGGGATAGTAGTAGTTGATGGTTCTGGAGTTTCGATGACAACCAATGGTGGTTCACCTGAGACAAATGTAGTGTAAGTACTAGTGAAGGTACCAGTCCAAGGAATAGTAGTAGTTGATGGTTCTGGAGTTTCGATAACAACTAATGGTGGGGCACCGGAAGCGGTGGTGGTGGTATATGTGGAAGTAAAAGTTCCGGTCCAAGGAATAGTAGTAGTGGATGGTTCTGGAGTTTCGATAACAACTAATGGTGGGGCACCGGAAGCGGTGGTGGTGGTATATGTGGAAGTAAAAGT